GGATGGAATCGACAGTGGATGGAATCGACAGTGGATGGAATCGACAGTGGATGGAATCGACAGTGGATGGAATCGACAGTGGATGGAAGAGGGCGTTCGGGGTCGTAAAACGGTCCGTTCAGAGGCACCTGAATACCATCAGAGCCGTGAACGACGTACAGGAAAGTCTCCATGTCGTTGAAACTGTCCCATTTGAAGGCTTTCATGGCGGAAACTAAGTCTCCAACATTCTGGCAACTGCTCAAGTCGGGGGCGAGAATGCTGGGCTTGTTCACCACGACAATGGTCTCCATGTCTGCTCTGTTCGTCATGGTCGGAGTGGCAGTGAGAAGGGATTTCGTGTGAGGGGTGGACGATGAGATCTTATGAGAGTAGAGGTGAGTAGAGGTGGACCTTGCTGAGAGCTCGTTGCAGTGAATTCATTCCTCATGAGGCGTGTTCGTGGTGAAGTGTCGGAAACGGACAGGTGAAGCGCAAGTGAGAGGTCTTCGTGGTCGAGGATGGTGGTAGATGGAAGGCATGTGGGTGACTTCTCCCTCAGTCTGCCAACGGCCAACAGTCGCCACCAGTATCTCTCTCGTGGTCTCGTCGATTGGAGGCATAAATGCAACAGTAGAGCAGCTCCAGATGTCTGCTTAATTTGACTTCGGGTATCATTGTTATTAAGTGGCTCCGAAATCAAGCTTCTTCGCCACGCCTTTGAACTTGTTCTCGTCGACGACAAACCCTGGGGCCGCCACTTCCGCAGCTGCCATCTTCGAATCACCGCCGCCTTGCTTCGGAAGGTTCTCCTTGCTGGTCGGTCTAGGATCGATTCTCCACCACTCGTGCTCCAAGGCCCCTCTTGCCGTCACTCTTTTTCGTGGGTCAAGTTTCAGCATTGCCATGAGGAGATCGACGCCAACCGACCCAGCCGTCGGGAACATTTGCATGTAGAACGGTTTCTCGCGCACCGGAATCTTCTTTTCGAGTTCGAAGTAGTCTCGTAACTTGGAGACCCCAGGCCAATTCTCTTCGTTTGGTGTCCCAACAGCTTCGCAGATTTTGTCCAGTTGAGCGACCGTTCCTCCACCTGTTGCCAGCACTTCTTGATTTGCCACATCCGCTGCTGCATATGGCCTGCGAATTAGAAGTTCGGCAAAGACCATTCCGATACTCCAGATGTCGACTGCACCACTGTATTGCCTTGCCCCGAAGAGCAATTCTGGAGGACGATACCAAAGCGTGATCACTGCAGAAGTCATCTGGTACCACGGATCACCAAACGACCGCGCCAGACCGAAATCGGCCAGCTTCACTTCTCCATCCGCGGCAATCAGGAGGTTGTTTGGTTTAATGTCTCGATGCAAAATGAAGTTGGAATGGCAATAGTAGATTGCGCGACATAGCATCCCCATCCATGCCTTGACATCAGCAGCACCGTAACTCACTGTCTTGTCCCGGATGAGCTCTTCTAGATTGCCGTTCGGGAAATACTCAATGACCATGTTGATGTTCTGGTCCTTGGAGGAAAACACGTCTAACAAGGCAACGATGCTCGGGTGTGAGATTTCCTGGAGATATTTGATCTCGCGGATCGTGTCGACATTGAGCCCCTCCCGCTGCTGCGAAGGATCGACTTTGAACTTTTTGATGGCAACAAGCTTGGTCGGATCTGATCTCAGATGTCCCTTGTAGACGATAGCATATGTTCCCTCGCCCAACTTCTTTCCTGTGGAGCTCGTCAGCAAGTATGGGCATGGCTGGGGAAGGAAATGAGATACGGACCTTTGACATATTTGTTGCTGATATCCTCGTTCATCTGCTCAGCCATGTCGAAGTCTGGAGGCGGTCGGTGAGCAGGTGGGCCTGGAGCTGAAGATTGAGTTTTTGGTATTGATTTTCTCATTGCGAGTGACTTCGCCTTTGAGGGTGACATATTGGCATTTATGTTTGAAGGCGACCGCGGCATCAACGGCGACGGGGCGTTGGATGACGGCGCCATCTTGGGATTCACCGGCTGACGGGAAATGGAAAGGTGTTCAGGGACGCTCTTTCAAGCCAATCACTGTTGATATCTGGTTTATGTCAAAGACTCTAGATGCTCTGGCGGTGCGGTAGAGGTCAATGTGCCATTGAAAGCCTTAAGCAGAGATCTGTTCATGTGATCGATCCAGGCATCTAGATTGGGCTGCGCTGGGCTTGAACCAAGACGGTCGTCGTTGAAAGCAGCAATCCAGCAGTGGAAGTTGGGCGAGGCTCAAAATGCTTGGCATGCGACATGGATCTGGCGAGCCGGTGGAAAAAATAAGTGGCACAGCGAAGTAATGACCAGAATACCCCTGGGTTAATTTGTCTTTTACTTAAAGTTTTAGGTATGAAACTGTAGATTTTATTCTCTAGTTACAATTACGAGCTTATAAGCTACATAATGATAGTAATTTTTAACGATAATCCCTGAGAAAGGGTGGTAGAAAAGTATCTTGGAATTCTATAGAGGGAGGATAATGCGGTCTGACTACGGTATTTAGTATGGGGTGCTGTGCCAATTTTTTTTTTCCACAGGCTCGCTGGCTTGAGGCCTCATGCCGCTTTAATTGCAGCCTGTCTACAGAACTCGCGGTTGCAGATGGACACAATTGTGAAACGGACTCTCTCCATTTTTGTTGAACAAATCATTAGCCTGCAGAATGCTGAGAATCGGCCCAATACGCCTCGACTACGCTCACGATGGAAAACCCTACTCCTGATTTCAATCCCGGAGCGGTGATCGTCATATACAAGCGACAAGGTTAGTTGAGCCGTGTTGCCACTCCCCAAAGCGAGAACTCACGTCTCGCTGTCAAGCTACACACTCATCTAATGCAGCAGCGACTTTCCAGCACAGACGAGACGTCGCTTCCTCGTCTGGCAAATTCGCTGGGACGCTCAGGCAGGCCCGAACCGCACGCGTGTAGATGCGACCGGCCTGGCCTGGAAGTTCTTCTTCTGCCAGCCGGATCAGACGGTCGCGGAAGGTGATGGGACTGTCCTCATCCCGTGGATCAAAGCTTTGGAGGGGCTGCCAAAAGCCAAGCTCTAAGAGAACGCATCCGAGACTTTGTTTGACAGGATTAGCTTTTCCATATGCCAACAGGGGCATCCGATCACAGAAGTTCATCTTGTGGTTTTAAGAGAGAGAATAAGAGAGCGGGCTATGATGCAATGGACAACACCGGGCTTGAGGGAGAATTAAAAGCTTACGAGTAGATGTCGAAAGCCGGCCTGTATAACTTGCTCGGATGCATTCGCTTTTCCGGATGGTGATAGTTATCCAGTTTGATGCTCCGTCGTTGAACCGTTCGGGAACGTGCCGTGTAGTCTGTATCAGTACTCGCCATAGCTCTGGAATAAGTAAAGCCGCTCAGGTAGGGATGTTTGAAGTCTTTTGCCAGACTCTGGGAAGGCTGGCCTCCGGTCCTCGATTCGGCCGGCAGGAATAAGACTGACCCGGACCGCACACTGAAGACGAGCGCTTTAGTTTCATCATACAACACCACGCAGTCCCCTCGTAACCCTTCTGAGACTCACTTTTTGTGAACCCAACCGGTCAGATGCAGGACAAACAGGCTCTGAACAAGGGTTTTCGCAATGGCAAACCGCGCTCCGAGTTCAAGCACCCACGATCGGCCATCGTTCGCCTGGTCGAGCACTTCCAAAAGTGTCGCTGGCTTTCGCGCCTGCGAGACGGTGATTCTGGTGTCCGGTTGCTTGTTCGGAATCTTCTCGATATAGGCTGGCGGTTTATACACGAACCCGTAACGCGAGTTCCGAGCGTCTTTGAAGGCTCCAAGACAGGGTAGAGTCTTGAAGGAGCGCGGGGGATCCTTGATGAGAAAGATTTTGGCAAGCTCCTGGACGTCCCGCTCGGTAGGAACGCCCGCATCGGCATCTTCACCATATGTCTTCCATTCCTAGAGATTAACGTCTCAATAAAGGACATTACCATGGGTAACGATCCACCTACGATGTAACAGCATGTGTTAGATCGGGTGTCTATTGCGAAGGTGGCGCTCGACTCGTTGAAATACCATCTTGGCTCTCCATATCTGAAGTGCTCTTTCGAAAGTGATGTTGTTGGTCGCACTTGGTCGAGGTTCTGCAGCCTCTTCTTGAATTCTGCGGTTGTTGCGATGAGATCAAAACGCTTCTGACGAACGCTACCTTTGGGGCTTTCGGAAGATATGTCCCTTGCGGTTTCGGCCAGATGGTTTAGATTTCCGGGATGGTTTTGTTGCAGAACCTCGCAGGTCATGGCAAGATGGATTCTCTGCGCGAATGGTTGGCATTGATAGAAAAGAGGAAAGAGATGTCTTACCCATGCCACGATTTCAGAGCATATACCACGGAGGGTCGAGTTGTGCTCATCGAGATCAGAAATCAACTCGTCGAACTTTTTCTTTTCCCTGATTGCGAACTTTGCCCTTCTCAGCCAGCTCATATGGGCACCCAGTTTCTTCACCTGGGGCCCGACCTCGTAAGCCGCTTTCCCCCCGAGGACGTCTTGCACTTTGATCGTCGCGAGAGCCTGACGAAAGCCGGTGAGATGCATGGCTGGGATCGGGAAGTTTTCGGCTACTCACGAATTCGCTTCGGTCTTTCAACTTCACCTTTAACCCGTATTTGGCACTTAGGTTGTCTGAACTGGCAAACAACTGCGACATATTCAGAATCACCTTGACGACGAGAGGCCCGTTGTCTGAGTTGCGAAAATGCGACTGGAGTTTGTCTTGGCTTTTTTTGAGATCCCAGCACTCTGCCCAACCTTCGATCCGTTAGCATTACGGAGGCGGCGCCAGGAGGCACGTGGGCTGTCATTACCCGTGAATAGCTATGGCATATCAGCTCCGAGACGATCGCAACAACAAAAGCTACCTACCCCTCTTTGCATCCGAATGCGCTGGACTTGCTTTTCGGCTCCCTCGTTGGCCGTGCAAGCAGCCTCGACGAGTTCAAAGGCCTGGTAGCAAACAGGGACCAGGCCAAAAACGGCAGACGCGATACCAAATGCCTCTGCCATGACTGACGTTAGAGAACAAACCGTGGATGAGATGGAAAAGAGCAAGCATGGTTCGATCTTCGAGAAGGAGACCTCTTTTTATCATAAGGCGGCAGCTCATGAGCCGTAGGCTGCATTTTCAGCCGCATTGCGCGGGGGCACTGCTAACGACTAAATCAGGCGTTCATTCTCTAAAGCTGAGCCAGCTAGACGCCTCGCGTGTTCTGGCAATGCACTCGGGGTCGCACCACACGCTTGGTGGAATAGCACTTCGTTTTCGATTGGTGGCCTCATGGTGTCTCTCGGCACGGATGTGTTTCTCTGTAGGGAGATATGATGGAGCCTGTTTTCGAGACGGGCCTGGCTACCGGATTACCTGCTGCTCCGATATACCGCAGCCGAAATCCTCGCCCAGCATCATTCAGACATTGGGTGGTCAGGAGTGGGAGATAGCAAGACCCCCGAGACTGTTCTGTCGCTGTTTGAATCGGCGCAACTCCTTCCTATCCTTCTTTAAGTCTTGCTGGGCAAGCTCTCTCAGCAAGTCCCTGTAGCAACCACAGAGCGGCGTGGCCTTCCTACCTAAAAAGGCAAAGTCACCATCAAGCAACTTTTTGTCGCACTTGGCGTCGAGCCCAATATGCGGTCCGCGGTCATTGCATCTCAATCGGCGTAATAATTCTTGTCTATCGTCAACCGCAGCCTTGGAGCCCTACGAGCTGCTGAAGGTCGTCTTGATTGCTGACCTACATGTACTGTTACCCACGGAGAAGCAACTTTGAGCGATAACAACTTCGACAATGATCACGCCACCGCCGCCAGCTAGAGTCTCCCTCCTTGCTTCTCTCCTCCGGCCATCGACATCGGCTTCGAAATCTATAATCCCTCAATCCTACATCTGCACACCATGTCGACGACAATTACACCGCGGTCTGCCTGGTGGGGGTTACATCCCTGCTCCCACACCCTTCGTCCCCGACGTGCCCACCTTCCTCAAACTCATCGGGCGTGAACTCTCCAAACACGCCGGCAAAATCGAGTCTTGGGAGGAACTCTTCACCTTGACATCGATTCAGATGAAAACACGAGGCATCGAGCCCCCGCGGACGCGAAGATATCTGCTCCGCTGGCGAGAGAAGTTCCGGAAAGGGGAGTTTGGGATCGGAGGCGACTTTCAACATGTGAAGGATGGCGTTGCGGAGCTACGAGTCGTCGAAGTGCCCAGTCTGAAAAAGGACCCCGTAACAGGAGACCCTATATCGGGCCCAGTCACGATCGGAAGGAGTCCTGGGATGCAGAAGCTGATTGTCAATGTGCCCAACGGGTCTGCCACGTATCAGTTACTCCCGGGGCAGACGACCGCGGATCTGAAGAAACCAAATGGCTTTACGTTGAAAAATGGATACATTATCAAGGGCAAGCAAGCACATCCCATTGCAGGCACGCACGGGAGTGGTGTCACAGTCAAAGCGGTTGAAGGGCTGTGGGAGCATAAGCGAGGGAGGAAGGTCTATGGCGGTGAGAGGAGACGGGCGGAGACGCTGCATAAGATGAGAGTGGAGGAAAACAAGAAGAACGCGAGATAGACGAGGGAGATGTTGCGGGTCATGGCAGATGTCCAAATGGGGCTTTTCGACATATCCCACGTTTGGACGCTGTATGTACGATATTAATCGTCGGGTGTATCATGTATGTTGCTGGTCTGACACGAGTTGCGAGTGGCCCAAATCCCAAGCACCGACTTTGACTCGGCTTGAGATCCCCTGTTCATTTAGGAAGGCGTCGTCGCGCTCTATTTGAGGCTCTGCAACCGTTGTGATCAAGAGGGCAGCCACGGTGTGAAAAAGAAAGCCCTTGAGAACGTAGCGACCTCCCAAATTTGCGATTCCGATTCAATGGCAGGTTCAGCCGTTCAAAGCGTTTCGCAAGAGGATCTGCAACACCAATGGCCGCCGCACCCGCTACGCTGGAGACATCAACTGGGGCTCAGAGATGCGGCTACAAACGACAATTGCGAGCACGATGCCATGCGAATCCCACCGTTGATCTCTTCTTCATTGGACGTTGATGAGTCCTTGCAGCCATGCGTCTCCCTCCACACACGGCAGGCGAGAACTTCCGAGGACACAGACTCAAACCATGCTCACGGGCTCAGCAAGCAAAGGGTCCCCCAAAAGGGTAAAATCTCGGGAGTCTCGGCTTTGTCTCAGCCGGGTCAGAGATTTCCGTACCAATGTGTTCCGAGACAGTGCTTGGTTAACCTAGACGTCTGCCTGCGAGTGATCAACCATCTGGGCGTGCATGGTGGCTATTGCGCTCGGATGGGCCAAAACTCTGGAGGAGAGAGAATTTCAGCCACTATCACGCTAGCTGACACCGAAGAGAGTAAGATCTCCGGCGGCGTCCACGCCCTGAACACGTTGAATCGGCCTTCAAAACGGTCAGTCGTCCTCTTGAATGAATCACTCGACTTTTGCCGAGGGCAAGAAAGAATTGGGGACGCAACGCACAAGAGCTGGTTTCATTCGTCCCATTTTGGAGGATGGAGCTAACGCTAAGAAGAGATCAGCATGTTTGATACACAGCTAGAAAATCCGGTTCCAGTTGGGCGGGTTCATGGGACAGGATTAGGAAGATCATTTTGCTGATCGTTGCCACATTCCTACTCCTCGCCAGTAGTGGACTTGGGAGGGCCAGCTCTACTCGTGGACCCCGGCGTGTCTCCAGATCACGCAGAGCCGGTGTCTAAACCTGAATTGCCAGCTGCAGATACTGTGTTTGGTTGGATCGTTGATAGGAATGAGTGGCTTGTGAGTTAGTGATAGCGCGAACGCAATTGTGGTTGCAATTGAAAGGTCGTCATGTACTATTTCCTGTCACCTGGAATTCGAGAGGAGCTGATGGTTCCTTGAAAGAGAAAGGACACTGACCCTTTGGACAAAACGGGTTGGTTGCACGTTGCAGAGGGATCGACTCGCGCAGAGCTGTCTCAAGGACCGAGATGAAGATGTTCTCGCTTGATGGGGGGCTCGAGAGTCGACTCGACGATGATCAACTCCGTCGCGGGAGGTGAGCACGGCCAACTTTGCCAAGCGAATTGATCCAGGGGTAAACGGCCGGGGAAGCATTTGAGAAAGCCACAGTCGAGATTGGCGTCGACCAGGGTGGGGGAATGGTCCCTTAGTGCAGTGATGCTTGGGCAAATTTCTCTGCTCCAGTCGTGCCTTGGGACACACGGCATGTCATCGTCACCCAACTCTTATCAGCTCGTGCGGTTGTGCCGTGTAGAACCTTTTGTCTTCCTAGCAAGTTTCAGAGTCGAGGAAAGTGTCCGTTGGCTGGGTGGCGGCCAGAACAGAATTCGGGGAGCGGGAATTCTTTGTTTGCTTCCCCCGAGGACGCGTTATGCGTGGCGTCTATTCGGCTAACCTAGAGGATACTTAGAGGAGGTTCAGGAGGGTAGCGAGCCCGTGGAAAGGCGAGAAGAAATTTCGAGTGCAGAGACGCGCAGGGCGCTCTAATGGCGGGTGTGTCAAGAGTGGTTGTGGCATGTGTTACAACTTTGACAGCTGGAGCAACTCAGTATGAGCACAGACAGCTTGTGGCCTGAGAAATGCTTGTGATGATCACAGAAGGTCGCAGATGAATTCAGGTGATAAAACAAGCCAGAGACCAATAGAACAGCAGAGGTCAGAATAATGCCAGCCCTTGAAGGAAAGTGGTTGCAGAGGGCCAGTTCCCGCAGCCGGAGCACCGTTCTCAGTGGGTGGCATGGAGGAGGTAGGGGATGGCTCGTGACAACGGCCCAGGTCATTGGCCCAATGGGGCGGGCAGGGGAAGGTGTAATTTGACAGGCTGTTTGGCCGGCCTCGGGGGCTTCTTACCTTAGTCCCATGCCGGGTAAGTGAAGACAGTAACTGTCCCCCACCAGGAAGGCTTTCGCGGGCTTATTGGAGAGGACCATCCGACGTATGGGTCCTTTTTAGCTGCAGCTTAGCCTAGCAGGCGCAAAGTGCCCTGTTCCTGTCTCTTAGCGGTGCCCTGCAGGCATCAACAAGCAGCTAGACCTGCACCTCTCCAACACGCTTGAACCGTTCCATGCTAGCTGGATCATCCCCTTCGAGCACACCGACGAAGTCTTGGGCAGCTTTTACCAGGGCAGAAAACCTTAGCATCGACGCCGGCACGGCCCTCGTTGAAGGGAAAACCCTCCTTGCTCTCTTAGTGGTTTGAAGGAGCAACCACACGGCCCCCCAGAGAACATCCCTCTTGCGCCTTGTCCCTCGTCGCCCATCTTTCTGTCAATTTGGTCAACATCACACACCTTGTTGACCACCCTCTGCGACCGCTGTGTCCAATTGCATCCTAAAGACCCTCCAAGACTTGCCATCTTCATGCCACATGCACATCAGTGAGGTCGCATGCTCCGGAGAACACAGTGATCGACCCTCCGCAGTGTTGGACTGTCCCATGCGGACAGCTTTTCCACCTCAATTTTCCTCCCTAAAAAGCTGCGACACCCTCCGTTTCACCGCCCTAGAAGCCAGAGAACAGTGCAGTATACGGGCTTCTGTTTTCTTGGATATCCAGAAGAACGCACGAGATTGCGGGAATACCAGCTTTGATTGGTTTTGTGCTCGACGGGTTAAGGACAAGCACAATCACACAAAATACACATCCGGCAACTGTTTCTGACCGCTGAGAAGAAACACCCCCGGAAAGACCAATAAACCCCGCATGAGCTGGCTATAGCCGTCTGAGATATACCAGTTGTCCCACTCTGCTGTGCTGGTAGATATGTCTCTACCCGTGCTCTCACGGCCTCTGGCCGACCCGCCGACGGGTGCGCTACCTCCAATTCCTACAAGCAAACCACCGAGGAAGAGTTTACCCCAGACTCCATCAAGACTGAAGGCTCCATCAAGGCCTTCAGCGCTACCAACACCACAGCCTGTTCAATCGGCTCCTGATCTATCGCCCGAGAAACCCTCAGGTATACCTTCCAGCAAAGGTGTGCGGAAAACTGTCAGCATTGGCTCATTTCCACAGCCACCCAATGCCGGTTCGCGTCCTCCCACCTCGGCCTCAATGGCGTCCACCACATCCACGAAAAAGAGAACCTCGGATGGAGGACACAGCATCCAAAACGCCTCTGTCAGATCCAAAAAATCCCCCCGAACCAGCGTCGCAGCCAGCTTTCGCTCATCTCAAACCCCCAGTCTATTGAATTCTGCCGGTGACGGAATGGCCATTTCGGCCAAGTTTGGAAAGAGAATATCGGACGCTCAATCCAGTGTCCATTCTCCTCCGCAAAGTCGGAGCTCTTCGGCCAACGGATCCTACTCGACCAGCGCGACCACGTTCGAAGAGGGCGAGGAGGATAGTCGAGGTCGCACAAAAGAATTGGACGAAGGCACAGCTGAATCAAAACGAAATTCTAAGGGAAAAGAGGTCAAAGGCAACGTGATCGTCAGTGTCCGCGTCCGCCCCGATACTGGGGCACAAAACAATGCTCAAACCGAAGGAGAATGGATGGTGGACGGCCGAAGAGGCCTGGTTGCATACCGCGGGAAAGAAGGCGGGGATTATCATCTCGACAACGTGTTCACGACCCACGATGATAACGCAAAAGTCTATGATGCCGCAGCCAAACGCCTAGTACGTCGAGTCATGGAAGGCTATCACGGAACAGTGTTTGCGTACGGCATGACGGGAACCGGCAAGACGTTTTCGATGCAAGGAACCATGAGCAGCCCTGGTGTGATTCCGCTGGCTATCACCGATATCTTCTCCTACATCAGAGAGACCCCGCACCGCGAATTCCTTCTTCGAGTCAGCTATCTCGAGATCTACAACGAGAAAATCCACGACTTGTTGGCTGTGCCCGTCGGTGGAGGCGTCGGACAGCAACAGGAGGAAATCAAGCTGCGTGAAGATAGCAAACGGGGTGTATACGCCACACCCCTAAAAGAAGAGATTGTGCAGAGCCCAACCCAGCTGCTACGAGTAATCCACAGAGGAGACACTGCTCGGCGTACGGGAAGCACCCAGTTCAACGCGCGAAGTTCTCGCAGTCACGCAGTGGTTCAGATCGTCGTCGAGAGCCGAGAGCGAATACCAGGGTCGGGCTCCTTGCAAGAAAATGGAAAGCGTGTGGCAATGCTGCCCGGCGGCGTGCGGGTTTCCACGCTGAGCCTGATCGATCTTGCGGGGTCCGAACGTGCGGCAGAGGACAAGGAGCGCCGTGCTGAGGGCGCCCACATCAACAAGTCTCTGTTGACTTTAGGGACGGTCATCGCGAAGCTGTCGGGCAACCGTGACAAGAACGGCAACCCTACAGACAAAGACGGGAAGCACCTGCCGTACCGAGACAGCAAGCTCACCCGGTTGCTCCAGCCAGCACTCTCCGGGAACTCGTTGGTCTCAATCCTCTGTACCATCCAGATTGGAGCCGGTTTGACGACGGCTGGCAGCAACCACACAGGTGAAACCCTCAACACCCTGAAATTTGCCGCTCGTGCAAAGAACAATATTGTCAGCCATGCCAAGCGAGCCGCGGAGGAGATGGGCAGCGTCAATGCCGGTCTCTTGGAACGATATAGATCTGAAATTGCAAACCTCCGGTCTCAACTGGAGGGTCAACAGAAGTCTGCCGCAGAGAAGGAAGAGCGGCAATTGGAGAAAGAAGCCGAGCAACGTCACGAAGAACAGATGCTGGAGATGCAATTGGCCCGGACGGCGCTCAAGGAGCGAATCGAGCACCTCAACCGCCTGATTCTGTGTTCCAAGTCCACTGGCGTTAACAGCGGCACAGTGTCGGCCTTGGGTATGCACTCACGGCTCTCTGGAGGGACCGAATTTGCAGGCCCACGGTCTGTACGATCGTCAGCCAGCCAGTCGACCCTCGGCGTGACACCAAGTCTAGGTCGACACCCATCGGTGGCTTCCCTGGGAGGGGTGGCTTCGGCTTCCGGACATCTTTCATTTTCGGGGATCCCGGACGAGGACGAAGAAGGCAGCGGCGATTTTGGCGACGGGAGAGCATCCTTGCAGTCCCAGGTTCGCGCTTTACAGGCCGATTTGCAGGACAAGACACGGTACATCTCGACCCTGGAGAAAAGACTGTTGCAAGCTCGGCGGTCCAGCCACTCTCGGGTGTCGATGGCGTTCAACAAACCCGCAGGCGACGACAGTGAAATGCAAAGACGGCTGGAAGAGAAGGATGCGATGATTGCGGACCTGCAGAAGACAGTTGCCGCCCTTCGATCTGCCGTGCGCAAGCGCGAGATCGCGGAATTGACGCCTGAGACATCGTCCTCGGAGTTCAAGCAGAACCGCGCACAAGCTGGACATCAGAGCAACAGCAGCAACAGCAGCTCGCAGCTGAGCGTTTCGACCCAGCCAATTCTATCTGGTGGACCGCGATCGCCCCTGACGGCGAGTCCAATGACGATCCTTTCCCCTCAAAAGGCGATGGACAAGAAGCGCAAGACGGTGGATGAGATGTCGAGGATGCTTGACGAGATGATCCAGGACAAGGTCGAGAGCGGACAGCTGAACCGGAGGTCTTCATCGGTTCGGGTGCCTTCGCGAGGCTCGTCGTCTGCGCGTCGGCATTCACGGCGGCTTTCGACGGCGGGCAGCAGCGGTGCTGTAGTGCCAACAGGACCAGGCATAGGAAGCATGGTGGCCTCGCTGCGAGAGCGGGACTCGGTGATCGAGGCGAAGGATTCGAGTTGAAGCAGAATTGGTTTGTTTTATTATCACGATTGACGACATGACCACCACCATTTTCCCTTTTTTCCTTTTTTTGGCGGAGTTTCCTTGAGAGGACAACCATGAAAAGGAGTTGAGACCGCCCAACAGGACGAGATCCACGGAGCATGATTGATTCTAATACGGGCGATGCGGCTGTTTGACCACCTATTTTCTGGGCTTTTCTTGTTCAGCACGTTACATTTCTTTGGAGCTTTGACAGCAATTCTGTTCCTTGAGCGGGACAATGTGGGATTTACTATGTTTAGCAGAATTCAGTGGGGGAAAGAAGGATATCCTCGAGGGAAGCGATTCCAGGCCAAAAGATGCATCCATGCCACAGAACAGACAGATACAGATACCCCCTTTCATAGACGTTGTTATAGGTACAAAGTCGTTTTGGGCAGACGGCGACGAGGCTGGCGAGGGTGGTTCCCTTGGTCCTCGTGTAGGTATATTATGCAAGATCAATCCAGTCTTCTCTTTGGTTTGCTCGGTACCCGGAACTCTGGAGATGATGGAGGCGATCTCTCGCTAGTGAGGCTCGGCCTGGGGCAATCGACGCAGCTGTGTCACTCGCAGGGGCTGAAGGAAACATGTCGGGTGTTTCAGATTCTGCACCATGGACCAGCGACCGGCGTCAAGCCTTGGGATCCTTGTATTCGATTTCCCTTTTCTTTTTCTCTTCCCTTTTGTTCCTCATGTCTTTGGTTTGATGCCCGCATAGCCCGCCGGAAGGGACTGCGGCTCGACAGCACCCACAAGTCCACGAAAACTTGGGGCCACAACATATCACAATATTAATAAATACTTTTGGTTGCTGCATCAATTCCAATCCTGCCTGGGGCCCTCTTTTTCTTTCTTTGCACAAGTTACAAGTCGCACGCCCCTCCGACCAGCTGCTGTGCATCTTGGAAGGGATCAGCGCTGTCGTCTTATTGTTTATTCTTATTTTTATCTGTGTCCGGTTTCTCTTTGTTCTTCTTTTCTCTGAACGGTCCCCTTTTTGTTCTCTGTTGGCTGTCACAGCTACATGGTCACTGAGCGCTGCGTCGCATATCTCGTCGGTTCATGTCATTAGACGCATAGACGCATAGACTTGCATCAGCATAGCGTTGGAATTTGGCGTCATATGTCATTGGGAATCACTTTTGCCTGCATCACTGAGCACTCGCCTGCTACCTGCGCCAATGCTTGAATGAGGACTCCTTCACCGAAACCGAGTCATGCCGAACAGCAACGCAAGAAGATGCTTCTGTCCAGCCGCGCCAGTCCCCCGAAACCACTGAGGTTCGGCGGTCCTGATCGATATCTCTCCATCAGACATTTCCTCCCCTCCACCCCAATCCCTTCGCCATCTCTGCCGTCCATCCTTCCACGTCACGGCAAGAAACCGCCAAAGCTCAACTCCCGCAAGATTGTCCGCAGTCTGGTCTGGCTTGCATTCATCATTGGCGTCTACTATCTCGTCTCTTTCGGGCGGAGGAAATCCCACAAGCTCGCCGAGCTGACCTTTCTGACCTCGCTGGGCAAGATCTATGAAATTGTCGAAGCTTCGGAGCTGCCTGACCATCCCACGCCGCTGGCTGTGACTGATGCAAAGGGGAAGCACCACTGGACGATATCCATCCCCCCAAACCTACCCTTCCCCCTTCCCTACACGGAATATGCCGACATCTGCTCGCAAGTCGACGAGGTAGCTCGCCACGTTGCTGGCCCTCGCCAGAAGTCCCAGCCAAGTGACTACTACCGGGATGACCCCAACTTCATCGACGTCCAAGAGGCACAGGTTCTGCACTTCCTCCCCGCCGAAATCCACCCGCTGCCTCGCGGGAACGAAAACAGTCTGCCCGTCTGCGAGAAGTCCCTGACCTACGTCCTCGATGCCGCCGACGCGGGCCTCGGGTCCACCCTCCTCGGTCTGTGGCTATCCTACGGCCTGTCTCGTCGTGAAGATCGCGCCTTCTTCATCGACGACACCCAATTCCCTTACGGCAAATACACCACCTTCTTCGCCTCAAAGCCCTCTCCGCCTTGCCGCCTACCTAGCCCCTCGCACCGTGTTCCGTGCCCACACCAGGCAAAACACCTCGTCGTGTCGGCTGCCACGACCAGTTGGATTTTTGGGCAGTCCTTCCACGACCACTTCTCTCAAAGGGAGATCTTTGATATGGCGAGGGAAGGGTACGAGGCACTCTTCAAGCTTCGACCTCAAGACGAGCAATATGTACTCAATCGCGTGGAAAAATTCCGAAAGGACGTCGATCCAAGCACCATCCCCCCACCCATTCCAGACGACGAACGCTTCGACGACGACGACATGTATGACGTCGCGCCCGAGAACGGCCTGGTGGGGATCCATATTCGGCGCGGCGACCGGCACCCTTTCAGCCTGACATACTCGCAGAACTACCTTCCCCCCGAAATGTACATGGCCACCGCCTTGAAGCTGGTGGGCCAATCTTCACAGTGGAAATTCCTTGTCGCCTCGGACGACGCGGACATGTACGATCACATCGATCTGCCCAACACGCTGCGGGCCCAAGAACGAATTTCCCTCGCATCCAAAAAGAAGCTGGCCAGCATGGGCCAAGGAGGGGGCCTCGGCTGGGAAGGCGGGTTCTTCAAGGACGTCTTCTGGGGTTTGGGTTTGCCGGAGGACGTCAAGGAGCGGAAAAAATGGGGCAGCCCGATGCCCATGAAGGCCAAGCACAGGTATGGCGAGAAGGACGACGACGGACGGGAGAAGCGAGTCCATCATCACGGCGCCAAACATTCGAGCGGGCCGCGGAAAGATGGTGGCGATGATGATGTTGCCGACGTGGCCCTCCTGGAACGTGATTACCGGACACACCCAACCACAGAAGCCCTTCAGCTGAGAGAGCTCCTTGGTCGAGCGTACCTGTTGGACTTGGCCATGTTGGCCCAGAGCGATAAAGTGGTTTGCGGCGTGTCGGCCAATGCATGTCGCATCCTGGCCGTGATGCTGGGGTGGGAGAGGAGTTTTGAGAGGAGAGACTGGAATAATGTAGACGGAAGTTATCAATGGCGGGTTCTGGACTATTGAACTCGAATGTCCCGGAAGAATGTCATTGATTATCAAGCAATCCACGATCTGAGGGCCCTTCGCAGTGAATATTCCGAATTTCCCAAATGTTGGCATAGCGCAAACCCATGTAAAGAAACGACAAGGTCAAATATGAAGCGCTCTCGACCACGCAGGGGTCACTTTTCCACGTCAAACGGCACGGCTGAACCAAACCCACTAAATTCATAGAGTTGAACTGCACCTCTGCCAGCGTCCTGATGCCTGTCTTCCCATGCTCATTTGCGGCCATCAAATTTCGGGCATACCGACCGAAACACTCGGGTCTATGCACCCAATGCCTCCATACCATCTAGCCTTGCCACATTCCCGTCTCAATTTCACCCGACAGAGTAACACCAGGGCGATAAACGCAGCACTCTGCGGCTGCGGGGTCTGCGAAGTCGGTACGGTATAGGGTGGGTGACGCTAATGTGTACCGGTGTGAAACAGAAAGCACGGCAGTCGACAACATAATAGTAGTGCACATGATTGAATGTTGGGGCAAGGTTCATGGAGGATACGAAGGGTCTGGTCACTTCTCGAATTTGCCGTGAGCCTGCGGCTGTATGAGGTGTCGTGGGTGTAAATTGGTCGAGGTCTGTGACAGAGTCAGAGGCAGGCTGGGACGTCGTCAGACCATGGCGAGGTGGACGGAATTAGCACTCACCCACCCCCTTTCGCAGTGCCAAAGCAATATCTTTCGCGACTCCCGGTGCAAGTGGAGCAGATACGTGTGTAGCGTTTCATGAAGCCATGCTATGTCGTGCTTCTGGCATATAGTCGTACTGGACGGAAGTGGACGAGTCCCATCTCAACCAAGACCACCCCGAAAACGAGGCAGCTCACGACTTGTTGAGTTCCAGTTCCTGGGGCGGCGGCTTCTGTGCCCACCACACGTCCCGCATCGACGGTCGTCATGAGCAGCTCTGACTCCGGGGCGAGCACTCACTTTCCAGTTGAAGAAGAAGAGGCAGAGCCCGGTTCGCTTGTGGCGCATGCACCGGCGAGTCTGGACGATACACTCGTGATAGCAGGAGCACCGGTCGCATTTCTCATAGACGTATTGGTTGTAACACATGATGAATGCACGTGGAAGTGGACACGGGGTTTGTAGGAGGGGGAAACTGGTTGAAAAGGTTGGGAGATGAGATGAGACGATGAATCATCAGTATCGCGTCGGGAGACTTTGTATGTGGAAGGATGACACTGCTTCCAAGACAGGATCTTCAACCGTGACTGCTTTGGGGAAGTGTGACTGACACCGCTCTTTGCCCTTTGTTTAATCAACTGGGATGGAATGGAATGGTCAAGATGGGCGAGGGCAAGGCTCTCTCCCGCTATGCAACTGCCATGCCACCGTCCTGCCGCCCCTTGACTGGCTCGCTTCCAGCCTCTACGACTGCCTCGGTTCATTTTCTCGCTTCCTCGTGTTCCCACCAGCGATGCAGGTCGCAAGCCACGCGAATCGACACCAAGCTCCAAACTGCAGTTTCGTCCGCGACCGTTCTTGGGAAGCTCCGTCTCGACTCGGACCAAGTGTTGTGCTTGGTTCTGGCCATATAATGGATGGTGGGCGGACCTTGAGATCCATGGCGCGAAGCCCTTGTTGTCCCTCTCCCACTCCTCCATAACTCGAATCCGTCCATCCGCTGTCTTGCGACCATGGCTCTTGCCTGTAAGTGTACTCCCCATCGATCTACATAAGACTACGTCACAGGCCATTGAACACTGACCGCTGCAATTCAACCTCACAGTGCCAGCCTCCACCGCAGCCCTCGCAGCGCCGACTGCTTTGGCCGGACTAGCCTACCTCAATGCCCGCTGGCGAGTCTCGGTCGACTTGGAGCTCATCCTCAGTTTACTTGCGTCCCAGAGAGCCTTTGCAAAGAGAGAGGCAGCAGATCGGGCCAACTCCTTCTACCTTCTCGAAGGGCATGCGCACAATCCAAAAGTCGCAGACAAGGCCTTCATCATCTACCAGGGCAAGACATGGACCTTCAAACAGACATACGACATGGTACTGCGCTATGCGGGATACCTGCACACCACTCACTCTGTCCTTCCAGGCGAGATCGTCGCCATGGACTTTATGAATTCCCCTCAATTCCTCTTCCTGGCCATGGCTTTGTGGTCCTTGGGCGCCCTGCCGGCCTTTATCAACTACAACCTGACCTCGACCTCGTTCGTCCACAGCGTGAAAACCTCCTCTGCGAGACTGTTGATTGTTGATCCTGAAATTGAGTCCAAAGTCCTGACCGAGGAGACGAAGAGCGTTTTCTCTGCCCCCAATTTCCGCAACAACGCGTTCCCTCTGGAGGTGGCCGTTTTGACCACCGGCCTCCAATCGTCTCTGAAATACTTCCCTCCCTACCGTGCACCTGACTCTGCTCGATCTGGTGTGGTCGGCCGTGCTCCATGCGTCCTGATATCGACGTCGGGGACGACCGGTCTTCCGAAGGCGGCAATCGTGCCTTGGGACCGTACGGTTGTTGGCTCCGGTCTTGTTTCGCGCTGGATAAATCTTCGCCCCGTCACATCATCCAATCCAGACAGGTATTACACTTCTATGCCACTGTATCACGCCTCCGCCTTCCAACTGGGCTTCCACTGCTGTCTTATCCGAGGGTGTACGTTGGTGCTGGGCCACAAATTCTCCGTCTCAAACTTTTGGGACGAGGTGATCGCGGCAGACGCCACGGCCATCCAATACGTCGGAGAAACCCTGCGTTACCTGCTCGCCGTGCCACCTCAGGCAGATGACCGCACAAAACACAAAGTGCGTCTCGCGTTCGGTAACGGCCTTCGACCAGATGTATGGGACAAATTCCGCGCACGGTTTGGAGTTGAGACGGTGGCCGAGTTCTATGGCGCCACCGAATCCGCCGGCGCGAGCTTCAACATCTCACGCAACACTTTCTCGTCAGGCGCAATAGGCCAAGCTGGTCTTCTGGGCAGTCTGCTCATGAAGTTGAGGCAGACCATCGTCAAAGTGGACTGGGAAACAGAAGCGCCTTACCGAGATCCCAAGACAGGGTTTTGTATCCCCGTACCTCGGGGTGAACCAGGCGAACTACTCTACAAGGTCGACCCTGCAGACATTGGTGCCAAGTACCAAGGGTATTTTGGCAACAAGAAGGCTAGTGACTCCAAGATCTTGAGAGACGTACTGAAGAAGGGCGACGCTTGGTTCCGTTCGGGAGACGTGATCAAACTCGACAGTGAAGGACGCACCTGGTTCATGGATCGAATCGGCGATACCTTCCGTTGGCGCAGCGAGAACGTGTCCACCGCCGAAGTAGCCCAGGTCCTGGGTGAACATTCAGCTGTTCTTGAAGCGAATGTCTACGGGGTGGCAATACCTCATCACGAAGGCCGCGCAGGGTGCGCCGCTGTTTTGCTCAAAGACATCAGCTCCAGCACGACGCCTGTTCCAGAAACTCTACTCGAAAGTCTAGCCACTTACGCGAGGAACAGTTTGCCTAGATATGCGGTGCCCGTGTTTCTTCGAGTAGTGACGCAAGTCATGGCGACGGGAAATAACAAACAGCAAAAACATGTCCTCAGGCAGGAAGGAGTTAATCCGGAAAAGGTCGGCGAAGACAGGTTGTTCTTCTTGAGGCCAAACAGCCAGCGCTATGAGCCTTTTAAGAAGAAGGAATGGGAGACTGTAAAGATGGGAAAGGTCAAATTGTGAAGCGATCATCGAGCTAAGAGAAGGTAAAGCACAGAGTCAGTGGGTCGTGTTTCCCAGCGGGAAAGCTTGATTAATCGCATTGGATGTGGTCGCAACAAGAATTTCCACTTCGATACATTGTCCGGTGGACAGAAGCTCCGACCTATATACATATTGAATGATGATACCCTGGAGTTGGGCGAGTATGGAGGAAATAAATGACCGACGTGCACGGGCAGACACGATTTCATGACCATTTCGGACGATATGGACAGGGCAGTAACAGGGCGTACAACATGCATACACGGATAGTGAGCCGCGAAGACGCAAGCAACCTGTACCTGAAATGTAATCAGCAGCATTAGAGGCCACTAGAGGGGCTATCAGAGGCCATCTGGGGAGAGTCGATCGAGCACACATCAATCAACAGCGCATTCGCATTTCACTATTAAAGCACCCAAGACGAGGAGTGTGGAATTGATCAAAGCATAGCATAGCATAGCATAGCGTGGCAGCATAATAACGAGAGCATTTTCAGACCAAGCGTGCATCAAACATGACAGAGACCAAACATGGGTGCGTTGCGCGGCGCTGCGCCCCGCGTGTATATCAATCAATCGTATCCTGAACATTGCGTCGTGCCCTCGTAGTACCGTCCGTTTTCGCTTTCCCACATGGTACCAAAGACAAAACAAAGAAAGGTCCCTTCCTTGCATGAGATCCGTCATACATACACTTGCCAGTCATTTTGGCCTGTATGCCCTGGTTGCATTCTGGATTCGCCATCTCCCCGCGGATCTCTCCTTTTGACTGGTATGAGCCGGCCCTGCTCCCTTCTCTTTCTCGTCGTCGCCATTCCCACGGTGGAGCGATCTACAACTCCTCCGTAAACCTACTTCCCTCTCTAGCCTTCTCCTCACTCTTCTTCCCACTCATCGGACCCGCGACATCGACCAGTCGCGCCGCCCCGCTGTCAACCTTCGACGCACTCACTAGCCGGCCTTCGTCAAAGGTATCTCTGGCCTCTTCAAAGTCCTCCTCATCATCCCCATTCGTCTGCGCGTGCGTTAGTGCAGGTGTCGTAGCGCCTGTGACGGTTGTGTTTCCCGTTGCTTCAGTGGATGTGGTTGAGGGCTCCTGCACCTTTTCGCGCATAGGTTCCGTTTCGGCGAGGATGTGCTCGTCTGAATTGGCGTGACCTCCGCCTGCTTCTTGCGTCTCGCCTTGGCCTTGTGGTTGCGGTTCGGGTGCTGTATGTTCAGTGGTGGTTGTGGGTGGAACTGGGGCCGAGACTGGGGCTGCTGCGCTCTCTGAAGGTCCGGGCTTCTGCTTCTCCTTCTCTTTGTCTCGTCCAGGGATAACCTTCTTCAGAAATCTCTCCCGAAAACCTTTCCTGCCCCGGGGTTCCTCATCCTCGTCCGTCAGCGTGGCAAGTTGATCGAAGCCTGAGTCTCGCTTCGACCCGGCGTGTTCAGTCGAGTATTTGGAGGAAGCCACGTCTGCGGCAATCACGTACGGCTCTTCTCTTACCGACGAGGTGTCAGATGGAGGACTAATGTCTCGTTCATTTGCACCGCCAGTGGTGACTGCGGGGCCGGGCCCAGCGCTCTCATTGGGGATCGGTGAGACTCTTCCGTAGGGCTTGACAGATCCGCCGTACATGTCGTCCGTCTCGTTGTCGCTCCGGCCTGCGAGTGCAACATCTCGAATGGAATCCGTGGCGGCTTGGTCTTCTTCCTTGATCGGCTCGGCTGTCTGGCCAACCGTGCCTACATTTTCTCTTGGCTCCCCTTCAGTTGCCGCGGCGGGCTCCGGAAGTTCGTTCTCTGTTTTACTTCCCGCCCTGAATCTCTTAAACCAGGTCTTCACCCGCGAATCTCGCTTTGAAGGCGAAGTCGGTGAAGTCGAGAACGTCGGTGACGTTGGCGATGTGGGCTCCTGCGGCGGGGTGGTCCCGGAGTACGGAGTCGTTCCAATGTCGTCGTCCTTCGGCCCAATCTCCTCGTCTGCGGGCTGAATGGCCGTCGGCTCTTCGGCCGGTTGCTGAGTGGCCTCTGTGTCTGCCGCAGCCACCGCATGAGCGGCTTCATTTGGATCCAAGGTCACTTGGTCGTGCACAGTTTCACCGGCGAGCTCGCCATCTTCGGCCGTCATGGTCGCTGGGAGTGCAGTCGCTCCTGTCAGGGTTCTTGCTCCTCCTCCAACAACGTCTGCGGCGCCCTCGACAGCTGCAGCTGTTGCCGCACCTGCGGCAGCTCCAGCTGCAACAGCGCCTCTTCCGAGGAAGCTTGGGAGTGGGAGGAATCGAGTTTTGCCAAGTTCAGTCTGTCTCTTTTCTTCCTTCTCCGTTCGCCGACGCTCCCTTTCCGCGGCACTTGCCTCGCCTCGGGCTTTTTTCTCAGTGGCCTTTTGTTCAGTGCGCTGACGTCTCTCTTCATGCTTCTGCTCTTGCTGAACCCGTCTCTCTTCTGCTTTTTGTGCCTTTTGTTCGGCTTTTTCACGATCTGAGAAGAGTCAGCAAGTGATGGGCTCTAGAGTGCGATTACAAACTCACCGACGACCGCTTTTTGTTCTGCTTTGATGTCTGCCTGCCGTTTCTTCTCGGCTTCTTGCTCGGCCTTGAGCCTCTCTTGTTCCAATCTAAGTTCCTCATCCCTGGCCCTTTGTTGCTCGGCTTTTTCGGTGATCTCGTCTAGGGTCGGTTGCAGTCGAGCTTTGGCAATTGCTTCAATCTCAGACTGCTCAAGATACTTGCCACCCCCAATGTGAACCTTCCCCACATGAAGCAACCTGTCGTCACTTTCACGCTGAGCCCTCTCTCGGGCCTGGCGCTCCCACAGCTCACGTTGTTGGGGGGTGGTTTTGCCGGTTTCGGAAAAGACCTTTTCATCCATTGCATTCATCCGAGCCGTCACGTTCTTGTGTGCCACTGCAAGCAATGCATCTCGATCGGCTTGTCGCTTCTTGCTGTCGACCTCGGCGAGCTTGCCCTGGAACAAAGACATTTGTGCCCGGATCTTGCGTGACTCTTCCAGGTCGGAGTCGGAGTCTTCTCGAATGTCAGACGTCCGCCGGCCGCGCCGTAATGTAAGCCGCGACCTAGGCGGCGCAGTCTGTTGTCCATAGTACTGCCGATACTCGGCGTGTTCGTCGTGTAGCTTGGCGAGCCGCTCCTGGGCCAATCTCCGAGCGGCTTCTTCTAGGTTTTCGTAGCGTGGCACATTGTCAGTGGTTGCAGGCTGATTTGCGGCGTCTGATTGTGCGCGCCGTCGGGCAGTGTATGCAGCGTAGTGACTCTGTGAACGGTGGATTCCCCTTGCCTCATCGATCTGAGCCTGCTGAATGGCGAACATCTTTCTGGCCATGGCGACCGCAGAGGCGCGGAGCATTTCTTGCCTTCTCCTTTCTTCCACTTCTATTGCGACCGGTGGATTGGATGTGTACATCTGTCTGGAGACGTTGGTCCTGGCCATATTTTGGACCCTGGCAGCGTCGGCGCCCGACAATTCGCTCGTGGACGGTGGGCTTGGTGATAGCGGAGGTCTCACGTTCTGAGATGACGTCGCAGCCTTGATGGCCCAGGCAGAGTGAACGGGCGCTGGCGCGGGTCGTGTCGGAGCGGATTCTGCTCGCCGTCTGCCACCCTTCAAGGATGCAGTTGCGGCCAAGAGTGCCTTTTGTCGCCCATCGCTCGACACGTTTCTCTCGGTGATGGGTGGGGGAGATTTGGGGTTCTGTAAGGCCGACGATGCGGCAGAATGACCCTGCTCTGTCTCCGGAGCCCTCCAGACGTCCACCGGTGCAGCGTCCCGATGGGCAGCCAATGCCGCCTGGGAACCCGCCCGGCTCAGTTCTGGCTTCCACAGAGGCTCCATTTCATAGTCTTTTGCTCGATAGGCAGCCGTGTTCGCGTGGGGGATGGCCCCGGGTGTCCAAAGCTGGATGGGTTTCTTGTTGGATTCTGCGAGGCTCGCCGCGGCGCCAGCGGATGCGAGTTTGACTCCGCCAGTGGAAGGAAACGAGGGAAGATCTTGAGCTCGCGCGTATTTCAGAGACAGCGCAGCACCTGGGGCGGCAGTTAGTTTTGCAACATGAATGCGAGGGGGTGGTTTTTGGAGAATCTGTGGATGGCGATCAAGGGCGGGGTTGACGCACTGGCAGCAGATAGCCGACCTTCCTGGTCGAGGACTGAAGAGGTGCTGTGCTTGGTGGTGGGAGTGTCTCGAGCGACAGACAATGCCGCAGAAGCAGCTACATACACCACGTCAGCTTGCCAGGAAGCTCGAGTCGTGCAAGAAAGTGGTTGACTGACCTTGGTCTTCAAGCTTGTCCGAGGGGGTGAAGCTGCTCGGATGGGGATGAGCATGGGCAACGCTGGCCGACATGCTTGGCCCCCCCTTGCGTGCGTTCTCGGGGTAATCGATAGGTGCTGGAAGCAGGCGGGCGGGCGGACGGTCGCGCAAGCAACAACGCAGTCAAGAATCTACCACGGCATGGAGAATGGCGGTTCTCGGTGCGGAAAACGAGAGACAGAGTGAGGGATAATACAGCAGAAGGAGCTCTGCTTGCATTTCAGATCAGCGGAAGAGGAATAAAACCAAAAGAAGAGCTGCAGAAGGCCCAGTGGCGTGCCGCTCGCTCATCAAGGTCCCCAAGGTTGCTTGGGAGGTCCAGGGTCGCCCATCCCATACGGCAGTGGAAACCCGTCCGTCACCACCGTCCACCGTCCACCGTCCACCACCGTCATGACCAAGAGCTGCGCTTGTGTATGTCATCCCATTGTCCCTATTACCACCTACGTCATGCCAATAGGATTCGAGGGAGAGTTGCTCCCGCTACTAGATAGCCCACCTAGAGACCCTTATAAGACCCTTATATGGGTGATCTCGCCTACATACAGTTTGGGTGGTGTGTCGGTTGTAGGAAATTCAGTTTTCCTACCACAGACGGTACTCTTTGTTTCTGGTTGGGGAACCGTTCATGCGAGGAGAGCAGCAAATGGAGGGGCAAAAGGCACACGATGCCGATAGCCATGGCCCATGGCCGTACCCCATTCTGGATCGGACCCGTCGCTTATCCGCCGCTCGATTATCAGTAGGAGGAGGAGGAGGAGGAGAGGAGAGGGATGAGGAGGAAGGCCAGCAGCTCGAGCTCTTGTGGCGCCCATGTGGTACCTTCCCAGCCATCTAGCTAGCTAGGCACCTAGGCCAGGGGGGACCGAGGCAGGGACCAAGGAAACTCACCGTTCTAGTTACCCCCCAGAGCTCCTTGGTGTGCCCCACAATGACATGCAGTGGGAAAGCAAAGTGGTGGATGGTGCGCCGCCGTCAACTTCCAACACCTTGTTTTTTTGCCAACCCGCCAGAAGTACCACTCCGTACCGTCTGAACTCGTCTCCACTCCTCCAACCTTGGTAGAGTCGGTCGCCATCATGGATTCTTCCCCTGCACCTCGGTTTGATAACCTGCTCAATTTTCGGGATGTGGGAGCTCACATCAACTCCATCCTGGGAGCTCGAGCTCTCCGGCCGGGTCTCCTTTTCAGGAGTGCACGACCAGACGACGCCAGTGCGCCCGACCGCGACGTCCTGGTCAACGAGTACAAGATCAAGACCATCATTGACCTTCGCTCCAAAACAGAACACATCAATGCCGCAAAGAAACGGGCTGAAGCTGCTGTGGTGGCACAACCAGCGGTGATGCCTTCGTCCAACGAGACCGTCGCTGCCCCGGTCCAAATACCTGGCATCCGATACGCGCAAATCAATCTCAACGGCAAAGGCTTTGAACGGCATCTCATCTGGCAGCTGAAGTACACCAGCTTCGCCAAGCTGGTGTTCTTGATGGCTTTGGGCTACCGAACAGAAGGGATATCGGTGCTGGGAAAGGAGTTGATGCTACCGCGAGGGCTCGTCGGCCTGGGAATCGACACCCTCGACCACAGCCACCCTGAGATCAAGCAGGTGTTTGACGTTCTCGCCGAGGACACAGCATGGCCTGTCATGGTCAACTGCACACAAGGCAAGGACAGAACGGGAATTATAATACTGCTGGTGCTGCTGTTGTGCCACATTGATATGGATGCCGTCAGCCAGGACTATGTCAAGTCTGAATCAGAACTCGAGCCGGAGAAAGGGGAAAGGATGAAAGAGATCGAAAGCATTGGTCTTGATGAGTCGTTTGCCAAATGTCCGCCAGACTTCTGCGAGAAGATTGTCCAGCACCTCGATACCACTTATGGCGGCCTGCCCACCTACCTGGTCCGAATCGGCGTGGATCCCGAGCAAGCCGATCGTGTTCGCAGCATTCTTAGGGTCAGTCCATCGTAGAACAGAATGCAACGCATTCCGCGACACGCAGAGGAACCTCAGAGGTACTTGCCTATTTTTCGTCGACGAGCGGGTTCATTGAGCCCCAGCATATTCTCATGACCAAAGCCAGCGCACCCATCCGACAAGTCGTGGCTGCCACCAACAACGGACAGCGCCGTGGTACAGCTCCCACTTGCCATGAGGACAGCTCAAGCGGAGATGGTTGAAGCAGTACAAAGAGCTTCCTTTTGTCGGGTTCTTGGAGGGGGACACCCTTTTATCCTGCGGTTAACTTGTACCGTGGTACAGCGATTCAGGCTCTGTGTCGGATGCACCCCAGAGTCTACACTTGCCCCATCCAGGTAATGGGGCGCCCTGCATGATAAAGGCTTGGTCAGCACATTGTCGGCAGTCGAGATACGGTGCTGACCTATTGTCCACACCCAGACGGGAAGTCGTCGGAGATTCTCTCTGAAGGGAAGGCTGCTAGCAGCTGCACAGTCATTCAAGCTACTGAAGCAGGAGCGGTCAGTGAGCGGGAACGGCTAGCTGAGAGACCAAGTTTTCTACGTCGCATTACTTATCAACAGCTAGGCTCTAGGAAAAGCTCTGGAGGAAGCGAGGTCAGATTGACCGATGCTTTGGTAAGATGAAGTCTGAGCATTGTGGTTGGATCAGCTAGTATTTCATATTGTACGACCGTGTCGCCGCCAAGTGCGTCTTTTTTGGATGGTGGAAATTCGGCAACGACAGACTCGTACTCGGTTCCCAAGAACGGGATGATCAGGGGAAAGTGAGAGATGCGCGAGAGGAGCCCGAGACTATGCCATGTCGTCATCTTTCTAGAGGCTCGGGAGGCCGCGGAAGATGCCAAGGTCTGACTGTGATTGGATGTCTGGCAGGTCCTGTTCCCCACCTTCCCATAAATCTCTCGCAAGCACCGATGACGTCGTGCATAACGAGGCGTCTGTCTTTTCGCCTTCACATCTGAACTTCACCTCTGACCGACTGGAATCGCTCGTTCCACTGGGCAGTGGGCAGGGGGCAGTGGGCAGTGGCTTATGCCTCGCCGTTATATCCGTCCATGTCCCTTCCCCCCGGACGCCGTTAATGCCCAGGGAGGCATGGCACACGAGCCCTTTCCGGATCTCGTTCCCTCCGATTCTGAGGCTGCGTCTTTTTGCTATATCGATGGGATCCGCTGTGAGCAGTCTACGCTTGACCTGGGCCAATCAGGTAGCCCTTGTGTGTCGTCCCCCATGCAAATGCAACTGGAATATCTCCGTCATTGCCTCACGATTTCCTAGAATGATGTAGTATGGCATGGTCGATCTCCGGTGACAACACGTTACTTAATCACAAGCATTAGCCTCCCGTGAGCGTGAGCGTCCCGCATTGAGTGAGCCCCGTACATATCGTTTCCTTCATATTGCCCTGCTTTCTCTTGTTGTCACCAGACGGACCTGTTCTTCGATTCCCTACTCGTACTCTCGCCCTCTGACTACTCCCCCCACCTTCGCCCTTTGGACCTCAACTCGGCCGACCTCTTTAGCGAATTTCCCCAACTACAGACCAACATGTGGTGGCTCAGTGCCTGGTGGTTCCCCGTCATCTCGGCGGGCATGTACGTTTTGTCGTCGCTCAATCCTGTTGACCATTGTCACTAACCTTCCTCACCCAGGTGGCTCGGCATGCTGCTGGCCATGTTCTGCTCCTGGGAAGCCAACGGACATCCTCACCTAGCGTCGATGAGCCCCAATCAACACATCGCCTACATTTCCGACATTGGGGCATTTGGGTTGAAACCACTCTTCATCACCGGCGCTGTCATCACCACCGTGTTCCTCGACCTGGGCTTCATGTCAGAGCGCTGGCTTCGGCACTATGGCCGGCTGGCACCCAACACCTCGCGCGTCCAATCCGCGCTCTCCAGCTGCGCCATCTTCTTCGCCATCGCAGGCACTCTCGGTCTGATCCTCCTGTCAATCTTCGACACCTACCATCACCACAAAGTCCATGACGGGTGTTTGCTCCTCTTCATCGGCGGATACATCATCTCAGCCATCTTCCTTTGTGCCGAATACCAACGACTCGGCATCCACTACCGCCAGCACCGCGTCCTGCGGATTTCTTTCTGGATCAAACTCACCTTCATCATCCTCGAGATCGCCCTTGCCATCGTCTTTGCCTCGACATCCTGGAACAACCACGAAAACGTGGCCGCCGTGTTTGAATGGATCGTTGCCCTCATCTTCACCTTCTACGTTCTCTCCTTCCTCCTCGACCTCTGGCCTTCGGTACGGTCGAAGCGCCACGTTCCTCAAGGCTGGAGAGAAAGGGAAGCGGAACTTGAAAAGGAGGCGGGAAGGAACGGCGGTCTACCCCCTCTTGATCAAGGACCGGCACCGATTACTACGGATCAGAATGCAACCACATATCAAAACGACGATTCTTCTGACAACCCCGCCACCCAAGGGTATCGTGGGACTAACATGACCGGCGGTCAGGGTTCCCACATCCAGTCCGCTCTCTCAAAATATCCCGCGGAACACAATGACCTCGGGCGGCAGAAAAGATGGGGTATCGGTCGATTCCGATTTTGACCTAGCTGTCTTGTCTATTTCGAACGCCGTTCTTGTACATTAATCAGGAGTTTGGAAACGAAAGCCGAGCACCACGGAAAGCGAAAGGCGATAATGAATCAAAAGCGAGGACTGGGAATTCTGGCGGTTCAACCACGGCTGGCTGAACATTTGTTCGGCGCTGGCGGAGATTTTGCAAATGAAGAACTGGGCGAGGCCGGTATTCGCCCGCCGACGATGACATTGGACATGACGAAGGATAAGACAAAATCTAGAACGCGGCACGACTTAGATACGTAATTTCTATTTCAACTGTACAATACGACCTCTGGTTTGACAACGAGTTGAATGGTGAGCCCCAGGCAAGAGACATGCCTGCAAACATTGCTCCGTGACTCTTCACCTTTCTTGCTCAACACGGATCCAGGTGGACGTTCTTGCCTTCATGATACATTTTGTTGCGGGTTCACTCCTCGACGTGTCGAAGAAGCCGCCCGCCATTTTGGGGGGCCGGAAAGACCTCGCACAGTCTTTCAAATCGTCGTTCCCTTCAGACTCGACCATCTATTGCTTTCACCTACCCTGGCATCAGCGCGACGACTCGGAGTTAGACAGCGATGCTTCTTCAGACCTGCCCATGTCAGAACGCGCATTCGTCCAGATGCATCTTCTTGTTGATTGACCGACGGGTGGGTGACTTGGAAGGCTCAGCCTACGCAGCCCACTCATCCGGCGAGTCAAAGGATGTAGACCATTACTGACTCCAGCAAGCTGCAGATGACCCTGCAACACCGGAGACTGTGGATTGGATTCATATCCTTCTATTTTCAAGCACTGTATTCCAGCCGAAGCAGTTGTGCAGCGATCCTCTCCGTCCATTTCGGGCAATCCCCGCGGCCTTTCTGGGATGAGGGATGATGCAGGCACGGATTTCAGGTCCAATCAGACGCAATATGGGATTTCTAAAGAAAGACACATTCACATGGATACTTCTCTGTTGACGGTGTATTTAAGAAGAGCCCGTGGTGTTGGGCTCGTCGCGGCGTCCTGTTGTTGCCAGCGCCCGTCGGGTCTCAAAGCTCCAAACATGCCTATCCAGTACCAGATCGGGCCGTTTCGAGCCCCTCTCCTGCCCGACGAGGAGAGCATCAGCTCGACTGCTCCATCGAAGCTGTCCCACCGTTCCGATGCCCTGCCAGACAGAGCTCCCTTCCTGCTCCGCACCGACAGCTTTGGTTCGACGATCACCTCGTCGAAGACTTCCTACCATGCCGAGCCGCAGCCCGTACGAGCCCCTTTCCACCTTCTGCGTACCAACAGTCGCCGTTCAGTCATTCCAGAGAAGACATCCTACCACTCCCTGCATGCGGAACTAGGGGACAAAAGGGAGGAGGACTTTTGGCAGCACACCCGGAAGTCGTTCTTTCTCAAGATTGGGGCTGTCTTTGTCTTGCTGCAATTGCTTTTCCTGGGAAACTTGTCGTACCTCTATGGATCTCTGTGGGGTTCGAACAGCCGCGTCTCGTCGTTGAATGTTTTGTGGTTGGACCTTGACGGTGGCGTGATTGGCGACTCAGTAAACAGTGCTTATGAGAGCCTTCAAGGCCTCGATTTCCCTTCGCTCGAGAAGCCTTCCGAGAGCGAACTGCATTCTGTCTCCGAGGCAGTGGACGCCGTCCGCTCGGGATCATACTGGGCGGCTTTTGTGGTCAACGCGAATGCTTCGGCGAGACTTTCCCGTGCCCTTACTGGTGGCCAGGCGGCGCAGACCTACCAGCCCTCTGATGCTCTGACATACATCTGGAACGAGGTTAGGTACCCTCCGTTCTCGGACGAAGCGTTGATGTCCAATTTCGAGCTGCTGGCGCAGGCTGCCGAACAGGAATATCACCACAGACGAGGCCAAACCGCACTGCGGAATCTGGACCGAAACAACAGCGCCGCCGTGCAGGTCCTGTTCCATCCGATCGGCATCTCCGCTATGAACATCATGGAAACCACAAATCCAACCCGGCTTCTGTACAATACGGCGACGATGGTGATGCCGGTGCTCGAACAATTCTTTTTTGTGTTGATCCTGAACGGACTCTCTGATGAACTGGGAATATACAAAAATGTGCCCGCTACCACAACTGGGATCTTCCGCGTGGCATTTGCCTTTGGTTACACCCTCCTCTCCGCACTCGGCATGACCGGGTACATCTGGGCATTCCGGGAAACATGGTCAGTGGACGGGAAGCAGTTTGGCCTGACATGGATGACCTTTTGGTTGCTTCACACGGTCCACTTTGTTGTCGTCGACACGGCGGCCGCGTTCTGGCCTGTCCCTGTCATGCCATTCTTTATTCTCACCTGGATCGTGCTCAACTTGTCGAGCTCCGTCAGCCCCCTCGAGCTCAATCCAACATTTTATCACTGGGGCTATGCACTCCCGGACAACGAGGCATATTCTCTTTTAACAGATATTTGGTCCCATGGTGCAGTGCCCGTGCTCCATCGCGCTCTTCCGATCTTGTTCGCCTGGCTGCTTGTTGGCGCAAGTGCAGCTATCTTTGGTCACTTTCGCCGCTGTCGACATGCTCGTCAAAAGTGATCGAGGGCCAGAAAAACAGAGCTTTTATCAGGGGTTGGAGTGGCCATGACAACGATATTAATGATGAAACGAACTTGAGTTGTATTGCTTGAATAGAGGAAGGGTCAGATCAATGTTGACATGGTTTTGGATCTGGCTTTAAACTTTGATGACAACAGATGTTTGATCCTCAAAGCATTCCGAGCTCTCTGTTGTATAATGACAGCCAGCCTCGGCCCACCAAGGCTCATGTAGAGATGAGTGCGGCACGATCTGACATGTGGTCGACGCCGAACCCAATCATTTCTCGACGCCACGCCGGGTCCTCCATCTATTAAGGGAGGGGAAGTCTCCATCTGCCTCAAGCCACTGTGGCTTCTAGGGCAAAAATGTCGACGTCATCGACCCGTGGCTCGTCATAGGCTGCGAGCAAAACGCAGGCACTCTTCGTGCCATTCCTCTCTGCGACTCATCGTTTGAATAGGTAGTCAGCCTGATGCGCGCCATTATTATTACCGTATGAACCTCCCCTATCCCCGCCAACTAGGTCATTGACCTGTCTGTCCCTGTGATTTAAGATTCCGCTCGCTGCCTAGCAATTCCAATTCCAGGTCCAAGCAAAGCGACCTCGAGTCTGGGAGGCCCAGGCTCGCCAGGTGTCTCGACATGTCAGAACTACCCGATTATTGTAAGTACTACCCAGCCAGGAAGATAAATTGATGCTGACTGGAAGGAGACTCCATACTCGAAGTTGCGCCCGAAAGCGACCAGGAAGCGATCAAGAGAGCTTACAAGAAAGCGGCGCTGAAGTAAGTCTCTCTGTCAGGGTCTGGAACGATGGAATGCCATCTCTGCAATCTCTGTTCTTGAACACCGACATTCTCCTTCATGGCTAACCGGCAACTGGCAGATGGCATCCAGATCGGGTTGCGGCCGACTCGGACGAGCGTCCCAAGCGGACGAAAATGTTCCAAAAGATCAATGACGCCTACTACACCCTCTCGGAGCCCACGAGGCGGCGAGAGTACGACGAAGCAAGGCGATTCCACGGCACCGCGAGCTTTGACGAGTCGGCCGATGAAGAAATACCAAGACCTCCTCCTCCCCAGGCGGGAGCGCAGTCTTGGTTCAACATGTTCGGCTTCGGCCGTCCCGCGGGAGACACCCAGGAAGACCAGTTTGCGAATGAACAGTTCAAGGGCGCGTTCGAGGAGATGATGCAGGAGGACGACCTGGCCGACGACACTCACACCCCCACCAAGCGCTTCTGGACCATCGCCGGGGGTATCTCGGGCGGTGTTCTTGGTTTCATCGTCGGCAACTCGGTCGGGATGGTCACGGGCGCCGCCGCGGGCAGCAGGATGGGGGCGATCCGTGACAAGCAAGGCAAGTCGGTCTACGAGGTGTTCCAGGCGCTCGACCAGGGCCAGAAAGCTCGCATTCTGAGCGAGCTTGCGGCGAAACTGTTCAGCGGCGCGATCAGTTGAGGGATGGGAGCGGGAAACTTGGTGGGTTTGCAGCTTCAGACGCCGGGATGTTTTTTTGGATTTGTGGTAAAAACACGCTCGGTGTTTTCTGGGTCACTTCGTTACAGCGCGGGTTCCCTTTTTTTTTCCCCCCCTACCCACCCCCCGACTTTGAAGCCACGGTACTTTGATCAAACCGCCAGGATTCTGCCTCAGGAAAAGCCCGGTGCTTATTGGCCATTCACGGAAAATACCCAGCGCTACGGGCATACAGGGCCCGAACAAGAAGGTGCCAAAGGCAACGGCCCCAAGACTGATCAAGCACCCTTGGATGATGCTGATAATACACCCCGGCTGCCTACAGGGTGAGGTGCTTAAGAGGTTAATCTCGATCGTCGGCTCGGAAGGACTGGCGAGATCCCGAATATAAGAGTGCCGGGGGAGCTGGAGTTTGCGATGATTTGTGCAGGGGTCGGTCCTCTGTTTGGGGATCGGCCATGGATTCAGAGTCCTACCTGAATCGACAGGTTCCGGCGGACAAAAGACGGGCTTTTTCCCCGATCGCCATCGAAAATCTGTGGCGTTCGGACCAAGTATACGTGACGAGCTGGCGTAGCGGGCCAGAATGATGGATGCGGCAACGAGGGGAGAATAAATGCACATAGATTGACAACACAATGTATTTTCATACCACATAAAGTCACCACGTCTCTTCCAGGCAGCCAATTCATAGGGGCTTGATAGAACCCAAGAGACCACCTTCACAAAAGCACATCCCCAGCTACATTATCGCCGAAAGTCGTCGACGTCGACGCCGTCGCCGCCGCCATCGTCGTTGAGAGGAGACCGGCCAACGTCCCTGGCAGACACACCATTTTGAGCACCGTCAGGAAGGTGGTCAAGTCTATGGAATGGGATTAGTTTGAGTCGGCCTGAAACCGAGAAACAACACTGCTCTACCAGGAAATGCGGAAACTGCATCCAAATCTTCCGGCCCGATCCTTTCTGGCAAATTCAGCTCCGTAGAGCTGGCTTGTGGCGGCCGTGCAAAAGGTGTTTAGCTCGGCCGAGATATTGACCTTGGAGCCCGTCTTCTTCACCCTGGCTCTGGCGAATGCCTTGTTGAATCTGAGACGCGCCGACGATGGGCTTCAGGCCGTCGTCCTTTTTAATGTCATTCTTGTCGTGGGCGTCCTCTCCGAGATAATCGTCGGTGTTGGCACGGGGGTCCCAAGGCGCTGGAGGGGTAACGCCAACCATCCAGTCTGGCACGTCGCGAGCAGCATCGCTACGTCCCACCAGATCTTTCCCGTCCAGCCCGGTGTTTTGGAATTGGAATTGGAATTCCGTGGCGAACACGGCCTCTTGAAGTGTCCACAGCCGTGACCACCAGACACTGTATGAGATCCTCGTGGCAATTTCTTCCGCGGGTAACCCAGCAGTCGTCGACTTCAGAAGCTCCACGTCGACAACGAGCACTTTGGCTACCTCTTCGTAGTTCTTCCCCATGGAAAGTATAGCACATCTCCTGGTCGCAGTGTTTTCTGGTTGCACCGGTACACAGAGCGTATGTATCCAGAATAGAACGTGGTCGTCAGCAGGACCACGACTGTAGAGGTCATTAACGCGGTTCTGCAGCTGGATCAGTTGACAAAGAGGTAGCGGATTGGCAAGTAGATTGCGAAACCCGTTGGCCCAGACGTGTGAAATGCAGACATACTCGCTGTCCGTACCCACATCTACTCGGGGTTGCTGTACACCGGAAGCGGATCGAGAAAGTGTCAAAAGCGGAGTTTTCCCCCCGGTTGATCAAGAACACACTCCCGCGACATCGACTCCTAGATGTGTGCAGTCACAGTCCAGGTCGGTATGCTGGCTTTCGTATGTCGCATGGTCGACTTGTAGTGCCAGGCACTCCGTGATCAGGCAATCCGAATGGTTCCGCGAGACGAGTCGGCGACCAACCGAAAGGGCGAAATACATCCCCAGACATGACTGACCTTCGTGGTGTCTTGCAACGTCTCTTTGCACCACCCTCACTCGTAGAGCTGATTTTCGATGACTTCGCGAGAACCCTGGAACTAGGCCAGGCGTGGCTCAAAATCGCTTTGCGTTAGTATTGCCCTTTTGGCGCACATGAGCGTCCTGTGAAGGATGTTGGTCGAAAGTATGACCGTATCTGATGGTGGAGTCCTATATCCGAGATACATGCTAAGCGCATCTACCACCGATTTGACTGAGCTGTCGGTGGCAACCGTGCAAGCTGATTCCTCGTCCTTGGGCCATTCATTGGCTGCCTGTTTCCATCGAGATATGTAGCAGCTGAGTTTCTTGAACTCACCACTTGGTCTCCGCGGTCGGTTATTCGAATGGAATCAAGGGTGTCAACTGGTATCCCTGTAACACAGTGTATCATGCCAAAATAGAGCCAGGCCTGTAGAAGCGAAGCCGCCTGCTTCGTAGTATTGCGCCCTCGATTAGTGAAGTCTCCGTCTAAGAATGAATCCCGCTCCCAACCTGTGCGAACAGGTTACGCTGTCCAATTTTGGTTGTCGTAGATGAAAGGGCAATCTTTCTTAAAACAGAAAGGGAATTTCTCCATGGGCAAATTCGGATGATGTAGTGGGCAAGTGGTCCATGGTCGCTGGATGGAGGTCGAAAACTCGGTTAATAACAGAGGCGCAAAGGTCGTTCGAGATGGTGAAGCCGCCAAGGTCCATCACTTCGGCCCCCGAATTTTGTCGCTGGTAATGTTGAGAAGCCTTGTTGTTGAAGGGAGACGCCTCGCTATTTCACACTTTGCTCGCTCAATTACGCCAAATGAGATGCAGCATTTGTCAGTCTCCATCATGTGCTTGTTTCATACTTCGTCTTGGCTCTCAACAACTCCCCATGCCGCCAGAACATCCAAGGCATCGGCGCCATTATCAAGGTGCAGAAGGCCAGGATCGAAGTCGCCCATCCCACGCCGAGTGCTTTGTAGAACTTTAGAGCAAAGAGGGGAAATGCAGCTGAAAGACCGTATCTCGACAACATGGCAGCACCAGCAGCTGATGCACCGTAAAGCGGCCCGTAGGCGTCGACCATGAATAGATTCATCGACGCATAAACCATCACAGTGGCGGTGAATGCCATACCCTGGAAAATTATCGGCACGATCCAATGGACTTCAGCGTGTGCTGTCCATGCAAATATCAACAGGCAGCCAGGAAGAATGAAGGATGCGATCATGCTCGGATAAAGGCGATGTTCCGGCGGAAACCGCTCGTCAGCTCCCGAATTTTCAGCGCGAAACTGTTTCAGGCGCGGTTGGTAGATGTACGTGTCGACCAGAATTAGCGGACAGGGCGCAAGAGCAGTACCCCCCATCAGACCAAGAAATGACAACGACTGGCCTGTCAGCGAAAAGCCGTAGTAGCGTTGGAAAACCCAGGGCGAAGCGACGACGAAGGTGTACATCAAGCCAAAGAGAAAGCCGTTATACAGGCATACAATGGTGACGATCGGCTCGGTTACCAGCATGTGGATGGGGCGAAGAAACAGGGTTGTCAAGAAGTATCTGATTGCGGCAGGAATTGACCGGCGTTGTTGAGGTGGGCCTTGGACATGGAGCCTCTTGGCTCGCCGTTGAAGGATGGTCTTCTTATAGGTTTCCTTGGTGAATATGATCGGGATGTAAAACGTGACAATGAAGAAGAGTGTAACCCATTGTGTCCAGCGCCAGCCTCTGGTCTCGACAACGAACCCTCCGAGGAGAGGCCTATGTGGGAGTTAGCATTAATATTTCTATAAGTTAGGTAGGGGCATACCCAAATACTGCCCCGAAGAAAGGTATAGAATAGTAGAATGCTAACGAGACAGCCCTATAACGTCCAGCGGTATAGTCAACGATGGTGGCCGAGGCATTGCTGATCGCTGGCGAGGCAAACACTCCGGCAAAGAATCTACAAACAATCAATGATGCCGGCCCTTGAGAAAAGCCTGCCCCAAGAGTGAAGAGAGCGAATATTGGGGTGGTGGTCAAGAAGACTGTTTTGCGACCGAACGTCTCGCTCAGAGGAGCTCCTATCGGAGGTCCAAAAGCCAGGCCGAAATTATACATCGATAGAGGAAGGATGGCGACCTCGTCCGACACACCAAATCGCCTTGAGACATCCTCATGCGCTGGACTGTAGAGTGAGGCTGCCAGCGTGCTCACAAAGGCTAGAAAGGTGACGGCCAATGTGGAGGATATTCGGCGGAGCAGAGAGAAGTTTCGAGGGTTGTCGGGATCACTAGGTCCATCCCAGTCTGTCGCTGTGCGAGTGCGCTGTAGGACGCCTCTGTTGTCAACTTCGAGCTGTTCATGCTTCGCCATATTCCCATCAGATGTGGCGAAGGACTTGCTGCTCCATATTGTGAACAATTGACAAAAAGGAAAAGAACCCTCTCCAAAAAAAAAGGTGATATCGGACAATGAACCGAGTTCTCCTCCGTACACCGATACCTGCTGGCCTTTCCCCGCATATCAGACGGTTAGATCGGCTTCAAACCTACCTATGACGAACCACCGGAGGCTCTCCGACAAGTACCTAACCAGCTTAAGTGTATGAACAGCATGAGGAGGATACAGGTCGACTGAGACTGTGCCTGAAAGAGATTAGACGATGGCGGGCCAATGAATATTGCGTTGATCTGAGGTAGAACGACGATTCGATACGATATGAGTGGGCAGAGGGATGGAGGAGTAGACAAGGCGTCGTCCCCGGCTGTTCTTCGGGGCTGCACGCGCCCAAAAATCAATTAAACGCGTCGAGGAACGCGTCGACGCGTCCACCCGCAATTCTGGCACTGACACTGCCCCCTCACCCCTTAGCACTGCGGACATTCAATGCGCAACTTCTTTCCCTCCCTCATCAACACCAACGAGCAGTCTCAACAAGATTGTCCAGCATGGCCCTCGACTCCCGCTCCGCCTACTCCCTCTCGGTCCTTCCTGCGCACAACGATCAGCTCGGCGAACCGCGCACCGAACTCCAGCAAAAACTCAGGGATTTCATCCTCGCATTCCAACTCGACGGCGTTTACATCTACCGGGACCAGCTGCGACAAAACGTCCTCGTCAAGCAGTACTACTGCGACGTCGACCTTGCCCACCTGATCTCGTACAATGAAGAGCTGGCGCACCGGCTCACGAGCGAGCCTGCGGACGTGATACCCTTGTTCGAAGCGGCCTTGAAACAGTGCACACAGCGGATCGTGTTCCCGCACGACCGCGACATCCAGCTTCCGCAACACCAGCTCCTGCTCCACTCGAGCGTCGCGCACATCTCGATCCGCGATCTGACTGCCGTGAACGTCTCGCACCTCGTCCGCATCCCGGGCATCATCATCGGCGCGTCCACGCTGTCGTCAAAGGCTACCCTCGTGACGATCCAGTGCCGCGGCTGCGAACACACGCAGCAACTCCATGTCGAGGGCGGCTTCTCGGGCATCACACTGCCCCGCCAGTGCGGGCGGACAAAAGTCCCCGGCCAGGAGTCGGGGGACCCGTGTCCCTTGGACCCCTATTTCGTGGTCCACGAATCCTCCCAGTTTATTGATCAGCAGATCATAAAGTTGCAGGAAGCGCCAGACCAAGTCCCTGTGGGTGAATTGCCGCGCCACATCGCAGTCTCTGCGGACCGTTACCTGACGAACCGAGTCGTGCCGGGATCGAGGTGTACAGTGATGGGCGTATTTTCGATCTATCAGCAGAACAAGGGGAACAAAAAGGATAGTGCAGTTGCGTTAAGACAACCGTATTTGAGGGCAGTGGGCATTCAAACCGACGTAGATCATACAGCCACTGGGGCCTCATTTTCAGACGAGGAAGTTCAAGAGTTTGAAGAAATATCGAGATTACCCGATCTCTACGAGCGATTCGCGCGGTGTATTGCTCCGTCAATTTATGGAAACGTGGATATCAAGAAAGCCATTGCATGCCTGTTGATGGGCGGCTCGAAAAAGATTCTCCCAGACGGCATGAAACTGAGAGGCGACATCAATGTCCTCCTCCTAGGTGATCCAGGTACGGCAAAATCTCAACTCCTCAAGTTTGTCGAAAAGGTGTCTCCCATTGCGATCTACACTTCCGGAAAGGGCTCATCGGCAGCTGGTCTGACTGCCTCGGTGCAACGAGACACACAAACACGAGAATTCTACCTGGAAGGAGGAGCCATGGTCCTTGCGGACGGTGGTGTGGTCTGTATCGACGAGTTTGACAAGATGCGTGACGAAGATCGAGTGGCAATCCACGAGGCAATGGAGCAGCAGACAATCTCCATCGCGAAAGCTGGCATCACCACCATCCTCAACGCCCGCACATCGGTCCTTGCGGCTGCAAATCCCATCTTCGGGCGCTACGATGACCTCAAATCTCCAGGAGAGAATATCGACTTTCAGACCACCATATTATCTCGTTTCGACATGATCTTCATCGTAAGAGACGACCATGATAGAACTCGCGACGAAAAGATAGCAAAGCACGTCATGGGTATCCACATGGGCAACCAGGGCGTTGAGGAGCAGGCCGAGGTCGAAATTCCCGTGGAGAAGATGAAGCGGTATATCAGCTTCTGCAAGTCGTAAGTGGCATTTGTTCCCCTGTGTGGATTCATGAACAACCAACTGACAACTTTTTCCAGACGTTGTGCCCCTAGATTGTCACCCGGCGCAGCAGAAAAGCTCTCGTCGCACTTCGTCTCGATTCGGAATCGAGTAGCTCGAGCCGAGGCCAACAGCAATGTCCGATCCTCCATTCCTATCACTGTCCGTCAACTTGAAGCTATTATTCGCATCACAGAATCACTTGCAAAGCTCACCTTGTCAGCCGTGGCAGAGGAACACCACGTCGATGAAGCAATCCGTCTCTTCCTCGCCAGCACCATGGACGCCGTCTCTCAAGGAGAAGGTGCTGGCGGAATGAGCGGAAACAGAGAGCTGATGGAAGAAGTGAGCAAGGTAGAAGAAGAGCTCAGGAGGCGGCTGCCGATCGGCTGGAGCACGAGTCTCGCCACTCTCAAGCGGGAATTTGTTCAGGGGCGAGGTTACAGTGAAGCAGCGTTGGCCCGCGCTCTCCATGTTCTGCAGAGAAGAGAGACGGTACGGCTGAGAAACGGTGGCAGTCAGGTATATCGAAGTGGAGTCTGATGGAGACCTGGAGTTGGTGTTTACGAAGTGTCACGAGTACGTCCTAGTGTTAGCCAACTTTGTGGCTTTGTGCAAAAACCCTGTTGTCCTATTTGCTGGAAAGACTGGATTTTGAGATATAACGTAATGGATGAATGACCAGTTCGTACACCGAGTCGTGCGTCCAGGGGCCTCCAAGCGCCCGACTAGTGGAACCATGAGCCGAAGAAGAAGCATGGGGGATCAGAAAGTTCCAAATCGAGTATTTCTGTTCTCTGCAGTCCGGGGATGGATCGATCGTATCCCAGTTCGGGCACCAGCAAGCCGATCGGCCTGGTGACTTGATTTCCTCCTTTTCAACAGACCCATCTTTCCACATCGACAATGTCAGATTGGTGGGATGACGCGGCGGCATGGCCCAAGTGAGGAAGGATGGCCGTGACCAGACTGAGAGTGCTCTGCAGCGATAGATCGGATCTATGGTCGTTGTAAGCTAGCATCATGAATCTAGGGGGTGGGCCGGACGCCGTCACGGGGATGTCACAAAGTTGGTGCGGCAAGCGACTTCGTATGATATCCGGTAAGCGACCAATGCGGATTGCGCCATCCCAGAGTCGTCGTGTGGCGGCTTGGTAGTCCAAGAAGCTGAGCCATGTTTCTCCTCCCCCACAGGGCGCCCAAGAACAGAGAGAGCTTCTTGAAAGCCAACCCTCTCGGCTGAGGTTGAGGCCGCCCAGGGACTAAGTTGCCTCTAAGATGAACCCGTGCTTGATCCACTTCAAGGGGGTCGTATGTTGCGGAGCAGCCACGCCGTACACGAACATCATTGTCGAAGGAAAATCAGATTGGCAGTGCACGAGCCAAACGTGCAGCAACTTTGTGCATCCAAAGGCCCAGCTGTGCGGCACCAGGGTGAGACAGTAACTCACTCGAGCGTTGGCGAGTGATCCCGTCAAAAGCCATTAACCGGAGAGAGCATGAATGCTGCAGGGCATCAACTTGGGCTCGGTATTTGGTCGGGCTTGACAAGTCACAAACAGTCTGCTTGGTGGCAGGGGCCATGACAGGGGCAGTATTTGTGGCGCACAAAATGACACTTCGGATCTTGGACCGTGCCTAGGTGACAATCATGATGGAAGCCACCTCGAGGTTGGACATTGATAATAGGTCCCCAAAGCGAGAGAAACTAGTGAAATGGGTCTTCCGTAGCCCAAGTAGTGCATACGAAGTTTTGTCTTTGTCCGCAGAGGGCGTTGCGAGCGAATTTTAGGCCAGGCATCGCTCACGCTTGAAGGTAAGTGATGTCGACGGTGCATATTCCGACAGTTGAACGGGTGCGAAGATGCAGGGGATAGCTCGATCTTGAGAGAAGTCTCCGACACGGAGGGGTCCCGCAACGGCATAGGATGGTTGAAGATTTGAAATACCAGCAACTCCATTGGACTTGGTTGCTCGATGTTCAAAAAGCGAAAGGAAGCGAATGGACGTGCAGATGCCGATCACACAGTCTTCCCAGAACCAAGGGTCTGGCACCCAAGGCAGAGGCTCCCGAAGCGCCCTCCTCTTGGAATGACCCAAACGCATGGCATCGACCAGGGAGGAGGTAGGGAAGTCTGAGCGGGGCGCCGGGGTGGACAGTAGGCAAACATTCCAGGACGGGAAGGCGGCTATACGAGGCAACCTGAGGCGATTGTGTGACTAGGAGGAGTGTCACACGGGATGAGGATCGGCGGGTGACGCACAGGCGTAATCAAGAGGCTCATCGAACAGCCTGATCGCGCAGTCGATCTATGAGTGCAGAGTCGCGCACATCGGGCGGGAAGAGGGCCATCTAACAGAACAGAATTCGCAAATTGACGTAAGCGAGAGCATCGACAACTGACAGGGGCAAGTGAGATGGGAGTGCTGTACGGAGTACGCAGTGTAGCGCAATGAACAGAAGGCGAGCAGGGTGTTGAGATGGTCGTGGATGCTCGGTCTACAGGCTGCGGGCATCTGAAGGGCTTGATGCCAAGCCCAGCTGGAAGACGTCACGGTTGGTTGGGCGGATTACAAGTTCGGGTTAAGCATGGCGAGGAGCCGGTTGCACTCAGATTGGGGGGGGGGGCTCGGGGGCCTGTTAGGAGGGCACCCGAGGGGGCAGCTACCAGCCAAACTTTAAGTATAGGAGGGCTAGCAGTGGGCTAGTCAGGCCAAGTAAGGATGTGCGTAGCATGACCATTCCCGGCATGGGTCCTGCTTCGCTAGCTAAAACTGCTGCATTGGGGCGTGCAGCGGTTCATGGTTCCGGCGTCCGATTCGTGAACCTATTGAATCATTTTTCTCGGATTCACCTCAAACTGTCTCGTAACCTCACACCAAAGCCCCCCCAAACACCTTGGGTCTTCTCAACAGATCACCCACTCCCCGTCTCTGTCGTCCCCCCGTAAACAGCATCCAGTATCTTGCATTGAGCCCGGCCCCTCGCATTGCCCCTCGCTCTGGCTTTCGGCTAATCCCACTTGAGCTTGAGCAAGAAAAACGATGCATCAACTGCCTGCAGGAGGGCCCTGATCAGATGGCGGACCTATTTCCTTTCCTCGACCAGCATGCATAACGGGGGTTGCCTCATTCCGTGGGGTTCGCGCGGTTCCGCTGAAGCATTTGCTCCCCTGGTCTCCTCCCTACCCTCGGCCAGCTTAGCTGCGATACATGTTGGCGGGATGCTGGGGTTTGCGCGTTGTCGCCTCGCAAGAAATGAACCACAGGCGGTCTGCGAAACACGAGTTCGTTGATGATTGCAAAGCAAACATGCGGGACAGTCCACCCCAAGTACACCGCTCTGCATTCTATTTTGGTTCGCTCTTGCATCCTACGTCCAGCGCCCTAAGCTAAGTCCTCTCGCCGGACAACCCTGATTCCTTCCATGATCCCACCATGGGAGCCGGCAGCACAATGGTGACGGCCTCATGGCAGGTTACACCAGATCTCTGCTCCCCCAAGCATATTCTGTGTAGCAGACCAACCCGTCAAAATCCCTGTCTCCGAGTCGATCAGGTCCCTGAACCCCAGGCCCAGCTGCGAGTCAGTTTAAATCGGGGGTCAGAGGCCAATCATGGGGCAAACGCGTTGAGTCCAAAAACCAGGGACCAGACATAATCCACAGTCCGCCTTCGAATCATGGTCGCCAAATATTGCAGAAATGTGATGGTGTGTGAATAGAAGCCTAGGGGAGATACGTGACCCTGACTGACCCCGAACACACGGCTAAGATCCCACAGCCGAATGGGATTTCCTTGTACAGTCTTTCATTTTCTCTCACACACTCAACCCCCGATCAGCAACCGCTCTGTCATTGCTACTACAGGCTTCAGAAAAAAGGGTCAGTATTGCAATGACGATATTGACAATCATTCTTCGTTATTGCAGCAGAGTTTCAGCCTGATGATTAGCCCGATCGCAGCTTCACAACATCGAAATCTATCAATAGTCAATATTCCCCAGGCAGATCGAGGACCAAGAGAAAATGTGGCGCATGCCCTTGTCTCCTGTCTTGTCCATCATCCTGCTCTCCCCCATCTCATTCGCTCCCTCCTTTTGGGCTTGCCCTTGCCGAAAACTGGTGGTCACTGGAAGAAAAAGAAGAAACATCTGCTGGTTGAGCGACTTCGTGAGCCTCCGGTGTTGATGTTCCTATTCGAGCAGCCTCCGTTTTGCCCATGCCCCTCCCTCCTGGACAAATCGACATCCCTGCTGACCAGTAAGGATTGATAGGTCGCATTGCAATCGCCGAGCATGGACATCCAACCGCGTCCCCGTGTTTTCGCACTTGGTCTTGTGCCCTCCATTCCACTCTCAAACGTATTGGGACAAATGGCCAAAGCTGAACATAGTGGATGGATTGCTCCATCACGCTTCTAGTGGATCGTCCGTAGAGGTCGGATGAAGAACCCGATTGCGTCTATCTTTCTTTGGGAGCACACCATCAACAATCCCATCCACCAGGCCCCAAAGCATTCCATGCACATGCATAGTGCCCAGAGCCTTATCCCAGAACATACAAAAGGTCACAAATTTCTCTCGAGAAATTTTCACGACCTTAAGCTGGGTCTGGTTTGCACATTCTCGAGGCTAATCTTATTGCCTCTGTATCAATAGCGATCGGAAACTTCAAATTGTACATTAGCCTCCTACCAGAAAGCGCCTCGCTTCATCGCCAGTGCCGTCCGCTGACACAGCCCAGGAACATCCAGCCTGATTCAGAGCACGAGCAACAATTACTACGACGCCTCGACCCGGAAAGATCTATTGCACATCTTAGTTGTGCTTGGGCCGCATTCCCCGCGGCGGTCATTTGGTACTCCAGATGGAACTCGCTGTTGCACCGCCGTCACGAGTCGCAGCAGGTGTTACACTTGGGACCCCCCTCGTGGTTACATTCTCGGGGCCACCACCATTGGCGGACGACAAGCGTGAAAATGGAGAAGCCTTTACACTGCCCGATCTGAGCGGAATATGGGTTTTCCTATCTCTTACATCACCGGATATGCAAGAAAGCCTGGCCCCTCCTCGTGAGGGTCTCTTGTGTGGGAGCCGAGCGGATTCGATACATACAATCGACGAGGAACAGGATGGCGAGCGGCCAACGATTGCGTACGCGACGTTTCCAGGTCTCAAGATCACTCAACCTGGGAGTTACCGCATCAAGGTCAACATTATTGATATGAATGCGTACGGTTCGAGGTCCTGGAACAAGTTCATAGGTTACTAATGATCAAATAGGACATTCGGGGCCGACAGTGGCGCCGAAGGGGCAGCTACCGTGTTGCCATGTCTTCATTCTCCAGTCTTTGAAGTGGTCGAAGCCAATGAGCACAGTGGCTCTGGTATATCCTTTGGGGCTCTTCATCAAACACTACGCTGACAAAGTCAGGGCCACATCTCGCGGAGACAGTCAGTCGGCTGAGGTCAATTGGTGTCAACTTTGGAGGTGAGGAGCAGCGATCGAGAATCTGAGGTTCGCAACAGCCACGGGCCTACAGCACCCACGGGCACCAGGAGGCATCGTCGTCATTCAACATGGCAATCGAAGGTTACCAGTATCCAGAGAGATCCTTTCTCAGGATGCCATTGACGGTTGGGAAGACAGAGGCGCGACGATGATAGGGCCTGATCCTGCTACTCCATGTTATGTCTCACCTTGCTTGAGTATTTTTGGCCAATGTATTCTCACTCTTATCGACTCGTACTGCAATTGACATGATCATTATTTAGCACATAGTTGCGAGCGAACCGTCAGGAACAGAGCTGACACTGTCGCTGATCAAATGCCCTAGCGAAACATAATCTCGCCTCCGCTCGATCTCGTGGTCCTTGCGCGATTCTGGCCGGGAGAGTTCGGCAGGTGGGACAATTAACGTGGGGACGTACGACGTTTATTGACCGCTTTGATGGGACGGGGTTTCATTGGCTTGATTCGTGGTAGCGACAGATCGAGAATAAGATCTCCAGTGTCAGAAGCACCGGGTCCTGGCTGTGTCTGGTCCTGGTCCTGGTGGCTCCAGCGCTGGGCAATCGGGCAACGACTGAATAGGTTTAGCGTTGTCTGTAATTCACGTGAGATATCCGTGGCTCTGATTGGTGCTGTGGCCGCTCGTCAAAGTTGCCCTTCGTGGACATTGTCTCGTGTGGCTTTGTCCCGCCCCCCCGACGCGATGCGAAAGTGTTTCAACCCGCACCGTGGCTGGGAACCTGGCACGCCTCGACCTTTTCGCCCGCCCTCTCTCCCTTCCTGCGACCGGTTTCTGGATGCAGGGACTCGTCGCCCACTCCCTCGAACCTTGCTCTCTGACTATCGCCGCCGGAGTTGTTACTGCTGACAATTAGCGGCAAACTCATATCCCCAATTCCGTGAAGACTATGCTGACCTCGCGAGGTCCTCCTCTCCCATATACACACTCACACTCACACTCGCAGTTACGGACTCCGAACCTGATATCATGAGCATGACCAGCTTCACCCAAAGAAGCAACCTTCCCCTCCTTCCCAACCTCTCATGATCTTGCTAGTGAGGCGACTGCCCGCCCTTGGGTAAAGACTCAGGAATACAAAACATGGCAGACTCCCGGCCTGCGCCCTCGACCTCCTCTCGTCCCCATCCCCACCATCTTCACTTACAAGAAACGCGCGAGAATGGATCGGCTGAGAGACAGTCTTCCTCCTCCGAAGTCCACACCTGGGCTGACGACCGTATCTTGTTGACACCACCCCTCCCAACTTCAGGAATCAATCCATTGGACCAGGCACTCTATAAAAACAGTAATGAACGGGGGTTTCTAGCCAATGCAAATCAGCAAGCAGTCTCTCACAATGCACAACTCAACATCTCGCCGCCCGATTCGCTGCGCATTCACCATGATGCAGCGCATCTCTTGAGTGGTCTTCATATACGAACGGATGTGGGAGGTCCCAAACGTAGCAGCTCCACCCAGTCGATGGATTCGGAGTCCCGACTGCGATCCAGTGCTTCTGCCGCAAGTATACCGCGTCGAGTTCCTAGTATCCGAGCTCACCTTCATTCTTCGGCCGGCTCTGTCTCTCCTGGTACAGTCATCTCTTCGCCCCAGATCGCCGCGATGCTGGACATTACTCCTCTGCCTTCGCCAACAATGGCGGCATTCGAGTCGTGGAAGGCGCTTTCGCTGGCAAGGACCAGGTCCCGTGGCTCCTCTATATCTTCCGCCAAAGCTGAAGCATTGCCCCCTCCCGTTTTGCCGTCACCCACAACTCCTCGTCGAAGCAAAGGTTATCCAGGTTTGAGATCTTCTCCTCCCTCACGTCCAGGTACATCAGATGGCCAGGCCCTTGCTGCCGAACACACGCGCACTAGAAGTGTCAGTGATTATGTGCCAGACCCTGTGGCCGTGCCAAAACCCCGAAACATTGCCGTGTCAAGCACGGGGGCGCCCCTCGAAATCACAGAGTCTCCGACATCTATGCATCGAGAAGAATACCTCGGTCTGCAGAGAAGATTGAGCAAGTCCATTGTCAGACCACTCACCCCGCCACAGCCGACAATCAAGATAGAAAGGAGTCATGAAGACGAACCCGCTGCCAAACGCCCCAAACTCGAAATCTTCAACGCGCGGAGCATTTCCACAGGAGAGCCGAGATCCTACGAAGCGATCCGAATGCTCGGCCAGGGGACTTTCAGCAAGGTCTACTTGGCCGTGCGGCAAGTCGATAATGATCGCAAGGACAATGTCGACTACCGGCAAGACAGCATAAATATGGCTGGCGTCCGAGCTCGGTCAAGGCGACTGGTGGCTGTCAAAGTCGTAGAACATGGTCCCGCCGGCGGGGCGGATGCAGAGAGGATCGAGGTTGGGCTCAAACGAGAGGTGGACTTGTTGAAAGCCATCCAACACCCATCACTAGTCCACCTGAAAGCATTCGGCAATGATGACAACGCCCGTGCTCTGCTTGTCATGAATTACTGTCCCGGCGGAGACTTGTTCGATGTCGCATCCAAACACCGCGAGGTCCTGACACCATCATTAGTCCGAAGGATATTCTCCGAGCTGGTCTCGGCGGTGCGATATCTTCACCAAAAGTTCATTGTTCATCGGGACATTAAGCTGGAAAGTGAGTCGATGGAAGATTCCACTCTCCTTCTCCGTGCTAACAAAATGCAGATGTGCTCCTTAACATCCCGGTGCGTGTCCACCCGGATGTGTCCAACTGGCAAACCCTCGATCGCGCGGTGGTGACGCTGACCGACCTGGGGCTGTCACGCCGCATTCCCGAGCCGCCGGAGAGTCCCCTTCTCACCACGCGCTGTGGAAGTGAAGATTACGCCGCGCCGGAAATATTAATGGGGCAACCCTACGACGGACGACAAACTGACGCCTGGGCACTCGGAGTGTTGCTTTACGCACTAATGGAGGGCCGATTGCCCTTTGATCCTCTCCCGGGGGCGCGTGGCGACCCGGCCGTTCTTCGTGCACGGACACCACACAGGATTGCGCGGTGTGAGTGGGCGTGGTATAAGTATGGCGATGAAGACGGAGAATGGGATCCCGTTAAAGGTGCCGAATTTGAAGGTGCTCATGAGTGTGTGGATGGTTTGCTGAAGAGGAACACGAGGCGGCGACCGTTGGCCGAGATCCGAGAATTGCCGTGGGTCAAGGACGGCATCCGAGTCGACGGAGGTCTTCGATGGGTCGAGGAGGAATTGTAACAACACGCGGTTCATGTTTCTGTTCGTTTCTTCTTCTGGGATTCAGTGGTTGGCTTTTGCTCTGGATGCGCTGGAGGCATTAGGTGCCGTTTGATGGACCACGGGAGCAGCAATGTGCGAAAAGAAACATAGAATTTTGAATATGAGTTGGCTAGCGAGCCCTGTCTTATGGTGCCGATGCGGGTGTATATCAATGTTTATAGATGACTGATCAGACAGACGCAGTGGGTGTTGTTTTGATAGCGAATGACGAGAATGAGTTGTCGCGAATCTCTCTGCACATGCTCCATTTCTTTTCTCCGCCGCAGGGTCTAACTGGACTTCCATTCCAATTGCATTAGGACTAAGTTTGAGGGCACGACTTGTTGGTGTACCGAGTAGCTGGACTGGTCTTCCGCATAGGGGAGGCATCGGCGAGAAGATTCCCTTTTGCGATGGCCAAATCCTTGAGTGAGAGATTTGTTCCACCGGAACAGACGTTGGAGGTTCTCCGCACCTTGCGGGCGTGCATGAGAGGTGATGTATTATATGAAACTTTTGACGTGAAACCAATTCCCCTGTCCTGGTCGTCCTTGCGAGAGAATATTCGGTCATCAGAAAATCAAGAGACGGAAGGTAAGACAGAAACATAATATCCTGGGGGGAAAGGCCGCGCAGGGCTAGAAGAAGAGGGACATTGTTGCGTTTAACGCTCTCGTCAGAGATCTCCAAGGCAAGGGCTGCATTGATCGGACACGAATTGACGGGACGAACGAGCGGACGAAACAGTGTTGAGGAGGTGAAAAGCCTGGACCGACTCCTCCTGGTCTTCTCATCGCAACCGTGATGGATTCCAGCTCAGCACCCTCACCCGCCGGCCTGACGAACGGGCATTCTGGCCCCAATGGTGTCAACGGGTCATCTTCATTCAATTCATCACCTCACGCCCGAGTGCCCAAGAGGCTGTACTCGCTGTCCCAGCCGCCGTCCCTCTCCGCCTTCGAGACCCTGTGCTCCCAGTCGACCAGCCGAGAGACGTACCCGCACGCGGCGACCGTCACATCCAACATCCCCATCTACGACCTGCCGGCGGATGGCGATGCGAGATTGGCAGACGGGAGCTACATCGACGCCCTGCAGGACGAATGGCACCACATCCTCCTCTCGGGGCCCGGGGTGATGGTGCTCCGCGACTTCTACCGGGACCGGGCGCTGCTGGAACGAGTCAACGAGGTGTTTGCGGCCATCATCGCCTCTGAAAGCGAGCCGTCCGCCGCGGACGCTGCTGCTGGCGCTGGCGCTGATGCTGATTCTGGTTCGGCCGTCGCCCCCAGCAAAAAGAAGGGCGACCACTTCGCGGCCAGCGGCAGCAACGCGCGCATCTGGAACTCGTTCCAGAAACACGCGCTGCGCGACCCGGCCTCGTTCGCCCGCTACTACGCCAACCCGTACCTGGCGGCCGTGTGCGCGGCGTGGCTGGGGCCGGGCTACCAGATCACCGCGCAGGTCAACGTCGTGCACCCGGGCGGGAAACCCCAGGTCCCGCACCGCGACTACCACCTGGGCTTCCAGACCGCCGAGGCCTGCGCGCAGTTCCCGGCCGCGACACAGACGGCCTCGGCGCTGCTGACGCTGCAGGGCGCGGTCGCGCACTCGGACATGCCCCTGGCCAGCGGGCCGACGCGGTTCCTGCCCTTCTCGCAGCTGTTCGCGCCGGGGTTCATGGCCTACCGCCTCCCCGAGTTCCAGGCCTTCTTCGCCGCCCACTGGGTCAGCCTGCCCCTGCGCGCGGGCGACGCCGTCTTCTTCAACCCGGCCCTCTTCCACGCCGCGGGCGAGAATCGCACCCCGGACGTCCACCGCTCCGCCAACCTGTTGCAGGTCAGCAGCGCCTTTGGGCGGACCATGGAGAGCATCGATTCCCTCGCCATCATCGCCCGGTGTTGGGATGAGGTGAGGAAGATGTATGCCGAGGACGAACAAGGCGGAAATCGAGGAGGGACCGAGGTGAGGAGTGGTGCCACTGGCTGCGTGACGAGAGTCCAGGCCCTCTTGAGTGCCATGGGCAGTGGGTACCCCTTCCCCACGAACCTCGATCGCCGGCCGCCGGCGCCGGGCGGGATGGCGCCCGAGAGCGAGGTTGATATCCTCCGCAAAGGGCTGCAGGAGGGTTGGAACGTGGACGAGGTCGTGGCGGCCATCACTGCGATCCGGGCGGACTCGATGCCATAATAATAGATCGAACAAACTCCAAAAGAGGAATAGAAGAAAGACAGGGAATTAGTGTAATCGTCATTTTCACCCGTTGTTTGGAAGATTCTAATCTTTGGGTCGTCCTAGCTACACACCCCTACCACAGGAGAACGGGTTTGATCGCGCTCCCATCCTCCATGCCCTGCAGCGCCAGCAGCGCGTCCTTGGCCGGGAACGTCTTGACGATCTTCTCGATCGGGAACCTGCCCTCGCGCCACCACTGGATCATAACCGGGATCCATGCCTGGCCCGTCGTGTTGCCCAGGTAGTGGCACTCGAACGACTTGTTGGCGCCGAAGAACTCGGACAGCGGGAGGGTGATCTGGGACCCGGGGCGCGGGACGCCCAGCTGGATCAGTCGGCCGTGTCGTCCCAAGGCCTTGATGCACTCCTGGACGACGGGGACCGCCCCCGTGGTCTCGATGATGATGGAGATGCGCTGGCCCTCGACCAGCTTCTGGATGTTCTCGGCAATACTGCTGCTGCTGTCCATGGTCGACGTGTCCAGTGCCTTTGTCGCCCCCAGCTCCTTGGCGGTCTCTAGTCGATGCGCCACCCGGTCGACGGCGATGACCTCCTTGCAACCCGCGATCTTGGCCGCCATGACGGCCCCGAGCCCGACTGCGCCAATCCCCGTCACCAGCACGATGTCGTGTGGTTTGGCCGAGGCGCCGTTCATGATGGCCCCCGACCCGGTCATCAAGCCGCACCCCATGGGCGCCAGCAGCTTCAGGTCGTCGGTGCTTTTGATCAGGTCCTTGACGTTGACCACGCTCCCCTCGCCGACGATGCTCGTCGCGGCGAAGCTCGATTGCCCAAAGAATTTGGCGGGCAATTCTTCTCCCTTAGTCGTCTCGAAGATGCCCGATTCGCCAAAGATGTTGAGGAGCTGCCACGACGAACAGTACGGCTGCTGCTGGCTGTTGCAGAGGTCGCAGTTGTTGCAATAGCTGTATGACAGCAACACCGGATCCCCGACTTTGGCCACAGTCACGCCTGGGCCAACCTCTTCGACGACGCCTGCACCTTCGTGGCCCAGCACCTTGGGGAACTTGATTCCAAGCAGCTGTCCCGGAATCGAGGCGACCGCGATATCTGAGTGACAGATGCCCGTCGCCACCATCCGGATCTTGAGCTCATGTTCTTTGGGGCCCCGTGATATTATTTTGATGTTTTCAAATCGCCAGTCCGGGGCCAGAGTGGTGGGCTCAGCCGGATAGGATACTAGTGCTGGGATCTCCGTTGCCATCTTTTCTGCCTTTATTGTGTACTAGCGATGAATGTTCGGGGGATTGCAGCACTGGCAGGAGATACTGTTGAATTAAGCCTTTCCAATTTATACCTCGAGAACTGAGTCGTGCCTGCTTACTCGGCGCTTGACCGTGTTTCCAGGGCCTGCAACTCCCAGATCTCTTCGCTGACCGGTTCACAGACGGCCGCATTGACTCGACCTCGGGTAGATAGTTCCCCTGACGCCGTCCCACATGGATTTCTAAGGTACCATTGCGAGGTAGAGGTACCCTAGGGGGCCCGACCTGTGCATAAAAGCAAGATGTTACATTCCTTCGTGTCAGATCGAGAGCTTGGACAACGCCCATAGCTCTGTTGACAAGCGGGAACGATTGGCCGTCAGCAAGTACATAAGCAGTTGTCTTTTTTTTTGTCACTGGGGAATCTCGGCTCTTCCCCGCGTTGTGATCCGGTTGAATTCCCATGATTTGCGGAGCAAGCGGCGCCTCCATCCACAGTGCGCGAGTGTACCTCCCACAAGATCCCCGGCTTCTGTTATCCAGCTTCCTGTGTATGTCGTTCCCCTGTGTGAATCCTCCTCTTCAGCTCGAGGAATCTCATAAGCTTGTCCATGAGGTTTGCTGCCAGGCCTGTCGTCGACCCGACCGCCACCACCTCCATCAAAGCTCTAGTGTAAGCACTGACTGATAGGGTGATCGTCGAACACGCCAATAAGAAGTACAACTTGCCAGACTCGGTAGGACACTGCCAGTTCGGATGATCTCTCAGATAGTAGGTAATAAGCCACAAAAATTCTGGAAGCGCTTACGAGGGTGTACCGAAGCACCGACAACTGGCCCCCAACTCCTGCATGCGATAGTCTGTGTCAGCATCGAACCTGTCCTTTTTCACTCGTATATGTACTCGGCGCTGATTCTGCACGCTGCTTGATTCCAGGATCAGTCTTGCATTGAAGGCCTGACTGTCGGCTCTCGCTTGGGCCCGAGAGGAATGAAGGGTTGGGCAAGGCCCGACGATGTCGTGGTATTGATTCGCTCACAGGGGCAAATGCAGGTGGTCATCAAGCCGTGACAACTAGGCCTGGGTGGTCCCGATCAGTGATCAGTCGCGGCATGGAGTGATGATATCCGCTCAGGCGGCCGCAAAAGCGTCTTTTTGAAAACTCAAGTCTGACTTCCTCCTCTTCCTCTCGCTCTCAAAAGGGTATCTAGTGCGAAATCTGAAGCGGGTGGCTGGGCCATCGAGACCAATACGGCTGCTGTCACTTTCTCATTCCGTCGCAAGGGGCGGCGTGCGTGGAAATGCTGACTAGTGACCGAATGGAATCAGGTCGAGGTACGAGAGTAAGAAAGGACTCGGAGGACAGTGTTGTCGTACCCTAGAAACCTCGTTAGCTTGCATAGTCAGGGACGGGAGACGACTCAGCCAGTTGTGAGTCTCAAACAGACAACATCCCCCGACCGATGGATGTTGTGAGAAGTATGTCAGTGGTTGCGGGTCCATGAAGTCCTGAGCCCGGTGAAGCACTTGAAGTGAGGAGTTGCACCATGTTTCCCTCGTGATGGAAGACCAACGGGACGACCATCCCAGAACCGTCCCTCAGTCAACATGAGCTCTTCTCCAAAGCTTTGCTCAAGGCAAAGAACAATGATGAAAAGGCGGAAAAGGACAAAAATTGCGCTCGCGGAAGTCCCGAAGGTGCTTCCAGCACAGTCACCGGCTCCGATGTGCCATGGAGTCGATATCCGTGCAACATCTCGACTGCTTGTGCTCAAGATGCTCGAACAAGGTAAGTATGAAGAAAGAAAAGGAAAAAGAAAGGGAGAAGAGGGGGAAAAGGGAGGAGATATTTATACCCTGAGCAAGTGGTCGCGGTTGATCTGGCCTTGGCGGCGGGCAGTTGCGATGTGCCTGATCCGTCACCGGCGGAGTGATTGCGCACTGGTCTCTCTTGCCAAGGGACGGGAAAGATGGACACAGTTGTAGCAAAGACTGATCCGTCATATTCTGATCAAAATGTGACCTGTGAGGCGATCGAATCGTGAAGACGGCGGCCCGGCACAGCTTCACCTCAGCCTCGTCTGATACCCGGATGTTGAGCATTGGGCTCAGTCCTCACAGCACGAAACGGCAGCACACACTATGCATGGTCCGTCAAGGACAAGGAGTCTGGCTTGTATTGGTGGTTAGACAGATATTTCATTGTCTCAATCAATCATTGCTATGAGTCGCGATGTTGTGTTTGCCACAAGCTGGGATCTTTCACGGCGTACAAATAGACATATCCTATGCCATGCCAATGGGATGTCAACGCGATGCTGCCGCGGCAGTCGTAGTCCTCAAATTCTCCTCTACAAGAATGTGTCGTACTCTTCATCGAAGGTGTCCAACATCTCGCCGATGTCCTCCATCTGTTCGAGATTTCCTGCTGTGAACACGTCGTCCACGCTCGCTAGGTGGGTGAGCACCAAGGGCGTCGTAACCCCGTACATCAAAGTCTCTCCACACCGAACGATATCCTCACATTTGTGTTGCTGGTCGCGGAGGAAACAAAATGCTTCTTCAAACATCTTCCTCAACCCGCGCAGTCCCGCGACGCGGTTGCGGCCAAGGTAGTCGATCTTTTCCACCTCCAATCGACGCCCGGCGAGTTCGCGGTCCACGGTTGTGATGCGGACATATCTGCCGATGATCTTGCGTTGCTTGCGCGCCGTGCCACCTCGGAGGCCACGCTTGCGGATGTCGGGATTGTCGCTCCAGAGCTCCGACAATTCGTGCTGGATTCTGGCTTCGTGTTGGTCGATAGTGGTATGCACAGCGCGGACGAGGTCGGCGAGAACGCAGATGCGATCGAGGTGCTCCTGAATGGCGCTAAAGTTGACGAACAAGGCCGGATCGAGTTTGATAGAGACTGAAACGAATGTGGTTTGTGCTAACAATGCCGATGAGGGCGGTTCATATTGCTCGATCCCAGAGAGAAGCTCTGACTTTGTCAATAGGCGTCGATGGTACAGGGGACAGTCTTACCGTAGTCTTCCTCTTCAACCTTTGGGACCGCCATATCGATCTCCATTGAAGCTGATCTGTCAATGGAGGATGAGGTCATGAAAGGAAAGGTTCGATTGAGAGTCGAGTGAAGAGCGACGACCGGTGATACAGGGTGTGCGGCAGAACTTCACTTCAACAGTGCGGCTGGGCCGGGGCATTCACTGTTTGCGCCCAATGCTGGCAAATTGTGTTATCTCTCCGCAGGGTGAGGTAGAATGTCGCTCTCTTCCTCCTCTCCTCAAAGATTTTCATTCCATACACAGGCTAGACCTTCACCTAGCTCGGTTGTTCGTCGGTCACCATTTAATACCATCACCTCCTTCTTCGAGCCCGCCATGCTCTGAACCGGGACGAGGCTTTCCAGACTTACATGGTGAGCAGAGCCACGGCCATCTCTGGTGTGGCAAATCAGCTTGTGGCCCGCCTGCTCTGCCGCGTTGCGGCCATGGCACGGCGACGCGTTGAAAGAGATTCGCGTCCGGGGCTTGAATGCAGGTGCATTTCTATCCTCGCAGTTATGACGAATGGCATGTTTGATGTCTGCATCCGTGGGTTGAAGAACGATACAGCGCCGAAACACAGGTGATATGGCGTTTGGGTACGAGAACATGGACCACCTACGAGGATACCATCAATCCATTGAAAGAGTTTGGGGCCTCAAACTGGAAAGGAAGCTTTCCTACTGGGCGTGGAGCGTCCATACTTCTTCTGGAGTTGGGAGGATCGTGGTCTCAGGAGGGCGCAAGATGACGGCCGTGCTCAGTTCGGTTCAAGAATGATATCTGTCCCTATCGACAATATATAGCCCGGATCCAGTGAGGAAGGAAGACATGCGGAACTCAGTTGCGAGCTCTGGCCGAAGGATGAATAAGGAGTAGGACGGTTTGTCATAGTTTCATTGACGAAATGTTAGAGGTGGATTTTCTTTAGGCCTGTTGGAAACCTCACGCCACCTCAACCACGTCCCCCACATCCAGGCTTTGTTTATACATCCATCCCTACAGCCCCTCCATTTCAACCAACTTCTTCCTTGTTCACTTCACAGCCGGCCTCAACTCCCAAACACCCTACTAGATCAACCCGAAGACTCGTCGAGGAACCAGCAACATGCTCATTGAAGAATCATACAAAGATGTGCCGACCAAGGCGGCAGGAGAGGGTTCAATGCGTATGGCTCCCGCCACCTCGAAAGGCTCCAATGCGAATCCAGGCTGAACAATCAATTACAAAATAAAGGAATCTTCCTCTTCCATCCCACCATCCCTGGGTACCCAGGTGCAAAGTTTCCTGGTGTTGTTGTGTTCTCGGAAATCTACCAAGGTAAAGCAACATTGTTCCCCTCCTCTCCAACGGACGGATCTCGGGGATACATGACCGAAGCATCCCCTCTGTAGACTGAGACACTCTTTTTCACCTGCAGTGACCGGCCCCGTCTCCCGCTTCGCCCGCCAAATCGCCGGCCAAGGCTACATCGTCGCGGCACCGTCGTCGTACCACGAATTCACCGGGCCCGAGCCGCTCGCCTACGACGGTCCCGGCACCGATGCGGGGAACGAGTGGAAAATCACCAAGAAGGTCGCCGCGTACGACGAGGACGCAGGGCTGGCTGTCTCGCTGTTGCTGGGCCTGAAGACGTGCAACGGCAAGATCGGCGCCACGGGCATGTGTCTCGGTGGCCACCTCGCGTATCGGTGCGCCTTGGACCAGAGAGTCAAAGCCGCCCTGTGCTTCTTCGCCACGGATATCCACAGCCACAGCCTCGGGGAGGGGAAGAACGACGACTCCCTGAAGAGGGCGGGCGACATCAAAGGGGAGCTGGTCATGATCTTCGGCAAGAGCGACAACCACGTCCCGCCCGAGGGCCGGGATTTGATCAGAAAGACGCTGCACGAGAAGGGCGTCGAGTTTTCGTTCTACGAGGTGTGCGGGGCGCAGCATGCTTTTGTCCGGGACGAGTTGAGCAAGGGCAGGTACGATCCGGCCATCACCAAGGTGTGCTTCGAGATGCTCCTCGAGCTCTTTGGGCGGAAGCTGAAGATCGACCTGGGCGAACCCAGCGGCGAGAAGCTGGTCATTGAAGACGTATGTTGAAAAAATAGAGTCAAAAGCACGACGAACCCACCCCCTTATAGAGGCGGCTGAAGAATAAACAATTGCATTCATTCCCTTATACCAGATCATTTTGGCCAGCATTTACAATTTCGCCTCGGACTTCTTGTCCTCTACCCCCGTCGTCTTGTATCCGAACAAATACGCGGCGACTTTGCGGATCTGCACTTCCTCACTGCCCTCAGTGATCCGATACCTCCTGAAGTGTCTCCAGATGTGTTCGAAGGGGTAGTGTCGCGAGTAGCCCACTCCGCCGTGGATCTGGATCGCACGATCTGCGGACTCGCAGCACAGGCGGTTGGCGTAGTAGTTGCACATGCCAATCTTGTGGCCGAGTTGCTTCTCGATGGCAATCCACGGTGCGCTACCGTTGGCCTTGCATGCCGCTGTGACCTGGTCCATTTCCACGGCGGTACGGAGGATCAAAAGTCTGAGCATCTCGGCCTGGGTGGAGAGCTCGACAAGCGGCCATTGAATGGCTTGGTTTGACGAGAGCGGTTTCCCGAACACGGTCCGCTTCTTCGCGTACTCGACGCTGCGCTCGATGCAGTACCGAGCCGCGCCGCAGCTGGAAGCCGCCTGTCGAATGCGGTTCTCGTGCGTGAATGTCTGGGCGATGGCTAGGCCGTTGTCGACCGGCCCAAGGATCGCTGAGGCAGGAACTTGGACCTTGTCAAAGAGCACGGTTGCGTGATCGGTCGGCATGTTGAGGGTCCACTCGTACGAAGCGACTTTGAAGCCTGGCGTGTTTGTCGGGACGATGAAGGCGGTAATGCCCTTGGGCGATCCGTTCTGGCCAGAGGTTCGTGCAAAGACCAGAGAGTGCGTAGCGGCGTGCATGCCGGTCTGCCACTTCTTGTTGCCGTTGATCTCGTAGCCAGGCTCGCCGTTGGGCAGCGTGATAGGCTTGGCCGTGGTGTCCATGTGGGTTGCGTCAGAGCCGTGATAGATCTCGGTCAAGCCAAATGTGGATCTGAACTCGCCATTGATGCTGGCGGGGATGTACTTGTTCTGCTGCTCCTTGGTGCCATAGTGATGCATCATGATGATGAATGGATTGTTGCCGACGACACTGTGTTCATTCTGCAGGTCGTTGGCCAGGCTTACGCCGCCTCCATAGATTGGGTGGGACGACAAATGGTACCGGATGGCACACATGTACAGGTTCTGGTGCTCACTGCCGGCACCGCCAAATTCTTTGGGGAACCCGAATCGGTAGAATCCTGCTTCGTCGGCCAGTTTTTTTGCTTGCCGGAGCAGGTTCTCCCACTCATGCGTTGGCAGGCCTTGGTTGTCCCATTGCGTCCGTGAAGATTCGCGGCGGTGGTCAAAGAAGCGGTTGTTGTCGTCCTTGTGCTGGAGCGGGAGGATCTTGTCCTTAATGAATGCGTCGATGCGCGAGATGTAGTCTTGAAGATCGGAGGGGAGCTCGAAATTCATCGTGGCGATTAGGTCGGGAAGCAATTGGGCAAAGAACTGGAGAGGAGCTGTAGACTGACTGGCCTTCTCAGGAGTATCTTACCTCCAGCCCATTTTATCTATGTTAGAGCTCTGTCTTCGCGCCGTGGCGTGTTGTCGGCTTGTCGATGCGGAGTAAGGCGAGGCTGATGCTGGGGAATCGTTATCCTCGGATGCGGCATCCTCGGTTCACTGGAGCCACTGGTTGTGATGATGGTTTCACTGCACCAGGTCTTCAGTGTTGGTGTTGTACTTTGCCGTAGGGGTAATTCGGTGGAGTATTGAGATTGATAGTGCACTGCTTTCCCGCGGCCACGGTCAGCACCGAGGTACGGGATGGCCCTTTTCAGCTAAACCCCTCCACGATGAAGAACACCCCCTGTAACCCCTGGTCTAGATTTCCAACGGCCTGCAGATCCGATATCGACGATCCTTTAACTGGCGCTCACCCAATCTGACCTTGCCTGCTGTTGGAGGTGTCGTTCTATCTTTAGGCATGGCGATTTCAGTGTCTCTCCCAGTTCAAAATATATAGGATCACCGCAGAATACTCGTATTACGCGGTCAGCTACAAAGATACACGGCGGAAGGAGAGCCCCAGCATTGTCGTTGATGGGACAACGACTCGAGGTCGTCGAGCTGAAAGGCTGAGTTTCGGGCAAATCCAGGTGCAAGCCGTGGGAGGACCAAGTCAGCTGTGAAATCTGCGCTCTGAGATAAGACTGGTTGGTGGTCATGTCACGGACTTGGATTTCCCGAACACCCAGGCTTGCAAATGAGCCCAGAATCTCCAATCCTTGTGGCGCACGGGGTACACACTCCAGAGACAACTAAAGGCCTTCGACGTGGGAGACAGATCACTCGCTGTCTGAGGAGTGCATGGATGTTGTGCCTAGCGAGATGCGGTCTGCGATTGCATGTGCTGTCCCACACAAAGCACGTTGGGATTTTCAAGGCGCCGAGTGGCTCTGCTTCGCGATCGGTTCCCAAGCGTGTTGTTCGTAACGTGGGATCAGGATAATCATGGCGCGCCAGGGCTCGTGCCAATGCCAACCGCAGCCCCTGTCAGAGAAACTCGCGCAGCGCTCTTTGTATTAGATATCATCGCATGCTTGTCTCGGATGTCTGCCGTATGCTGCCAAGGGCACGAAAGGTGCGAAATGTTCCAATCTCGTTTACATACTAGACTCGTCAACACGAGAATGTCGCTTTGAAAGGCGGGCATCAATTTTATCAGAAGGCGTGATCGTGTTGTCTCTGCGGAATAGATCCATGTACAAGCAGCCACCTCTCTGACGCCTGACGCTCTCTCCCCAGATGAATTCCAACTTACCACCATCAAAGATCTTCTCGACGCCGCAGATAGGCGAGTAGCTTTTGTGGCTGGCGCAGCTGATCTCGAGCACGGTGCAGCATCAGCTTCCACGAACCTGTCAGCCAGGTTCTGAGGGAAAGCCATGCCGAAGTGAGTCAGGAGGCTGAACGGCAAACGTCGAGGATGCAGCAAAACGAGGCTCTAATCTCGGGATGCAAGCCACGGGGCGCCAAGTCTTGAATAGTTGCGCCACACTAAACCGCTTTGGGAATATCCCTTCTCCTTTTTTCGACTTCCTCTCAACTCCAAACATGGAACACGACAAAGCTGACTTGGTGGCTTGATCACGAAATTTCTGGCATAATTCCCCACAGCCATGGCGCGACTGTTGCACCGGTCTCAGAACTCAACCTTCTTTGGGAACGGTGACGGGGGACTCCAAAGTGTGTCTTCCTTGAGCTGCCAAACAAAGCATGGCGGCTATCCCTAACGTCAGCTATCATCGATGTCACTGGCATGTGCAGGCCCCGCTGGAAAAGCCTCGTGCGTCTTCCAGCCATGTGGCGCTGATCCCCAACAGGGTAGAAACTTGGTGGCCTGTGAGATGATTCGATGACCGTCCTGAACTAGGGTTTGCAGAGCTCCCAGTCTGGAGTAGTCCAGATGCGCTTCCTTCGCGCTCTGGTCTAGGTAGGATAGCCTGCGGAGTACGCCCAACGTTCTGGGGGCCATCTACTCAACCTGCACAACTCTCCTCCTCCTTCATTCTTTGGTAACCCATCTTTGCGTCGTCGATTGGCACGCGTCCGTTCGTTCTTCACACCAGTCGCTCTTTCTTTGAGCTGTTGCTCAATGCAACATGCTGCCATTCTTTTATTTTCTTTTGTTGTCTAATGTTGCTTTAGGTTCATTGGGAAAATGGGAGGGTTTCATGCCATGGAGGAAGAATCTGTTGGAACGCGACGTCGAACCGACCTGCTCCTGTACGGATCCAATTGCCGCTGAGTGGGCAACCAACAAATTCTTTGCGGATGCTGCGACGTCTGCTGCGACCCCGGCCGGTTATTATCAAGCATTCAACAATGGACAAGCATGGATCTCAGGAGATGGGTTTATTGGACACACGACAATTGATGAGTACGACAGCGGCATCTGCGCGGCCATTTGCAATGGCATTGATGAATGTTCCTCGTTCGAAATCTACTTTGAGAAGGAAATCGGTGGACCGGCCCCGGCAATCAAGTGTTCTTTCTGGGCTGGAGCGATTACACCAAGTGGTTCAAGCAGTGCGAATGCCGTGATCGCCGGTTGCAACGGCTATACCAACAGCACCCTCACAACTCCCAAAGGGTTCGATGTGCCGGTATTCATGGCGGGCGCCGCAATTCATCCACCACCGACTTCTGGAGCATTCATGGGCTCAAAGATCTTTTATGGACCATTCGACACTTCAAATTGCGCCGAGGAGTGCAGTGCCGTCGGCTGCAAATTCTTCAACACCTATGTTCTGTCTAAGAATGGTGTGAGCCAGGGCCAATACTGCGACTTATACGCTCAGCCGTTTGGACCAGAGTGGGCAACCGAAACCGGAAGCTCCGCTGGGAACACAAACTTTACCATCTCCCATAGCTTTACCTGCGGTTCGGCAGGAGAAAAGCGTGGTGAGGATTTGTCTAGCGGCGTGTCCAGCGTCTCTCCGACCACGACGCCTGTCAGCAGCAGTGGCACAGAAGGGTCTTGGGAAGACCATCATCCTTGGCACGGAAGTAGCCCCTATGCAGGGAGCGGTGCAAGCAGTGGCAGCAGCTCCTCAAGCAGCTCTAAAGGTGCATCTTCTGCAGGGCCGTCTAAGACTTCTGGACAAGGGGCAGGTAACCAAAGCGGACACTCACCATCTACTTCGACATCAGGTTCTCCGACTGGTAAGCACTCACGGCCTGGAGGTGGCACGGGGGCCACGGACTCTTCTCACACGCCAACATCGAAGCCTGTTTCCGGCACCCCCACGGGCAAGCCTGGGGACAACTCGGGAAAACCAGATCCGGTTGATGCTACCACCGTAGCTTCCTCAACCTCTCCTACTGCCGCGCCAAATCCAGGTCCTTCAGAATGGAGCGACTGGGATAGCTGGAGTAGTACTACTTACTCAGGCCCTGGTGCAACCTCCTTGCCCGTAGATCCTGTCTCTCGAGGGACGAGTAGCAGCTCGACGTCTGGCGCTATGAGTGTTGACCCCGTCCGAACATCATCGCTGTCGACCAAGTCTGGTAGTACCTCCCATTTTCTCCCGCCCAGGTCAAGTGCTGCCTCTCGTTCTGAGGAATGGCTTGACTGGACAAATACAAAGAGCTCTGTATCCGCCATCTCGAAGTCGACGGGCACAACTACTCCGCAGACCGTCGCTGGGTCGACAAGTGCAAAACCAACAAGCACTAAACCCGTGCAGACACGGCCATCAATTGATCCCTCGAGGCCTGGTAGAGGTCCTGCCCACACAACGCCGAAACCTTCGTCCGAAAACACAGTTGCTGCAGCAAGCACTAAGCCATATTCTGAAAGCCAGTGGCTCGACTGGAACAATTCTCAATCATCAACAACCACGGAGGTCTCTTCGACCACCACAACGAAACCTGTGGCGGCGGCGACCACGAAGACCAGCTCTGTTCCCGATAGCCGGCCAGGCCGGCCAGGTCAGCCGACTCGACCTCCAGTAGGCCGTCCACAAACATCACCCAATAGAGGGAACGGCGGCTCTAGCGAGTGGGGAGACTGGGAAGCGACCGTAGGGGAAAGTTCCTCGGACATCTTGACTACGACGATCACCTCTTCCAGCCCCCTCGAGGCTGCGACGACGAAATCTACGTCTACCTCTCCCGCTAGTTCTGGAAGGCCACCTATTTCTCGGCCGACTCGCCCCGGTGGAAGGCCGCAGCCAACACATACTTGGTCTCCATCCACATCTAGCGCTGTGCCAGTGGACGCTATTACGACAACCTCAACGACAAGCGCAAAAAGATCTCCCGGCTCTACTTGGCAATCACACAGCGGATCAGAGGGAATATGGCTTGATTGGACGACGTCATCGACTTCAAGTGCTCTCACGGTTGACGCGATCACAACGTCTGTTCTTCCGACAGTCACGTTAACAACGAAGTATTCAAGGCCTAGTGGCTCTGGATGGCCTTCGCACAATGACACAGAGCAAATATGGCTAGATTGGACCACTTCATCGTTCACCTCGAGCTCTCTCAACGTCGATGGGCTTACTACAACCTCTTCTCCCTTAACTACATCGACAGCGCCAAGACCAAGCAGCTTCGCCTGGCCCTCAGAGAATGGGACAGGAGGGATCTGGTTGGATTGGACGTCCACATCCTCGACTTCAAGCTCCCTGTCCGTTGATGCCGCGACGACAACTACCTCCAGCGCTTCCGCGGGCCACCAGAAGCCGAGCAGCTTTGCTTGGCCCTCAGAGAATGGAACGGGACAAATATGGCTTGACTGGACCACATCTTCAACGTCAAGCGCCTCGTTTGTTGATGCTGCAACTACAACAACTTCGAGCCTTTCGACGACTAGTTCCACAGCTTCCATTCGGCCGACCAGCTTCGCCTGGCCCTCCGAGAATGGAACAGGTCAAATTTGGCTAGATTGGACCACCTCTTCAGCTTCAAGCTCTCTATTGGTTGACGCTGCGACAACAACCTCAACTCTTTCAACGTCGACTTCGACTTTCTCGAGGCCGAGTGGCTCTGGCTGGCCCTCGGAGAGCGGAACAAAACCAATGTGGTTAGATTGGACAAGCAGTTCGTCCACTTCCAGCTCTCTATCCGTCGATGCAGTAACAACGACCTCCACTACCTCTTCACGTGAAATTAGGCCTTCTGGTAGTACCTGGCCCGCGGAAAATGGTAGTCTGTGGGAAGATTGGAGCAGGACAAGCTCGTATGGATCGACTGCACGCTCTGTCGCCGACGCCACTACGACTTCGTCCACATCCAGTATCCTCACTGTTGCCGACGTCACAACCTCGTCCAAGACAAGCTCAAGAGCGTTTTCCTCTGGTTGGCCATCGGAAAATGGAAGCCTGTGGGAAGACTGGACGAAGACGACCTCGTCCATATCGACTGTTCTTTCCGTTGCGGACGCTACAACCTCATTCCTTTCTACGACTACCTCTAGGCCATTTTACTCTAGTTGGCCGTCTGAAAATGGCAGCATGTGGGAAGACTGGACGAAGACGGTCTCGTCTACATCGACTCTTCACTCTGTTGCGGATGCTACGACTTCGTTCACTTCTACGACCACTTCAAAGGCAATTTACTCCAGTTGGCCGTCTGAAAATGGCAGTATGTGGGAAGATTGGACGAGGACAACTTCGTCCAAGTCGACTCTCCTTTCTGTTGCTGACGCCACAACTTCTTCTCCCCCTCTTACCACCACGTCTCAGACGAGTTCAAGGGCTAGCTACTCTAGTTGGCCGTCTGAAAATGGCAGCATGTGGGAAGATTGGACCAAAACGTTTTCATCCACATCAAGTGTGCTCTCTGTTGCTGATATTACTACAACCTCGTCTATCAGCACTGTGACATCCACAACAAGTTCCGGAGCTGGCTATTCCACTTGGCCTTTTGAGAATGGCAGCATGTGGGATGACTGGACAAAGACTTCCACCTCGACCTCGAGTATTCTGTCTGTTGCCGATGCTACTACAACTTCTCTAAGTACGCTAGCCTCCACGACCAGTTCCAGGCCTGGCTATTCCACTTGGCCGTCCGAGAACGGCAGCTTGTGGGAGGACTGGACAAAGACATGGACCTCGACCTCAAGTATTCTGTCTGTTGCCGACGCTACTACAACTTCTTCTCTTAGCACCGCAGCCACTACGACCAGTTCAAGAGTTAGCTACTCTAGTTGGCCATCTGAGAACGGCAGCATGTGGGAAGATTGGAGTAGAACGACTTCGACTTCGTCAACGTCGAGTGTGGCCTTTGTGGATGCTGAAACGACAAGCTCGTCGCTCCCCACCTCGACTCAGAGCTTGAGACCATATAGCTCTACATGGCCATCTCACAGCGGCAATGTCTCGTGGGAGGATTGGACCGTAACGTCGACTTCGAGCTTGCCTGTTGATGCTCTTACCACCACATCCAGCCTCTCTACCACTACGTCAGCATTTTCCTATCCATCGAGCGCATCCTACAACGGGACGTACAGTGGAAATGGGACATGGGAAGACTGGGCCAGCTGGTTGAATCTGACTTCAGCAAGTTCAACATCCACCAAGTTGCCCGTTGACGCATTGACTACTTCCACTTCAACAACGACAAGTTCATTGTTGACAACTAGCTCTCGACCCTCATATCCAGGCTATCCTTCTTACACTGGAACCTGGGAGGATTGGGAAGCGACGTCGACATCCGTAAAGCCCACGAGCTCTTCTCTGCTCCCGGTTGATGCTCTGACTACGACAAGTTCAGTATCGCCGACAACATCCATTGCTGCGTATTCAAGCTATCCATCGTACAATGGATCCATGAATGGCACCTGGGAAGATTGGAATATCACGTCAAAAGGTACATCGTCGGTATCATCCACAGTCGCAACGACAACGAGCTCCTCTTTCGGCTACCCTGGCTACAATGACTCGAACTCTATCTGGTTGGATTGGAATTTGACATCGACGACCTCTGCAACACTGAGCACTTCGGCGTTGCCAGTTGATGCAGCGTCTACTGCCACTACGTCGTCCTCATCCTTACCTCTAACCACGACCAGCTCTGCCTTTGGCTATCCCAGCTATAATGACTCAAACTCTATCTGGTTGGATTGGAATTTGACGTCGACAACTTCCTCAACATTGAGTAGTTCTACGCTGCCGGTTGGAGCTGCGTCCACTGCCACAACCAGCTCTGTCTTTAGCTACCCGGGCTACAATGACTCGAACTCTATCTGGTTGGATTGGAATTTGACATCGACAACTTCCTCAACATTGAGCAGTTCGTCATCACCAGTTGGCGCTGTATCTACTGCCACGACTAGCTCTGCCTTCAGCTACTCTGGCTACCCGTCATATAATGGGTCAATGAATGGTACTTGGGAAGATTGGAATTTGACGTCTGTCTCTAAGACGCAGACCACCTCTGCCCTGCCGGTTGATGCGCTAACTACCAGCCTGACCTCCTCTCTAACTACTACCACAACAAGTTCCGCTTTCGCGTATCCGACGTCAGGCAATTGGACGGGTTACAACGAGAGCGCGTGGTTGGATTGGAACATAACAATCACCAGAACAAGCACTTTGTATGTCGACGGAACAACCACGTCGTCTTCTATTTCCACCAGCACCACAAGTATGGCTCCAACCACAAGCTCAACCAGAGCATATCCAACTGCTTCATATAATGGCACAGGGAACTGGACGGAATCGGCATGGCTGGATTGGAACTTAACATCAACGACGACCAGCGCGGAATATGTCGACGGTCGAACAACATCATCTTCCGTGGCAACCACTACAAGCTCGGCCACGGCTTATCCGACTATGTCATATAACGGTACTGGAAATTGGACAGAATCGGAGTGGCTAGATTGGAATCTCACGTCAACCTCATTTGCCTATGCGCGCACGACGACATCTTCTCCCATCACCACGACTACAACCTCAGAACTCCCAGTTGATGCGGCTACCAGGTCAACTTCATCCACAACTAGTTCCCTCGCAAGTTCCTCGACCTCCGGCTTTCCCAACATACCGCCGCAGAACATAACTGGCAATTGGTCCGCGTACAATGACTCGAATTCCATTTGGCTGGATTGGACAACATCTACAAGCTCTGGGACTGTGTCCACGACATCTAGCTCGCAAGCAGGCTATCCAACAATCCCAGCCTTTAACGGGACTGGCAACTGGTCAGATTGGCTGTCCAATATAACCTACAGCTCGTCGTCGCGATTTGTTGATCCGCGAACAACCACTTCTTCCCTGAGCACCTCCTCTGTCCTTTCTGTGGCTGCCACCGCTCTGACACCCACTTCGTCTTCAATTTCGACTTCCACAGCGACAGGATACCCAACTGTGCCGGCGTACAACGGCTCATATCCCTCGACGAACTGGACAGATTGGAACGGTACAATTCCTTGGAATATGACAACTTCCACCTTGCCTACGTCGACCACAACTACGTCAGTAGGATATCCGACGATTCCAGCGTATAACGGTTCGTATCCTTCGACAAATTGGACAGATTGGAACGGCACGATTCCATGGAACTTCACGACTTCTGCGTCCGCTACGTCTTCGTTGAGCACGTCCTCCGTTCTCTCAGTCGCTGCTACTGCATTGACGCCTACTTCGTCCACGACTACTTCAGTTGCAGGATACCCAACTATTCCGGCCTATAACGGTTCATATCCTTCGCAAAACTGGACGGACTGGAACGGTACGATTCCTTGGAATGTGACCTCCGTAACTTCGGCCACTTCTACTTCGGCCACTAGTTCAGTAGCTGCTTATCCGACCACGACATATAGCGGATCGTATTCTTCGACGAATTGGACTGATTGGAATGGCACAATTCCGTGGAACCTCACGTCGTCCTTGAGCACATCTTCAACGGTTTCTATTCTTTCCGTCGCTGCGGCCATGACCAGCACCACTTCCTTCTCATCGTCGACCACAAGCTCGCAAGCCGGATACCCAACAATTCCAGCCTTCAATGGATCTTATCCATCTACAAATTGGACCGACTGGAACGGCACAATCCCGTGGAACTTCAGTTCGGCAGTAACCACGTCCTCGTCCACCACAACCTCTGTGGCAGGCATGCCGACAATTCCAGCCTATAATGGATCGTATGCGGGCACAAACTGGACTGATTGGAATGGTACACTTCCGTGGAACGAGACTGATGGAAGAAGTTTGACCACGTCATCGACCGTATCTCTGCTGACTACAACAACGTCGATACTGTATGTGTCACCGACAGCTACAGGCTACACGTCGACCTCAACATTGACTTCCACGATGATGAGGACGTCGACTGGGGCTTTCCCCACAATGACTGCTCCTGCCTACAACGAGACGCAGTGGCTCGACTGGCTCAACGGCACGAATAGCACCGGAAACTGGACACTGCCAGTCAATGCTAGCCGGCCCCTCAACTTGACCGATCCTTTGTCCACCACTAGTTCCGTGACAAGCACCTCTACCTGGGCTATTCCGACACTCACGTATAACGGAACGGGCAATTGGACAGATTGGTACAATTCCACCGGAAGCAATGAGACATGGCCACTGAGCTTCCCTGCTACAACTAGCACTTCGGTGTTTGTGACAATAACTTCGTCCTCTGTGGTGCCTACAACAACGTCGGCGTGGGCTTACAATGGCACAGGCAATTGGACCGACTGGGCGGGCAATGGAACTGCTCCTTTGAACTACACGATCCCCGCCTCGAACTCGACCAATTCGACGATCCCGTGGAACAGTAACTCAACGTATCCCGCCAGCAATTCATCCGAATGTGGTGCTACTCCCCCTTCGCAACTTCTACAGAACCCATCGTTCGAATGCTCTGGTACGGGATGGACACTGGACGAAGTGGACATTGTCTGGGGAGGTGCGAGCGGATCATCCACATCTGCCAAGCGCATACGTGATATCTTGTCCCCCGACACGGCATATGATGGCAAAGGGTTTGCTCGTTTTGAACCCACTTTTGAAGACGTGACTGCTACACTATCACAGACACTCGCCACTCCAGCCACAAATGGATCCTATTGGTATTCCTTCGCCTACAGGGTTCCTTCTTCTGGGATCACTCCGGATGGATGCACGTTGACTATTTCGAACGATGAAGGCACTTTGGCGACCCTCAGTTCGCTCTCCGCCGCCAGCACCTGGACCACAACCGGGAAGGAATTCCAGATAACATCATCAGCGAGCACGTTCTCTTTGGTCTTTAGCTGCAATGGCGTCGAGACCTCTTCGCCAATTCTAGACGTCGACAATATCAGGATGGGTATGGGCGGCGGCAATTGGACTACTGCGAATGGAACCTCTGGTGGATACAGCAATAGCACTGGGGTTCCAACTTGGACTGGTCAACCTCCTACCAACGTCACCTATGGGCAGCCTCCAGCCAACCTGACTGGGCCGGGCTACGCTGGCAACTCGACTGACTATACTGGAGGAGCTGGTGAATCGGAAACGCAAGACGTCTCCAGCACCGATCCTATCACCACTTCCTCTGCTTTCTCTCCGCAGACGTCGACAGTTCCTGATATCCAAGTGCCGGCACCTACACCGGCATTCTCAACGACACCAACGACGTCATCTCCGACGCCAACTGCTACGGACCCATCAGTGACGCCGGATGCCAGCGAATCTACGACGACGGCGGATCCTTCAGTCGCGTCGACCACGACTGCAGCTGCAGCTGAAGAACCAACCACAACGTCAGCGTCAGCGTCAGCGTCAGCGACGTCCCCGCCCAGCGCGGAATTTACGGCGAGGAACCGGGTTAAGAGGCACCGATATCATCGGAACTCGTAGGGCATGAAGCATCTGGATGCGAGCACTAAGCATTTTTGGGATGGGGGGAGTGACGCAGGGAACAAGAAACATATACCCCCACTAGTTTTTCTCTAGGTAGTTTTTTTTCATGACTGGGTTTTCTTCACAGCCAAAATTCCGGATCCCTAAAGCATCTTTCCACGACCTTTAGGGGAATGAGATTATTGACACCACCACCCAGTCGCCCGTGGCCTCTTTGGGACCTCTCATTGTCCGTCCTGTGAAAACAGGGTGATGGAAGAACAAAGGGGAAGATGAGGCATTTGTTACTCCGCCCGAAGGGAACTGGGACCTTTATGGGCTTGTTGGACATTTTTCCCTTTTTGCCATTATTGGGAAGAGAGTTTTGTTGGCGCGGCATTAATTGTGGCTTCGTGGCTTCGTGGCTTCACGTACTCCTCGTACTTGTGGCGGCTTCTCTGGTTCCGCGTTCCAGCTGGGCCAGATCCTCTATCGCTTGTTTCTTCCTTTCCCCATCGCTGCTACGTCAATTCTGGACCCTTCTCTTAGGCGCGCTTCTCTGCGTATAACATTCCCTGCCCGTCGCCTGTTTCGAGAATCCGGGGCTGGCACAGCCGCCCAAGGAACCAGATGGTATGAGTAGCAGCGACATTGCCAGTCCATCAACCTCGGCAATTTCCCGCAGGCTGACATGGATGATTGAAGTTGGGACCATTGCAATTGCTCTACTCATCTCCTGTGTTCCCGTGTATCTTTTCCGAGCGTTCAAATTCCCTATCGTCGTGATTTACATTGCTCGAAGAGAAAACGCGGGACGAGTCGCCCAGCGATCTGACCGATTGAGCGCGCGCGTCAGAAGGCACTCTCTCGGTCACCCCTCCCACAGAACGCGAATAAATGGATGAGACGCGTCCGCTCAATTTGAGTCGTGTGAGTTCTGGATCTATTATTTCCACCCGTTCCGCTCGGAGTGATGATCAGTCCCCCTCCCCATTATTGCTTTTCACGGAGATATCACTGACCAAACCTACGAAGGTATGCTTAAGTTCTTTCCCGGTGTGATTTCCGCCCCCCAGCAGGCCAAAGGGCAATGTGCAGCCTCGTCACTCGCTCCGCATTCCCCCTGTGACGGAGAATTGACGTGAAGAGTCCACCAATCGGGACCCATGCCCCGAGGGACCCACTTGCCCGAAACATTCAGGGGTAGCATCCCAATGAGGAAACCATGGCCTCGATCAATGGCGAGCACAAGGGGGTACATGGCCCAGCGCAGACAGAGCTTCGCACGCTGCTGGAAATTGGCCCTGCGACGATCAATCCTCAAGCCTCAAGGGAGCAGAAGCCCAGGAGGACCCACTAAAGCTTACGCAAACCCTATCCGCTGCTCTGGTACTTGTGGTCGAGTGGGAGTTGATGATGAGTAGTGCTCGGTACTCGGTAGTGTCGTCCCAATCTTTGGCCTCTCTTTGTCCTTTTTGAAACCTACACATATATGCCAACCGCAGGGCAGAGGGCCGGACGGCCGGTCGATCATGGCGGCTTCGATCCACTCTCCTTCCTTCCTTCCTGGCCCCCCACCCGCGAGAACGTTTCGTGGACTGCACATCACAATCCTGCCCTGCATATTACCACGTACGCGTCCTCGATGAGGCTGTCAGCCAGCATGGGTTTATCACTTACTCCCATGGAGCCAAAACGGATCCCCAATCATCGAGAGATCCCAGAATCCAACAATTCCCGGGCATAGCCAGCAGCAGCAGCCAGTGGCCGTCAGCCCGGCCGTGAAACAGGTTCAAATTTCCATGGCACTGACAATCCGCAACTCCACGAGGAGGGATGTCATTTCCACCAACCGCAATGGAATGTCTGGTCTTGGGTTTTCCTAGGCATTACACACGTGCACGTCTCCAATAGTGGCGGGCGGTGGCTTTTTGTCCCCGGTGAAGCTTGACTATCTGGATGGTAAGTGACCGAGGACCGACTACGTCTATCTCACGCTCTCATATATTAAGCCCGGCGTGTCCTCTGTCTTGGCCTTCTTTCATTCAGTTCAATCCGTTCTTTCTCGTTCATTCGCTCCTCAATAGAGACTACCGCTTTTCTCCATTATCTATTCTCGCCCCGACCACAGTCACTCATTTCTTCTCAGGCCTTGACATCAGAGAGTCAGTTCGTTTCCAACTCTAACACACAATGAAGTTCTTCAGCACCGTCCTCGCCTTCTCGGCCCTCGCTGGCGTCACCCTCGCCGGCCCCCAGCGACCAGGAGGCTTCGGACGTCCGTCGGCACCTATTCACACGTTCGAGCCCCAGAGCAGCGACAGCGCGGCCTCCAACTCGAGCCCCAGCTATGGCGGCGACAGCGGCAACAGCAGCAGCAGCGGTGGCAGCAGCGGCGGCGGCGGCGGCGACGACAGCCACGACGCGTCCACCACTGCCGCAGCCGCCACCACGACCGCGGCAGCATACCAGGCCGCGGGCGCCGCAACGACCACGACCACGACCACCACCGCCGCGTCGAGCGTGATCTGCCTGAGCACCGCGGCGGCGAGCAGCGTGGTCAACGGGTTCGCCTCGCTGCTGACGGCATACAGCAACGCGACGGCCAACTCGCTGCTGGCCTCGGACTTCTCGGACACGTCGGACTCGATCAACTTCCTGGCGGGCAACCCGCTGGGCAGCGTGACGTTCCCGAGCAAGCTGGCGTTCGAGCAGGGCCAGGGCACGCAGCCAGCCATCGGGTTCAACCTGCTCAACATCGACGCCATCACCTGCACCGTCATCGCGTTCCGCTGGGAGGCCATCCTGGGCAGCGGCAGCCCCGTCAAGGGCATCAACATCCTCTACACCGAGAACCCCACGGGCACCGAGGACGGCTGGCAGATCCAGAGCGTCTTCTCCGAGTTCAACTCGGCCGTCTGGACCATCGAGATCGGCGGCACCTGCGTGCCCCCTTCGCAGGGCCGGCGATTCCTCCACTAGACGGCCTCTGAAAGTCGCCGTGTGGCATGGACGGTGAACGATCGATTTTGTACTGAATTGAGATGGGTTGCTGAAGAAGAGGAGAGGCGAGACGAGGCACGGTGAAGATGGGAATTTTATGTGCGTGTGTTAAAGTACCAAAACTGGACAAGGAGTTAGGCTTGGGATTGAATCAGATTGGATTGGGACTGGGCGTTAGGGGATCAAGATCCGGATTTCGAGGACGTCGCAACAATGATAACGGCGGACCCCTCGCTTCTCTGCTTCCATCACCGACAATACCACCACCACTACCGCCCTCCCTACAGAAAGCAGATCTATCTACGTCGCCAGGGCGCTCCTCCTACCTCTCCTCCTCCGAGCTTGATACGGTGTCGATCTGATCAATGGTTTTCGGACGCGAGCGCAAGAAAGAGCAAGGAGAACTTATGTACCACCCCTTTTTTCCCCCCTCGATTCCACACGCGTCACGCATGGCCAAAACGAAGCACAGGGAGCAGGGAGGGAGCGAGGGAGAGAGGGAGAGGGTCAGTGGGCATGATCCCCCAAGGCGGATGAAGGGGAAGGGAAAGGGAGACGAGGGACTTTCTATCTATCTGTCGATGACTCTGTGCGTTCTTACATGCTTTATTTACATAGATACCTTACCCTTACTAACCCTTACGAGTTGCTTGTCCTCAGCGGATTGATTTATTGATGATCTTGATTTCTCTTTCTCGGTCTCTACCTTTTCGTCCTCTGACGCGCCCTCTCAGCCTGGCTCTGCTCATCATCTCAACTGGTCTCAGGGGCTAGTCTCGCACTGATACAATCGATGGACGGAGCTTTACAACATGTATGGCACCTTGCCTATCGATTTGGTTCTTTCTATCCTCTACTAGAGCATTACATACGGGGCCACAGACTACTAATTAAGGGGTGACATTACTTCCGTCCTCGCTCGCCGTCCACAGCGATACGCTCAACAGTCTTTGCTCCAATGTAGCTGGGCCATGCGCGGCAGCGTGTCAAAGCTCGAAAAGTTCCCATCCGTACTGACCCAGTCACTGGTGTTGCCGCTCAAGTACTTGCCCGCCGCCGCCGAGAAAAAACTCGTCACGTAGACATCGACCAGGGTCGAATCCGACGTGTTGGTTCCGACGCTGACGTTGGCTTGCACGTAATGTGGGGCCGAGGAGTAGCCCTGGTTGATGTGGACGATGTTGTCCCCGTCGGCGCCGAGGTCGTCCTTGGTCACATAGCCTGGTGTCTTGACCAGAGTGGTTGCGTTGACGGGGAGAGGGGCACGCTTGTAGACTTTATCCGTCTGCATGTTCGACAGCAGGTTCTTGGCCGAGGACCAGGGAGCTGTCATTCGGAGCCAATAGTTGGTGTAGGGGTTCGTTTGATATGCATTGTCGATCGTAAAAGGTCCCTTCAGGAGATCGTACCGGAACCCGCCAGTGTTGGTCAGGATGATGCGTGGCACGTTGGTACGGTTTGGAGCGACTACGACCGCAGGAAAGACAACAGTCGTAAGATAGTTGAACAGACTCTGGTTCGAGCTGATGGGAACCCGGTCAAGGTAGTAGTTGTCCGGGCAGCAGCCGAGCTTGTTGGTCAGCTGTGGGAGACTGTTCACCTCCGTGGTGATGTTCTTGCTGATCGTCACACCCAAGCTAGAGTTAAATGTCTGCTCATTGGTGTTGGTGTGAAATTCAAAACTATATCGGTTGAAGTCAAGATATTGTCTCGAGTAGGACAAGGTCGAGTTGGGGTTGGGCTTAACGCCAGGAACGGCCGAGGGTTTCTGGGTGATTCTCGTAGCATTTCCCATCGGCGACTTGGCTTTGGTGACACGGCTGGGCAAGCCGTTGACAGACACCCACCCCACCGTCTCGCAATATCTTCCCGAAGCAATGCCCACGGCCGACGCATCAAAGACAACGGCGTCCCGCACATGTCGATGACCCCCAAAGATCTGGATGGGCGTGGTAGGATGATGCTGGCGGATGGCCGCATAGATAAGACCCCATTCCGTAGAGTCTCGAAGAGTGATGTGTCCCGCGACCAGAAACATGTCGACATCGGTCCTCTTGACCTGTTGCTGGAACCAAGATTGTTTGACGGCGTCACCAACCGGAGTCACCACAGTTGCATTACTGTTGCCGGTGAAATTGAAAATAAAGGCAAAGGACATGATGCGGATGCCCATTTTGGTCTCCCAATATGCATAGCGGTTGGAGAAGGGAGTGGGAGTTCCCGTGAGATTGAACTCGACGTTGGAGGTGATGTAGCGGCCGCCCCAGTACGGAGCAAAGTTGCGATATGTGTCGTTGGCAATCTCCGTCGTATAGAGCTCATGGTTACCAATCGACAGCAAATCGTAGGGGAGCTTCTTGAAAATAGGCAGCGTGAGCTTTCCATTGGGCGTCGTCGCGTCTCCAAACCCGGTCCCGTCGTGTAAATCCCCCGAATCGATGAGTAGGAGGTCGACACCCAGCACATCCGCCTTGGCCTTCATCTTCTGCACAAAGTCGGCAAAGTCGCCATAGTCGGCACTGTAATTGTCATCCAGCAGATGGCCCGCGAGCCAGCCATGAGTATCTGTGGTGTGAAGGAAATTGATCTGACCCCAATGCAAGTCTTTGATCTGTTGCGGCGGCGTGGGAAGTGCAGCAGGCTGGATCCGCTTGGCTAGGTCGTGTTTTCTCATCAAGCTGTGGTCGACGTAGCCTCCAAGAACCGGGGATGTCCAGTCATGGTCGTCGCACGAGTGGGATGACCTGAGGAGCGTAGCGACGGCAAGTAGCGAAGTGAGCAACATAGCGGACAGCTCGAGAGAGCTCAGGTGACTCGCAAAGAACCAGCGACGATAGCTACACGGTAATAGGAAGAACTCACCTTAAGGGCAAGGCAAGAAGAACGGGCGGCCACGGCCTTATCACGCAGTGGTACAAGATGTGCAGGAGCTGCGGAGCGGTGCGAGCTTCTTCCACCTACTACCCAAGGTTGGTGGTACAGGTGAGTGAGCACATTGGGGTGCTACTGCAGGTATCCGCAGCATAGGCCTGCCCGATACGGTACTGGAAAGACGGAGGAGCCATGTCAGAAGGATGGATGAGGATGTGAAAGGCTCACAGCTTGCCAGGCTGAAAAGCAGGGATGGTCGAGGCCTGCACTCGTCAGTGGCTGAACCACCTCACAGCTGGAGCTTACCAGCGGTCCAGACGCAACCTACTGAGGAGCTTGACTTCAGGGCAAAACCTTGGACGGAAGCAAGGCGGTGTTCTAGCTCCTTGGATGGCGGCTGGGCACACGACACAGTACGCAAGAGGGAAGGACGGACAAGAGCACGAGGGGGAATCAATTGGAGAAGATCAGCGACGGCGAGATACGAAGAGCTGGAGCTGGTGGCAGCCGCCAAGGAAAAGGACAAACATCCACCCGCAGGTTGGCGCAGGCTGGCGCAGGCTGGGCGCAGCCAACCCGCTCCCCAAGATGCGCCTCTATTCTTCCTGATCGACTTCATGTTGTCTATCCTGACCCTTAGATACACTGCGAATCGCTTTATACCACTACCCGAGGTAGCTACCACGTCTAGATATCCGTCCAAGCAAGTGTCATACATCATGCAGAGCCTTATTTCAACATAGCCTCATCTCTTGTCATATTATTCATCATCACAATCAACACATGACCGGATTCACAGCAAATGACCCCTGTTAGAGCTTCGTTAGCACATCCTCGAAGAACGAAAACATCACCTTGCACCGCGAACTCACCTGGTTTTGCATCGCCAGTTCCGCAAACCTCCCCTCTACATCCTCGTCGTCTTCCAGAAGCTTGTCGATCACTTTGACATCGTCAATGGTCCAGAAATGCCGGAAAGCCGCCACGATGTTTTCGCTGTGCTTCTGCACCACATCGTCATCCACTGCGGCAAAGCAGAGTCGGTAATACTGCCAGCCTTTCTCTGCCATGATCTCGGGCGTCGGGCAGAACATGCTCCCCGGAGCAAGCAAGACGAGGAATGGATCGGTGGTAAACATAACCCAAAGGGCTTGGGCAAGTCGAGCATGGTCGACCTCGTTGAAGAGAGGGTGGGTCTCGAATCGTGCATGCAACCAGAGGAACATGCCAGCCATTGGGTAAGCAAAGTCGTACATCTGCGTCTTGTGCACCACCTCGTATTCCATATCGTCGGGCGCGAAGGTGTTCGATTTCGGCTTCGAATCTTGAATCAAGTACTTCCCGTCTTCAAGAGTGGACGCCATAATCTGCATGCGTCGCTCATAATTGCCCCGTAACCCCTCGAGCCATCGAACCCAGCCGTCCGCCTTCCACCCGCTGCCATCTTTGCTGCCTCCTTTGCCGGGATCGCCCTCTTCAGAGGGTCCAATGATAAGTTCTGCAATCATGCTCTGAACGAATCCGCTGGGTTGTTGAGTGCTGGTCTCGGTGATACGCAGGATTCTCTCCACCACCTCAGGTTGAGCTGTGATCCAGCCTAATCGGCAGCCTGGAGCAACTGTCTTGCTGAAGGTATCCAGTCGAACGACTCTTCCGTCCACGTCAACTGATAAATATGAAGGAACAAGACTGTCCAAGAATGGAAAACCGCCGGATTTGCCCCCAGCGGCGGTGTTGTAGTTGTATGAGCTGTCCGCGGGGAAGTTCTCTGACACAAGTTTACCCCTGGTCCTCATTGACATCTCGTTTGCGGAGGGATATTGCAAGTACCAGTACGGGTCGTCTTCGATAATAATGATGTCGTATTTTTGACACAGGGCATAAATTTCCTTCCGTCTTTTCACCGACAGTAATCCGGAGGTCGGGTTCTGGCCCATCCTGGTTTTGTTAGTGCATTTTTCTTTTCACCGAACTCAAGGTACCACTCACGTCACGGTATACATCAAATGTGGTCGCTTGCCCTTGTTCTTGTCCCAGCTCACAAGGACCTCCTCTAATCCACCTTTACCATACGCCATCATACCCTCATCGTCGATGGCCACTGGGACCACATTGAGCCCACGGGGTCTGGCAGCCTGAATGGCATTCATATACGCAAACTCTTCACATAGTATACCCTCACGCTCTCGGATCCAGTCCCTTTCCTCGTCCCAGATGTTGCTGAAGCACTCAATCGTCTTCGAAAATCCGTCTGTTGAGCCGCAGGTCAGAATCACCTCTGGGCCGTCCTTGTAGGGCACATTGGGATGGAGATTGTTCTGTGCAAAGGCCCGGATAAAGCTATAGAGGGGAGGATATCCTTGGGCGGTGCCATATTGCAGGGCCGTGGTCAAGTCGATCTTGCGTAGGAGGTTGGGCTCTGCTGAATCGTGCGGTACAAGCACCCGCGAGGCCGTCGAAGCTTCAGATAGAGATGGTTTTGCAGCTCCGGAGGCGGGGGGGTCGACAGGCTTGTTGGGCGTGGGCTTGAATCGATCGGGAAGCGCCGTTGATGCTTCCAACGTGTCATACGGAAAGTATCCTGGGTTGGGAAGGCCTGGCGATTGTTAGCTAGAACACAGGCCCTTGATCAGCAGGGACAACGTGCCTCCAGCAAGGTTTCCAATCCCCGGAATGGCAAAGTATTTATAGAAGGCCTTCATCTTGCTGGCAACACGCTGTTTGGTGACGCGCGAATACAGATGGGACATGTCCTTGGGCGCGGGCTTGTCGGTGGTTGTCGCCATGGCTGCGGTGATGGGTCGTCGAGCTGAAGAGAATGATTGCAATGGAATGTCAAGCAAAGTAAGTCAATGGAAATATCCTGAATGCCCAAACAAATACACAAGGAACTCCAGGCAGCAGAGAATTGTAATCAAGAACATCCATTTTGCATTGATCGATGACTATTTCACAATGGCATGGTTTGCCCGACTGCCGACTCCGATAGCGATAAGGAAGTTCGTTTGACCCCCGGATGCCCCGTTCCGCCAGTGGCTGCTGTAGTGAGGTTAGCGCCGCGTATTAGTCAGCCGTCAGCTCTCTTCGGCAGCTCGAGCTCCCGCGCCCTGTTGCAACTTGTTCGCAATCCTGATGGTCGAGGCCAGCACATGAGAACCACGCTGGAAGGTTTCAGGAAGGGATTTGTTGGGAGTCCTGCTGCCGTTGCCTTGGGGAGTATCGACGGGCTCTGGTGAATGTGTGCAACTGTATTGGTATTCTAGGCCGCTAGTGAGTATGTGCATGTTGCTTCCATCAACTCCTAATTTTCCTTCATTAGCATAACCCTGTGTCATTATGTTCTGGATTCATGTCCATCAGACCCATTCGCTGCCTTCGAGACTGTGCAATGGCGTGGGAGATGCAATCATCAAATTGGTGGTTCTCTCTTCGTGACCCGCATCCACATGTCGCTCACAATGAAGACTCCTGCGCTAAAGGATTTCCATGGATGCTGCGGGTTGACGATGGTGAACTCGAACTTTCGAAGCAGCTGCAGAAGAGACATGGGTTAGAATTTGATCCGGGAGAGAATGGCTCAAAAGCGAGTCTGTCACCAAACTTACCTGCGCGAAGACCTTGTTCAGTTCGATGAACGCAATGCTCTTCCCGAGACACGACGACCTCCCATAGCCAAACACCATGTCTACGTTAGCCTCCTTGCGCTTGATCTCCTCCGGCGTGCCTTCCAGGAATCGCTCGGGCCGGAACACTTTGGCATCTGGACCCCACAGTCCCTCGTCCAGGAACAGTCCGAATGCACAGTATCCGATTTTCGTCCCTGCCGGGACATAATAGCCATTGAGGGTGTCTCCCCCAGGCGGCACACACTTCGACTGGAGCCCTGTAACAGGCGGGTGAATGCGCAAGCCTTCCTTGATCACGGCCTGGAGGTACGGCAGCTTGCGGGCTTCAGAGTCCTGGATGGGATCGGAGATGTTAGCGGACGAAAGCTCGGCCAACAGTTTTGCCAGAACGGGTGGGTTGGTGAGAATATGAAGCATCGTCGCACGTATCGCTGACGCGGTGGTGTCGCTGCCGGCGAGGATCTGGACCATGGTTTCCGTTTCGGCGTCTTCGCGAGAGAGGCCATGTCGGAGGAATGATCCCAACATGTCCATCCGGGGTTTTGCTTCAGGTCGGAATCTTTCTGCGACCACCTCCTTTGCCACTCCCATGATTCTGCCTAGGCCATATGCATCAGTGTCCTTGGGCATCAGGAACTTCATGATTCGCGACTGGAAGACCTTGGACAGGCCTGGAAATGCCGCACACAGGATCATGGCTGGGATGGTGCTTTCGGTTGTCTGGATATAGTGGAACACATCCTCGTCCTTTTCGAGAAATCCGAAAGCCCCTCCAAACGCAATGGCGGAGAGGATGTCCAGGGTCAAATATTGCGCCTTGCGCGCGAAATCCATGGGTCTGAATTCTTCTGGGCTAGAGAGATAGTTCCGTTCGATGAGGTCGACCAGCTTGGCGATGCAGTCGTCGATTGACTGCTCGAGGGTGGGGTTCTCCTTGCCAGCATACTACCGAGAGCGTCAGCATACCACCCTCAGACATCGGAAAACAGCTTCTGTTCATATACCCCCGGGGCCATTTTGGCACGAAGCATTGCATGTCTCTCCTCGTTCCGCTCGGAGAGAATATTATCACGGTCGACTCGAAGGGCATCGTACCAGTCAGATCTACGGTACGGAGATCGAGCCGCACCCATTGTCTTGAGGATCTCGGGATCACATGTGATGAGGTCGTTCGGTCCGATGCGAACCAGCGAACCTAGGGAGCGGCGTGTCAGCCAGAAGTGAGGGTGGCAGTACACCTCAACCCGGGGGGGGGTTGTACCGTATTTGAAGCATTGTTCCGCAGACTCGATGTACATGGAACCATCCCAGGTGTGTTTGAGCAGCCATCCTTTGGAGAGGCCGGCAGAGAAGGGACCGGGGATGTGTCGCAGGCGGTACCAGTCGTAGAAGGTCTTTGCGAAGGAGTAGACCAAGTAGACCCCGAGCCCGACCCCAAGATAGGCGAGAGCGAGCATGTTTGCTTCGTGGGGAGTACAAGGGATAAATGTGATGTCGAACTTTGTGTTCACCGCGGGGAAGGAGTTTCAGATCTGATCTCGCATGGTACGTATTTGCCCTCTTTTGCGGGAGCCCTCTGGGATGGGCAACGGTGCCGATGCCCCTGTGGTGGATCGCAACGTGGAACGGACAGGACGAGATAAGGGAGGACTGACAGCCACGTCTGGGGGAAGAGGTTGCACAGCAGATGTCCAACGGCGACACCAAACGGGTCTGTTGCAGTAGTGGTTGTTGGTGGCAGCAGGGAGTGACGGTTGAGGGCGCAGTGGTATTGGTTGCTGGGGTGGCAAATCTTCAGCCGATTTCCAGTGTTTCCACAATTCTTCACGGCACGAGGGGGAGCTACACGGGCACCAACCGGGGGGAGCTGGACATAGCTAGTGAAGGTCTCGATTCGACTGGGCCTGGTCCCAGCTTAAGGCCTGAGGTGGTGTTCCTGGTGAGGGTTTGTTTCCATTCACTTGCATCTCTGTTGCATATGGCCACCAAGTCATTACTGCTACCGAGTACTAAGTGCCCAGCTCCTCCAGCTCGCTTACAGCCGCCCAGACTACGAAAGAAATATCCCAACCACATCTGCCGGTCTACAACATGCTGGCGTCCTGAGTCGGCTAGGCTATTCGGGCTTTGTCCCACTGATGCAGTATCTGATGTTTCACCCGTCAGTCATGCCCATCTCACAGATCCGAGACATGGAGGGGTTGCTCACATGGGCCAGAACGCATGATACCTCGTGTTCCGCATGTCTTTTCGGACGTCGATCAGAAATGCCTCCAGCTCATCTGCCGTCCAAGCCAAACCTCGTGTAAAAAGGGCCAGGCTGATGCCCGACAGAGACGTTGTGAAATTGTGGTAAGTCCAGACTCCTGTAGAATTCCGCTTGGTGAGCAGGCTGGCCCCATCGCTTCCAGTCCAGACTGATGCAGACTCACCGATCTTCTTCAATGTCGGATCTTTCTTCCAGGGGCTCATGGGCCAGATGTAGGGCGTTTCCTCCACGTCGACGAATCCGGTCTCAATCATAATTCTCCTCACTGACTCGACACTGTCAAGGGGACACCCCAGCTGCTTACTTGCTTCAAGCATGTACGCTGCCCATTTGGCTAGTGCCGAGTCCGCGGGAAGGGTTCCGTCCTCACACGCGAGATGGAACGAGATATCCTGAACCTCGAGCATCGCGCCTGGGGCAAGGTTTCTGCGCAACAATATCAGCTCGAACGACAGTTTTTGGTCGCTTTGGCTCAAAAAGGACCCTCCTTACTCGTAGCATTGCCGAATGAATCCGCGCCAATCTGCAACAGCACCCGTCATGAATCGGCTGAAGATGAAATCGAATTGGTAGCTGAAGACCCATGGCTGGCCAACGTCCATCACTTCGAACCTCACGTTGGGCGGCACGCTGCTTGCTAAATGAGCAAACGAATGCTGGGAGTCTGATTAAACTTACTACGTGGGTTGCACAGGGCTGACATCCACTCCTAGCACCTTTCCTCTGTCAACTGTCATTCACGTGGAGGCCATGGCGGCAGCGTCAACTCACGATGGCTTCCGGATGAAGATCACCTTCGACAGCATGTCAGTCGTCTGTCTCCTCAGACTCGGGAGAAGCATTCCCTCTCTTACCGAATTCGACAGACCAAATGCCCGTGCCGGTACCGATATCTAGAACTCGGTGCAAATCTCTCTTCTTCTCAACACCACAGGTCGATAGTTGGTTATTGAAGGTCATCTTGAGTAGATGATGTTGGAGGTCTGGTTAAACTTGCAGTCAGTGGACCAGCGAAAGCGATGGCACCAGAACAAGATACTCTACCTAGACGATCTAGCTCAATCTGTCAAGGCAACAGCGTCAGTAAACTCGTCTCCAACCTGCAGGGCAGATAACGGGTCGAACTCCCATACCTCATCATTGGGCAGGACATACGCTGTAGAGAAATTAGTTCCAGGTTCAGGAATGGTCCAGTGACGTACTTCGCTCGCCGTAAGCGTTGTATGTTCTGCCATGTTCCTGAATGTAATCAAAGACGCTTGAAGTCAGAGAAGACGTGGACAAAAGATCATCTTCCTGTATGGTACATCAGCTTTCAATCTTGGTCTTGGGACGGTGGGAAGCTCACATCTCCAAGGGCCGAGTCAACCTCGTCTGCGGCGTCTATGGGGACCTCCTATGAAACAGTATCAGTTACCAGCACGAGCGACTTAGAAGGCAAAGACCGTGATCAACCCTACTGGCTCAGAATCAGGGTCGGGGACCGAGTCATGATCGTCCACTGGGAGTGACATGAGGCAGACAGGTCGCAGAGGATGCCGATTGAGCAGGAATGATGGAGGCTTCCATGGAAAAACGTGTCCGCAGAGTCAATTTGAAGGGACTCGTATTTGTTTGCTTCGAGACATACTCTGAGGCCCTCTGCAAAGGGCAGATCCTGGCTTGTCCAGTCCGTGTTACCATTGTGGACCCTTGTCTGCTGGTTCCCTTCTTCCCCCAAGAAAGACCCTGGTGCAACGTATGTGGTGAATGGGGGATTTGAGCACCGTCCAGTTCCCGCTGGCTGCATTGTGTATTCGCCACCTCTTCCAGCATGGTGCAACGCGGATTAGTCTGATTTGATCTCCTGCCATGTGGCCTAGCTTGTGACACAAGATATTAGCGAAGGGATCAGGGTTTCCCACTGGTGTCAACATTGTCCTAGGGCTGTCGATCGACGAGCATGACATTCTGATTGAGTTCAACGGTCTCAACAGTGGAGGGCTTCAGAAGCTTTGCTGCCGCGCACCGGATCGTGATATGCAAGGTCTTTTGCCTTTGCTGACAATACCTTTCGGTTTGCAGCAGGTTGCTGGAGAAGACCCTTCCTGAATTGCTGCCGCGTGCGACGAGTGTGTCTGCACGACGCCCATTTCGGATGTGATTCGGTCTGTGTCACCACGTTACGTCAACGTTAACATCTGCCGGCGACGTGTTGGAACCCGCAGGTGGGATGTTACGTAGGAGGAGGGCGTCGTCGTGGCATGGGCCAAGGCAGTATCCGAGCCTTTGCTTGCAGTCGGACAGGGTTCTAGGCTCATGGTAGCCCGTTTGGCTAGGCGACAGGCTGAGGGCAGATTCGTGTCGGCTTTGTCGTTGCTTTTGACTGGTGGGATGCTCATTTCTCGACAGCGCGTGGAACTTGGCGGCTAAGAGACGCGTGGGTGGAAACTGCCCCCGCTGCTATCTCGGGAACTCAAAATAGGTTGGACGAGGAGTTCGCGGGGGGCTTGTCTCAAGGACGCCAATCCACGTTGCCCGGCAAACGGCCACATGAAAGCGCTTTTGGCACTCTGGAAGAGTGATTGCGAAAATCCCACCGCCGACTGCCCCCAAGGTGCTGGCATGCGTCTTTCAGCATGAACAGGCTGGTGTACAGTGCAAACATCTCGGAATAGGCCTCTGGGTCTGCCGTTCGGCTACATCATACACGGGATCGGATGGGATGCACGGTGCTGCAGGGTGCGTATCTCGTCACGGGCCACGAAGGTGGAAGATACAACAGCGAGAGTGAAGTGAACAGGGCGTCCACTGGGTACGCTTCTCCGACCTACTTAAACGCCATCATCAAATAGCCTCTCTATCTCGCAGACGTCGATCTACCGTGTCCCTCATGGCGGCACAGGAAGGTGAGATTTGGCGCGTTCGTCGGCCCTCCACTGCTCTCACTACCCAGCCTCGGCGCTGTGATCCGCCACAAATACCTCGCAAGACTGAGGATCAAACCTCAGGCTTCAGCAGTGTTCAATGGAGGTTCGACGTGAACAATGCACAGCACGACGACAGACGAGCTCTCGTGACCAGTGAACCTCATTTCTCGAGGGCGCGTGGAAGGATTCTTATACAACCTCAAGATCTTTCAGTGCAAATACGAGGCCGTTAGGGAATACCTCGATCCACGTCGCTGGCATCCAGCTAGTCTGTCACTGCCGCAATTTCTCCAGTCTAGCATTTGGTTCCTAGTGAGTTCTCAGTCCGTCGAAACTGGTCTCTCACGCACAATGTGGTGGTTGCAGGAAGCAGAATGCCTAATAAGCCCGTCCAAGACAAGCCAAGGCTATATAAATTTCGCCTTGGTAAACCTGCATCCTTACCCTGGCGCTGGTGGGCCACGGTATTGCGGCGTAGGCAGCTCATGTACCTGGTGTCCATCCAACTCCGCGGGACGCGCCTTGCCCAGGAGCTCATGTCGTCCATACGGGCTCCTGGAAATTTCCAGCTCGTGCACTTCTTTGCCAGCAAGATGCCTATCCCTTTTCCCGGCAGATCCCTGTTGTCGACGCTTTCTCCGCCACCAGAAGATGACGAAACCGAGGAGAATGAGAAAGATGGTTCCCAAGGGCACCGACAGGCCGATTGCGATCTTTGTCGTCGTCGTCATGCCAGAGCCGCCGGAATCGCCGGAGTTGCTGGAGTTGCTGGGGTTGCTGGAGCCACCGCGATCGCTACTCGACGGCGTGGAGGGTGGCTGCATAGTCGATGTTGCGAGCCTTTCTGCGGATGGCGACCAAGTCTTCTCCGGTCCACTTGGTAGGACGATACTGAATGAATCACTCCTTGCGATGAGTTTCGTCAAGTACCATTCACCCTCTGTCGCTCGATAGGATTCTTCAACGAGGTTGAAATGAAATGAGCTTCCATACATGCCATCGGTGAAGCCATAGAGGTCATGGATTTTCAACGTGAAATTTGTGGTAGTATACGTGAAGTCATCGAAACCAGCAAGGACTGTCTCGATCGTAAGTGTGCGTTCTAGCACCGGGCTAAGATTTTCCCGATGATGTCGGATACTTACAGCGGTCGGTGGTTGTCCAAGTGAAGTAGGTGTCGCCCATCGTTTGCATACTGAGTATTATCGCCGGTGGCACCGGCTTGTCCCATACGAAGACAACAGTGTCATTCACTGCGAAATAGTCCGTGTCCCGTCTCTGTGGATAGATAATCGCCGCCGCATGGTCAGACATGGTATTGGGAGTGGCTACTGGATAGTTAGACGGCTCAATATAGAAGCCTTCGCTGTCGATAGTCGGAGACGCGATGTAGGAAGTGTCGTTCGATTCCAGCTTCAGGTAGTGCGGCAACAGAAAGGCGGCAATGTTCTTAACAGTCCAAACATACCAGCCGGGGTTCGGGGTCAGAGCTTGTTCAGTCATTCAGCAACTTGTGATCAGTAGAGCGAGGACGTCAAAAGTCAAATGCAACGTACAGAAGAGTGGCCACGGGTCGTTAGCAGCCGTCCAGAATGAAAGGTTCACAAATTGCGCATCTGTCTCCCATGTGAAATTGATAGCAGCACCTTCTGTTAGTGACCTGTTCGGGGCTCCGGTTGGCGCTGTAAATCGCCCAAGAAGAGTCGGCGATGGGACCGGTGTGGTCGAAGTAGGCATGACCGTCACATACTCAGTGTCAAGTATGGTGTCATTCGTCACTCCATCGGTCAACATAAAGTAGCCTGGTACCCCAATAATGGGTGATGAAAGATCTGTCGGAATTTCCCACAACGCCCAGCCTCTGTTGGATATGTTTTCTGTAGATGTGAGTAACCTTCGACATGCCCGGCGAGAGACAGTCGTAAACTCACCGGCAATATTTACAACGGTAACGATACTACCTCCTACAATGGAGGTCGGGACATAGTGCAAGCTGACGAAGGGGTTTATTATGTCCCACGTGAGGTTTACTGTCTCTCCCATCACAATCTGATCGTAATGTCGCGGAAAGCGGAAGCCATATCCGTGTGTCGGCTTGCAAAGACATAGCGCGATGAAGAGTGATGCCGTCAAACCGAGAGAGTCGGCCATTATCGAGGAGTTCGCCAGCAGGTTCAGGAAAAAAGGAAAAGAGGGAGCATCCTCAGACAGATAACGGTACTGAAAGAACCCCTCTTCTCAGCCTGACCGAGACGTGCGCCCGAACACTGAGAGGGGGCCAAGAGCCCAAGAGCAACAGCATATCGTCTCTCTGCCATTTGTCGGACCTAGAGAGGCAGATGAAGTAAAGAGTGCTAAGCTGCTTTACCGAGCGGTGCTAAGAGACGGCACGTCGATAGTGAAGAACGTTGGTGGTGATTCTGAAGTCGGAGACAGGTCTAGTGATGGGCTGAACAGGGAGACTCTGCACCACGGCACAGAGCCTTACCCCAATCAGGACCGAGTGCCGGCGTTCACCAGCCAGCACAGCACCTTGGTTCCATTGGTTTACATTCACGAGCCCTGCTCCGACAGGGCGTGCGCACGGGACTTGAAATGGGGTCTGCGTCGTTTCTGTCCCTAGAGAGATTTTAGATCATAAACCACAACTTTCTGTTATACGCACGTGAACAGCAGAGAAGCGAAGACGGGCAGCTCGGCTGTAGGGGACAACGAAACAGCCAATGACTGGCCTTAGTGCTTGCATTTCGACAGCCGTGTGATCGGCAAGAATAAGCCTTGTCTTCTTTTGTGGCGTCTTGTCACCCAGAACGCATGCATGATTAAGGACCGGGGCGACAGGCAATTGAGGTCGCGTGCGGCGCATTCCGGTCTACCCCCACTGGCAATCTGCAGGTGTTTCCCCGTAGTAATTTGGGCACTTTCGAAGGCCCTAGAAAACCTATAAGCTGGGTGTGTCGTAGAACAGCATCTCAATTTCGAGATGATGATCGCTAGGCGACATCGCACTGGGCAATACGATTACGTGAAGCTTCACCGTATATCCCTGCGCGGCCGGGAATGCTGAGTAAAATCTTGGCATTACAGCCTCGACCAATGAGATTCATGGCCCCCACCAATCAGGGCTGTCTAAGAGACCTTCTGCTACGTCTTCTTTATCGCTATTTTTCAGCACTGTCTCTTCCTTCCATGTTTTATAATTTTGCTATAGTGTAGCTAGGCTCCAGGTAATATATCTATCGACTCGAGCTATCTTTGAAGGCTCAATTGCGGGCGTAAAAGAGTGCCAAGACTTTACTCAGCATTCTTGGCCGCGCAGGTGACTATAGAGGGCGTAGATCTCCCGAAGATTGTGGCTCCCGGAACTTTGCCAGTACTTATGCTCCTGAATCCCTCCTTTTCCTGCTCGGTGATGGGCGGCAATCCCTTCTCAAAACCGCTGGACTCCAGACAGCTCGTCCAGATACCAGCATATATCCTGACTATCGTCGAATTCAAGGGTACAGAATCCACTGCCCAAGCAGCCGAACCGGTTCTTGGACCAGTATTCGATTTCATCGTCTTCAAACTTCGGGTGTTTCACCGTGTCAAAGAAAGCCATCCTCGTGCCAGGCCACACAATCGGAGAGCCGTCTTTCTCGCCCTGCTTGAACCAGCTTGTGCACGGGTCAGACCAACAGGTCCGGGGGGTGAAAGTATTGGCGTGCTCGATAAAATCTCGCACAATGGACGCCTTGGGAGATAGCCTCCGGATGTGTTCTTTGCGCATCTTCGTGACGATTTGCATGAAGTGCTTGCTCAGCAGCGATAGAATCGGGAGCAGGGAGCCCTGCGCGGTAGGGGTGTAGGCTCCAGAATAGGTCAAGTAGTTCGGATACCCATCGACGCCGATAGCGAGATAACTTGATGGCTCTTTGGCAAACTTGTCGGCGAGCGACTGGTTTAGGTCGAGGCCGGTGATCGGGAAGCGCGGGCCTGCTTGACAGTTCGTCAGTCTTGTTCTTTTCGCCAATGATTTTCGCACTTTCGAAATCATACGGCAAGAAGTGTCAAAGCCCGTCGCACAGATGACTACCCAGGCATAAAGTTTCGAGGCTTCGGGGTACACGGCGGTGACGCACTGGGTACCTGAACTGCCGGACTCGATGATCGCCACTCGTTTGTTCGTGAGATCAAACCCGGGATCATAATTCGCGGTATGGAAGACGTACCTCGTGAAAGTCTTGATGCCCGAGATGTCTGGCCACTTCCAAGCACTAGAAACTGTCAGTTGACCAGCAGATGCATGTAGGGACTGGGCGTTGCACAGTTCTTGTGGAAGCCGGTCCCATTGAGTAGCAAATCACATTTGTCCTCCCAGCGCTTGATCTCCGAAGACGATGAGTAGTACTTCTTTCAATAGGGATACGGTCGCCATGGGAACGTATAGGCGGTGCTAGGAATGTCACAGGCGCATCCAGGACATCGGTTTTCGTACCAGGTGCCGCCAACCTCGGGGTTTTTGTCGTAACACACAAATTGGACGTCGAGATCTTTGAATATCAGTTTGGCATGATGGATAAAGTCAATCCCCGCCGCCCCAGCACCTAGCATGATGATCCTGAAGGTTTTGCCCGGCGGAGGCTCTCCTATCATGTGGTCCGATACCACATATCCGCGCGAACTGGGGATGTCCCATTCTGGATGATGAACTGGACACACCTTGGAGGATGGATGGGCAACCGTCGAATTACTGCCCAACCGACAGTCGCCAGGAATACCATATTGCAAGAATATCTCGTTTGGTTGGATTGGCCTTGTTTCTTTCTGCATATGCATCGCAACTCGACTCACAGCTGGATCCACACTGACTGCGGCTGCGCATGTCAGTCCCGCTGCGCGGATGCGCCATCACTCAAATATCGACCTCTCGACCTTGTCTCTCCACACAGCAAACGTGATAACCTACCCAAGTGGTACTTTTGATAGCCATTGCCGGCGGTCTTGTCTGCAGCCAATCAATACAGGTGGCTACAGATACCATGCCAAAGGGACGTGTTTGGTCAGGGGCAACAACAGTCGGCGGTTCCGGTGAGCTCGCTCGGCATTATGCAGGTTCCATGATTGGGCCGGCTTCAAAGTGGGTCAGCTAGAGCCTGACCGGGGCCGGGGAGACCAGGGCAAGGGAGTCCAGGTGAAGGACGGCAAAATGTGCGACGAGCAGCTGATATGTCCTCTGAATGGAGGGATGGGCTCGATTCCACCCCTCAAACACGGAATCTCATCCCAATGCCCGGGGAGTGTTCTAAAAGGAAGACTGGAGAAATACTAGGGACTTGCAAGGCTGCCTCCTCGGCATGTTACCCCGCAGCCACTTGCTGGGCATATCCGGGGCGCATAACATAACAGCAAGGGTATCGGACTGCTTCTCGGTTAACCCCTATTGCTTCTGCTATCACTCTCTTTCTCCTTGTTGTCGACACCCGAGAATCCCGAGTCGCAACCTATGCCGGTCAGATGACTGAAGTCATTGACAGGCTCCGCCAGCGAGCGGGCCGGGCTTGCGATCGTTGTCACTCCAAAAAGGTAAGTGCCTCCAGTCAATCCTTGGCTCCACCGCAGAACCGACTCACGCTCGAGCAAGATAAAATGTATTTTCACCGTGCGTAACGATGCGGCTACGGCAAAGTGCCAGAACTGCATTGGCGCTCAGACTGTCTGCCAGTGCGTGGAGAGCCCCGATCCTTTCCGCTCTTACCTGACACAGCCATTTCCTAACTGCCGCAGCTTGCGGCCATCGAATCGCGGTCGGCGGAGACGAAGGCTTCTACCTCTTCTCGCCCCCAACCGCCTTGAACCACATGGCATCGCCTTGTTTCAGGATCATGGTGAACCGGAACGACCTTCGCCAGACGATTTCGAGGGACACCATCGCGTCGAGGATGACTCTCACCTTTTGTTGGCGACATATCCTATCGCAGACGACGCACGCGATCAGGTCTCTCCCGCATCAACTACATTCAACGCGCAAACCTCGAGCGCTGGGCAGAGGGTGTTGAACGTGGAGGCGGGCGATAAATCGACCCCAGCGACGAAAAGCTCGGATCTTGGGCCTGGTTTGACGGATGATGACAATCATAAACGCCAGGACTTTCAGAGCTACCTAGGAGATAGTGGGTGCATGCAGATTTTTGGTGTCGATAATGCCGAAAACCACTCAACAGCAGCTTTGTTGGTGGACCGGCACAGTGACCTCGACAACATTCCGCACCCACTGATGCAGAGCTACCTGGAGACATATCTCAAATATATCTACCTCTGGTGCCCTGTCCTGGACACCCAGATGCTTCAAGCATCGGCAAGAAATCTATCCTCCCCCATGCTCAGGCATGCCATCGCTCTGTGTGGCACACATCTCAGGCCGCCTTTGATTGCTCACACGACAGCTGCAGATCACTACAGACGAGCAAAAGGCCTCTTTTATGCCAACCATCCCGACAATCCACTGTCACAGCTGTGTGCCATTATGTTGTTCCATTGGTACCGCCTAGATCAGCCCAACTTGATCAGCATGGACAGCAACTGGTGGTGGATCGGGACAGCGGTTCGGTTGGCCCAGCAGATGGGCTTACACCGTGAACTTGGCCCTGGTGAGTCAACCCGCCATGGGGGGACCCCGGCGCTGAGGCGAAGGATATGGTGGACCTTGTTTGTGAGTTTTGCCCACCTGAAGTAGTGAAACATCCTTTCCTAACACTTTTTCCAAGACCAGGGACCGCATCGCCGCCCTGGCGCAAGGAAGGCCTATTATCGTCGACACGGACTCATGCGACGTGCGGATGGTTACCTGTAACGACTTTCCGGAGCCAGAAGACCTGACCGCCGTGATTTTCGTTCACTGGGTGCGTCTCTGGGATGTCGCAGGACAGATAACCAAAGAGCTGTCTCGAAGAAGAGGTGACCATGGCAAAGGCACCCTCGCGACGGAGTTGATCAACTGGGTTCAATCCTTGCCTACTTGCCTGCAGCTGCCGGTAGGTGACTTGAACACGCTCAATTTTAATCGAGATGTGTACTATTTACATCTCGGCTACCTCACCGTGGTCACCCTGCTACATTTCACAAAGGGTCGAGGATCGATCCCGAGAGCATCGATCCCTGCCATTGCGGCGGCTTCGGGCATCGCGCGCATCTTCAACGCGTACTTGAGTCGAGGAACCATCCGGGTCCTGGGCTGCGAGGCCAGCTGGTACTGCAGTGTGGCTATTCTGGCTCTTCTTCACGCACAGAGCGTCGAGGGTCTGGCGTCCAACGCCGAGGCGGACATTTGCATCTTACGAGTCGCCCTCAAGGAACTATCTGCATTCTCCAACACCGCCCAGATGTTCAATATCGGCATTGAGAGGTTGCTCAGAGCGGAAGCCGGCCCTGCGTCTCCCTCACTGCCGCGATCGCTCACACAGCCAGGCAACTACTATCATTCTCGCGCAGGCGGTCCCGATGACAGTGCTGCAGCTGACAATCTGGAATGGATGGACTACTTTCCCAACGTCACCGCCGAGACAAGCACACTGATGGCCACTTTGTTGGTCAAACATTGTATGGCAATGCCGTTCCCCGAAATTGAATGGCCAGACGATGTCACGCTGCAGCTCTATGACCTGTTCAGAGACATTGATGTACATAGTGATGGTGTTCCTTTATTTTGATGAATGGCATGCCATCTCACCCGGGGAGCAGATCCGTATAGAAAGACGAGGCTAAGTTAACCACTGAAATACCGAGTAATTACACTACAGCCGACTTGACCCGGGCAACAGTCACACCAAGCACCGGGGCCCCCGCAACGACACCCCCTGAAGCAGTGCCAATTGTGGAGTCCGGAGAAACATCCAATGAAAAGGATGCCCGCTGAATCAAGGGCCGAAACGAGGACATATGGTGGAGAACAGGATGCCGGGGTGTCTCCTTCCCATTTGCGACTTTGCCGATGACAACTCGAGGTTGGAGTACGATGCCTCTCTCCCTCGGGAGCAAGTACAAAGGTGATATAGGCAGGCCACATTCTGGGGCTCGAGTTTCCGAGGAGAAGAACAATATCGTCGCCGTCACATACACAACACTTCGTGGCTTGCATCAAACTCACCAAAAATACTCCAAGCTTGGCCCAGCATGAGCGTCGAGGGAAAGGTCTTCGCTGTCACGGGAGGAGGCTCCGGCATGGGGGCTGCAATCTGCACCCTTCTCGCCCAGAGGGGGGCTCGGGCTGTCGCGGCAAGCGACATCTCCGACCAAGGATTCGGTGCTCTCAAGGAGAGAGTGGCCAAGGCGAACCCCCAGACCCAGCTCTTCACCACCGTCCTGGACGTCACGAAATCATCCGCGGTGGACGACTGGATCACGGCCGTCGTCCAGAAGTTCGGGGACCTGCACGGGGCGGCCAATGTGGCCGGCCTCCCCCAGCCGCTCAACCAGAGGCAGTCCCCGGCGATCCTGGAAGAGTCCAACGAGGACTGGAAGCGCGTGATCGGCGTCAACCTCGACGGCGTCTTCTACTGCACGCGGGCCGAGATCGGGGCCATGAAGGCGCTCGGAAAGGCCGACCGCGGCATCGTCAACATCAGCAGCATGGCGTCCTTGAAGCACGACCCCGACATCTATGCCTACCGCACCTCCAAGGCCGCGGTCGCCCATTTCTCCCAGAGCGTGGCCAAGGACTGCCAGCACCTGGGCATCCGTGTCAATTGCATCTCGCCAGGTAAGCTTCCGCAACCTTTACCATATTCCCGCGCCGCACTTTTGCGCGTGGCAAGGCTGCAGAATTTGATTAAGACCCGTCTCTCGCAGGATCCACCGAAACCCCCATGCTGAGCAAGTTTGTGGCTGGCAACGAGGCCCAGCTGGCAGATTGGAAGGCGAGAGGATGGCAAATGATTCGTCCCGAAGATGTTGCCCGTGTTGCCGTCTGGTTGCTCAGCGAAGACTCGGCCGAGGTTTTTGGGACCAACATCAACGTTGGCGCGGCATTGCCCTGAATGACATCGCCATGTTGTAAGGCTACAGTGTCCACAGCACACAATAAACACATTTACTCACAGAATTTCATTCCCGTTTCCTCCGTTTCGAGGGGCTCTGCCATCTCCAGTTTCATTCTTCGCTTGAATTTGAGACCGGTTCCCAAGTATACGAAGCAAGAGAGGTCAGAAAGCACGAGAGATAAGATGTAAAAAGCGAGGGTCATTGTGCTATCAGCGTCTCTACTCAATGGAGCGGCCGAACAAAAGCAGCACATGAGAAATTGCGTGCACAACTAGATATGGAATTCGCTCCGTCTCCTTGTTAATACCTATCGTCTAAGCTGGAGCAGACATAAGCTTCATCCCACTGTATCCACTGGCGGCTTCGTCCGCACATCGTTGGCGGAATGAAGGGCCACTGCCGCTGTATCGGGCGACGATTCGGTTCTGCCGCCCTTCTACATTCTTGTTGACGCCTGTGATCCAGGAATCGACGCCGCTGGAGAGCAGGTTCTTTGCCAATCCGGCCACGGTGTTCGTCCAGTCATCCACACTCTCGGGCTTCGGCTCGAAGTACACCGTGTTGTGGTCGCGGGCGTATTTGAGAAGGTCGGCGGTCCACTCCACGCTGCTCTGAATGCTGAGTGGGATATTGCCCAGCGCGCCGTGCGGGCCCATGATCATGCCCATGTTGGGGAATCCTTCGACCGTCAGGCCCAAGTACGTTCTCGGCCCGTCCTTCCAGGCGTCCTTCAAGCGGCGCCCGCCGAGACCGCGGATGTCAATCCGGTCAAAGGAGCCCATGATGGGATCGAATCCCGTGGCGTAAATAATCACGTCGAATTCCCGTTCTGTGCCGTCGGCCGTCAGGATGCCCTTCTCCGTGACTCGCTCGATGGGAGTCGCAGTGAGATCCACCAGCTCGACGTTGTCCTGGTTGTAGACTTCGAAGTAGTTGGTCTCGAGTGGCACGCGCCGAGTTCCAAATCCATGGTCTTTCGGGATCAGTTTCTCTGCCGTCTCCGGATCCTTGACCCTCTCACGGATTTTCTTTGCGACGAACTCGTTCAGGAGGTTGTTGGCCTCCTGGTTCACGAGCACGTCCTTGTAGTTGCCCATCCAAAGCCCAAACCCGGGCGAGTCATAGAGTTTCTGCCAGAATGCTTCTCGCTCTTCCGGCGGAGTCTCCAGCGCGGCCTTGGGGCTCGCGCGGTGGACGAAGCCACCGAAGGACTCGCGGCAGTACTGGAACAGCTCCGGATATCCAGCTCTGATCTTGTCCATTTCTGCCTGGCTGATCTTGCTGTTGTGCAGCGGCGCGGCCCAGTTGGGCCGGCGCTGGAAGACGGACAGATGGCTGACCGTCTTGGCTACTTCTTGGATAGCTTGGATGCCGGAGGCGCCTGTGCCGACCACAGCCACGCGCTTGCCATGATAGTCTATCCCGGCTTTTGGCCAGCGAGCAGTGTGCGCCCAGGGTCCTTTGAAATCCTGCAGTCCGGGATAGCGTGGAAGCGTGACTGCGGAAAGGGGGCCGACGCAAGTGATGAAGAAGCGCGAGGTGAAGCTTTCGCCTTTGTCCGTGGTCAGTTTCCACGAATTGTTCTGTTCATTGAAATGAGCGCTGACCACCGGGGAGGAGAACTGGATGTATGGGCGAATGTTGTATTTGTCGGCCACGAATCTGATGTACTTGTGGATTTCCGGCTGAGAGGCAAAATGCTCCGACCAGTTCCATTCCTTGAGGATTTCTGGGGAGAAGGTCAAAGCATAGGTGTAGCTTTCAGAGTCCACGCGACATCCTGGGTAGCGATTCCAGTACCAGTTGCCGCCCACGTCCGTGCCGGCCTCGAGAACTTTGACACGGAGCCCCAACTCAAGAGCCTTGATCAGAGTATAACATCCGGAAAGGCCTGCACCGACGATCAGGACATCATAGTCCAGCGCCGAGGTCCCATTCACATGGTTCCCGTTGACTTGTGTGCTCGACATGTTGATTACGGTGGTCACTGGTGTGTCCTGGCTGTCGAGTCTCGGGAGACTGTGCAGATCAATATCGTGCTTTCTTCTTCACAGTGTGCGTCCTATATTCCATCTTAAACCTACCCTGGTAATACTCTTTCTGTCGCCCGAGGCTGTTAGTCCAGGCCGGCCGGAGTATTCTGGGGTGCGGAGACGAGAAGCGTGGAGCACAGCCACAGCCATTGAAGAGCAGTTTATCATAGCCGGGGTCCTTCGGTCTCCTGTCCAATCATCCAAGACTTCTATTATAGCCGGAGCTATTGTCCACTAATTTGTACTTCGGTGGTTGTAACCAATGACCATAGTTGCCCAGTGCCCATCCAACACGCCGTGGATACCCACATCTGGCCTATTACTCAATACCTGGAACCCTGCAGACGCTTGCCATAGTCCCTTGGAAAAGGATCCAATAAACCCGAGGTGCAAGAAGCGAAATGAGACTGCGAGATCGGAAGGTAAGGTTTGCGACTGACTGCTTCCTCGTCTGCCATGCCCCGAGGCTGTTCGTATACAGGCCGTGTGTTGCTCTCGGGGCATTGGCCGTGCCGAGCAGGTTGCCCCAGATTCTGCTCCCCAGACCTGGAACAATTCCATCAGAGGGCTAGTCGACCCCGTGGGAGGGGATCTTGCACGAGCCGGATTCGCCATCTTGCTTATAATCGAGAACACTATCCACCTTCTCAGTTCTGGACTGTGCACAACTCAAACACCCGCCTCAATGGAGACCCTCGAAGCAAAGCCTCGTCGACACTACACCACTGCGACCATCTGGCACTGCGCCGGTGTGTCGTGGGGCACTGCAGCCTATGGCTACGGTGCCTCAATCATTGCAACGACGATGGGTCAGCCGTCATTCTTGCACGAGATGGGTCTCGACACTGCCTCCAATGTCTCTGCCCTCCTCGGCGCGGCCAACGCCCTCTTTTTCGTTGGCGGGTTCTTTGGGGCTCTCGCCGTCGCCATCTTTGCCGATAAATATGGGCGCAAGCCAGTGATCGGCGCTGGTGTCCTTACATTGCTCATCTCCACCGCTATCCTTGCTGGCTCAGTCAACATTGGGATGTTTATAGCCTTCAGGTTCATCTCGGGGATCGGGTGAGTAACTTCGAAAAACCGCGGACAAGCTGTGCTTCCACGCCTGTAATGGCGATGTAATTGCTAAGTTGGTTCGTAGGGCATACATGGCTCTGACGGGCATTCCTCTCTGGATCGCCGAGATCGTACCACCAAAGGATCGGGGTGTGCTGTCCGATATTAATCCCATCTTCATCAACATCGGCTATGTCTCCGCTTCTTGGATCGGCGTTGGCTTTTTCTTCTATAAGAACGCCGACTCCTGGCGCGGGCCGATCGCCATTGGCTGTCTTCCGTGCATCCTGTGCTTGATCTGCTTGTGGTTCGTTCCTGAGAGCCCGCGATACTATCTTCTGAAAGATCGCGTGGAAGAAGCCGAGAGAGTTGTCCGAAAGGTTCACATTCGCCATGGCCAGGAGGATTTTGCAGCCGTCGAATTCGCGCAGATGAAACAACAGATCCAGTTTGAGCGTTCCCTCCAGGGAGGTTACCTGCACTTGTTGCAGCGGCCGTCGTACAGGAGACGAGTGTGGATGGCCGTTGTCCTCATCTTCACTCTCGTCAGCTCTGGAGTACTAATCATCAACAGTAAGCGTGGTCCTGGCTTCGTCTGGTGGCAAGGAACCAATGGCTAACAAGTACCCTACCTCAGACTATGCCACCATCGTCTATGGCGCGTTGGGTTATAGTCCTCAGGACCAACTTTTCCTCCAAGCTGGGTGGCTCGTGGCATCGTTCACTTTCAACGTTCTCGCTCCGCTCTGGGTTGATCGCATGCCACGCCCGCGCCTCATTGTCATCGGCCTTTCCGGTTGCTGCCTCTCTGTCATTCTTGAGGCCGCAATGGTAGCAACATACGGCCACACGGACAACAAGGCCGGCCTGGGCGCATGCGTCGCATTCAACTACCTTTACGTCTTTTTCTACGCTGGTTTCCTCGACGGCGTGACCTGGTGGTACACGGCCGAGATCTTTCCCACCCATATCCGAGCCCATGGGGTGACGATTGGAATGGCGACGTACGCCGTCACCAACATTGTGTGGTTGCAGGCCGCACCCACTGCATTCAAGAACATTGGCTGGAAATACTGTACGTACGCCCCCAAGACCTGTACCGGGTCGGCCAGAAGACTCTAGTGTGGGTTGTCTCGAGACAGTCTTCGGAGACTAACGACAATCCAGACCTATTCTTCATCATCTGTACAGCCATCGGAACGGTCATTGTCTACTTTACCTTCCCAGACACGCTGAACAAGCCATTGGAGGAGGTTGCTGCTTTGTTTGGTGACGATGACTTGGTCGTGGCATATCAGGCTCATGGCCTCCCTGAGATGGAGCATGAAAAGGAACGAGTTCCATCGAAGGAGGTGCAGATGCACGTAGAGTCCACTGAGGAGTAAAGCCGTCCAGGGAGGAGTTTAGCAGGAGAGACTGTATGGAGGGGAACTTAATGACCAGCATTTGTGCATTGCCACAGCGCAGTCGTTGAAAGCCAGATTGGACGTTGATTACCTACCTCCTTCTTTCACTTGTTTGCTTGTCAAAGTTGTCAGGCTACGCACCGCCATGAACGAAGTGAGATTGAGTTGCAGTTGAGATCTTTTCGCCCTGCCGCCTTTTCGCAGCCTGCCCAGCCCTCATTGGCCAGCCTCGACAGCGAAAGTCGTTCTCCAGATGCTGTGCCTCGCCGAGAACAGGCTTGAGGAAGTCACTTAGCATGGATTCTGTTGCCTTTGACTGTTACTGTGTCGTCGCCCGCAGCTCCGCAAGCCTTTGCTTTAAAAGATCCAGTGTCGCAGATGGAAGAATGGCAGTATCATCACCTAACACAGAAGGCTCCAGTTGTACAAGCTGACTCGTGTCCAGAGAGTAGCTAATGTATCTGCTTCTGATCGCATCGAACAAACCGTTGAGAATGTGGACTGCTGAGAATTAACGCGTGCTCTGGTCTCAAATATCGCAACTGCTCCTCAGGCGAGATCTCGAGGCAGAAGTACACCCGAGTATTCCGCACGGGTTTCGGTATAGAATGTGGTTGGAGAGGCGAGCCCCATATGAATTTGGCGGTGTCTTTTTCTGCCAGTGTCAGCAACACCCGCGCAACCCAACTCGCTCCATTCGTTCCGCACCCTCAGTCACACGTTTCATTTATTATTAGCATTGGTTTGTTTGCGCGTCCGCTGATCTGCTTCTGGTATCTATTCTTCTGCCTCCTGCCTCGATGTTTCCTTTTCGATAGCTGCTGCGGTATCGTTTCCCAGTTTCGCCTCATCCCCCTCTAGATTCCTTCCTCCCCCCTCGTCCGAAATGGTTGAATATCGCGACAACGAAGACGATCCTGCGTCTGAGACCCTCCCTCTCACGGACGAAGAGACGGCAAGCGGTGCCCAGAGTCCAGAGTTGCACGTCCAATCGACTCCGGATTCACCCACCACGACTGCGCTCCCGATCCCCGTGTGGCTTCGAGAATCCGCCAGTTCCTTCAAGTACAAATGGGTGCCCCTACCGCTCCGCAAAGCAGGCAGGGCAGTCGCAACATGGGTCGGGGGTCCGGTTCCTCCCCGGGTCCTCAGGATAGAGCCAATATACCCCAAGATCCAGCAAGCACCTATTAGACTGTTGGATAGATATGCGCCGAAGAAAAAGCAGCGGGCCATCCTGCTCATGGCACTATACGTTTGTTGGTTTTTAACGTGGTCGCTTATGCTCAAGAGTCACTCTACATCTGGATTCATCAAGGGGTACGGCAAGCCCAGCAATCTGTGGTGTGGCGCCAGTTTTTGGAACGAAGGCAATGGATGCGGATTGAACGGGAACATGTGTCGACCTTTCTCTTCGGCGCATTTGACTTTCCGCTGTCCGGCGAACTGCAAGGGGACTCATCTACTAGAAGAACATATGGTCGGGAATCAGTCGTTGCGGTATCAAGGGCTGGTTGTCGGCGGCCCAAAACCTGGCGAACCTGACTCGATGCCTGTCTACCGAGCGGACAGTTTCATCTGCCAGGCAGCCATTCATGCTGGGATCGTGACGGAAGCCAACGGCGGTTGCGGAGTGGCCACACTCATGGGGTCTCACACCAACTTCCCATCCACCAAGGCCAATGGGATTGAAAGCACGAGCTTCGCAGGGACATTCCCACGATCATTCACTTTCCAACGCCTGTCGCCCACCCAGGCAACATGTCCCACGGATTCGCGATGGCCTCTCTTTGTGGTCACGGCTATAGCCCTGGTGGTTCTCTCCATCTTCACCACCTCGCCTGCTGTCTTCTTCTTCAGCACCTTCGTGGTCATGTTTTTGCATGTCGGGCTGGTCTCGGATCCGCCCAACACCGCCAACTTCTATGAAGCAATCAGCAAACTGGTGGAACGCCTCCTTCCTGCGTCATTCATCGCAGTCATCCTCTATCGCGTGGCCGCCCTGCCGCTGCTTCGCGGCCTCACGGCCCAGATCGAGAAGACTGTGCTGTACTTAGGGTTCTGTTTCATCGGCGCGCTGAACAACTATACATTCGCACCGCTCATTCCCATCGAACGTCTGACGCCCCGTGACCTGGCGCAACCAGGCGCGCCGTTCGCCCTGGCGCTCATTGTCACCATCGTCCTGGCCATTGTCATTTCACAAATCCACTTCATCCGCGTCTCGGGGAACATGCCCAAGTACCTCGCCATCTATGGCGGCATGGCGCTGGCGTTGGTCATCCTCCTCGTGCTCCCCAACCTGCGCCTGAGGATCCACCATTACATTTTGGCGATGCTGTTCATGCCGGGCACGTTCACTCAGACGCGGGCCTGTCTCGCCTACCAGGGCTTGTTGCTGGGCCTGTTCGTCAACGGGATCGCGCGCTGGGGGTTTGCATCCATCATCCAGACGCCCGCGGCGCTGGGGGAGGCGAACTCGGGCGGCGGCAGCGGCTCGCCGGGGTCGTGGTGGGGCGCGAAATCCCCCAACGTGACGGCCGTCGTGGCGCCGGACGTCTCCAACATCACCTTCAACTGGGGCCCGCTGCCCCGCGACAGCGGGGTGGACGGCGTGAGCATCCTGATCAACGACGTCGAGCGCTGGCGCGGCTACACCGACGAGGAACTCTACTGGGACCCCGAGGGCGTGACGCTGAAGCGGCGCCACGAGCGGGGCGACACGGCCGACGCCCTGGAACCCGAGTTCTTCCGCTTCGCCTGGATGAGCGGCTCCCAGACCGGGCTCTACTCGCGCGTCGGCCTGTGGGATGAACACGGCCAATGGCGCGGGCCGGACGAAGGCACGACCAAGAACATGGGCATCGGGGACGCCGACGAGGTCAGGAATTATGGAGGGAAGTTCGATTCCGTGGACGGGGCTGAGGCCGAAGAGGAACGGTCCCAGGACGAGGCGGAGGAGCTATAGCCCGGTACTAGTCGGATGACAATGGCCGGTTGGTTAGCAATGCTTCCAGTGCACATTGCTCGGAGTTGGATATACCCCCGAAAGCACGCGTGAATCAATCAGACGGGAGGGACTTGAATATAGAACGATGAGATGCGGAGATGGAGAGATGGACCTTCAACGCCGAATATAGGTAGATATGATATGTTATGATATATACGTGAATGTGAAAAGGAAATGATTCATGACGAGGGAGAAGAACAAGCATGAGACGAGTCGCCCGTCGCCCTGAGGACCGTGGAATATACTGGAGCGCAGGTGCCGCTGTGCTCTACCTTTTGATCCGTGTTTTGTATTCTGTACTCTGTGTAATCACCATTGATGGGATGATGAATCCCCTCTCACGTACTGAGCACGGTATTTCAGATAGGTCTTTATGTATGGAGGAGGTATTCCGCTCATGGATCAGAAGACCAGAGGTACAGTATTGTCCGGTCGACTTGGTGGATGCACTAGCCTACCACCCTACCGACCGACCAGCCTACCGGCCTACATAACGATACCCACGGTACCTACATACAGGAAGTACATAGCTCGCGGATGGCGCGTCCGTAATAATCTTACAACTTGGCCTTGCGCGGCCTCTCGGCGTCCTCCTTGTACAGGTCATCCAGCAGGGCGCGGAACCGCTTGACGGCGACGGGCCTCTTCAACTTCAAGGTCGGGGTCAACAGCTCGTTCTCAATGGTAAAGGGCTCGAGCATGAGCTTGAAGCTCTTGACGCGCTCGTAGCCCGCGAATTTCTTCTTGCGGCCGCACTTGTCCAGGTCTCGGAGCACGGCCTCTTTGACCTTGGGGTCGTCGCATGCCCGCAGCAGCGCGGGGATGTCGGTGGGCGAGATGTCGCGGGACAGGATCTTGGACGCGAACACGGCAAACACGTCCGGTTGGATGCCGAAGATCGCAACGAGGGAGGTCTGTGACGAGTCGCCGTGCACGAATGCTTGCGCCAAGTACGTGCAGGACGACAAGTACACGCCTTCAATGCGCTCCGGCGAAATGTACTCGCCCTGTGCGAGTTTCAGGACGTTCTTACGGCGGTCGATGATTCGGAACCTGCCCAGCTCGTCCACGCTAGCAATATCGCCGGTCCTGAACCAGCCGTCCTCCGTAAAGGCTTTGGCTGTTTCTTCCGGGTTCTTGTAGTATCCCGTGAAGACGGATGCACCTCGCAGCAAGAGCTCGCCACGTGGATACGGTTTATCTTCAACACTGTACTCCATGTCGGGCACCGAGATCAGACACGCTTCCACACAGGGGACGACACCGCCACAGTTGCCGACTGTGAAGTCATCGGCTGGCTGTGTTAGAGCGATCGCATACGTCTCTGTCAGCCCATATCCCTGATAGACCCTTGACGACAGAGCGATGCGGAGGAATTGTTGCAAGGAGGGATCCAGTGGCGCCGAACCAGAGACAACGGTGGTTGCACGGTCCAGACCAAGGGCGGCAGCGACTTTGCGCCCCCAGATGCGGTCGTAGATCACGTGGTGGTAGGTCGGGCTTGGCGAAGTGGATCCTGGGGATTTGGGCGCGGGATTCGAGTTCGCCAGTTTCGTCCGGACAATGTAGCGGCTCAGTGCGCCCTTGAAGCCGGGCTGCTCGACCGTGTTGGCCTTGATCGCTCCCCCAAATCGATTGAGCAGTCTAGGCACCGAGGCGAAGTTGGTAGGACGGAGGAGTTTGATGTCGTCCACGAGTTCGAGGATGTTGCCGTGGAAGTAGCCGATCCGACTACCACTCCAGAACGCAGTGTGTTCGAGCAAGCGGCCGTAAATGTGGGCAAGGGGCAGATAACTCAACGCCACGCTGTTTTCCTTGACTGAAATGGAGATGAGGGACGAGGAAGTGGCTGCTACACACATCGCGTGGGTGAGGAGGACACCTTTCGGTGCTCCGGTAGTCCCAGAGGTATAGTTGATGGTGATAGGGTCCGAAGGTTTGGGCGGGTTGTTTGGCTTCCCTAGAGATGCTCCAAGCTTTTCCACTGCATCGAGGGAGTAGATTTTGAGTCCAACGTCGGCCGCCATGGAGTCGAGGAGCTGCTGTTTCGACAATTCCGGCTTTTCATTGTTTCCTGGTTCAAGAGGGTCGAGGACGACAAGGAATTTGAGGTTAGGGAGGCGCGGCTTCAACTTGAGGAGCGTTGGGACGTGTGGCAGGGAGCAAACGACGGAGGCCAGTTCGGCGTGCTGAATGATGTATTCGGACGCGTCGGGACCGAGGGTATCGTAGAGAGACACCGAATACAGCGACTGGGACATGCAGGCCAGGTCCGTCAGTTGCCATTCAGGTCTGTTCTGACACCACAGCCCGACGCCATAGTTCGCCCCCTGGATCCCTTCTCTTGCGTGCAGTTCGACCAGTCCAGCGCCAAAATCCGACCTCCTCTTGCGGACCGTCTCATAATCTAGCCATTCGTAAGGGCCGTATGCCTGCTTGGACGAGTCGTAGGGACGGTAGCCTAGACACGGGGCGTGAGGAAATCTCTGCGCAGCGTATTCAAACATTTCATGGGCCGTGGTGACGGAGGGATCGAGGGTCTCGAGAACTCCATCGCGACTCTTGTGATGGCGGTAGACGGGGCTGCGACCGGGCTTCTCAGAGCCAAGGACGGTGACAGAATACGGCTGGCCCTTGGGAGGCGGTTGGTAGTACTCGTCGGCCTTTTGCACGTAGAGCGGCTTGGACGAGAGAAGAGGCATGGCGAGGGCGGACGGCGAGAGCAGGCACGAGGATGAGGAAGGGATGCCAAAGCGAAGGATATGAGGGACAATCAATCACGGCGTCTCAAAGAAAGTGGAAGTGGAAGAAGTAAAAAACTGGAGCATGGGAGGGCGTTGACTCGCCGGTCTTAACTCACAGGAGGTGGAAGTGGCCGGAGCAGGTGTCAGACTCGCAACGACGTGACGACGGACCTTGAGACCTGTGCGAGGGATTGCTTGGAGCTTGGGGACAGGAAAAGAAAGAGAACAGGCTCGGAGATCAGTGGTTGGAATGGGCATGTCATCTGCTGGCTATTCTCCCTTTCTTGGGCTGTGGTCGCGAAACCGGGGGGGCGCGGCGAGAAAATCATCGTTCATCATCATCATATGCCACGCCACCCACGCGACTTGGTCCATTACTACTACTGCTAAATTACCACAAGGAGCCTACGACTGCTACACTCATGCCTCGGCATCCCCGAATTAGCCAGACATTTGCCAGGGGCTCCAGTGGGCAGCTCCCGAGCAAGTGGACCAGGCCAACGGACATGTAACCAAGATGGTCAGTAGTAGGGCGAGTTGCTGGTCAGACCTTTTGGTGGCAGAGACTCGGCGAGCCATGGAAATGCACATTATGACCGAGAGCTGGAGCTGGCGAGCTGGCAACTTGAATTGCCGAATAATGCAAAACTGTCGAAGCATGTGAAATTTCTTCTCTGTTGGCTATCAAACCCGCCATCAGTGTCCTGCCAACCACCGATTGGCTGCCCACAGCTTCTCGCGGAATTCCCTTTCCCAGCTCTTGGTCCACAGCCTCACAGAGTCCTCGGGAGTCTTCAGCTCTCCAGCTTCAGACAACACCCATACGGAGGAGCCTACTTCCCCATTAAAAGCCACAACCGCGGTATCGTCCTTTGTATCCCTCCATGTATAACGAAACGTCGTGTGTCCCATTGCGCTCTCTTCTCGGGTCCAACACCTTCGTTCTAAAGATTCGGCCCTGTATCCAATTTGTCATCAGGATCCCTCTTTCTGTATCGCAACATTCCATGAAACGAAACAAGATCAAAAGGTCAAGAAGATCAGGTAGCCCCACTGAGTGTCGCATCACCACTCGGCTTCGCTCCGGCCGCTGCATTGTCCTTGTTGCCCTCCGCATCCGGTCGCGCGGCTGCGCTGGCGGCAAAGCTCTGCTCAAAGTCGTGAATAATGTCGTCGATATGTTCAATTCCCACACTGATTCTAATCATATCTTCGGTGACGCCTGAGTCTATGCGCTCCTGCTCGGTGAGTTGTTCGTGGGTTGTCGACCACGGATGAATGGCGAGCGTCTTTGCATCTCCGACACTGACCCCCAATTAGCTGAACAGCCTTTGAGACAACTCAAGGGGGAATACTCACTTGGCCAAGTTGGAAATAATCTTGAATCCGTCCACCACCTGCGAACCTGCAGCGGAGCCACCCTTGACACCGACAGACATGACTCCTCCAAACCCGCGGGGGAGATATTTCTTGGCCAGTTGATGGTAGGGATGGCTCTCCAGCCCAGGATACGACACCCACGCCACGTTGGGATGTTTCTCCAGCCATTTGGCCAGCTTCAAAGCGTTCTCCGCAATCCGCTCGCATCGCAAGCTCAGTGTTTCAACACCCAGGATGAACTGCTGGGCGTTGAACGGCGACATGCAGGATCCCAAATCACGCAGGATCTCCACACGCACTCGGATGATGAAAGCCAGCGGGCCAAAGGTATCATAAAACTTCAAGCCATGGTAGCCGGGAGCGGGATCGTTGAATTGAGGGAATCTTTTCGCGTTGGCTGCCCAATCAAACTTGCCTGAATCGACAATGATGCCACCAATGGAGGTGCCATGGCCGCCAATCCACTTGGTGGTACTGTGCACCACGATATGTGCCCCGTGCTTGATCGGCTGACTGAAGTAGCCACCGGCGCCAAAGGTGTTGTCCACCACCAGCGGCACGCCCTTGGCATTGCAGACTTTGGCAATCGCCTCAAAGTCTGGCACGTTGTAACGAGGATTGCCAATGGTCTCGACGTACACGGCCTTGGTCTTGTCATCGATCGCCGCCTCAAAGTCTTCGGGTTTTTCCGAGGTCAAGAACTTGGTCTGGATCCCCAAGCGCGGAAACATGACCTTGAACTGATTGTACGTGCCGCCGTACAGATTGGACGTGGAGACGATGTTGTCCCCAGCATGTGCCAGCGCCGCAATGGTCATGAACTGCGCCGCTTGACCGGACGAAGCGGCAACAGCGGCAATGCCCCCTTCGAGGGCTGCAATTCTTTTCTCCAGGACATCCACGGTAGGGTTCATGATCCGGCTGTAGATATTTCCAAACTCTTTCAGGCCAAAGAGCCTGGCGCCATGGGCACTGTCATTGAAGGTGAACGAGGTAGACTGGTAGATGGGCACAGCGCGAGAATTGGTGGCAGGATCTGGCGAGTGGCCAGCGTGGACCTGAAGGGTCTCGAACTTTTGAACCCAGTCGTCGGAAGGCATCGTGAAGGTGGTTGGGTTTGCTTGAAGAGAGCAAGGCTCGAAAGGCTCGGTCAAAGAGGGAAATGGGGTGGACGTGAGGACGGCAGTAGCTGGTCAGCCACCAGGTAAGGGAAGTTTGGACTGCAGAATTGCTCTGGACTGCTGGAGCGAGGTTATATGGACTGGACAGAGGGGTGGTGGAGGGGAGAGAAAAACAGGGTGGAAAGAAGAAGCAGTCAAGTACCTATAGTGGTCTCGGGTCAATGGCCACAGAGAGCTCTCCACCTATCCAGACAGCCAGAAAGAACTCGAATGAGGTAACCGTGGGAGAAAAAGCTTCTGAAGATCGCGTGCAAAGAGAGAAAAGTCTTGGAGGGGCCGTCCCTCGCAAGTCTCACTGCTCACCTTTTCACCACCTTGAGCTGCCTCGAGGCCGTTTCCCCGCATTCGAGAGACTCAATTGGACGCGGTGCTAAAGAATTGCGTGATCGGACCAGCAACCCACGTCAGTTTTCACTTCAAGCCAAAGGGCACCCTTGCGGTTCGGCGACTAGAAACTCAACGAGCCCAGAATAGACACGAAGACAACAACTAGCCCATCGTGCTCGTATCTTTAGCTGTGACTCAGTTGTCTGCATCAACACGGGGTGTAACCTGCGAACCGCGAGCAGCCTTGTCCCGACTCGGCGTAGGCGACCTTCCGGTGAGCTGACAAGGTCTGGTACCTGGCATGCAATCCACGTCCCTGGGTATATGGACAACAGATGCAGCGGAAATGCAATTACTCCAAGCAGGAATGGGTTTCTGCCTGCAGCCCCAGAGGGACGATGCTGAAATCCGAGGCTGAGGACTTGCGCCCAATTACTTCGGATCCGGGGCGGAGAAGGACGCGAAGTTATCTAAGCGACGCACCACAGAAAAAGAAAATTAAGAAGCAACCGAGTTCTAAGATCCATGACGATGTCTCATCGACCTCGTGAACCCTGTGGCTGTCTGGCCCCAAGAGCCCGTTGAAGTCTGCAACTACAAGGGTAGAAACAGTCAAAGCAACCACTACCGCACTCCATGGCTCGGGGGCTGAACAGCAATGCCCATGACCTGCTAAATCGAATAATTCCCTTGCGCGGAAGCAGGCCAGCCTTTCTCGAATTCCGCTCGTCCAAGATCTTTATTGTTTTCGCCGTGTGCTGGTCGGTCTTCACTGTAGGTACCTACCGGTCGGGCATTCATAGCGGTACAGCTGCTCACCAGGGGAACAGGATGTCTTCCTCTACGGGGTGGTCGTTCCCGTCATTCCCTTTGCGCTCCAAACTCGAGTCCACGTGGCCCATGCGGATACACAGCATTGGGTTTCTGTCCTGCTCGCCGTATATGCAGCTGCGTTGCTATTCTTCGCCCCTCTTTGGGGCATCATGGCCGACCGGACTAGCTCTCGCCGTGGACCGTTTCTTGCAGGACTTGTCCTGCTCACCGGATCAACTTTGATGCTATGCCTGGGCAAGACCATCCCCGTGCTGGTGGTGGGGAGGTTGCTGCAAGGAGTGTCGGCTGCTGTGGTTTGGGTGGTCGCCTTAGCCCTCCTCGCAGATACGGTGAGTGAGCAGGAATCAGGCCAGGCCATTGGCTATGTCAGTCTTTCGACTTCGTTAGGGGTCTTGGTTGCGCCACTGATTGGCGGTGTGGTATACGAGCGTTCGGGATACTACGCTGTGTTTGGGGTCACCTTTGCCGTGATCGGGTTTGACATCTTGTTGCGGCTGGCCTTGATTGAGAAGAAAATCGCAGCCAGGTGGCTTGAACCAGACACTGCTTCAAATCAGCCAACATCAAGTGGCCCCACTCAGCGAGACACAGAACTTGATGATCGGAATGCATCGAGCGCTGTGGTCGAGAAAAATGCGAATACGGCAGTCGCCGAGCCTTGCACCACGCGCCCTGCTCGAAAACTACCGTCTATGCTGATTCTGCTCAAGTCGCGACGTATTCTGGTTGCATTTTGGGGCAATCTTGTGGGGGCCATGACCCTTACTGCCATCGATACGACTCTTCCCTTGTATGTAAACCAAATTTTTGGCTGGAATTCTCTGGGGGCCGGATTGGCTTTCCTGGCTTTGATTGTGCCGGGGTTTGCAGGGCCGTGGATAGGCCATCTGACCGACAAGTACGGTCCCCGCTGGATTGCGGCATCTGGGTTGCTGCTGTCAGTGCCTTTTTGGGTGTTGCTTCGGCTAGTTGACCATGACACGGTCGGCCAAGCAGTGTTGCTGTGCGCCCTGCTGGTGCTCTTGGGAGCTGCTACCGCGCTTCTCCTGACCTCCCTGATGGCAGAATTCAGTAAAGTGTGCGATGCAAAGGTGCGGCAGGAGCCTGATGTCTTTGCTGGGAAGTCTGCTTATGCCCAGAGTTACGGGATCTTCAATGTGTCGTGGGCAGGAGGGAGTCTGCTTGGACCACTGGTGTCCGGGGCCATCAAAAGCGCTGCAGGCTGGAAGACCATGACGTGGACAATGGCACTCTGGTGCGCGGTAGGGATTCTGCCCACGGTTTTGTACTCGGGAGGCATGATCTCGAGGGGGAAACGACGCGGCAACAACGGCGAAGTTGTGGGTGACGGAAGTGCCTAGACACGCGTAACGTGGACAGTGATATCAGCGTGAAGTAGGCGAGACAGGAAGGATCATGACCTCGGTGGCATCTGCTTGAGGGGTGTGGTGTTGGGCAGCTGTTCAAGGTAGTGGTGATAAATGTCGTGGTGTCTGGTGTCTGGCGTCGAATCAACCACCGTGACGCGGTTGGATCTGAAACGCGGCCCATGCGCATCGCGACTGTCGCAGCCTCGGCTCCATCAACTGCATCATCGCCAGCTTTTCTCGTCCAGCGTCGTCGTCGTCTGTTTCATCTTCTTTGTTCTTCTCTGACTTCCCTCATAATGTCAAACACGATCTTCGTGCTCCCCGTCACGGCCGACCAAAGGCCGTCCATGCAAGTCATCCTCTTTGATGACATCTCAAACAGTCAATCTTGATGTCCGCCCAAAGCGTTTCCGACGCGCATGTGGGACAAACGCTGAGGATGCTGTCCAGAAATTGCCGATTGCTTTATGAACACCTGTCTTGCCTTTTCTTCTCTCTCCTCCCTTCGTTGCAGAGGTAAAAGTTCAGACCATCTTCTTCTATTTCCACGCCCGCGCCGGTTGTGAGTGTGTTCATTGTATTAGTACTGGCAGTTGCAATCTTGTCGGCGGGTCACTAAGTTCACCTTGGAAGGCGTCAATGTTTTGATCAATTTAAATTTATTTCTCTTCTCTGCAGAAACGCCGCTTGAAGTCTATCGCAGTCATCATATCATCCTCCAGCCGTATCTGCATCCCTCGGATCCAGGATTCTCACCCTTGCCATCAGACCTTGCCGACATCGCCACCCGCAACAGCAACCACAATCCATCCAAGATGTTTCTCAGCCCGGTCCTTATCGTCCGCATCGTTCAAGGAGTGTTGGCTTTCATCGCCATGGCGCTCGGAGCAACAGGTGGGTTTTCAGCCTCTTGTACGAAGGCGGCTCTGAGCTGACACCACGATTCAGTGGCTAACGTCTTGAACACCCACCATCCTTCCCTCGATGTCCCAGCGGGTGTTGTTTTCTTCATCTTCATTGCCGTCTTCACCTTGCTGGTCACGGTCCCCTACACAATCTTGACGCCGCGTTACTTCCCAGTCCTGGCTCATCCTTTTGCAATGCTCGCCGCCGAAACCACCACATCGATCTTCTGGCTTGCCGGGTTCGCTGCCATGGCAGATCGCTTGCGAAGATCAAATATCTGCCGAGTTGGCGCGTGTTCGTCCGCCACAGGCAGCGTCGTGGTCGGGGTCTTCGAGTTGTAAGTACTGGTGATCCATGCTTCGAGCCTTTTCTGACCAAATCAAAGCGTCCTCTTTGGGATCACGGCCTTCTTCGCCTTTTCTCATATCTTTCTGGGTGGCAGGTTCAGTGGGAATAAGCCTCAAAACAAGCAGGGGCAAGCGCAGCGCTCTTGGCCGGGGGCCGAGCTGGTGTAAGGCTGAAAAATTGGACGATATGTAGATAGCACAGCCATCAGTCGCATACAGAAAAGAGACGAACAATGTTACTGCGACCTTGACCGCATTGTGCCGCGGGCACCTGCCCTCCATCATTCCCTTGCTGGATCCATGTTGGCAAGGGCGGTTGGCCACACCTGGATTCTTTGTATTTCACTTCCCCAAAGTCGGCGTGCGCTCGCCTTCTTCGGGCTCCTCATCTCCCGTTGTCTTCAGCGCGCTCTTCTTTACTGCTGGGCTAACAACAGTTGTCGATAGCATGAAAACGCCATGCCGCTGCGCATCCGAGTGTATGTTGTGCCTGCAGGGCGTCCGCTGGTCTCATCCACGTTCCTCTGCTTCTTGTCTCCAGGCTACCCCCCGCCCGCTTTTGAGACTTTTGAGGACGCAACCGACGCTCAAAAAGGTTCTTCGGACGATGAAGTTTCCGAGTTCTGTACACCCTCGATTAACAGGCGTGGTGGCAGCGCAAGCTGAGATGCTCCTCTCCTCTGACGGCGCTTTCTGAACGATGCTGCACGCCAGCAGACCTCCCATTCATCCGCGAGCCGATCCTGCCATAGGAACTTCCTCATCACTTCCTCCGTGTCCTCCCACGATGTCGCCTCTGGCAATCTGTCGACCAGGTTGTCAAGAACGACATGCCGTTCAGGAGATGCATCAATCTGGGTGTCCCAAGCACTGGCTGTCACTATCGAGCACCAATAAAGGCAGCGTTGGAGCCAAGGGCTTCGGGGGGTCTCAGTACGTGCGTTGAATGTTTCTAGGAGCGGTCGAAGCGGTCGCGCGAGCGGGATGTGGAACGACATCTCGTTGTAGAGATGTAAACAGAACGCCAGCAATGCGCGGGATATTTGCACTTCGATTGGAGTCAACTGGAGGGCAGAGAGGCACTGGAGATCATAAATCGCCCGCTGCATTGTCATGTCAGGCTTCGGTTGGGCCGCCCTCCCATGCTCAGAGGACGCAAGCCAGTTGATGAGTTCCGTCAGCTTCACCAAAAAGCTGATCACTTCGACCGCAATGCTGCGACTCAACGCAACTTCTGCAAAGCCCTCCGGCAACTTGGCAATGACCGTGCAAAGATCAGGCAGAAAGGGGTGGCCGGGATACGTCAATGTGCTGATCCTGTGGCCTTTCTCATTGATCCGGTTTGCATAGCTCGGCTGATTCGCTTGCAGGAAGGAGGCCAGGACTCCAAACCTATGTTCCGCTGAGTCTGAGTTATATCCTTGGAAGATATGCCACTTACGCTAGGACTCTACCTCGTACGAAGCTTTTGATCCCGGTATCATCTTGGGGTTTGGTGGATGCCAACATGTTCTCCAGGGCACGGAGATGAACTTCAAAGGAATCCAGGTCGTTGATCATATACTAGACTCTCATCAGACTGGAGGAAGTTTGATGCACGGCCCATCAAGCCTTACGTTCATTGTAAGAAGAGTGGACATTGTCAGCAACACGAGGTCCGGATTGGGCCGCTCAGGAGCCATGAGACTGTCTCTCAACTCTCTCAGCGCGACTCCTCTATGTCGGAGCAACATCTTATCGGCGAATGGTTCTGATCCCCTCCTCAAAACCCAGGCGGCTCTTGTCATGGCAATGGTTGCCTCAAACAGCATTGAGTTCTGGAATGCCAATGGTAGCACTAGTACGAGCAGTGCATTCCGTCCACTTTGGACACTGAAAGCCTGTGCTTGCTGAGGCGCCCATACTCGGATATCTGAACATGATGTGTGAGCGCATTCTCAGTGGTTCGAGTACGGCGGAACTCACAGTAGTCCGCCATGAATTGTACGCCCCTGGAAGCCCGCGCGACCGGGAATCGAACAAAAGGATCGATCCTGTATCCACCCTCGACTGCAAGTAACGGAGAGGGACAACGGCTATTCTCCGAATCGTCATCAGTGTCAGGGATTCGATTGGAGTTGCTGCGCGAGAGATGGAGGGAGCGTCCAGCTGCTCCTCGCCGGCCGCCCATGACTCTGAGATGAGCGGGACTGACAGAGGCGCACCTCCTTTCAAGGTCATCGGCAAAGCGCAGATGAAGACGTCAGAAAATCAAGGGCCATGGCAAGGGATCTATTGATGGCGGCTGACTGGAAGATCGAGCAGCTCGTGGGAGATGGAGTCGCCGTGGATCTTGACGTCGCTCCTGAGGAAGCCGTGGCGCCTGGCCTCGCTTGTGCGGACGCCTCATAATTTGACAGCGTTAGCGACCACATGGCTCCCGCCGATTCGGATCTCGCAACGGGTCGAAGTCAAAGCCTGTGGGCTTGAACACTCTATCGAGAAACTCTAGCCTTGGATCGCTCAATGGTCCCACCACCTCAACCCATCGCGAACTGCAGGCTTTGTAAGCGCCGCGCCGCAGAGCTTCCTTATTGGCAAGATGTTGAGTGGGAGGGAACCTCCGTTGACGAATTGAAGGGGTCGTCTAAAGGGGGATGGAGTTGCGAAGTCTTCATTTGCCAGAAAGAGTCGAGTCAGTCTTTGGCCGTCCTACCGAGCTCCGAGGTTCGCCTCGATACCAGGGCTCGTCCAACTTGTCCACAGACATTCTCCGATCGTCAGAAGCGCCGAGTCTGCGGTCTGTCTGCTAACAGACTTTGGCAAGAGGTATACTCCCAACTGGGAAAGCGAGATCAAGCACAAGATTGGATGAGAGTCGATCGACTTACAATGTTGAGTAATCTATTCATGACCCCCTCTGAGGGGAGGCCTGGAAGCGAGAGCTGGAAGGGACAGACAACACTGTTAGCTTGTGAATCGGACACGGCAACCCGACCTTCCGAATCGGAAGCAAGGTCAACTCTCTCTCACACAAGGTATAGAACTTATGTGAAGGATCGAAGCGAGATCTAGGGTTTGTTTATATTTTGGGGCTTTTATTTTCAATTCAATCTGATCTGGCATACAAATCACATGCTCTTGCACACTCTCTCTTTCTCTGTCTGTGCACGCTTGCATAGCAACTATATCTCGTCGGGGTGTGTGGTTGATTGATTGATGGATTGATTAGGCAAGAAAAGTCTTCGCTTCAAGGTCTTCTGCAAAGCAAAAAAGGTGTCCACAAAAAGAAAACCAATATAAAGAGAGGGAGAAAGAGAGAGACTGAAAGGATCGGGCCCGAAAGACGGGGGGCCACATCACCGTGTAGTCGAGGCTGTACAGTTTTGGTTGTTTTTTGTTCCCTCGCAAGGCGCAGCATACACATCCTCTGCTGACGGCAAGGAGTCTGTCCTCCTGTCTCTTTGCCCCTCTCACCCATACCCCTGTTTCACTATAACTCGTTGGCGCACCATGGCGCACAATAGAGGCTGAGTTGGAAGGAGGACAGAGAACGTAGTTCTCCGAGGACCCTTTCCAGATCCATTTTCCGCCCCAGCGTCACGCCTCTAGGGACGTGCAGGGTATGTATGGTCTAGGCCTTAAGAGCGGAAAGTCAAGAAATCCGCAGCCTGCAGTGTGCAAATCAAAGGATGGTCAGCACATGATTCAGAATGATCGCTCAATGTCAAGGGGATGAAAACTTTGTGCAGCAAATACTTGGTCGGCTGGACACAAAGTGCGCGAAACTCACCTTGTCAATGTTATAATCGTACTTCTCCAGTGCTGCAAGGCTTTCCTCGCGTGACCATCCCATCGCAGTCAATCTCTTGAGGATTGGATCGTCGTGTTCCGTACCCGTACTCAGTGCTCGACCAATCTGGGGCCGTTCAGCCTTTGACCGGGGTGGCGGTGATGCCGGTGCTGGTACGTTTATCACGGGGGTCGGGGAAGAAACACCCGATTGTCCTTGCGGTGGTGAAGGTGTGGAAATTTCAGCGGCCTGTGTCTGACTTTGCGGAAAATCAGCTGATGGTTGTGACGAAGCGTTGTCATTTGCGTTTGTGTTCAGTGGCGCGAAGAGAGCGTCCCAGTCGTGCGAGACAGGAGAAGTCGTCGGTTGAGCTTGCTGGGGAGGTCCAGATGTCGTCACTGCGGAATAGAAATCTTCATTTCCAGTCTTTGGGGCCCCGTTTGTGACTGGGCCTGAAGGGAATTGCGCTCGTGACGGTTGTGGAGGCGAATCGAAAGTTGGGTCAAACTCTGGTGCAGCGATCTTCGGGGGACTGAACACAGCGTCCTCCTCGTCATCCTCTTCGTCGTCATCATCTTCCACTGGGGCAGCCCCCACGCCTGAAAACGCAGAGTCAAAGTCAAACGGTGCTCCTGCTGTAGGTGGTGGTGCCGTGGGATTGCTATCCGACGGACTTCTTGGTTGAGCTTCAGGGCCGTACGCTGGCGGGACACCACCGGGGGGAGGTGCAGGATGACTGGAGCCACCAGCCGTTGGAGGCGGTGAAGTAGGGTCTTCACGCTCTGGTAGTAAGCCTTTGTACTCTCGGGGAAATTGGGTTGGGTTCTCTGCGGGTACCGCATCGCCATAACTGGGCGGTGACTGTTGAGATTCCACCCCTGGTAGAGAGCTAGCATTGGACAAGGAGCCGGCCATGGCAGGGCGTGGCGCCAGTGTGCTGCTCGGCTCAGGTGCGACCTCGGGCTGCTTGCCAGTTCTCACATCAGTCGGGCTGTTCCGAGGTGGAGATCTGGTGTTGAAGTCGTCGTCGAATTTCATGGGTGTCTCATCGTCGCTGTATTCGCTGCTATCATCATCGTCACCCGCAAGCTCCTGAATGGCGGGAAATTCGTCGTTCGGTCCGCTTTTCGGCTTATCCATCTCAGCGAAAGCAGAGTCAAAGTCGGCAGCCTTTTGGGATGCTGAACGTTGATGTGCTGGTCCTCCAAAGAAATCGTCAAAATTCTGCTCAGGGGCCTTGGAAGGCGGCGAGGTTTGTGCACTGGTCGGCTTGTCACCGTTGGTTGTAGCGGCAGCGGCGCCTACCCCAGCGGCCACCGCTGCTGCGCCGGCTCCTGCAGCAATCACTGTTGGATCGACACCCGGAGTGTCTGACCGTGAACCTGGAAATGCCCCGGGAATGTCTTTCGCTTGGTCGGCTGAAGCCTTGCCAAAGGTTTCGTCCACTGTGGCTTCTCCAGTGGAAGGCTGAGGCAGGGTTCTACGAACAGATTCCTGTTCTTCGTCAGGTGCTGCGGCGGTGAAAGGATCTTCGGTTGAATCCTTGTGCTCCGTAGGGCTGGCGGAAGACGCAGGAGTCAATGCTTGAGGGGTTTCGTTGGGACTTAACCTGCTGGCCGGTCCTGCAACCTTGATGGAAGAGCTGATGGAATCTTCTCTCTCGAGCGGTCTGCGGAAAGGAAGTGCCGCCGAGCTAATCTGTCGGGACTGGGGTGGAGCTGGAGGTTCAACAGCGTCTCTTGGTGTGGATGAAGCTGCCGGGGAGTCAAGCTGAGGAATGTTTTGGTGCCCGGCTGGAGTTGATGGCTGGCCCGAGAAAGAGGTTGCGGGAGCGGGAGCTACAGCCGCAAATGACGGCCCGAATATGCTGTCGAAAGCACTTTGACTGTCCTTTGGCTCAGCTCCGCCGGCCGCAGGCGGGAAGGCTGTGTCTGTTGTCCGCCTGAAGAATGGATTGGAGCTTGTAGATGGCGCAGGGCTTGCGACAGGAGGGCTTTTGACAGTGGGCACTGGGATATTTCGCGCTTCTTCCAATTCCTTCTTGGAGGCCTCCACTTGTCGAGCCGACTCCTCAGCTTCTCGTTGGGCGTCCTCAACTTCCTTTTGGGCAGCAGCAATCTCGGCCTTTATTCTATCCCGCTCGGCCTCGTTAGTAGCTAACTGCTTCTTGTTGATGGCGACCAAACCTTTCTGTTGTCTGGCATCGGACTTGACCTTCTCGAGCTGCGGTTTGAGCTGGTCAATCTCCTGGTTCAATTGTCGAATCCGATCCTTTAGTGAAGCATTTTCGCGTTGATCGGATTCTAGGGCAGCACGAAGTTGCTGGTGCTGGGTTGCAAGATCTTGATGGGTCCCGTCAATCATGGCCATTTCCTGCTGCAGCCGCTTCGTATCATTCTTGGAAGCCGTCAGTTGTTCTTTGAGCACCTTGACTTCCTGAACTTCCTTCTCGTACAGAGACCTGAGCTGAGCTAGTCTCCCCTCAAAGGCTTTCTTCTGCGCCGATGCGCCGGATAGCTCTTGCTCAGTTTGCCTTCGATCTGTTTGGAGCTCTGTCATTTGCTTGGACAAGCTGCTGACTTGATTGGATAGATTCCCCAATTCGCTGGTCTCATTAGTGAGTTTCGAACTGATCTCTGGATCTGCATCCCCGAGAAGGTCATCGGGTTGCGCTTTCGGTTGGGGCGCGGGCGCAGGCGATCCAGTTGATTGAGGAATGATGCTTTGGCCAAACGAGCTGGTCGGCACAAATGGTTTAAAGGTTGTGGCCGTCGTTTGCGGTGTCAAAACACCCGGAGGATTGGCGAACGGCCCGGCATCAGTGCCGCCGGTTGACTGCGGTGCTTGAACGGGAGCGACCGCAGGAACTGTAGGAGCAGGGCCGAACGCGTCGAGACCAAACAAGTCGTCAGCAGCAGAACGTGGCTTTGTCGGCGCAGCGTTTTCAAATGCTGGAGCAGTTGGCTGAGGCGGAGGAATCTGTAGCTTCCGCATGCTGGGAGGAATGAGAGCTGGGGGAAGAGTGGAAGGCAGAATACCTCGTCCGTCTTTCGTTCCTCGTTGTTGTCGGATCAAGTACATGGCCACTGCAAACTCGTCCCTATTCAATTGACCCTCGGAGTTGATGTCCGCCAGATCCCAAATTTGAGCCAGAATCTCTTCCGGTAGCCTGGCATTCCCAAAGAATTCGACTGCCTGCTCCCCTGTGATGAAGCCTCTTCCTTGGCGATCGACAGTCGCGAATATACTATCGAATCGAGCCTTATCGGCTGGAGTTATGGCCCACGGCTCACCCGTCGACTGCGCCGACAACGACAGAGGCGTGCTTACTTGCGGCTGCCTCGTGATGGGGCTTTGTGGACGGACACTATAGTTGACGCCGGGAATAGCACCTGAGCCCGGACGCGACCCGCTACTTACCCGCGCAGCCGGACGGCGGGTAGCAGCCTCGTAAAGGCCAGGAGGAAGTGTACTGGGAACGCCGCGCATCTGGCCTGACCTGTAGGAAGCCAGAAGATGCATGGCGATGACAAACTCCGTGACATCCAGGGAGCCACGACCTTGCATGTCAGAAAGACCCCATATGCGCCCAAGCACTTCGTTGGGCAACCTCGCTTTTTCAAATATTTGTTTGGCTAGTAAACCGGAGAGTAATCCGTTCTCCGCGCCTGATTTCTCAAACATGGTCGAATATTCTGCGACCTTTTCTGGTGTCAAGGCTGGCACACGGATCGGAGGGGCCGCTGGAGTCGGGCTGGCAGGAGGTCCAGTTGATTGCTGGACGATAGGTTGGGAGGGCTGAGGGACCGGAGGGGGTTGAGCCGGTTGCTCGGATAGAGGAGTATCGAATCGAGGGAGAGGCGCGGCTGCGATTGTTAGCTGAGTGAGCTCCAGAAGTTCTCGGCGAGGCGTACTCTGAGTTGCAATTTGGGCCGAAGGTGAACGGCCACTTTGCGCATGGCCAATGAGTCGCAGCACGACACCAAATCCTGCAGGCGTGAGGAACCCTCGATTTTCAGTATCGGCAATCTGCCATATCTGTGAAACCGTCAACAGGAGCGCAGAGAAACCCCTCTCTTTTTCAGACCTGTCCTAACACATCCGGTGGCAGCTTTGTCCGCTCAAAGAATTTGACGGCCACATCTCCAGAGACAGCCCCGAACCCATCGGGGTCAGCTTCTTTGAGGAGCTGGCCGTAAACTCGCCTCTCTTCCGCTGTTAAGTTGAGATTCGGATGCCCTGGAATTGAGCGTGTCAGCTCCCTAGCTAGACAAACACCGGCTTGAGCAGGAGTGGCGAACCTGAAGCAGCTGATCCAATGGTCTCCGCCATGACCGGGGGTGATGAGCTTGTTGTGCGATCGGGGTACTTCTAGATGACGCTCATTGACGGCATGGAGAGGTCAAGGTAGCTTGCAGAGAGGAACAAAGATGACGCGCGCAAACAACGCTGAACTGAGCGAGACAGAAAGATGACTTTTATCTCGCGGGAACACAAGGATAGGCGACAACGGTTTCTAAGGAAATGGCTGGAGGTCATCCGGGACGGAGAGAGAAATGGAGATGAAATGGAGATGAGTTGATGGGCTTTGATGGGGGTGGCAGTGGATCGCAATGACGAACGAGGAGCCCGGCGGTTGCCAAGCCTGGAGCTCCAAGCTGGAGGCGCCAGTAAGTGTGGACTGGCACGGTACCAGCCCATACCTAATGATACGACATACGCAGGGGCACCAACTATAAGCACAGTCTATCTTCCTAGGCTAGATTAATGGCACCGCATGGGCAACCTGAACTCAACAACTCAACGCTCGAGGTGAGCAGGGTTCCTGTCTCGGCCGTGACAATGTTCGCCATGACCTTCTTGTGCTTGGAGGATGGAGGATGGAGGATGGAGGATGGAACTCGGACTGTCTACTGTTGCATCTGGGATTGGCTACAGACTACCCAGATACACGAGAGGTGGTATTTATCTCCCAAGTCTGATGCGAGCTGAATCCTCACCGAGTTTAGATGTTGGCAGAGTGACCTTCTGCATTCTGTAAGGGAGCGCCTTGTGACGGTGAAACCTTGCAAGTAGGCAGAAGTGGAAGACAGCCTGTGAAGACTCATGGGGGGCATTGGGATGTTCACCGGAAAATGAAATGGCCATGTCACCATCTTCACCCCGAGTCTCAGCGCTGGTTCAGCAAGTGAGCTGTCTTACAACAAAGGACCGCTATAGGTTGATTCTTGTCAAACCCGGTGAGGCGTCGGAACTGGGCGAGGCTGGGTTGTAGCCTTGGACCCTCCCGTAATTGAAAAGCTGCCCAAAAGACACTTGACCGGATTTCATCGTCGGCGGTTCTGTCTCGTGCTGGACTTTCTCTCGACCGTCTCCAGAGACCTTCAGATGCGTGGACGTCACTTGCGCCGCAGCACTGAACAACATGGAGAACCCTCGGCCGGTCGAGCCTGAGCCTGAGCCTGACGAGACTCAATTCTGGCATGGTTTGTCTAATGAACAAAGAACTGCCCTACAAGTGACTGCTGCACTTCTCGGGAGAAGCGTCCGTGAGTTACTGCTGATACGGATTGATGCCTCCTCTGCTCAGCAGTTTAGTGACCCCGAAAATCCGGCTGCAACGCATCCCGACGTGTCAGCGAGCAACCTGAACTTCGCCTTCGCAGATCCAGACCTTGATGTATTCGAGGCCTTGCATTACGATCCTCTCGCTTCAGAATATCTCGGGATTGCGGATGGGCCTTCATTCACACAGCCAGAACCTGATTTCGATCCCTCCTGGTTTGGTCAGGCTGGCCAGGATTTCGACGACTCCTTGGAACTATTAGACTCCTTTGACTTGAATACAGCGTCTGAGCATGGTGCCTCGTCCGCAATCACCAATTTGAGAGACATTCTTCTTGAAACCGACGAGACGATCAACGATCCTTTTTCTTTACGGTGCAACAACGTGCAAGTGATGCCCCACGACACATCAACAAATTCGTCATCTTCTCTTAGTTCCTGGATAAACATCACTCCCCCTTCAGAGCGAGCACACTCACCGACACAACGCTCACTTTCGGCCAACCCGAACAAAGAACCTCAAGATACCCTCGATCTCGACCAGACACCCAGCTCAAGCAGTCGTCGTCGGAAGACTCCTTCGCACGTGACTGGGAGCACTCATTCAAGATCCAATGGCTCGGAACGGATCGGTAGGGCAAACAGGCAAGAAGAGGGTGTCTTACAGGCCTCACGGAATCGAAAGTCCCGCGGCGCATTCACAACAGAGCAGGACAGGGACAATACTGCGCTGACGCGAAAGTTGAACGCATGCATGCGTTGCCGAAATCTTCGCATCCGGGTACGATAAGTTGTCATGATGTGTGCATATCAGACACTGACAAGACATAGTGCGAGCCAAACCCTGTTAACCCAAATGGACAATGTTTGACTTGCGCCAAAAGATCAAGACCGAGGCTGTCGGTTCTCCCTTGCTTGCGCTACCGAATTTCAGACGTCTCATTGTATCGAGAGGAACTCAGACCGAATGTCATCTGGACTAGCCGATGGCAGAATAACGAATCTCACAACGTTACAACCTGGGCAAACGACCAAATAAGGAGAGTGCGAGTAACGCAGGGACTTCCACAAGCAAGCTACGAATTGGAGGTGCGGGAATTTCAGGCCAACCCGGGTGACTCCTTGGAAAAGATCTGGGTGCACAACGGGGAGGTGAAGAAGGTTGCGATCAGACCTTTTGCTATTGTCGACATGTCCCAGGCGGCAACCGTGGGAAAGCAATACCTTGATGAGAACGTCCTCAAATACGTGACCGACACTATGTCATCGGAAGATCCGCTCATCCAGGAAACATATCGCATGGCATACAGGCAGGCGACAGAGTCTGAGGTAAGGGAAAGCTTCCTTGCAACGTATAATGCCTTTCTGTGGCTAAAAGTTACTATAGAAGCCAGAAGAACGCATTCTGCTGTCCAGCGTACTTCGGCTGTGGGTTGCAGCTAGAGTGGCGAGCAGAACGGAATGGATCTGTGGAGATGATACACTGGGTATGAAGCCCGTGGCTGATCCTTCGAGTCCTTACTATGGTCGGATACCACTCCCACCGGTGATGAGTGCGCAAATCTCGATAATTTCGCAGCAGTTCATGCTTAAGCCGTTCAAGTTAGCTGTCCTCGAAACCCTCCATGGCCTCACCTCAAAGCAGAAAAAGCGGTATTGGCTTGCCATCTACCTCGCCATTTTCATTCTGCTACACGGCTGTTCGATGATGACCAAAAGGGACGAGGAATATGCGCGACAGATAAATCTTGGAGTAAGTCACTGGAAAACGCTACCATGACGAATAGGATGCTAAATCCAGTCCCCGTAGACACGTTTCGCAAACCCCGAGAGTATTCGAGACCACCACCATGGCTGCCTCATCTTGCTACAGTATTTTCACTCTCGGAACAGAGGAAGGCAGCCGTTTGCATTGACCAAAGATCCAAAGGGGCTGGATGAGCTCCGGAAGTTTGGCGAATTTGACCAAGTTCAGGTCGAATTCGTCCGCCGAACATGGGAGTGTGTTCGAAGAAATTGTAGGTCCCTGCCTTGGATCCTCCTATTTTGGCGTCCGGACTGATTTAACGTCACTACGTACGACAGGGACCTCGATGATAGAAGCACGAGACAAGAAAGACTTTGGAAACAGCTACTATTTCGTTTCGCAACTCTTTGATGAGCCCTGGAAGCCATCATCAACCGCATAACATGGAGCATTGAAAAGGAAAACTCGTCCGACACCACCCGACAAGCCGACTCCCATCTAGTCGCAAGAGGGCGGCTGGCTTACACAAACGACCGTCCACCTTGACGGGTTTGAAATCCCATACACAAGTTCGGTCGTCGTCATCGAATACTCGTGCCCATGCCAACTCCAATGCAAGTGGGAGTGTCCACAGCGATTGCTGATTGCTCAACGATAGCCGCAGACGGTGACGTTGTGAGTCAGTCTCCCTCGTCCTCAAGTGCTTCGCGGGAATACAGGATAGTCATTTTGTTGATGACACACATGTCGCCTTTCTTCATGGGACAGCTTGACGGAATTGGCTTCTGCAATGAAGTGGACTGCATCTAGTGCTTCGGCTTGTTTTGCCGTCAGTGCTGGGATAGCTTTGCTCCGCGGAGTCTCGGGCGAGCCCTCCAAGAGTCTTTTCGACATGCCCAGGAGGATTTTCTGATCGACATGGAACAGCAAGGGCTTGTTTGTGATATGGAGGGGTGCGCCCAAAACTACGCGGCCAAAGACGCCAGTGAGGAGATGACACATGGAGCATTATTTTTGAGGGAACTCAGGTTACCTGGCAAGCCTGGATGATTCGAATCTGCCCGAAATCGAGCATCAACGCATTCTCCCTCGTTATCAGTAGCCAACATGAACGAATGATTGCCAGCCTGAGAAGTGACTCGTGGTCCTGATGATGAATGACCTGCGTGTCAATTATGCACCGCTGATGCAACCTATGCCATGTTCTGTCTCGCAGAGACTATCTTCAACAACACAATTCGATCCCAATTCTTTGTTGTCGGACACCCAGAATTGACTCTGAAATATCCCCTGCTCCTGCACTCCTTGCGATAGACTCCCACAGGATCGGAGAACAGATCAAACACGGGAAGATACATAAACAAACTAGTGCTCAATCTCTCCCTCGTCGCCCTCTTCGATCGAGTCGCTCGCCACTTCCTCGTAATCTCTCTCCAACGCAGCCAGATCCTCGCGAGCCTCGGAGAATTCACCTTCTTCCATACCTTCACCGACGTACCAGTGGACGAATGCACGCTTCGAGTACATCAAGTCGAACTTGTGAGACAGGGCAGACCATGCTTCGGCGATAGCGGTGGTGTTCGAGAGCATGCATCTATCATTGTGTTAGACAGGTGTATAGAAGGGGCGTTGAAATGCGACTTACACTGCGCGATTGACCTTGGCAAGATCACCATTGGGCACCATCTGAGGGGGCTGGTAACAGATACCAATCTTGAAGCCAGTCGGGCACCAGTCCACGAACTGAATTGTACGCTTGGTCTTCAGAGTAGCGACGGCCTGGTGCACGTCATTGGGAACCACGTCTCCGCGGTAGAGCAAGCAAGTGGCCATGTATTTGCCGTTGCGGGGGTCGCATTTGACCATCTGGTTGTTGGGTTCAAAGCACGACATGGAGATTTCTTGGACCGAGTGTGCTTCATGCTGCGCCTTTGCTGCTGAGACGACGGGTGCATAAGCAACCAGAGGGAAATGGATGCGTGGATAAGGCACAAGGTTGGTCTGGAACTCGGCGAGATCGACGTTCAGGGATCCATCGAATCGGAGGGAAGCCGTGATGGAGGACACGACTGTTTCTTGGTCAGCTCCTAGCTCATGTCAAATGGATGGGTGATGCCCACCTTGGGCAATGAGTCTGTTCAGATTTTCGTAGTTGGGTCGCTCGATTCCTAGATTGCGTCTGCAGATGTCGTAGATCGCTTCATTGTCTACCATGAAACTGCAGTCAGAATGCTCCAGAGTGGTGTGCGTTGTAAGAATCGAGTTGTATGGCTCGACAACGGAGGTGGCGACTTGAGGAGCTGGGTAGACGCAGAATTCCAGTTTGCACTTTTTGCCATAATCAACAGAGAGACGCTCCATCAGCAAGGCGCCGAAGCCGGAGCCTGTACCACCGCCGAATGAATGGAAAACAAGGAAGCCCTGAAGGCCACTGCAGTTATCGGCCACACGGCGAACTTTGTCGAGCACTTGATCGATCAGCTCCTTGCCAACGGTGTAGTGTCCTCGAGCGTAATTGTTTGACGCATCCTCTTTCCCAGTGATCATCTGCTCGGGATGGAACAGGCTGCGGTAGGTGCCGGTCCTGACCTCGTCGACAACATTGGGCTCAAGATCACAGTAGATGGTTCGGGGGACATATTTGCCGTTGCCTGTGCATAACGCAATCAGTAAGGTCAGGGATGATGGGTTTCGGAGTCGTACCCGTCTCGGAGAAAAAGGTGCTGAAGCCTTGGTCGGGATCAGCGGCTTTGCGTTCTTCGGTAAGGTATCCATCGGGCTGGTTCAAGTCAATTTGTGGTCGGAGCCAAACGATAACGGTGAACCACTCACTTGGATTCCGTGCTCCAGGCAGTACAGCTGCAAGAATCAGTAATTGTCCGAGGAGCAGACAGTGTTGATCAGGAAGACTGTTTACCTCCCAGCACGAGTTGGCAATTTGACAGCCAGCCTGGCCAACTACAGTTCCAGATGCAGGTCAGCTTGTTGTCACGAATTCTCTGGACAGGGGCTGTGGAGGTCGGTCAGGGACGCGTGCTTGGATAGTCACGTACCATTCAAGCTGATGACTTCTCTCATGGTGACGAGGGTCAAGAAGGGGATGCGGAGGAGATGAAGAAGAAGAAGCTGTGAGATGGGGAGATGCCAACAAGTCCACGGCAAGCAAAGAACTGGAAGAATCAATTGTTGATGGTGGTTGTAATTGTGGGGTGGTTTTGACCGCAGCCTCGATTTGTTGACGGCGCGCTCTTTCTTTCACCGCCTGTCCCTGCCATGTGCAGCCAATCACAACGGATCACAACGGCTGACTCCACAGGTTCGCGTCACAGCCAATCAAGTCGCCGATGCGGAAGTTTTATCAAATGCCCCTTCACCACCTGCACTCTGACATCCTGGGTATCTACATACCGCCATCATCCCTTTACAACTATTTCTTCAAGTCAATGGCATATCAACTCCTCTTTCTCTGGTTATTATGGCCTTACTGTGCCTTCGCCAATGTCGAGAAGGTCATTTTCCTTGCTCCCGCCGCGGACAATCTACCCCAAGATGCGAGTATCGACAATCTGTTTCTGACACGTCTCTCTGAACAACACCCAAGTGTCAGAACCCACATCAATGCGAGCTTCCCGACGACAAACTCCCCTAAGGGGACCGAGAGTTGGTTCTTACTCGAGGGCCTTCGGCCCGGAGGACGGTATGAGCTTCGAATTTGTTGGCTGGCGACTGTAAGATGTCCCTCCTTCTGGCGACTACGGCTGACTCTTTTCCAGCAACCGACGTCCTTCTGGCTCTACACGCACTCGCTGGATCATGCCTTTGCGACACCCGACCTTTTGACATCATTGAGTGCCTACGCTTATGCCCGCCACGCACAGCTTGGCTCTGAAGATAGTCAAAGGCTCCTGCTCCGGAAGGCAAAGGCTGATACCAGCCATATCGGGTCGACGTTCCTGTTCCTCCAGGTGTTCGCTGCGGCAGACTATTTTAGCTTAAACCAGACACTCATGGAGGTCGTGCCTCCGGTCGCCGTGGACGTAATTCTAGACCCATATCTTTTCAACATCTTGCCAAGGTCACTTGCTCCAACGGGACTATATCTCCTCGTGATTGCAGTGGGGGCGTGGTTTCTCTCCGCCTGGGTTGCAAGGCTCATGGCCCGCTCTGTGACACAGCAGATTCAATTCAAAGCAGACAAAACTGACTAATGGTGCTCATGACCTGACCATCGAGAAAGGATCCTGCAGCTGATCGAACTCCGTCATCAACGAGAAGAGAGGAAACTCTTCAGTGTACGACGGAAGACTCGGTATCCCGGATCCATCCGGTGAGAGATAATCTGCCTCTGGCATCTGACCGAAATCTGTGCGCGGCAAAGGTGGGATAGGATCAGCAGATTCCTCGCCATTGTACGCCAATACTCCGGAGGTGGTCAACACGGGGCCGCGGCTCTCAGCCGGCATGTCGAACCGTAGCTGCCACGGCGGCGCGGAATCCCCGGACTCCTCTGTGGCATCGAACAGAGCCGTTGTGCTGTTGTGATTGGGAGCGACTTCTGGGGCTGAAATCTGACTGGGAGTTTGATTGCCGCTGGTCGCTTTGCTCGAGCCTGCACCGTTTGTCTTGTTGATAGGATCACCAAAGATGTTGTGGATGTCCTGTCTTCGCCTCTGCATTTGCATTTGGTCTCGCCGTCGAATATGCTCAATCGCGGCGAGGCGCAGGTAGCTGGTTATCTCATAGTGTCGACGAGCTGACATGTCATCCTTTGCCATGATGGTCAAGATAGCCTCCGCTTGGGTAATGCTGCTGAGCAACGGAAACGACTTGTCAAAGTCACCGAAAATGGCAAATCCGATCACCATGGCTGATATGAAGGTGCTGTTAGTGATCATGAACAGGCGCTTGGGTACTCCCGGGGTGTGAACAATGTCAGTCGCAATTTCAATGCTCCTCAGCGCAGCGTCAATACAAGCTTCGCTTAGAGTCATTGTGACCGAGTTTCCAGCGCTGTCCTCGTCCTCAGAACGGCCTTTGATCTTCGAGGACACCTTGAAGATCAGAAACGGTCGGGTCAGAAGAATAATCGACCAGTAGTAAGCACCCTTCAAGTGGGCGATGCCGAGGGTCTGTCTCAGTGTCGGAGCCGTGGAGCCGCCCTTCTGGTCCAGACTGTCGGCTTGCAGACCTGCCGGCAGTTGCATGGTCCAGTCTCGATATTGACGGGAGATGCTTTCGACCAGCTGGACAGAGACTTCGCGACGACAATAGACCTCGTTCAGTATTCGCTCAAAGATGAAACATATCCTCAGTGTCGCCGAGGTGTTGCGTCCGTTCATCTGGATATCCTCATAGTCTCTGGTAGATCGATTCCAAGACACGCTCCCACCATCGACTTCCGAGGTTGCAGGCGGTCGGCCGAGTGAGCCGCTCATATACAGGTCGAGGACACGCAAACTCTTCCACACCCGTTCCCGCGCAAGCCTTTCTCGCGGCTCGAACAAGTTTGAGATGTCGCTTCTGTGCAGCCCTAGAGCATATGCGGCTCGAACGGCGATGCCAAGTAGCATAAATGCGCCGTTTCTTCTCACCGCGGACAACATGTAGAACGTGATCAGGGCGTAGGCCTGGATGGTTAGGACGCTGGGATCTTCCAAGAAACTCGAGACCCCAATCTCTCGGCCGCGCGAGAAGTAAAACTCTGCCTGATCCAGGTCGGTCGCGTCGCGAGTCAAGGCCCCGATGGCCATGACGAGATAATAGATGGAACTGTTGAAATCCGTCTCGGCGGTAGGATCCTGCGTCCATGCGCACAGATGCTGGGAAATGTCGTCCGGATCGAACAGGTCGATCACACCACTCGAGGCCAACAAATAGTGTTTGATCAGATCCTGAGCCTCGGCCAAGCTGGGTTTGGGGTGTTGCGACTGTGCAGGCGTCGGCGCCTTGTGAGGAGGAATCACCTCGCACATGGCATGCCGGAGAGGGTCCGAGGTCAATTGACACTCGCCAATCTCTGCCTTGACCAGGCGACGGATATTCTGGACAAATGCCAGGTTGCTCGAGTCGCCCACGAAGATGAATTTGCCGCGGCCATCGCGGAGCAGTCTGGCCAGCTTGGGTACAGGGGCCCTCGATATGAGTGCGTCCGGATCCCTGTCGTACTGGGGAGACTTTGGAGCGCTTCTCGACCCGGACAGCGTCAGAAGCGATTCAATGGCGATCTCGGCATCATTGGACTCATTTAGGGCATCCTTGAGGGTGATGGGGTGAGACGACGCAGTACTGCCCTGGCGCTGAGAGCCTCGCTTGGAGTAGGCCTCGGTGAAGACGCATTCAGTCTCGCGACATCGTCGCTTGCAGAGCAAGCAAGGTTGCTGTCCATCACATTTCTCCTTTCTCCGCTTGCAGGTGTCACAGGCCCGCGCCACCCGTTTCCGGTCTTCGTCCTTGACGCGTGGGCGAGGCATGGGGGGCCACTCAAAGGCTCAGATCATCAGCCTTGTAGCCTTGCGATGCCGAATCTGATGACTCACGGGTCACTTTCCGATGTTTGATGGGCGCAGGTGGGTGAGAGAACTCGGATATAGCACCTTCGTGGAGTTTGGGAAATCGAGGTGTTCGGTGATCAGCTAGGAACCGTCGGAAGCGGGCATGAGAAAACTTGGGGGGGAATGGAGCGAGGCCCCCGTGACCCCCTAAATTTGGCGCCCCCCCTCAGTGCCCCCGATTTCTTGGCCTCGCCAGCCGGGTCGCGGGGAAAGCCCAATCACGTGTGGCGTATAGGTAAGGCGGGCAATTTAGGGAGCCTGGTAGGCGCAGGGGTTCGGTTCACCGGCGAAAGCGGGTAACAAGTGCTTTCAGTGGCCGGGGACCACCACTATCAATGCACAGATTGCATTTGGATTGGAATAGAAACCTCTTCATTTATACCCCGTACAAAAGTTTGTCCAACATACACCAACGTGATCAGTAGCCACGTTGTGATCCTCAAAAGCCGCGACCCATGCCGGTCGTCACCAGCGCCTCGCCAGACTCTCCTTTGGAGGATAGCGGAGCCATCTTAATGTCATATCTCAGTTCCTTTTTGGCCTTCTCGTCACTTTTCCGGGGCACAAATTCGACGATCAGAGAGTCCTTGACCGCAAAGACCGAATCGTCATCGAGATACTTGCTGTCCTTGTCGAAAATCTGGGTCGTGATGGGCTTGAAACCCTCGGCCAATACCTGTGCATTCTGTCAGCCCCCGGTCTTCGGTAGAAAAGGACGTCTATACTGACAATAAAATGGATGTGGGCTGGTCGGTAAGGATGTCTGTCGAGCAGTTGCAGCAATTTGCCCGCTGGCCCGTCGTATGGGATCGGGTAAGGAGTCGGCCTCAGGCAATAGAAGCCGTACTCTCCATTCTCATCCGTGTAGAACTTGCCGCAGAGGTTCGACTTGGGTTGTTTCTCGTCCTGTTGTTCGTACAATCCTGCACAAGCCTCGTCAGTATCCTTTCGCGGACCACATGATATCGTCTAGACCGAACCATTTGTGGATGCTTGCCAAACATCAACTGAAGCATTGGCCAACGGTTTCTTGGTCGTGGCATCCGTAACCTGACCATACAAATACACAACTTCGGCATCCTCCGGAGTGTTGGCGGAGATGCTGTCGCCCTTCTTTCGGATCGTATGGTCGGTCTGGAAGAAGGGACCGAGAATGGCGCTCTGAGTGGCCAGGTCGGCAGCTTCGGCAGCTTTCTTGTATGTGATTTCATCCACAAGTCTGCACAGTCAGCATAGTCTTTTTGTTCCCACACTACTGTGAGTTATGACCTACGTTTCCAAACCGACAACATCGCACACCAGTTGACCTTCGTTTCTTCTGTCGTTGCTCATCTGGCCAGCCCAATTGAGCAACTGAACACCCTCGGCCCACTCGTCCACGGTCAAGTCAATTTCTCGGGCAAAGTCGTGAAGGTGTTTGATCAAGCTGGTCATGACTTCGCGCATTCGAGGAGAAGTCTTGGGGCCCATGGCATTGATGACATTTTGGGTGAAGTTGGGATCATAGCGCGAGGCGCCAGTTTTGTTTTCACCGTTCATATTGGACAGGAGGTGAGGGTCGACTCAGGTATTGATGGAAGCTTGCTACGGACGGTGACGGCAAAGACGAAGCGTCAAGCTGGCTAATGTAGAAGGATGGATGTGAGTGAGAAGGGGAGAAGAGACTGGAAGATGAGAACAAACCTTCTACACAGGAAGGAGGGTCTCCGCGGTTCAAATAGGATTGCGTCTTGCCATGGGCTGTTTCGTGGAGAGACATCATCGGCCTCAGAACGTGGAGATCGCGACGCTGGTCAGGCCCCAGACGTATAAGCAGTCAGCAAAAGCAGAGCAATCATTGGAGGCCGCGGCCAGAGATCATACGGAAGTATGTACGAGGGTGTGCGTTGACGGGCTCAACCCACAGCGCACATCCCACAATACCCCGCCCCGAACACTCCCTGCATCGGATCCCGCGCCGCTTGTTCGTCTGCCATTAGCCACCTAAAACTCGCCCCCAGAGCCGAGACTGGCTAGGCTAGCCACGCTAACAGCGTCGGCCTTACCCAAGCCAGCTAGCGACCTCGTGCCGCTTGGAATTCGGATGCAGGCTGCGGCTCCAGAGTGTTTATTCTGCTCCGGTCGGCTCCCAGCTTCGGGACACGCACTTGCTTCTTCCTATACCATCGACCTCGATTTGATGTCGTCGACCTCCAAAATCGCTCCTGACTACGCCCTTTCTGTGGCGTGACGATCTAGTACGCTCTTCTGACATGCCCGATCGCCCGCCGAACCATTATTAAACAAGACGGAACACTCCGCTGTTTGACCTATCTTGTGGGCTGACCTGTTTTCTCCCCGTCGTTGCGCTTCAATCTGGAGTAGCCGATCAGATCACATCTACCTCCATCGCTGTCCTTGCTCTGTCCTCTCAGTGTTCATTACGGTGCAGCCCGGTCAGGACATGGGAGTGTACGCTGCTCACCCTTCCGTGGCGCAGCTTCAGACAAGAGACAAGATTGGGAAGTCGACTCATACAACGAGGTACAAGCTCCTCGCCACAGAAATCGGAATGTCGGCCCAAACAAGGCTGTCCTCGCCGAGTTGGTGACATCTCCTGCAAGGAAAAGCAAATCAAATGATCAGTATTGGTCATTGGGGCCGAACCGTGCTTTGCAAGACAGTCCTTGCTGCTCTGCAACCATCCAGGCCGAGATTCAAGATGCGGTCCCAAGACAAATTGAAACGCACCCATTGAGCAAACCGAGAGAAGGATGAGCAGACCTTCCACAGCTTCTGCAACCCCGTTCTTCAACCCGCCAACTGCCAGTCGAGATCGACAACGGCCGTGACCCGCTATGCTGCTTGCCGCTGACTTCGTGGCACCAATCTGAGGTCAGGAAAGGTTTGATGCTGTGTTACCGACCGCTTGCTCTTGGTCGTCTGGCTGTCTCGTCCTTGGACCGCAAACTCGTTGCACATTCTCCGCCTGCTGTTGCTCTGTGATGCCCATTTATCCTACCGAGATGGGTTGCAGACCTCGTCCGCCCATTCAATCCCTACTTCTACAAATTTCTTTTCTTCGAGATGCTTTGAATCAGCAGGAAGAGCCCAGCGATGCAACGAGTCCGAGCAGGTACCAATCGGCCAGTCGTCGTCTCTCGCCCACATGTCGCCTAGAGCCTCGTCCATAGCGACGTCCTCTTCAACTGCACAGGCCTCGTCCAAACCAAGTTCCAGCTCTAAATCCCCAATTTCGCCAAAATGGGGTTTGAGGTCATCATTCTCCGATTCCCCCGTTCTCACTTCACCTCAAGTTCTACTTCCACGCTCACCTCCTCCGCGACCGCCGAGACCAAAAACTTCCTTACCAAATCTCCGCCCAACAGTTATTCTCTCGCCACTCGCAATACCGCCCCCCTGCGCTTACCGGCTGCCAACGCCCATCCATTGCTCGCGGTCTGACAGGTTTTCAGACGACGTCTTTGGGTCGCTTCCAGAACATTTGCGGACCTCACTAATATCACTGCGCGGAGGTGAGGCACAAGGTTCCCCGTGCAACGCGGTGCCAATACCCAGTGGAAACCACAGCTCGTTGCCGCTCTCGCCCAATGCGGCCACGAAAGGCGGCCAGGATTTCGGCGACGTCCTCCATGCGCCTCTCGTACCGCCTGAAGGTCAGGACCAGAACCGCCCAACCACCAATAGCTCCACTTTGAGCATCGGAAAATGTTGCGCTTTCATGCCACACAAGGTCAGGGCAATGGACAGCTTTGAGCGCGCGATCCATTTGTGCCGGCATCCAGAGACCCGAGTTTCGGTCGAACCAGTCATGACATACCTGCCCATAGCAAACACTGCAAGTCCGCGCGACAGTCCATCTTCATTCTCGACCCCTTCAAAACTCGAATCCAGCACAGCGGACGCAGGACAGCGACACCTCGAAATATGCCATGTTTCTCAGCACGACGCGCGTCTCCAATGGGATGACCAGCCGCTCCCAAAGTCCTGGCACGTCTTTGTCTTCCGCCACAGACGTCTCCTGCGCATGGTGTGCACTGTATTGTTTGTGATCCTAGCGTCAACGGCAATAGCGGGCGGCGTGATATGGAAGTTGACAACGTGTGAGTTGACGTCTCCTTTTCTTTTCCATCCAGCAGTTTTGATCGCCTTTCCTGGCCCTGGGACGGGCAGTGAGGATGTCGACCTCCTGGCAACGCAGCCCACTGCCTTACTTGCTCGTTCCCCTATTTTTCAATCATCTACGTACTCCAGGCTGACAGCGGACTACTTCATTCCAGTGGATCAAGTGGACCGAGTGCAATAGGCGACCGCGAGGTTTTGGTTTCGCGACATTTGATATACTGCAAGCCACAATGCCACGACCAGAGTCCATCCGGCATGGACGTCCTTAGATCGAGGATTCATAGATAAACGAAAGAACAGGCGGCCGAAATCAGGATGGCAGAGTCAAAGTTCTTCTTATTAGTCAAGGGCATACATAGTCCACACCACACGTAGATTGATTGCGCCCTTTTTTGCGGCCGCTCTTTTTTTTATTTCTTGGTCTTCACCCCTTTTGACTTCTTGCTGTTCTGTTTCCGGGGGACGGCGTCCTTCTTCTCCCGCGCCCGCTTGTCCTGGCCCTGCTTTTTGCGATCCGCCACTCTGGGGTCCAACCCTCTGGCCTTGAGCCACTTTTTCTCGGCCCGGTCGATGAACTCCTTGTCCTCGTCGTCGTTGAACCCGCCGAAATCGTCGTCCGGCGCGGCTGCCCCGTCCTGATCCACCGCGCCGTTGGCTCCTACCCTGTGGCCTTCATCGAGGACAGTCCGCGCCTCCGGCTCATCGACTCCATTCGCCTGTCCCGCCGCGTTCTTCGGCGTCGGCCCCATCTTCTTCAGTTTGCAGACGAAAAACCCGTCGACGTTCTCCCGGTGGGGGAAGTAGCGTCTCGTCAGGGCCATCCGGTCGTCGAACTTCTTGTTCATGTAGCTCTTGAACCCCTCGGACCCGAAGCTGCCCAACCCGGTGTCGACGATCTTGACGTTCGGCCGCTTGCGCAGGATGTACTGCACCACCCCCTCGTTCTCCTCGACGGTGACCGAGCAGGTCGAGTACACGACATACCCGCCCGTCTTGCTGGCGTGGTCGGTCGAGTCGATGGCGGCCAGGAGGAGTTGTTTCTGCAGGTGCGGCAGGGCCAGGAAGTCACGCTCGTTCTTGGACGTTTTCACGCTGGGGTCCTTGCCGATGACGCCCGTGCCGGAGCAGGGTGCGTCCAGCAGGACGCGGTCGAAACCGCCAAGCACTTTGGGAAAAGCCTTTTGCGCGTCGTAGTTGCAGACGATGGTGTTCTTGCACCCGAGCCGGTGAATGTTGCCAATGAGACCTTTGGCTCGCTGGCGATTGGCGTCGTTGGCAAACACGACGCCGGTGTTTCGCATCAGGGCCGAAATGTAGGTCGTCTTTCCACCTGGCGCGGCAGCCATATCTAAAATTCGTTCGTTTGGTTGAGGCGCCAGGGCCATCACAGGAAGGAATGAGGAGGCGGCTTGCAGGATGTAATGTCCAGCAAGATACTCTGGTGTTGCACCCAGCGGCACAGGTGCCTCGAAAACCTGGAGCCCGACCTTGGACCATTTTCCAACGGGTTCCAAGACGACTCCTCGATTGATCAATGCTTGGGCAAGCGTGCGGCGGTTGGTGCGGAGGGTATTTGTACGGAGGACGACAGGGCGGGGTGTCTCATTGGCCTCAAAGAAGGCAAATGCTTCTGCGGGGGTAAAGAGCGAGAACAGCTTCTCGGCGAGGAACGGGGTGTAGCCGTAGTACGTGCAGATGTCGGCGAGCAGCTGTTCGGTATAGTCGGTTCGCGATTTGGTTTTGTCCGCGAGTTGTGCAAAGTTGCCCAAGATACGAATGGTCTCGGTCATTCTTGTGCGAATGATGGAGAGGTCGGGGGCAAGGCCCTGTGCAGTGACCGAGTCCAGCACACCTTCGTCCTTGGCAATATTTGTTTGTAGAGCGGCGTCTTCCAACTCTTGCTGGGCTTCTGCATCCTCCTGCGCCTGTTGCCGGTCAAGCTTGCGCGAAAGACCTTCGATGTTGGCCGCGGTGAGTTTCGCCTCGGCATCAGATTCGTCCTCGTCGTCGGAAAACATGCGCCGCGGGCGTTCGTCTTGGTCTGAGTCGAACACGGAGTCGTCGGAGAGGTCACCTTCGAGTTCTGCCTGGGCCAGTTCGTCATCGTCATCTTCATCGTCATCTCCCAGGTCTGACAGGGAGACAGTGTTCAACGCTACTTCACTGGCATCGAGATCGCTCTCTGTGCCCTCGTCCTCCTCGTCCCCGTCGACGCCCTCGGAGGTGGCGGTGGGTATGGGAGGCGGGACGGTTATTTGCGCATCGTTGTTGACGAGTTTGACTTTTGTCTTTGCACTTGTCTTGGCCGGCACCGCAGTCGTGGTGTCATTTCGGAATGCCCGATCCAGGTGGACGAGTTTCTTTGCGGGATTCGTGACCGCCTGCGGTTTCTCGTCCGACCTCCTTCTCTTGCGGGCGGGCTTCTCGGGCTCGTCGGTGGCCGACTTGCGCTTCAGGTTGATCCCCAGTTCCTCGAGAGTCGCCGGGGGCCCTTGCTTGCGCATACGGCGTCCCGCGCCCATGGTTGTATAGACCCTAAATGGTTTGTGTGTGTTGGGCGGGTTCTGGCGTTTTTCGAGCAAATGGAAATTTGGAGAAAAGTGAAATTTTGGGCGGGAAAACTTCGCGTTAGTCCCGTTGCAGGATTGCGAGGTTTGGTGTCGCTAGTGGCTCTCTGACTCGTATTGAAATGCACCGAGGGCTGCCTAGTGCCGCGGGCGCCAGGGCAAACGGCGACAGACATTGGACGCCTGACGGCGCTAGCAAAGTTAGACGTCCTTAAGCGATGACAAGGGGCGGGCATCCCCGCTCCCGACCACAGGCCGACCCCTCCACACAGATCCACTCGTCGCCGACCCTATCTGCCCGCCGGTCCCAGCTGAACGGTACTAGGTAGGCAAATCAAAATTTACACTTCCCTCAGGCTGGAACGTCCCTTCTTCGGGACGCTTTGGGCCAGTGGACCTGAGGCGGACAGGGAATGGACTGCGTCTCTTGCGGAATGGAATGGGTACGGGCCAAACCTTGACCACTGTGTGACGGGCCTTGTATGTCCAGTTCCTCGAGAGGTGGTGGTGCCACGTCCCTTGTCGGTTCAGGTCCGCGTTTTCAAGTTTCTTCTATCCCAGATCCTCCCCTCCCTCCCTCCCTCACCCCCCCCCCTCCCCAAATCGCGCCCAGTCCCGGCTTCGCGTCCTTTGACAGGCGTTTCCCGCTATGTCCCAGAGAACCGGCCTGTCCCCGTCCAACATCTCCGAAGCATCGACCTCGTCGCAGCCCTCAGTCGCCCAGCAGCCTTCGGGCTCCGGGGACACTACGTCGCCCGAGGCGAGAAAATATGTCACCCAGGCGTGCCAGCCCTGCCGTGCCAAGCGATCCAAGGTTTGCCCGAGCCTATTGACAAGAGGAAAAGGAACAATGACCATTGACTCGCCCTTTTCAAGTGTGACAACGCCCATCCCACCTGCTCAGCCTGCGTAGCGCGAGGAACCCTGTGCGTCTACACCGATGTCGACCGCCGGAGAGGCAAGCTGAGGGCGAACGAGACGGATGCGTTACAGGAGAGAGTCCGGAAATTCGAGAACATGATCAGAACTCTGACGCACGGGCCCGAGGAGGAGGCTTACGAATTGCTGAGAAGACTGAGGACTAACCCATCTCAATCTCCAGGCGCCGAGGGGTTGGCGGAATGGACACAGTCTCGGGAGAGAGACGCCGATCTCAATACTTCGGTAAGCGGGCCTCTGATTTTTCTCTCTCTCGGAAAAAAAAATAAGGACCTGTAAGACAATCGAGGTTTCGACCTCCCGTTGTCCCAGAGCGCAGGCTGCGGGCTAAAGGCTGTCTGTCCTTGAAGCTGAAAGATTGTCCAGGTCCGGGCTGCTAATCTATCATCAGGCTGCACGGGTCTACTCGGTCAATGACCTGCCACCGGAACACTTGGTACTGTACGGCATCAGAGCATACTTTAATTGCACCTATACATTATTATATATCTACGAAAAACAAGAGATGGACGACATCTTGAACCGGGTATACCGAACCCACGAAGCTGTCGACAACGCGACCCTGTGCGAACTCTGCGCCGTAGCCGCGGTTGGAAACCATTATGATGGTGATAAGTTCGACGGGTCGATCATGGAAGCCTTATTTCAAACCGCCACAATTTATATGAGTGACTGTATCGAGTCACAATTCTTGCGAGGCATGAGAGTTATCCTGTGTCTCAGCATTATTTCTTCTCTCACGAAGCGCGCGAGTGCTCGTTTATTGATCGGTATGTCGATTCCGGACATGGTTCGAGGTTCTGAAATGGGCTGAAATGGGTTGTAGCGTCTGGATTGAGACTGGCTCGGTGGGCGCGGCTGCAGCAGCAAGATGTCTTGCCTTGGGTCGCTTACCGAAAAGTCTACCGGTCGCTTGTGTTTATGGAATGGTGAGGAAGATCCCACCAGTGACTGTGCGAGGCCGACGTTGACCTCTCGATAGCTGGCTTGCTTCAAGCCTCGGATATCAGCCTGATCTCAATAACGACGAGGCCGAGGTGGGTGAGTTGTTGGGTGAGGTAATGTTCGTCAGGCTGAGTGTGAATGGCAGTTTACGAGACAAGAGATTATCGAAGCTCAACCGACAACCGAGAACCGTATCCAAGCCGAAATATGCACGGTCGGCCTGATGATGGCGGGTATTCTGCTGGACGTCCACAAGTCGACTTCGGCGGTCTTCTCCATTGTTGAGAAGCATTCGAGCATCTTGGGTGAGTGGCAGGAGAAACTCCCCGACTCCATGAAGCTGGAAGCGCTAGTCCCAGGCCACGGAAACGGATTCCCGGAGCCAGAACGACGGGCGCTTATTCTCGTCCACGTGATGTTTCTGGGAGCAAAAATGATGCTTCAGAGACGACTGTTGGTGGAAATGGCAAACTGTCGAATGAACAGGCGGTGGACGCTAGATGGAACGCTAAGCCAAGGCGAGAGTATTCAGAGGGAGTGCGTCGAGGCCGCCGAACTGTGTGTCAGTCTGCTTGAGATACTCGGGTACACCAAACACAAATTTCCTCGATGTTGGCTCTGTGTGTAAGTTCCAGCCCAATGTCAAGGCCGAATATCCGCGGGCACTCGAAAGCGCTGACACTGTTTCTTCATCTCGCCAGTGGACACACCTTTAGCGCATGCAGCGTCCTCCTTTTCGCGGCTGCTCAGCGCCTCTTATACGACCAGAGAGATAGGGTTCAGATCTACCTCTCGAAATCGCAGGAATGTATCAATATGCTCGCCAGCTGCAGTGTTGTCGACCGTGTGGCAAACTCCTTGCTTCAGATCGTCCGACCGCTGCACCAGGATCTTCAGCGACTAGCCAGTATCGAATCCAGCAGTCGACCGAAGAGCGGAATCTACGACCTACTCGAAAACCCACATGCGGATGCTGCCACCAGTCCACCCACCACGGCGGGCACGCGAGGGTGGTCTCCAGGAGCCCAGCAATACCAGGGCTTTCCCAGCGAACCCAGTACGACGCCACCGATCCGCACCGCCGCTATTCCGGCCATGCAGAATGCGATTGAAGTTCTGGGAAATCCGTTCGGCCTGCCGAGGAGGCTGAATACCGATTCGTCCGCTACAGGGGACCCTCACATTCCGAGTTGGTGGAGTTGATGATACTGTGCACAGGTATGGATGGCTCTTGGCAGGTTTCGTTGGTCAGAACCGTGCCCAGAGAAAAGTGCCAACAATACAGTTGGATAAAGCGATCTCGCTTGTTGCCGAATTAAAGTTTGGTGGCTTGAATCGAGGGATCACAGGCGTCGTACAGACGCAGGATATATTGAGGAGGACATGGTACTTGGACCACGACTCGGTTGATGGTGGTTTGATGGGATTAGTCCTCGGATAGCTGGATGTATAGCTAGAAGGATAGATGATTTGATGATGGACGATAGATAGATGGACCGATGCTGTGCTCACTGGATTGGTGGACTGATGGATAGAAAAATAGAAGAACCAATGATGGACGGATGGATAGAAAGGTGGACGATTGATGGCTGGATTGATAAAGTGGTTGGCGATTGGTTGAATGGTTGCTGGATGGACTGAAGGATGGACGATTTGACGGTGGACGGCTGGATTGAATGATGAATGACTAGATATCGACATGGATGGATGAACAAAAAGACGGATGATTTGGTGGGCTGACAAGCGCATAGCAGGAGGCTTGGACGGCAGTATGGATGATCTGACGCAGGACGGATGGACAGCAGGATTGATGGCTTGATGATGATAAGAGGGACAGTAGAATGGATGACTGGATGGGTGGACAGCAGGATGGATAACTTGACTCATGGATGGATGCATAAAAGGACCGGTGATCTGATGGACTGACTGATTGATTGATTGACTGGTGCTATGAGAAAGATGGAGGATGCCAGTGCTGGATGAGAGTTGTAGAGAGGTAGGCAATAACCGTATATGATGACAATAGACGGTTATTACTCCATTAGACCGACGATCTCATGAACGCTTTCCGCAGAATAATGCAAATGACCCTGGTCTCAAATTACCGACTGCTTCTCTGCTGTTTTCTTTTTGCTATCCTCCAGGCCTTGTGCCAAAGGATGATACTCTCCTTCTTCCGCTTGATTTGAAATTTCGTGCTATCCTCGATCAGACTGGGTATCCAACCCTTCTTCTGTCTTCCGTGTCCTTGAATGAGTCAGTTACTGGCCATTTACAGGTCCCACAAGGGGTGCCGGAGAGTTGGGCCCCGAGCCCTTCTTCATCTTCAGCGTAAGTGGGAACGGGTAGTCATCAGGCTCCTCTTCCTCACTATGATATAGGTCAGTCACTGTTCAGGACGCACCGAGAGGGCAACTTACGGTAATCTCCATGCAATGTAATCTTCCGTGCTCAGACCCTCTTTCCCCTCTTGCAACGACGCGAAGTCGCCCGGTGTCATCATACCAGTACGATCGCGGGGCGATCCAGGCACAGAGAGTGGTCTGGAGATCTTCTGTTCGGTACCACCAATGATGTCGTCGAACTCATCAGCGTCCGTGAAGGAAGCAGGATACGCGCGGCGTAACGCAAGCTGTCGAGCCTTGACATATTCCATGCCCATACGTTTCCAGTCGAGAAGATCACTAAGTCGTTCGGTGCGATTTCGTTGATTGATCCGTTGCCTCCGGGACTTGTTGGCGAATTCGTACATGTAGTCTGTCAGTTGATTGACTGATTCATCTACACCCTTAGCACGACGATCCACAATGTAGATCCCGTAGTCAGAGGAGTTCTCGATAAGCTCCTAAATCAGAGGTTAGCCGCCACTGCCAGTAAGCAGAGAAGAGAGATCTTGAAGTGGTTGACTTCTGCAATGATGCTCCTGCGACGTTCTCTTGGGCACGCGGGCACTTACCTCCATATAACAACCGAAACCGGAGAGGTTAGTGGTGATTGATGGCACACCCATGACTGTACATTCCGCCTTGTGTACGGTTAGCCTCGACCAGTTTGCAGTGATTGGAAGGAATAATACATACAGGCGTATATCCCCAGGGCTCGTAATAGGAGGCAAAGACGCCGAGGTGAGTACCTCGCACAAAGTCATCGTAATCCAGGGACAAAACTGGGTTCGCAGAGTTCAAGAACTCAGGGTGGAAGACGACCTTGACACGATCGTGGGTGTTGTTGAAGAGTTGAACGCGACGCAGTTGATTGAGGACTGGATCCTCAGAATCATTAACCATGTTGTGGGTGACAATGGGTGGAAGGCCGTGGCGTTTCATGGCAAAGAGTCGCCGTCTAAGCATAACCCGATCGGCTGGAGTGATGAGCTCCTTGTCGTCCGGCATTGGATCTCCCTCCTTCCAGTGGACAGCCCTTTCGAACAACCTCCGACCAATACCATGCTGGATGTTGGAAACAGTGTCGGCCAGAGCCTTTGTCACAGCTTGACCCTTGAGTGAGTCCACCGACAGGGATGTTGTCTGCGCTGGCATGATCAAAAATGCGACAATTGTTGTCTTGCTGCCCGAGCTCTGCATACGATAGTTCAGTCTGGCCAACGACTCAATGAACATATCCACACCCTTATTTCGATATTCATATCGGCCAGCAGTGAAGTAGTAGAGCGTGTTGTCCAAATCAAAATCCAAGCGGCCATAGAAGTGTCCCCGTACGAACTCGTGGATCTTTTCTTTCTGTACTGAGTGAAGGTTTTGGAACTCGTGAACAGCGGAGAACTTCTTAACGTTCAGACCGTTGGGGAGGACCCCGTCAGGTTTCCGCTTCAGCAGGTGCTCACTCTCAAAAGCGGTGATGTGGGAAACAGTTGTGAAGACGTCGGCAGAGTGCGCTGATGCTCGTTCGATGCAGTAACGGTGGTATATTCCACGCTTTCCTGCCTCTGCATCCACATCGAAAAATTGCAGATTGTTGTAAAAGTCGACGGAGCCGGCGCAGAGGTATCGACCGAGGAGGGTTGCATGCGTGGTGAAGATGGTGGTCAGGTCCATCTGACGCTTCTTGGTCAAGGGCAGAGCGACTCCAGAGAGCCACTCGTGGAAGTGGGCGATGACTGCGCGATCGGTCTCGCGAGCGATAAACTAGATGATCGTCAGCGTTGATATCTCGTTGGTGTCATTGCAGGCACTTACTTCGCCTAAGAACCATGCCACCAAATACCCAAATACGATGGCTTCGTTTGTTTCATGATCCCCGGCAGGAGAAGGGATCCCAGCTGCGGACCATAGGTCACCTTTCCACTCATCCAACCATCGGTAACCAGTTCCAGTATTGATAAGGAGCACCCTTGGGGCGCCTTCGATCAGCCACCGGCCATACATGAGCTCAATGCCACGTTCCTGCATTGATGAAATGGTTTCTCGAAGGGGGCCCGGTGGCGGTTCCAGGGTTTCAACTTCAACTGCGGCCTGCGAATGTCAGTCCATGCCTGCATTTGGAGGGCCAGACTACGTACCGAGTTCTTGTTGAGAGGGCCGATGAGCGTGTACCTGTCGCCATATTCTGCCGTTGTCACAGGAGCTTTGGACTTGAGCACTGAGTAGATACCACCCACTGGTCCGGATTAGCACATGCATCATGCAAGACATCGGCTGGTGTGTACCTCGATTAGCAACCTCCGTTGCAATTTCAAAGAGCAGATGGTTTTTTATATCCCTCTTCTTCTCCGTTTCGCCGTTCATTTTGCCGGTCTGGTCTCGTGTTTCTTCCGTTGCAGAGCAAGGGACGCGGCGTTCGTTCAATTGGGCGATACCTGCAGACAAAAGCTTACCCCACAGCCAGCGGAAGCTTGCAGATACGATTCACAGCTCAACAATGGAGTGGTGTGAGGTCGAAAATCGAGGAGGAGGCGTCGCGGAGCTCAAATGGTAAGCTCGACGCAGCAGTTCCCGCTGGTACGAAGAGATGCAAAGGATGGGAATCCGTGAATGGCGTTACGAGGGCAACTGTTGAAAAGAAATTGAGGCAGGCTGGGGCGATGGCACCACAGCAAGCGATCTCTGGGGTGGAGGCCGAGCGTGGACGAGGGAGGGAAGCTCCACTGCGAGACAAGGGAAGCAAAAGGTCAAGCTCGTGGGATTATTGAAACTGAAATTCCAGCAACAGCACAACTTTCTGCAAACTCTATGATAGATGACAGCAGGGAAAGAAATCCAATGTGAGGGCAGTAAGGTCCGATGGAGATTATGCTCGGTGTCGCCTCGAGAGATGGGATAATCGTAGGAAAATGACGGCATGGTGCAAATCATACGACTGCAACTTTTGGGCGGTGCCAGTCAGTGGGTTGAAGCTCTCTCTGTCTGGCACAGCGACCGCCGACCGCAGCTGTGCAATGCACAATGACGGCTTGCACGTCATTTAGGGTTACGGCCTCCCGGTTTGGGCCTAGGCAGCTCAATCTTAGGCGGACAGCTGCCCCCCAGCGTCACCACCGACTCCCCTGGGAACAGCTGGGGGCACCCAATGCATGCCCACCGCATGCCCACCAACCCACTCCCCGACCCGGACGCCGCCTCTGATTGAACCAAGCTACTCCCCCCAACCTTCTGCAGCAACCCTTGCCCCGCATTCTGTCTCGCCTCCTCGCCTTTGGAGGCCCGTTCTTCCTCAAACACCTTGGGAAAAATGTGAAATGGCCCTGTTGCCATGCTGACGGATTGCTCGACGCCTCCAATCACATTGCTCCGCTTCTCTCGGCTGCATCTCCGCCTAAAGACCTTCAGGATGGAAGCTTACAAGCACATCTCGGAGTATTGAAGCGATCGTTCGATTGGATCGAGACGTTGCATCGTCCTTGTTGACAACCATCCTCTCGCCCGCAAACAGCCAACGTCATGGGGGCGAGCAAAGCCCTACGATGGATATTGACCTGGTGCTTCGTACTGGCGTGGTGCGCAGGGCTCAGCGATGGCGCGGAGCAGAACCCCATCAGGCAGTTGGCCACAAAGCCGAACATCGTCTTCATCCTGACCGATGACCAGGATCTCCATATGGACTCACTCTCTTATATGCCCTTTCTAAAGCAGCACCTGGGTGATCATGGGACTTCCTTCCGGAGACACTACTGCACAGTGGCCTTGTGTTGTCCCTCAAGAGTAAGCATGTGGACAGGCAAGGCTGCGCATAACACCAATATCACTGATTTGCATCCTCCGTGGGGTCAATATTGTCCTTTCTTGTGTTCAACGTCGCGCATGAGACTCACCGAGAGCAGGTGGATATCCCAAGTTTGTCAGTCAGGGCTTCAACGACGCATACTTGCCTCTTTGGCTCCAGGAAGCTGGATACGATACTTACTACGTGGGCAAGTTGTTCAATGCTCAGAGCACGTCCAACTACAACAAACCCCATGCGGCAGGATGGACTGGGTCCGATTTCCTCCTTGACCCATTCACTTACGAGTATTATAATGCCACCTTCCAACGGAACAAAGAGCCTCCTGTCAGCTATCAAGGTGGCTACTCGACCGATGTCCTGGCGGAGAAGGCATTGGGATTCCTCGACGACGCCTTGAAGACAGACAGGCCTTTCTTTCTCACCATTGCACCGACAGCTCCTCATAGCAATGTACATATCAGCAATGACACGGCAGAACAATCAATGCCTCGGCCTGCCACACGTCACAGGCACCTCTTCCAAGACGCAAAAGTCCCCCGGGCCCCCAACTTCAACCCTGATGCATCGAGTGGTGCTTCGTGGATCCTGACCTTAGCCAAGCAGAACCAATCAAACATCGATTACAACGATGAGTGGTACCGCAACCGTCTTCGGGCCCTGCAAGCTGTTGACGAAATGATTGATGGCGTCGTGGATCGCCTGGAGCAGGCTGATATGTTGGAGAATACCTACCTTTTCTTCTCAACAGACAACGGCTATAGCATAGGACAACATCGAAGGCAGCCTGGGAAGCAATGTGCATTCGAAGAAGACATAAATATTCCACTCATCGTGCGAGGACCCGGCGTTCCGAAAGGCCATCGCACGGAAATCGTTACCTCGCACGTCGACCTGGCGCCCACATTCCTCAGCCTCGCAGATGTCCCGGAAGCTGAAATGACAAAGTACGAACTGGATGGCAGTACCATCCCGCTCCACTCGTTGGACCTGGTGCATTCGGAACGACCGTGGCCACAAGAACACGTCAACGTGGAAATGTGGGGCATCATCATGTCGGAAGGGAGATACGGCTATGTCCTTTATCCCAATCATACTTACAAGGCGCTTCGGGTCGTTGGTGACGGCTATGATCTGCTGTATACTGTTTGGTGCAGGAACGAGCACGAGCTATACGACATGACCGTGGATCCGTGGCAGATGGAGAATATCTACGGCGCAGGGACCAGGCCTTTCAACATCGCCCTGCCCGCTGTACCGCCAAATGAACGCTCGTTTTACGCTTCGTCGCTCACAGACACAGAACACGTCTTCTCGAGCGTGAATGTCACCACCACAGTATCGCACCTCACGTCGCGCCTCGATGCTCTTCTCTTGGTGCTCAAAACTTGCAAAATGGATGGGTGCCGCTTTCCATGGTCGGCTCTCCACCCGGCCGGCGGTGTGCACAGCCTCCGAGACGCGTTGGAATCGCAATACGACGCATTCTATCGCACGAGGCCGAAAGTCCAATATGAGCGGTGTGAAAGAGGATACTTCCCTGCCAGTGAGGGTGCGATGTGGGATGGAAGCATGTCTTTCAGAGCAATGGAGCATGAAGTGTGGACCGGTCCTTGATGACGATTGGAAATTTCCCCTCGCCGGACATGTCCCGTTTCTCGAGGACTCTAGTCTATCGTTGAAAGCCTGTCGACCAAATCTCCCGCGCCGGAATCACTTGCTCCTCTTGTATATCTTTGCCAGATATGCATCGAACACACCTTTCTTCAATCCCTCGCTCTCGTCCACGGCGGCGATCATATCCCGCAGCTCTCCCACACGCTTCTCCTCGTAGCCCTGGTATCTCTTTTCCAGCTGTAGCTCGTTGTACAATTGCTTCACCTTTGCCTCCTTGGCATCATCTTTCTGCCCATAGTTCTCATCCAGCAGCTTTCTTTGCTCCGGCGTGCATATCAGCAACGCTTGATTGATCAACCACCCACACTTGTTATCCTTGATGTCGGTTCCGATCTTTCCAATCACCGAGGGATCACCAAACGCATCGAGATAGTCGTCTTGGATCTGGAAGTACTCGCCCAGAGGGATGAGGATGTCGTGGGATTGTTTGAGGTTCTTGGGTGTAGCGAGGCCAAGGTAGTGCAGGGCCAAGGCCACAGGGAGGTAGAAAGAGTAGTACGCGGTCTTGTAGATGACGATGAAGGTATACTTGGACATGGAGAAGTTGTTCAAATCGACCTGGTCTTCTGGCGCGGTGATCAGATCGCACAACTGGCCTAATTCCGTCTGCCAAGTGACTTCGTGGAAGAGCTCGACCAAGTCAATGTAGGCGGCGTGGCTGCGGAAGTGTTTCTTGAGAATGAGATAGATGGCGGATTCGAGCATAAAGGCATCATTGATGGCAATCATCCCCACGCCTGGGTGGCGGTACCAGCACGGTTCTCCTCGACGGGTTATGCTTGAGTCCATGATATCGTCGCTCACAAGGAAGAATGCTTGTAACAATTCGGTCAGCCACCCCAGGGTTGCAAGGTCTTTGAATTCTTGAGGGTTCAAGGGCCGCCCGAGAAGCTGGGAAGCGGTATCTGGTACTGACATGCCCCGGTTCAGCTTCCCAGTGGGCGTGTTCGCATTGAGAGACTTTGTAAAGGAATTAGTCTGCGGGCGAGCCAATGCGAGGAACTCGGGATTGGTACCTTTTCGAACCATTGCATAGCATTTTCTGGGAGATTGAACTTGCGGCATTCTCCCAGCAAGTCCTCGACCAGCGAGGGGAAGACCCCCTGGAACTCTGCTCGCGTTATCTTCGTCGCCATGTTTGAGAGGTCGAGTTGGGTTTTTTGTTGACCGACAGGCGGTGGGAGGAGGGGAACAAAGAACTTTTTGGAGAAGCGTCCCTGGCGAGAACGGAGGCTGCCTCACCGAGTGGCGCCGCCAAGTTGTGGCTCGTCAGGAACAGGAAGCGCAGGCTCCCCGCAAGTCAGGCGAAAGTGATTTATTATCAGTCATCCATTGCTGCTTGCCACGATCTCTTGTTCGCTTCCCACTCTTTGCGCTACCATGGCTTCGCGGCCCTCAACTCCGACGCCTCAGGCTGCGGGCGAGCCTAAGTCTCCACTGACGCCAGAACAAGTGAGGAGGCTCGAGATCAACCGTCTTAAAGCCAAGGCGTTGCGTGAACAACGAGAGGCCGAGGCTGCCGCCACGGCGAGTCTTAAGGGATCAGATGCTACCACCGCAGGTCAGAAGCGCTCATATGACACTTTCGCCCAGAGTTCTGTACCTCCTACGAGCCGAGATGCCAGGAACGACGTCAACAGTCGTCCTCTCGAGGCCATCCAGCCCGCGCGCAACTTTGCGAAGTACGTCGACTATGATTTCAGTAAGATGGCAGACACAAAGGGTGGGTTCTTGACTGCAGAAGACGATCCCTACAACAAGGCGATGCACGCCGATGAAAAGGACCAGAAGCCTTCCCATATGACCCAGAAGGAGTGGGAGAGACAACAGCTGCTCAAATCGTTACGGAATCGACAGGCGGGACCCTTCGAACCAGGAATCAGCGCAATCACTGACCAAACTACGAGGTCATGTCGAGAATGCGGGACTCTGGAGGTGGACTGGAAATGGCTTGATGTCTTCAACATTGCAGTATGCAGTGCTTGCAAGGACAAGTTTCCCGAGAAATACAGCCTCCTCACAAAGACAGAGGCGAAAGAGGACTATCTTCTTACAGATCCCGAGCTGAAGGACGAAAACCTTCTCCCGCATCTCGAAAGACCTAACCCGCACAAATCTACATGGCACAATATGTTCCTATATCTGCGCTGTCAAGTGGAGGAATACGCATTTTCGGACAAGAGATGGGGTTCTGCAGAAGCGCTGGATGCGGAGTTCGAGAAAAGGGAGACGGAGAAGAAGAGAAGGAAAGAGAACAAGTTCAAATCGAAGCTGGCAGATTTGAAGAAGAGGACAAGAGTGGAGGCATATCAGAGGAGCAAGAAAGGCGGCGGTGGTGGAAACTTTGGGGACGACATGAGCGGTGGCAAGCACGTCCACGAATTTGGTCGGCCGATTGACAATCCAGAGACTGGATTCCCTGTCAAGACGTGTATAACATGTGGACTGGAAGTCGAAGAGCTGGAGCTGTAAGATAGGAATGAAGATGATACCCCTAAACAGTGAATGAACGAGTGAATGATACGGGTAATGACTTGGTGTACGTGCCGTCGAACGCTGAGTGTCCCGTACAATAGCGCTTCGAGAACAATGCCTTCCCTCCAGGAGAGTCTATTACTGGAAAGTCGGGCAAAGGGATTCGCAGAATCAAACCGTAAGACCAGGTATTTGGGGAGGACCTGTGAGCAAGCCGTGATAGGTGGAAGGGGGTCCTTAGGTGCAGTCAACCGCCGCGTTGGCGCTAGAACGGGCTGGTCGCAAGCCGTTCCCAAACCCAAACCCGCGGAGGGAAGTTGCTGCAACTGCTGCTCGCGCTTCTAACCACCAGGAGACAACCTGAATCATCCTGTTCGACTGTTCTTCACCCTGCCAGCCGTCCACCCTTTTCCCATCCTGCCGATCCTACCTTTGTCCTCGTGCCTTAACATCTGCAAAACAGATTCCTCGCTTCCTTTACCACCACGAGTTCTCCGCATCGACTGAATCATCTCGACTGAAGACAGCGTGACCCTTTTCGAATCTCACAGTCAACCAACATGGCTAGATGAGAGAGGCACAAGCATCCGAGCGCCAGAAAGCGCATAATGGCGTGGCAGCCCGGGGCTGGAGGGGGCGGCGTAGGAGGAATGGCCGGCGGAGAAGCGAACGGAGTTCAAGCATACACACTGCAAGGTGCGACCGTCCGCTCTACCATCCCAGTTCAAGTGCTGACAGCTGCGACCAGGTGTGATGCGATTTTTGCAGACAGAATGGCATCGACATGAACGAGACAGAAATGCCTGGGAAATCGAACGCGAAGAAATGAAGAACAGAATAGCCATCCTAGAAGGAGAGACAAGAACGAGCAAAGGCATGCGGGTCTCCCTGGAACGGCATGTTAAATTGCTGGAAACAGCTCTCAAGAAAGAGCGGGAGAAGGCCAGAACCACCAGCAAAGGTGAAATAGTTGACAATCACAAGGAGGCCAAAGAACTGGCCAGGGAAGAGTTGAAGGCTATTAGCAAGGGTGCGTTGTCTTGCGCATCCGTTTGCCGTTACTGACATAACGCAGATTCACACGTCAAAGGAATCAGCCAGTTCGACGCCGAAATCGATCCCGAGAACCACTTGGCCCAAGGAATCCGACAAGAAAAAGAACGCGACAAGTCCAAAAGCTTCCTCTCTAAATGTTCCTCGGAAATCACGTACCACGTCCTGCCTACAGCCCACGTACTGCCTGAGGCTAATGACCTTGCGGCCTCGACCAACGGAAATCATGTTTTCCAGGGGCGGCAACCTTCGCAACAAGAGCTTCAAGAAGCATATCTACAGTTACAACAGGTAAAACAGCAGCATCGAAATGTGGCAATGGTCCGAGAAAATCCTGCTCAACAACCAACGCAGTTCATCGAACCTACACCTCTGAGTAGGACGAGCACACAGATCAGCACCTCGGAAATACAGCCTGGCGCAGCTGACAGGAGGTTACCTGAACATATCGTCCAATCTGTGGCCATGGTGGAACCCAGGAAAAATTTCTACAATGAGCAGATCCCGGTGGTCGAGGATCAAGTGGAAACGATCACTCACAGTTTCGATGCCTACGGACAAGAAATTCCTCTGAAAGACGAGACAGAGATACGGACAATGGACGCACCCAAGCAAGAAATCGCGGACGGATGGGATTTTGATGACGGACCAGCGCCTTCCGAGAAGCTGTCTGAAGTAGCTTCACCACACAGACCAGATACCGAAGTCTTTCCCAGCGCCAACATGATTCCTTCCAAGTCTCCGCCTCGAGCACCAGGGTCCTATCGTCGAAAGAGCACGGGAGCAAGACGGCGCAGTGAAGGGAGCAACGATGTGCGAGACTTGGCAGTCAAGCCAGATGCGTCACAGTTCAAAGTTAGGTTTGCTATGAGAGGACATCTGGATGTCGTCCGCTCAGTCATCTTCACGGGCGGCGGCAGCCCCTCTGAGCCTGAATTTTGCACAGCTAGCGATGACGGCGGAGTGAAGAGATGGCACATTCCGGCGTCTTATGGTCACAATGTTTCTCTTGGGGACGATTTGGACAGGATTGCTCATTTCACACACCGCGGTCATATCGGAGCTGTCTGTTCGTTAGCAGCATGTCCGGCTTCCCCGAATTTCTCCAGCGGTGGGCGGGCTGTGGGAGATGGCTGGATCTTCTCCGGCGGTGAAGATGCTACTGTCAAGGTTTGGGAACGCGGTCGGGTCGATGCAAAGGCCACTTTGGAAGGCCACAAAGACGCAGTCTGGGCGCTATGCTGTCTACCGGGGTCGACGGGCACCATCCTCGGAGATCGATGTTCACAATTTGGCGGACCGGATCGTGTCCTCCTCGTGGCTGGCGGTGCCGATGGCACTATTCTGATCTGGGCTGTCAGTACTCCGCCGCAACTGAGCTCGCCGCAAGCCGGAAGTCGGTCGGCAAGGGGCAGTCGAAGAGCCAACTCGATATCTGCAGGCTCAAATTTCCCCAGTTCGCCCCAACCGAGCATTGCCAGCACGACTCCTTTCAACTACAGTTTAGTGCATCGCATAGAACGAACAGACAAACCGGCGCCTACGTCGATTTCACCGTTGGGCGCGCACGGCGAAAATTTTGTTGTCGGATACACGGACGCGAGTGTCCTGGTGTTTGACACGCGGACGGGTGAAGAAATTGTTGGGATGGCCAGCCAGGAGACTTACGATGGTACGCCGAACACGGGTATCAATGTAGTCGTCGCCAGCAGCGCGGGATTTGATACACGGGACTCCGTTGCACCCGGCCGACGTGGATCGATGGGTGAAGAAGATGTGGTCCACGGTGCGACAGGTTCAGAAGGTGGTGTTGAAGGTGTCGTGATTGCTGGTTATGAGGATCGGTATATTCGTTTCTTTGATGCAAACAGCGGTACGTTATCTTTTGCTTTGTCTCAACTCCGCGGGGCTGACTTCTCTCCCAGGACAATGCACATACACCATGCTCGCACATCCATCGGCGATTTCTTCCTTGTCATTAAGTCCGGACGGCAAAGAACTGGTATCAGGCGGTCACGATGCAAGTTTACGGTTTTGGTCTCTCGAGAAACGCAGTTGTACACAAGAGATTTCGAGTCATCGCATTATGAGGGGAGAAGGGGTATGCGGTGTCGTCTGGAGTCCTGACGGAAGATGGGTCATTAGCTGTGGTGGTGACGGCGCTGTGAAGGTGTTTTCGAGAAGTTGATGTTGGTATGATGACGGCGATCATGGAGATCTGTGATCTGTATCCATTTTGAAGATAATGAAACCTGACACAACTCCTCTCAAGTGTTCTGGACTGCATGCGCGATTGGGGCGACAACTCGACGGTCATGATGACATGTGGATGAGTTCTTCTTGGCTTCTTAGGCGACCGTTTCGTGTCTTTGGCCTTCGGGCAAGTGACTTGCTTTTCCCTTCCTCCTGCTGGAGTGCCATCAGGCTGAAGTCCAAGGTCTCGCTGGCTGTTTGGAACTAATCCTGCATGGCACCCTATACAAGTTTCAGCTCTGGGACGGCTCGGCACTTCGGTCCGTCGAGGATAATGCGATAGACTGATTGAGAGATTATTATAAATACGAAGCTAGTATGGAGTTAGAGAGCGAGTGCCTTGAAGACCAAAACCTCGACATAGCCAGGTGGACAGCCACTCTTTAGTTTACCAACAAGCTGTGAGCACCATGATGGGCAGCCCATGTAAAAAACTCTCAGGCTTCGACCCTTGTTGCAGGTTCGGCTAGGCTCATCGTGATCGGCCTTGTCGTGCATTGGGGCGATTGCACATCTCTGCTTTGGCCATGGTGTACTTATACCGTGAGGCTGAGAGTGAGGCTGGACTCGACAAGGCTGAGCTCAACTCTCGGTACAGCCACGCTGCAGCCTACAGCCACGGGCCTACAAAAGGAACCCTCGCCGGCGTCTTGACTCTGCGAGTACTTTGTGCATAGTAAGTTGTTGACCTGGACAATCTGTTTGCGATGCATTACGACCCGCCCTTCTCTGCATCGGTTGCACTCGACACTTCCTTTCTGCATACCAGTATTACTTGCCCCGCACCCTCGTCAGCTGCGTCCTTGGAACACGTTCCCGACCAGCCAAACGTCCCATTGATCCAGAAGGAGGTCGCGAAATTCCTCCAGGACGAACTCACCACGGCAATCTTGGACCGCCTCTATCCGTGGCTATGGCTCTGCACAGCCATGGACAGCGCACGTATAGATCCACTGCACAAGCAGGTTGTCAAGCGGAGAACAGTCATCGCGTGCGAAGACCCTGCCCTGCATCTGGTGTGGTACAAAAGCGACATTTTCGTGAAACCGATCCCGCCAGCCTTGTTCAACCACGACTTCTGGACCCAGTACCTGAACGGACAACAACCCGAGCAGTTCGATCGTCGGGTCGCGCTGGGGTTTCTGAGATCGTACGGCTACCTGGTTCGACACCGCACAGATCTCAAGATCGCGATCAAGGAAGGCCTGATCCCAGAGACCGTGGATTGGTTCAGGTGGGAGCGTTTCATAGCCCCCTTTCGCCTCCTGGAGGACGACGAGGTCGGACTTCGATACCATGCTGGGCAGCTGCGCTTGAGCAGACTCAACATCCTCATCCGCATCCTACGGCCTCGAAAGGAGGGAGATGTGGGCAACAACCGACATTACCACCAGACGGAATGGTACACGGCTTCATTCATGCGACAATTTGCGGCACCCCTGCTGTTCATCTTTGCTTCGGTGTCGCTGCTGTTGTCGGCCATGCAAGTCGTGCTGACCTTGCCCAGTGCGCCGCCAGAGCACCCGTGGGTCGTGCACGCCACGAGCATTGCGGATGCTTTCTGGGGCTTTTGCGTCACGGTGCTGGTCGCGCTGGCTCTCAGCTGGTTCCTCTTGATCGGTGGTCCGATTGCATATCTGGCGGCGCAGCAGGTGTTTGGGTACCGCCAGAAGTGCAGGTTCCACAAACGACTCGCTGCCATGCCACACCGGGAGAAGGAAAAGGATGATGGTATCTAGGAGGAGGGCACATAACTATTATAGGACTGCCTCCTCCTATCCTGCTTACGACTCCCAGACTGGAGTATTGGTTTGAGCGAGAGCTCAGTTCTCGAGCCCGGGATCCAGCGTTGACGTACTTTCTTCCTCATACCATATATACTATGGTTCAAGCCGTCAAGAGGGATACCGGTACCACTGCTACTGCTACGAGTGCTGGTGGTGCATAATGGTTATTTCCACATGATAGGGAAGGAGAGAAACTCCCAGTATCGATCGATCGGTCCGGCCCGTAACGGGCGATCAGGAGCAATTGGAAAGAATGACTTGATAATGCATAGAGACTTCTACCCGCTTGTTACGATGATCACGTGCAAACCGCTACGTCTCCTCTCCTGTGACCCACTCGCAACAACAGCTAAGCTACATTCGGAAACTTTCGTGAGTCGTTTACAAAAGCAACAGAATCGTGGTTGAGGCCCGTTTGATCCTACCACAACAAAGCCTTCCTCGTCTTGTGTATCAATGGTGCCCTCAGCATTCATTACCCTAACTGACGATTGCTGATGAACCAGCACGACTACTAAGTACTCTCTTACCAGCAGCGGCCTGGAGGTCGTCTGCGTACTCCGACCAAGAATGATAGCAATATTAAATTTAGAAAGGCGAGATAGAATCCCCGGAGCGGCATTCGATCATAATCTAGATGGGTTCGAACTAGAAGCCCGAACATGTTCAGCCTGGATTGAGATCGGATCTGATCAAGCCTATACTAGTATATTGGACTGGATTCAGTTTGAACGGCTTCAGTGACAGTTGATTCGATTTTGATTCGGTGTGGAATCACTCTGGCTAGCACTGATTTATCGCGTTCTATTACATAGGACTGGCTGGCACTTGCCAGGCAAACGGTGAGTGCCATTTGGAACCAAGCACAAACCACCATCAGTGCTACAGTGTACCTTGGTCATCAATCGAGTAGTGTCAACGATTCCAGTCACCTTCCAAGTAATATGCAAACAGCCGTCGTTTGCACCCCTTCCGCCAGGGTTTAAATATCTGCAGACACTTGCTTCTTTTCGAATATTTTCCTCCTGACCACACATCCACTATCATCTCTCGCGCCACTACTACCTCAACTATCCCAACCAGCAAGCGAATCCAAACACTATATCAACAAACCACACAACCATCTCCATTCAAGTTGCCAAACACCAACATGGCCGCATACTCGGGTAAGCTTAGTTGAATCCTTCCACCTCTACTCGTTGTTCTTTTACGCCAAGGGTGAAAACTGATGGTTGTACTACAGGAACCATTTTGTCAGTCGTCGCATTCGTCGATCCTAAGCCGCTCCCAGACTCTGATCCTCCTATTCCTGGAGTGCACTAAATGGTGCACAAATTCGAGAGCATCCTAACCTGACTCCCCCCCGCTCCTTAGTCGGTTTCGTCAGGTAGCGGAGGAGAATGAGCTTTTGGAGCAAGGTCGGATGATCCCATTGAGGCATCCTGTCACGAGTAGATTACTACTACTAAGTACTTAGTACTTTCAGTCTTGTTGCGAACGGAATGAAATGCAGCTGCGCAGTCCACCAGACGCTATGCAGTTTCCCAGCTCTTTGAAGCCCCGAAGTTGCTATGCCCTGATGGATTCTCCATCAAGTTCTTCATTTTCCGAATCTGTGGACAGTTTGCGCTTGACTTTTACCAGGCCATCATTTTGATAACATTCTTTGATGACCGTGATGAGGATTGCCGGTTGTGCCTTTCAACTGCTCCTTCAATGTTAGGCCAAACGTGGAACCATGTCAAACCCGGCGTCAATGCCCATGGTTCCTGAACAACCCACACGAAAGGAGTGACTGGTCGAACCCTTAGTACTATGTATGGTCTTTTCTTTCTCGAAGGAGGAAGACCGAGGCTCTCTGTAGTATAGTATTATGTACCTTTTGTCCTTCTGTTTCACGGCTTGCTTCAGACTTGGGAGCGGGCCACAGTCATTTAGATCATCTCGTCGGTTTCCTTTTTGCTGTTCGTTGTCAGTTCAAGGTCTCGTCCGTGGTGAGGCTCGAGCAGTTCTTCTTCCTCGTCTTGGCGCGCGGAACGAAATCGCCATGGAAATCGCCGCTTCGAGGATTTCCGAAATAGTAGGCAAGCTTTCTGCAGTCCTCACAACCGAGGCTCCAGAATCTAGCACACTACTCGCAGGAGCTACTACGGCTACTAGTAGTACCCGGGTACTGATAACAACATTTTAAAAGTTCTTCCCGAGATCTCTGCTCCTTCATGCCTACTTATGCGCCTTGTTTCTGGAAGCACCGAGATTTTGAGTATCGGTACTATCTATGAGAGAGCTACTGTGATCCACGAGTGAACGGCGCAAACATGGGACCAGACTGGGTGGATTTCCTCGAATACATCAATTCGACCCCGGTCCCTCGAGACGAGATCGAGCACTTCCAAGCCACGTGGGCTAGGAGATACGTCGACAATCCAGCCTACAAGCCAATCGTGACTTTCTCTCGGATACCAAAGTCCGATGGGGTCGACACGTTCTTCGCAAAGACCATCAGATCTCCCAGCACCGTCCCCAACGCGCTTATGTTGATCCGCAAAGATTTTGTCACTCCTGCAGAGGAACCGTCGCCGCCACCACCACAGCAGCAGCAGCAGCAGCACAAAGGGAGGAATCGAGACGGCAAAAACGACAACGGCCCGCCGCCGGACTGCATATGGCTGCTCGACCTGCGCTCAGACTTGAACGGCTTCAAGGACACCACGCATGGCGGCGTGCTCTGCGCGCTGATGGACGAGGCCTTGAGCATCTGCGTCGAGATCCACCGCCAGCAGACCATGGGGAGGAGGTCCAACTTGTACACCGCGTACCTTACCACCAGTTACCGAGCGCCGGTGATCAACCCGTGCACTGTGGCGGTGAAGACGAGGCTCGAGAGGAGGGAAGGCCGGAAATGGTTCTTGACCGGGCGTCTCGAGGACGAGCAGGGGAAGGTCTTGACAGAGGCAAACGGGCTTTGGGTCGCGGCAAAGGAAAAGCTGTGATGAATGAATGATCTCGGGCGGCTGTTATGCAGGTGACCACTGCCTAATGCAAGGGTTTTTACCACGAGCATTTTGTACATACCACAGAGCGGTGGCATCGTGGGGTCGTTCTTATATATATGCTAGCACCTAAAGTACTACCGTACTAGTACTACGATAGATACCTCTGTTCCTTCACTCGGCTCGAGTCTCGGGCATCATCTCCACCTGACCGTCTTTCCTCTCTCCCTCGACTTGCTGTGCCTGCAGCACTTTGCCCTCCAAATGGTGGTCCTTGACGGCGTGGGTAGTCGGGTCGATTTCGAGCTCGTACTGATAAACAGCGACTTCGTCTTCGTCGCCAAAAATGGCAGCAACTTCTTCCAGGGGCATGTTTCTTGTGTCGGGCCAGTACAGGAGGATCAGGACACCACCTATGACTCCACCAATGATGAAGACCAGGAAGTATTTCCAACCGATGTTCCTAATTAGGTCACACCTTGTGAGAACGGCTCGAAAATCCGGGGTGGAACGGTCAAACTTACGCCAATGCAGTCGGTGCAGACTGGAGCCAGATGATGTTCATCAATGCGATCACTGCGCTGCCGAGGCAGACGCCTTTCGCACGAAGATGCGTAGGGAAAATCTCGCCGAGGAAGGTAAATTGAGTGCCTGGGAGCAATTAGTAAATGGTGTCGTGCAGAGACGAGGTGCCTGGGAGGGCAGTACCATCGAGACCAATGACGTAGAATGGTTGATACAGATAGAAGCACGCGACAGTCGCCTTGAGGGCGGCGGTATTGTTTGACGGGACGAAATTGGCGATCAGCGCAGAGATGATCATCAACATGACGGAACAACCAATGATGCCACCGCCCAGCAGGATGTTCCGGGGGAACAGATCGATCAAGCCTGGCGCAACCAGGAAGAGGCAGAATCCGACAGTCAACCAGATGACGGGGAAGAGCAGCTGCTTTTCGGGTCCGTAGCCCAGAAGTTTGTAGATGACCGGCCCGTAATCTGTTTCGTCGTCAGCGCAATGCAATGCGAAAACGACGGTGCACCATACTGTTGATGACCAAGACGCCAGCAAATTGGACGATTGCCGTGGTTCCAATTGCCAGAATGGCCCGCTTTCTGTACGAGGGCTTGCGGAACAATTGTGTCCAAGTACATTTCAGCTCTCGATCAATGGCGACCTGCTTCTGGATCTGGTACAATTCTGCGTGGGCTCTATCATGGCCCTCGTCCGAGTGCGAATGCACTTTCTCGAGTACGCGCTTGGCCTCTTCGTCTCGATTTTGCATGACGAGCCATCTATAATTGGGTATTAGTCCACCACCATTTTGATAGAAGGGTCCTTGTGTTACCTTGGGCTTTCTGGGCAGAAAGGAAGGCCAAACAGTAGCAGTAGCGGCGAAACACACTGGATTGCCACCGGAAGGCGCCAGTTGTTTCCGTTGTTGGGCCAGAAAAAGGTCCCGAATCCGATCCAGCCTGAGGACATGTAGCCAATCTGGAAGAATATCCCGTGGATCTCCACAAGGCCACCTCGCAGATTGACGGGGACGAGTTCGCTCATCATAAGCTGCATCTGATTAGACGGTACTCAGGCCTGGGAGGCGGGATTTGGTCACATACCGGGGCAGCCGCGACCGACATCCACGAGCCAGCACCGGCAAAGAATCGAAATACTATGAATTCCCCGACATTGGTGCTTCCAGCCATCACGGCTCCGGATATGAGGACAAGGATTGCAGGCTGGAGTGCGTCTGATGAGCAAACATGGACGTGATGCTGGGGAGATTCTGCAGACTTACGACAGCAAGTGCCCAGCGTCTGCCCCATTTATCGGCCACCCACGGCAAAATGAGGGTACCAATGAATCCTCCCGTTTGGAATATACCGTTCATGGTGGATATAAGGTCCGTTCCATTGGAGCGTGTCTCCAAGTCAAAATATTCCACTGATGAATCGTGTTAGTCGGTCAATAGGTTACATAAGGCTCGGGAAGGCTGTACAAAATGAAGGTTGACCTAGATGGTTCGTGGCGTTAGTAAATTGGCTTTTCTTCAATCTTGGATTTCATTGCAGCTCACTCACCAAGCAATGTCCCTATGACTGCAGCAGGGTACCCAAAAGTCAAAGACCCGAGTCCAATGAACGCAAGCAAGCCGATAGTGTACAAGTTCAACTTGTCTTTCGACTTCACAGCACTGGGTGGCATGGTTGCGGGCTGGAGGCGCGGTTTCAATGAGTAATGCTTATTCTGAGTGACCTATCTAAGCAATACTTCGTCTGGAATACGAGGGCCGAGACCGAAGCGCGGTGTTGGTCTCTCTGAGAAAAGGTAAAGGAAACTTGGCTCAACTTCTTGTATTCGACGCCGAGAGAAAAGCTTCTCTACATAAAAACAACATGGAATGAATTGACTCATTGACCACCAGAAAGCCCAACGTCCGACAACCGAAAACACCCTCGGGAAAAGTGCTATAGCACCCCGCATCGCAGACAGCAAGGAAATGCAGTCAGGCCATTTACCTAGGTGGCAAAGAAAATAAAGTGCGAGAGGCATTCCACAATTCTGGGGGGGGGGGGGGGGGGGGGGGCGGAGCGATAGAAGAGAAAAACTCTAAGTGTTGTTGGCCCTCCTAGAGAAGTCATCTCGGAACCGCGACGCATGAGCTAACCACGACACATCGAGACCGCCTAAGCCGATGCAGATTAGGTCCCGTGCAAAGCCTCGCCAAGGTTCGTATCTCGACTTCTCGGAATCCAGGGCAGTCCCCTGAGTAGAGTTTGATTGCTCCTGGGACGTTGGCAAGTTCGTGTTTGTCCCGAGGCTGTTTTGTGTACTTTTGCTGCGAGGGATTACTCGAAATCTCGACCCGGTAATCGGTTATACCAAGAAACACTGAATAGTAAGTATCACTGTGGCCCCTCGAGAGCTTATGTACCCCAATAGAACGACAAAGCGGAAAGAGAAACAGAGGAACAGAACCCCGGCACTTCCCCCGAAGGGGCCGGCGAGGGTCCTCCTTTTTGTGCTCACTTGACACCACGAACTTTGGGTCTGCACAAGTCGCAACGACGAGGGACGTGGTGAGGTCTCCGCGTGGGGCCTCAACCCGCCATGTGGAGAGGCTTGGGGTTCAGTGCCCCGCTATAGACATAACGGGTTAGACTCGGAGTACAAGCCGACGAGGATTCCGAGAGCAGGCACCGGTTGTAGTCCGTTATTCATTAGTAACAAACAGCTCGAGGACTGGGTAGGCAGCCTTTCGGCATCTTCTCGTGCGAGAGGGATTAGTCGTGGTTGTTTCATGCAGGACTTCGACTGGAAATCGGGACTGGAGCCTTCGGCATTGACCTTTTCCAACAAGCACCCGCTCAGCCCATGGGAGCAACTCACCGCGGTTCTTGGCTCTCCTGCGCACGATTGAGCTGACACATGGAGTCAGGAATGGTTCTCAGGGGCACTCGTGGTGCGTGCGGCGAAAGAAACTTCATCTCGGCTCTGGAGTTTTGAGAATCACCAGAAATCACACTATATGAACGAAGAGCATGTTCACTCGCCAATGGCACGCTTGCAACTGGTGCATAACGAGGCACAATACCTCCACTACGCCTCCGTGGCCACCTGATATGGCACTTCCTGCAAACTTGCAGGCTCGATATAGTCCTTGTGGCCGTTCACCTTCAGGCGCAGCTTCCGAGACTCGGCATACACGACTCTCCTCACACGGTTGGTGCTGCCCAGTGGCTGATGGACCTTGAGACCATGCCAGCTGTTGACGGTGATTCTGTCATCCCACCACACTCGAAACTCGGGGATCCAGCTATCCTGCGGTTCGAACTCGAGGGTGGCGATCTGCTCGAACGGATACTTCTTCTCGTCCCACTCTACGCCGATGTCCTCGACCGGCTGCTCATCGAGGTTCTGAAGAAGTTGGGCACAGAAAGAGTACGTCACCTTGTTCTTCATGTGGAACTTGCGAAGCTCTTGCGAGATGATGTTCTTGGGGTCACTATCATTGATGTAGGTGTTTGCCAGCTTCTTTTGCTCTTCGCCCAAGGGGAACAAGCCGAATTTGGCCACATAATCACCGAATCGATACGCTGATTGCGAATATTCCGGCATTGCCACCACTGCAGACCGCTGTCAGGCTTGTCCATATGATTCAAGCAGTTAACTTACTGTGTTGTGGAGGAATTGTGGCTGGCCGACATGCAACTTCGGCATCTGGACGCTTTTTAAGCTCATGCTCAAACTCTGGCATGTTGTCCCAGTTCCTTTCAAGTGAGTCTGCGATTTCATACGTGGTTTGTGCGTCGCGAAGTTCGAGGACGGGATAGTTGTTAAAGGTCCAGTCCTGGGTTTTCTTGTCTTCACCCCAGATTTTGTCGCCCTCTATGCCAAAGATCTTTATGCCAGTCCCACGTGGTGCAGGCACGTTGTCAGGCACAAGTTTGGGTGTGAGGGAAGAATACCGCATGATGACGTCGTATGTGCCAGGCTTTGCAAACATTCCCTGCGCGAGGTGTGCTGGAAGATTGTCGTGCACAATGAATTTGCCAGCAACGCACTGTCGGTGTCTGTCAGCAGCGTCGCGAGAGTCAGGTGTGACCGACATACCCCATGAGTCTTCAGGTGAGTGCCTCGTAGGGCATGGTGGTGTTCGTCGAAGTTCATCATCTGGAATCTGCAGAACTGCTCTGCGATCTGCTTGATCCTTTCCTGTTCGCCAGGCTGCTCGACCTCCACACCAGGAGCGTCCCAATGGATGTAGTCAGGCATGCTTGATGGAATCAATGACAAAACGCCGTGCAGCAAGACAAATCGCAAGGGCTGGCGAGGAACAGCCCTTTATTTAACAGGATCGAGGTCCCTAGGCGGGCCCTGTCGTGCATGTTGCCGCATCCTTGGCCAGTGGTATTTCTCCTCGGAGATGTCGATCGGCATTCTACAACAGATCCTCGACTTCCATCTAGCTGGCAGGTATTCGTGTTCCAGATTGCCTATACAGTCGATCCCTCACGGCTGACATGACGCATCTTCGCGGGGAAGACTGTTGGTCTCGACACTCTAGTCAGGAACACATCGGATTCTGTCCAATCACATACACTCTAATGCTCACCTACGAGATGTGTGGAGTGTTTCCCATGACAAATACTTGCACCGCAGGCCGTCAAGGGTTCGAACAAGGTCTCGCAATTCTCCGCGGCTGCTTCTGGAACTTGGACCCTTACGGGTTCGAAGTGCAGCAGTCGAGCTTGTCAAACTTGCCGAGAAGGACGCAGGAATATGATTCCAAGCCAAAGTTCGGAAAAGATGCGCACGTATCGTTGGGGTCCAACTTTCAATGATTGTAAGGGCTTTGTTGGCTGAGCATTGAGGTATCGAGGGAGTTCTTGTCGCTTTTGAACCATTAAAAGCGGCAGCAAACGACTGGCTGTAAGACGATTACCGGATTCGGAAGAAGGCAGCGAGAGAATCTCCTCTGCCCTCAAAGACGGAAAACTGTCCGCAGCAGCAGCCTTTGGGATGGAACAAATCGAGTCAGTGAGCGAGATTCGACAGAAGGTGACACCTGATATGTGAATGACCAAAATCAGAGGCTCTCAGCCCGTGGATGCGCCTTTGGGTGGGTGTACGGCAAAGATTACGGCATCCGTGAGAAGAAGCCACCACGAGGGCAACCTGGTCAGCCTGCACGACTGGAAGCAATAAGGTTGATGCATTTTGTGAGGAAGACAAGGCTCCCGGCGGCAGAACAGCCGTTCAATCGATGAGTAGTTGGTCCAGCAAGGTCATCTAACGGTCGCGCGAATATCTCCCAGCTCCAGCTTGGTGGGGCGGCACATTGAAAAACCTTTCACAAAGGCCCTGGAACCTGACGGGACCTTTCACATCAGAATCCCTGCACTTCACACATGAAGCAACTCCCGGTATGGAGATCCTCGGCGATGTGATCTTGTGCGACTGCTTTGGGTCGAAATTGGCAGCACGGAAAGTACACTCGCAGGCCCAATCCGCCGCTTTTGTGAGATTCGAGGATAGTGAATAGCGATAGTACAACGACAGCCCGGGGTGCCCATTGTTTTCTACTGACTTTTCCAGGGCCGTAGAGACGGTTAAAAACGAGCGAGGATGAAATTCAGGAGCCGTACATACCCAGTGCTGTGGCTGGTGTGGCTGGTGTGGCCGGTGTGGCTGGAAGGCTGGAACCAGAGCATTGCGTAATCCTGGAGAGAGCTTACGCCAGCCTCGTGGGAATACCCGTAGCCCTAAGGCGTTAGGAGTTGTGGTTTTGACAGAGCAGCATGAGCGCCTCGTTGGTGGAGAGTGACGGCAAATGTGGCCAGGCTGGGCGAGGCTGCAGCCCCCACAAGGCGGCGTCAGGCTGCTGCTGAAATGAGAGCTGCACATCACGTCGGATCCTTGCATGATTGCGTTTCGCAGCAGCGCCCCCTCCCCCTTTGCTGCGGTTGGCCGCGCAATGGCCATACAGTCTGCTATTTTCCGACGGTTTGGGCTCCATATCTTGGCTGTCGTTGGACTGAGCTGCTTTCTTGTCTTTCTGTATCGCGATTTTACTCGCAGCGCTGACATTGCACGCGATCCCTTGACCGCGCCCCTGGAGGTGCCCACTCCCTCTCCACCGCAGCCACCGCCCAATGCAGCCCGACAACCGTGCGTGGGACCCAGAGGAAGATCCGTGCAGGAGAATCTTGACGACAGAATATGGGCGAGTTCGCTAGACTCACGTACGTCCCCAGAATGGTCGTTTAGGGTCGGTTGTACATGCTGACCGTACCATAGCCTTCCCGGACCCCGTGGGCGGCTCTTTCGCCGCATTGGACCTGCCACTTACCTTCAACACTCCTGACTCGAGATACGGTGCCTATGGTTATAATGAAGAGCTGGAGAATTACGAGCGAACACGCGTACAGTGGAGCTCGGTAAACTGGGCGCAATTGCAGAATGACTGTCTCGCCTCAAATCTGGACCGGTTCCACAACGCCGAAAACATTTCCACGGCAAGGAGGTTTCGCCCGCCTCCAAAGACTGGCTTTGAGGAGCTACAGGCAAGGACGCATTCCACAGGCCGGACGGCGATTGTGCTGCGTAGTTGGGAGGGCTACAATTACACCTCATTAGACTTGTACCATTTACGGTCACTCATTGTCGAGGCCGGGTTGGATTCGAATGCGGACAATGCTGTCTTTCTGTTGGTGGATGTCAAGGACGAAAATGGGACGAGACGGATATTCCATGATTCACACAGCTATGAGACCGCGCTGCAAGATTTAGTGCCTGCCGAATTTCGAGATATCGCCGTCCTCTTCAACCTCGACTTGCTCGAGTCATGGTATCCTCGGATCCCCGAACATTCGGCTTTCTTCCAAGTCTACCAGCCTCTTCAGCTATTTGCACAACTCTTCCCTGGATTCGACCACTATTGGCAACTTGAGATGGACATGAAATTCACGGGAAATTCCGGGCAGTGGTTGGACGCAATGGCAAGGTTTGCAAGGAAGGAGCCACGCAAACAATCAATCGAACGGTCTTCATATTATTATATGCCGCAGGTCCATGGATCCTATGAAGAGTTCAGGGCAGCCATCAACGAAAGCTTGGGCGGCGGTGGTATCTGGGGACCCGTTCGTATTCCTGACATCGAACATCCCATCGGGCCTCAACCGCCCATTGCGGATGCTCGCGAAGACAATTTCGACTGGGGTGTCGGAGAGGACGCCGACCTCATTCTAACGAACGCTTTGGCGGATGTGAGGGCGACGAAATACTGGCCATTCAAGGGTTGGATCCATGAGTTTCAGATGGGAGAAGACACCCCACGATTCTACAGTCCGGTGGCCATGGGGAGATACTCATGGAATCTGCTCAATGCCATGCATCACGCTCAGGTTCATCAGGGCTTATCGTTGTCGTCGGAAGCGACTGCCGTGTCATTTGCGCTGTACCACGGCCTGAAAGTCGTCTTCCCACCTCATCCGTGGTACCACCATCCTCAGGCACGCCGGGAAGTGAGTATTCAGGAGTTGGAACAACTGTTCAATGGCGGCTCGCCAGCCGAGAACGCTCGGGAGAACAATGGTCTTGCATTTGGCAAAGCGATGTACGACCCGAATGGGGTATACGAGCTCTTCAATGGTGGGACGTGGTGGTGGGTGCCCGGCTACCCAGGAAGAACATTCAAACAATGGATGAATCACGATGCGACGAACATACCCTCGATGCTACGCGAAGATGGAGGTAAGATTTGGGCACCTATGATGGCTCTACATCCCGTGAAATCGGGAGCTAATGCATAGTGACGAGATGGTTGATGACGAAGGAGACTGTGTATATATGTCGAAATGTATATGAGAATTGAATGGCATAATCGGCCATTTTTTTGCACGCATGGTATTTTGTCCTTTGGGAGTTCGGGATCTATATAAGTGATGCTAGCGATGGGGTCAGCGTCGTGTTTAATAACCTGTGCTTCAATTTGCTCGCTGCGAGTTCTAACTAATATCGATGACCTTCTGACCGGTCTACCGCTGCTAGGTTGGTACAACAGTTCAACATCAACCCAAGAGACCAGCCACAGAAACAGCAGAGCCGCCAACAACAATGACGGAGTCTCTAGCCGAGGGTGAATGTAGCGGCGTCGGATGGATGAGGGCGGGACCGCGACACGCGAGACTCGAAGATTCGCCTAAGGAGAGGGCGCCACATGTCGAAAATACTCCACCCCCTTTATCAACAGCACACCAGCTCTCGATCTAGATCCCCTGTTGGATGGCCCACGTGTCAACCAGGGCCAGGGCTATTTGGAACTCCCCATGGCCTGTGGAAGCTACGGAGTTTTGGCAGGAACAACGAACAATTGCTGAAATCCTCATAGGCAGCCGTACACCGCAGCCTAACGACCACGATGACTGTATGGCTTCGATTGGTTATGGGCCTATCTTTTAGAGAAGTCGTCCAGAGACCATGCATTGGCCATCAACCCAACAAATCGAACGAATATTCCTATCATCAGGAAATCCAGCCAATGCCAGTTCATGGACCTGCACTTTTGATGCGGGTCTTGCATCGGCAGTGCCTCCATTGGGTCTGATGAGGCACAATCACTCTGTCTCCTGCTCTTCCTCGGGCTTCCTGCTCGCATGCGCCCGACTTGGCTGGGAAGAACCGCGCCCCGGACAAGATGTCGACGTGTCGCTTCTCAGTTCGTCAGCTTCGTCTCTGGGTCTACGCACGCTGAGGGCAATCGGCAGATTGGAGTCTACCTCTTCCAATGCAACATTGCTCATCACTTATAGCGAGGAGGAGCTCGCCGAGAGTGTCAATATCTCTTGCCTGATACCCCTCACCATGAGCAAGGAGTGCTGCAAGCCGATTCCACTATCTAATTACTAGATTTAATGCCCATCCTCAGAGACTGGGAGAATATTTAGTTAATCATGGCAAGCAAAGGGGACGACCCTTTAAAGAACGGTGACAATCATTTGGCGCCTCTGATACAGCTTCAATCGAAGGACCATGAAGAGATCCTCAATGTCATTGACCAATTGCGGTCGGAAGGCATCAGCAAATATGTCAGCCTTCCACAGCTGATCGTATGCGGCGACCAGTCATCGGGGAAAAGCTCTGTGTTGGAGGCCATCTCAGGTTTATCATTCCCGGCTAAGGACAATGTCTGCACTCGTTTCGCTACCGAACTTATCTTAAGACGCTCGCCGAACGTGGGTATCAGAGCCTCCATCCATGCAGATGAGGAGCGGCCCTCAGCCGAGCAACGCCGCATCCGAGGGTTCAAGTCATCGACCGTCGACCTTGGACAATTTGCGAGCATCGTCAGACAGGCAGAAAAACACATTGGCGTCGGTCCCGATCGCCAGCGCTTTTCCAAGGACGTCCTCCGCGTAGAGGTTTCTGGGCCAACACAGCCTCATTTGACCCTGGTTGACCTCCCGGGTCTTTATCATGCCCCTGACGAGTTCCAGACCGCGGAAGGAGTCGACTTCGTTGAGTCGTTGGTCTTGTCCTATATACGAAATAAACGCAGTGTCATCCTGGCAGTCGTCTCCGCGAAAAGTGATATCGCGCTTCAGAAGGTCACCACTTTCACACGCGAGGTCGATCCGGTGGGAAATCGAACAATGGGCATAATCACCAAACCGGACACTTTGCCCAGGGGTTCTGAAATGGAGAAATCTTTTTTCGACCTGGCAATGAATACCCGGCTCACATTCCGGCTCGGGTGGCACGTTCTTAAGAATAGGGAGCATGAACAGCAAAACTTTACTCTTCAACAACGTCGTGAATCCGAGATCAACTTTCTTTCTAGGGGAATATGGGCTAAAATGCCCCGTTCTTTAGTTGGTATTGACTACTTGAGGCCAAGGCTGAGCACGGTCCTCAAGGACCATATCACATCACAGCTACCAGGACTCATTGCCGAAGTGCAACAATCATGCAAAGACGCAGAGGCAGGGTTACAAAGGCTTGGGAAAGCACGACAAACATTGACTGATCAACGCCGATACCTCCTCGACAGCAGCGACCGCTTCAGCACTCTTATTGGCCACGCCATAGATGGAATCTACTCCAGCCCATTCTTCGGAGATGCTATGGAGGACGAAGGCTATGAGAAGAGATTGCGCGCTGTGGTCCAGAACCGGTTGTCCGATTTTGCCGAGACTGTTTATGAAATGGGCATGCAAAGAAAGATTATTGAGGATGAGGAGCCTATCGAGCCCGAAGAAAACCAGATCCACCGCTCTGACCTTGTCAGTGAAGTTCAACAACGAATGCGTCGAAGTCGAGGAAGAGAGTTGCCTGGGACCTTCAACCCTCTTATCATAGGTGACCTATTCTATCTACAAAGTAGACCATGGGAATCGATAGTGACCGAGTGTATCGACAACCTTCTTGGGGACGTCCGGAGGGCGATCATGCCGATACTGCAGGGCGTTCTGGACGAAAAGAGCCTCAGAAGTCTTCTGGAATATGTCATCAATCCTAATCTTGAAAAGATTGAAGAAGCATTACGCGTCAAGGCGACTGAGCTCCTGAAACCTCAGCAATCGGGACACCCGATAACGTATAATCACTATTTCACGGAAAGTGTTCAGGAAGCGCGCGAAGAACATCTCCGCAGATCTTTGAGGGAAAACCTCAGGGAATTCTTCGGAAAAGATTACCCGTCTCAAGAATCATGGTCACAGAAATACAGCTTCAGAATGGATGAGTTGATTGCCGCTCTCGGAACTCAGACAGAAGCGAATATGGAACGCTTCGCGGCTTCTGAGGCAATCGATTGTATGCTAGCTTATTACAAGGCAAGTACTTGACTTTCCTGGCCTTTTTTGTTTCTCGAACGCACTCGTTGACAAGCTGGCGATGAAGGTTGCGCGAAAGAAATTCGTCGACGATTTCAGCGTACTTGGTGTCGAAAAATGCCTGTTGGAGGCGCTGGCTGTCATGTTTTCCCCGCGAGTTGTCTCATCGCTGCCTGATGAGACAATCAAGGCGATTGCTGAAGAAGACGACGGGGCCAGGGGCGAGCGCGAGCGATTGGAGCAGAGGGTGGCAACGCTCAACAGCGGTCTAACTCAACTTCACCGCTTCGATCGACACAACATATCAGGTGAGGCCACGCCAACAAACACCACGCAGAATGCTGAGTGCCACAGTGAAAATTTCGCCGGGTGAGGACAGCAATCAAAATAGCGAGAGCATGACAGAGTCAGTCGTGCAGGATAGGCAAGAGGGCGAGATCAGCGAGATCGACGTCGTCGAGGAGGGTGGAAGCAATCCCCCATCGGTTGCTGCTGACTCCGATTAATCACCCCTTCCCGTTGAATATGACGCTGCCGTGCCAGTTCCAGCTCATGAATACCTCGAAAGCATCCTGGAATGGATTGTGGAAGACCCTACCGATTTCCCGCCACAACGCAAGGCGAAGGCGAAGAGACATGCTAAGGCAAAACTCTGGGAGTAGCGGACGTTGAAGGGCAGGCTTCGTGAAGGCGCAAACACTCATATCACTATAAACGCTATCGAAAGCAATGCTCATGGACGGGGATGGGTGCAGGAAGACGATTCCCTCCTCACCGCAAGTGGGTGCAAAAGTGAGTCGTACTAGTGAGAATAAATAACGCCGCAGCTAGTAGTTATGGTTGTTTTTGACAATCTTCATGAACCTTCTGGCCAGACCATATCTCTGTCAGGGGTCGATCTGACCATCCACGAGATATAAGATGTTCGAAGGGCGGACAGCACACGAGTTCTAGCGTAGTGAGCTATACAGAGCGTCGGAGGCGAGGCTGAGGTCTCCGAGATTGCCAGTTATGAACTAGCGTGTAATGGCAGCCTCGACGTCATTTCAAGGCTTGGCAACCGCGCTGGACTTCTAAAGACAAATGGGGTCAACCACATTTCTTACTCTGACTTTACTCAGACATGCAAGTTGCCATACAAATTAAGGCACGCACCATAGTTTTGTTCAAAGAAAGAAAGACCTGTCGACGCCTCGACAAAGTTGAGTCCGCATCACATCAGCCACTAGGAAGAGGTAGAATCGAAAGAGTGCTGGAATGGGAGGCATTTTCATCTTTAATCCATCATTTTTCCTCCCAATCACGCAATCGCTCAATGGATCCCGTCACCCTCTTCCTGCGCAGATATCTTCTTGACAGTGGCTCACAGTGGGTCGCCACCCTTGGAAAGAGCCGATCCTACCCGCCCAGAACACCCTCAGCCTTGAGGGATCATGTTTTTCTTACTCAATAAGCGCAACCTCGAATGGTATTTTCTCCCTTCCACGCGAGACGAATTTCTACCAAGAATGGCGCGATCTCAATTCGTGACCACCGAAACTTCCTCCCGCGCCTGTAGGACAGCTAATCGCAGACCGCTGGGGTGATCGTCGGCCCACTCAGACGACACATAGCACCGCCCACACGTCTGGAAAGTTTATGGAGACAACCACGCCTCCTCTCTACCTCGAGGCTAGCATCAAAATTTTCTTGTCAATGCGACGTCAAAAGATGGCGAGACCCGTGGGGTTCAACCCATCCAGATCTTACGATGGCTTCGACTCAGAGGCGACGTCCGATGGAATTGATAAATATTCCCAGCCAGCCGACAGGAGTTGAGCACACGCTTGATTCTCACAGACTCTACAAGCAGTACCACTGGTAACATTGCAATTACAGATCTCAGCCATGTTGAGCAGGCTTCATTCTTACCTCACCAAGCGCACACTCGCGGCTCCAAGTTCTCAAAGTGCGAAAATCGAGACGTCCGTAGATATTGAATCGGCCAGCAAAAATGGTAACAAACAACGCCTAAGTCTTTTGGATACACAACCATATACTGACAGTCCTTCAGAATCGTCTGACCTTGTTCATGTTCTTACGGAGACGAAGCGTCAGATTGGTGTCGTCAGTGCCTTTTTCCTCATCTTCAACCGCATGGTTGGAACCGGGATCTTCGCAACCCCGAGCACGATATTCTCTCTGTCCGGCAGCGTTGGTCTTAGCCTCTTCATTTGGGTTGCTGGCATGATCATCGCCATGTGCGGCATGGCAGTATATCTGGAATTTGGCACCGCTATCCCCAAAAATGGCGGCGAGAAGAACTACTTGGAGTTTGTCTACAGACATCCCAAATACCTGGCCACAGGATTCTACACCGGATATGTTGTCCTTCTAGGCTGGGCAGGATCTAACTCGGTCATTTTTGGAGAGTACATTCTCCACGCTGCCGAGGTCGAGGTCACCAGGTGGAATCAGCGAGGTGTTGGGCTGGCCTGCATCACAGCCGCATTTCTCATACACGGATGTGCACTCAAATGGGGGTTGAGGTTGCAGAACCTTCTCGGCATCATCAAGCTGATTATTGTGCTACTCATTGTCGTGTCTGGCTGGGTAAGCTGATGTCTCTCAGTGGTGCGCACATAGAAGTTGACATGTCTTTCAGGCTGCTCTCGGTGGCGCTCTCAAGGTGCCGAAGCCGCACAACTTTGACAATGCATTTGAAGGGACCACTGGCAGCGCGTCAGTGCCACCCCCACCATCAACCGACACCATTTACTGACTTGATGTACTAGATATGGCGTTGTCACGGCCTTATACAATGTGATTTGGAGCTACATCGGATATAGCAATGCGAATTACGCGTTGAGCGAGACTAAGAACCCAATACGCACCCTCAAGATTGCGGCGCCGGCGGCAATTATATTCGTGTCGATCATTTACATGCTCGTCAATGTACGGTGACCACCCTGACCCTCTCTCCCAGCTGGCGCCCCGCTAACGATGGATACTGTTGTGCAGATTGCTTACTTTGCTGCCGTTCCCAAAGAAGAGATTATATCTTCTGGCCGTATTCTCGCGGCATCCTTCTTTCGAAATGTCTTTGGAAAGCGAGCAGAGCGGGCGCTTTCAGTGTTTGTTGCCCTGTCCGCCTTTGGGAATGTTCTCAGCGTCATCTTTTCTCAAGGTCGTCGTACGTGTTTCACCTTGTCCGACCACGTCTTTTTGCAACAACTAACAGTGTGGGTACTTAGTTGTCCAAGAGCTTGGGCGTGAGGGAATCCTTCCCTTCTCCCGTGTGTGGGCAAGTAACAAGCCCTTCAATGCGCCTCTTGCTGGATTATTCGAGCACTGGTGTGTCTCAGTGATAATCATGCTTGCACCTCCTCCTGGAGATGCATACAATTTCATCTTGAAGTATGTTTGTTTCTTTGTGTCCTGCCATCTGCGCCAGAGCTGATCATGTCTCAGTGTCATCTCGTACCCATTGTCTATCGTCAATGCCTTTGTCGCAGCTGGACTTCTATATCTCTATGTCAAACCCCAGCGTTGGGAATGGTCACCGCCTATCCGCGCAACATGGCCGGTGACGCTACTTTTCTTCCTCAGCAACCTGTACCTCATCGCAGCTCCGTTTGTTCCGCCCAGCAAAGGCCAAAACGTGTACAAGGATCTCCCGTACTACCTGCATTGTGTAGTAGGCATGGGCATCATTGCCGCGGGAGGGGTGTATTGGCTCATCTGGGCTGTCCTGTTGCCGCGACTTGGCAAGTACGAGCTTGTGAGAGAAGTCGAAGTCAGTCCGCTGGACGGATGGGAGAGGAACGTGTTTTCAAGACGCAAGCTCGCTGGAGACGCAAAGTCTAGACGCAGTGCGAGCTTGGCCACATCTTGAATGGGAATGAACAAATATACCAGGCTGTTACTAACCCTAACCCTACTACTTCTTATGTATCTTCTTATGTGTATCTATGACTAGTATTAGTACTATGTACTACTCAGTATTAGCTAATATTGGTGTTAACAATTCTATCAAGCTTCGGCTATTTCGAGACGATTGAACTGTCTGTTATGCCTCGCGCCGTCCAATGGCTCATTGAGGCCCTTCAAGGGTCCAGACTTCAGAACCACTCGGACTCACACCTACTGCAGTGCAGTCTCTTCAAGAAGGAGTACTACCAAACAAAGCACTCCAAGTGAGAGTGATCGGACTCCTGAGGGTGGAAGATCGAGACAATAGTCGGAAGGAGTGTTGTTCGTCGGTCAAAGTCACGTGATGGCCCAAATCGGTTCTGGCGACGGGACCAAAATGGAAATCTCCCCCAGGAGTCGAGGGCCTAACGAAATTGGGAAGGAGTCGTGACGCGTTTCAAATGGAATGAGCGATTCGCTTTGCTGGCATTGCGGTAGTTGGCCAGCGTTCTCACCAAAATAAGACATTACTTCGACCAACTCTACTACTAGTGCTACACTTTCAGGACTGAGCGCTTCCTATTCATTACTATATACTTAAGTACCTTTAAAGGGTGTAATCAAATGATGTAATCCAGAAGTGCCGCGAGTCATAAATACCACTCCAGTTTGCACAAATCTGTCTGCCCTGAAATCAACTCCCAGATCGGGCTGGAACCATCGCTGGAGAGTAGGCCAGTTCGGATCAGTCTGAGTCTGGGGGACACCGGGGTGAGATTGTGCCTTGACCGACGATTCGTACTACATAGTAGTACTGAGTTTGGTGGGCGGAGGACAAATTAGCCACAGGTTTTCTGTTCAAATTATACTGGTACGCTGCCAGACTCAGTGAGAATAGACCTGGTGGCATTATACTACTCCATACTATGTACTTAGCACATACTAGTAGTAGGACGATCAGTAGAGACACACACTGTATTCAGTCCAAGTTAGTAGTACTATTACCAAGTACTGTTTGAACAGACTGTCAATTTAAATTTCAGGCTGAAGCCCTGTCCTAGTGGTTGGTTATATTGCAGCTGTTTATAGGACTAGGAGTGGCTTGAAGTTAGAAATTCAAGTTGCGATTGTGAGGTTCGGAACCCTATACCAGACCTGAAATTGCACTGCTGGCTGGTCTAGTCGTGGTTGCGCTTTCGCATCAGGCTGAAGACTGAGGTTCAATGTGAAACTGTGATATCAGCCTTACCGGCAAGACCAAAGTTCGGGATAAAATATTACTCGTAGTTTGTACTAGCAGGATTGATTCGTGTCGTCTGCTGCCAACAATAGTCGCTGCTTAACGTATGACCATGACCGTGGCTGGCTGGCTTCTCACCGTCCGTGTATGCATGCCTTGTTCAGGTTTTAGAGGGCAAGATTCTAAAAAGTGAAGAGTTCTGAGCTGATTGGTCAGAGCGGCGGTGAAGAATGTTCAGCTCCGACAGCCGCCTTCCGGATTGGGCGATAAGTTCAACAGCCTCGACTTTGACTTGCAGCAACACGAGTGGCTGCATCTTCCCAGCTGTCCTATCTATCTGCACACGTGGGGCCCAGACCGCGACTTCACGAAGCTGTCTTCTTCTGACGTTTCATTCATAGCTCAAGGCGACCACCTCCCACACCCTGCGGCGTCCCCAGAGCTCCAGAGCTCTCCAGCTGAACCTCAGCCGCCAGACCCTGTCGGTCGGAACAGGCCAGTCTAGCCTGTGGCCAACAAACCTGAGTTCGTCCTTTAAATAAAGAACGAAGCATCTGTGTCTCTCTGTTCACTTCTTCGTCCCCTTGCTACTACTCCAGTCCACACGACATGGCCGCCATGCCCACATTCGATCTGCTTGAACGCCGCAAGGAGCGCTTCGTTCTGTGGACTCCAGCCGGCCAGTCTACACCGCGACTGATTCTCGGCACGTTCAAGACCACGCCAAGTCCTGGAGCGGTGACGACTTTGTTCAGCGGCGACCTGTCACAAACGCAGAACGGTCTCTGGGAGCTCTCTCCTGGTGCCATCAATCCACCGCTGGAGAATGGGAAGGTCTACCATTACTGGTTCGAGGTGGACAACACTTTCCCTACCCAGACAGGCTCGGGCAAGATCAAGATAACCGACCCTCTGGCATATACCGTGGACTACAGGCAATTCGGTGATCAAACAAGGGACGACTCCCTGCAGCCTCCAGCAGTCATCAAGTTCCGTGACGGCAAGCTTTGGCCGTGCGATACTGATGGGACAGAATTGAAGGCCATTCCCGCTCCCGTCCAGCCCCAAGTTCCCGCCAATAATCATATGGTCATCTACGAGTTGCCAGCATCATGGGCGAAGTCCGGCCCAAATGGACAGCAAATCGATCGAGGGACTTTTGCTGACGTCCAAGCTTTGTTCGATGAAGACACTCCAGGGCAAAGATTCAGCAGCATCCCCGCCGTTCAGAAGGAGGCCATTGTCGCTGACCTTGGAATCAATGCCTTGGAACTTTTGCCAATCGCAGACTCCAAGTATAGGGATCAATGGGGATACTCGACCGCTCATTACTTCGCTCCGGACGCTGATCTTGGATCCACTGCCAGCCTCATCGAGCTCATCCAAACGATAACTCCCCAGACGAGACTGATTCTGGACACAGTCATGGCTTTTGGCCACGACCCCTACATATTTGCCGCTTTTATGCAGTTCCATCTTGTTGCTCTCGATCCTGATCATCCAACCGACCCGTTGCAAAAGTTTGCGGAACCCGACAATCCAGACACTTATACGTCGCACAACCAAGGACCGAGGAACTCGTACGGAGGTAGTCTCTGGCGGTATATCAAGAGTTCCCAGCAGACATATGATCCCCAGAAAGGACAAACGAGCTTGAATCATCCGCCGTCGTGGTCTTTCCATAGAGCTCACCTTCATCACTGGCTCCTCAACTTCGGTGTTTCTGGATTCAGACTGGATAGCATAAATAATGTCGCCAACTACGATTTCATCAAGTACTACAAAGATTACGCATGGCAATTGCATCAGGCGAGAGGCGGCTCGACCGACAAGTTTATCGTGATTGGAGAGGAGCTCAGCGTGCCTAAAGATCTTCTCTCCTCTGGCACTTTGAACGCACTGTGGAACGAACCTTTTCAGGGTCGCCTTCGAGCAGCAATCATAGGTGAAGCAGCCGACGGTGACAACTTCGAGTGGACAGTCAGGAAGATGGTCAACTGTACCCTGGACGGGTATACGGACGGAGCTCAAGCCGTCAATTACATCACCTCGCACGATGTTGAAGGCGACCGGAAGGAAAGATTGTACAACTTCCTGTCCAACTGCAAAGTCTATGATATCGAAAGACGTGCTAAGCTAGCATTCGCATGCTTTCTCACCGCGGTTGGGATCCCGATGATCTTCGCTGGTGAAGAGTTTTGTGACCAGATGGACCTCGATATTTCCCTGAAACAATCAGACCCCGTCAACTATGAGCGCAAAAGTGACGACTGGCGAACTCGAGTCTTCAATTACGTTGCCACTCTCGTGGACTTGCGCAAAAATTGCCCTGCGCTTGGCTTGGACGACACATCTTTCATCCACGTGGACGAGAGCCGCGGCGGGAAAATCATGGCTTGGGTGCGAGGAACGACCAATCCAGTGGTCGTCGTTGCCAACTTCACCGATCAAGATACTCCTGGGCCGCAGTACTACGTGCCGAATTGGCCCGACAGAAATCGCAATGACTGGAGAGAGATCACGCAGAATCGGGCTGTGCCAGCAGAGTGGGTTGGAAATGAGCCGTTGATGCAATGGGAGGCAAAGGTTTATACCTATTGGAAGCCTGATAATGTGAACGGACAGGTGAACGGAGTGAATGGGACACACAGTGGGTGATCCAGCTGGCTACTAAGGCTGAAATGGCTCGGCGAACCCTACTGGGACCGAGGGGCAGGAAGGGCTACTATTCCATTGTCATCCGCTCCAATCCGATACCGAGAGAGCCGATATTCGAGGTGTTTCAGGCTGGGTGTCTTTAGGGGATCGGCCATCGACCATTGTCGACACTCTAGTACTTGGAGGCTATATCGATTAGTGTTAATGTCTATTGATGAATCGCCTGTCCACTGGCTCCCTGGCTTCTCTTTCCGTTCTCCTTCTGCCGCCTGTCATTGACTGCGTTGTTGTAGGGTGAATTTGCGGTTGGCTGCGGGCCGAGTGATAATTGTCGTTCTATACATATTGATGCTGTCTGGCGCAGCCTCACGAAGACATAGTACCGCACCAGACAGCATCAATGTGTATAGAACGACAAGAGTCAGAGAATCATCCTGGGATCGTGTCCTGTATCCGCCTTCCCGTAGCCGCCAAGCCGCTAGATGACTACAGGTCTGTACATAGTATTCAGGTCGCAACAAGGCTGACGGTTCAGGGGGTGGGGGGAACTGTCGACGACAACGGAGTCACCACCGTCAGCGTCCTCAAGAGGGATGGTAAAGATACCCAGTCAGTCGTACGAGACGATACGGGTTCGCTAGTAACTCAGACGCACAGGGTTCTCGCTTCTCATCCCCCATGATCTCTCCGCCGGCGTCATGCCGCTCGAAATGCCCGCGCCAGCCACGTAGGTCAGCTGGTGAATGGCTAGGTAAAGTACTGGTACTAGTGCTGTACACGACTGTACTATGTAAGTCTGGTGTGCCGGGGGCGCAGGAATGCAACCATGACAATGCCCTAGAGTGGTAGCGCGCTGGGGGCGAAAAAATAGAACCAAAATCCACGGACGACACATCAGCGGTGGTATTACGTGGCTATTCTACAGTCGTGGCACAGGCCTCTTCATATCCCGTCCTGACTAGGGACTTGCCCAGAGACTCTGAAGTGCTGGCCAGTACTGGCCAGCACTACCTGTCGATATCAATCCCAGAAATGGCATCTTTCGCCGATGGGCGTGGTAGCGACGCCGCATCCTCCGAGCCACGACTTCGACCTGGACGCGGCGGCAGCGGTACATCCACGCGAAATGCGCATTGTCCCGAGGCGGTCGACGCGATGGCGCTCGAGCAGGCTCTGAGAGCCATGGAGACTTGGACGGTCGAGTGGAAGGGCGTGGATGTGCTCGACGTCGACGACGGGGGGATCGTGCGTGAGTAACTCGAAACCTACTATACCTAGTAAAGTCACCTGTGAAGTCGGTCCGACTCTGCATACCGCGAGCCATGTTGGTGTTCTCTCTCTGAACGATGTGGTTTATTGACTTGACTGATCTGGCGATGTATACTTATTCTCCTGGCGGTTTGCCTTGCTCGCACAGACTTCCATCGTGATCTAGATAGTCACGCTCTGGAGAGATTCCTGTCCGTGAGTTCTATCATCGCCCGGAAAATCGCCCGGAGAGTCGTTCTCGAGTGTGCCGTGGGCCTGCCAGCTGCTAGTTGACATCTGGCAAGTAGCCGGTAGTCAGACCAACTCACTGACTGGCTGTAACATAGGACGACTCAGATGCTTCCCGCGAGAAATGCATTGTACGCGTCTTGTATGTCTTCCGAGTTCCCTTCCGCGCGCATCCTCCCCATCTCTCCTTGTCCTCGACAGCCGATGGTCATGGCGCGTATCCGCTGAATACATCATATCTACATACAGCTTCCTCGAGAGCCTCGGGCCTGGGCGCACAAGCACCGAAATCGGCGACGCCGCGGTCGACCCGGCAATCCTCAGATTGCTTCGCGATCGAGCCGGACTCTCGGACCTGTTGACCACCGCCGTTTGCGGGCTGGGACACTGGTACACGGTCAAGCACGGACACTTTGTCAGTCGAGACACGCATGGCAAAGCCCAGTCTCTTGGTTTGAAGGGCCTTCCCTTCGCAACAAGAGTTGAGACCGATCGCTGATCAAAACTTGGGCATAGATGTGGTGTACGAATACGCCCCCTCGGCCAGCGCGTGCACGCAGGTCTCGACGTCTCTTGCAATGGGCTCGTCGACCTATTTCTGCCTCAATTTCCCTCCCTCGGCGGTTCCGAGGCTCTCTCCGCACGACCTGCGGGTTCCATTTAAACTGGATGTTGTCGCCGCGGATGAGACGCTGCGACTCTGGCAGCAGGAAATGGTGACCATCCGAGGCCGGATGAAGCGATTCGTAAGTAACTGTCACTCCATCCCTCGGTGAACACGGAGGGCAAAGAAATTCTCACGCCGCGATGTAGGAAGCAAACGAGCCCCACGAGGCCGTGGATTCGATGATCCGAGAACTCCACCGGCTCTCGAGGAGTTGGCACATTCTGTTTCGTAAAGTCTCGGAGTTCGAAGCGCATCTCGATTTCCTGTGGGACGTGCGGACCATGTATGCCTCTCTTGCCGGGGCCGTGACGATACGAAACGCAAGTCTGGTTGGAGAGTCTGGCGAGTCTCTGACGTTTCTTGTGTCGAGCTGTCGATCCCTCAGACATCTCGTGGCGGACTATAGAGACCGCACAGCGACACAGATCAATCTGGTAAGGGAGACATAGCCCTGGTAGCCCTGGATTCGTTGATGGCGCAGAAGATGGAACCTAACGATGTGTGTGGCGATAGCTCTTCCATCTCGCGAACCAGGCAGAGACTCGGGACAACAAAGAGATCGCGGCGCAGAACAAGGAGATTGCAGAACTCACGGCCAGGATTGCGCAGCAGACTCAGCGCGACAGCGCGTCCATGATCACCATCGCTGCCGTGACCATGTTCTTCCTCCCCGGAACTTTCGTGTCGGTATGTTGCTTACAGGACCTTGATAGCTGCTGAGGACCCCCCAGCGGCGTTGAATTTCCCAAACACATGCGAGCGAACTCATGGCTGACACCAGGGCACAGTCGTTGCTGAGTACAGTAGTGTTCAACTTCGACAGCAGCAACATCGGCGTGTCAGAGATGTGGTGGATATTACCTGCCACCGCCATACCTCTGACCGTGTTTGTATTTGCGGTCTGGTTGTTGTGGCTGCGGCAGAGACTTTCGCAGGATCAAACAGCCGTTGTGTGCAAGATTTCATCTTGAACCATCCTGAACGGCTCGGGTTGCTACAATCACCAAGCCCCAGCGTAGTGGGCTGACAAGAGCGATGGAGGTCTACGGCGATCAGGCACGCTCTGGGACAGGACACAGAGAGCAATTCATGCCTATTCCGCAGGCCCCAATTTATATCAATACCCATCCTCTCTCCCCACTACGCCAGATTCTGCACCTCCGCCTCATCTCTTCTATCCACCAGGGCTGCGCGAGAGACTCTGAGAATGATTAACAACCTTGACCGTCGACTTAGCCAAACGCTGCCGTGCCGTCACGGCCTAAAAGCAAGATGCCACCACTTGGGATCTGGCCCCGGGGGGGGGGGGGGGGGTTAAAGAGATATGCGGTGTATGTTGATAAATATGCCGTCGCTAACGAGTTCGCACTTTATCCTTGCCTGAGGACAGATAGTCTCTCACTGGAAAGCCGGACTTCCAGACTGACAAGCCAATGGACCTTAACCGCTTTAGGTATATATTTGGGAGACATTGGGCTCGAGGCGGGATCGAGTAGATTGACTTGGCGAGCCTGCTGCACTTTGCTGGAGAAACTCCTCCCATTAGGATGTCAAGGGATCGAAGGGATCTTGCCTCCGACCTGTCAAATTGCAGACCTTTGGATGCTAGGCCAGGAGATGCTGCTAACATATATAAACATCTGTGTCTTCCCACTGAAGCGAGTTATTACCATTTGACCCTGACAAATCAGAAGTCAAAACCTGCTAAGAGCTCCTCGAGGCCTTTGCGCACAAGGCTCGTCCCCATAGCCGACCACCAGTTGTCCACGAACTCAAAGAAGAAGAAGAAACAACCTGCAAAATGGCAAAGCCTTTACATGACGTTGCTGCGAATAACGGCAATGCCGAAATGCCTACGATAGCAATTTTCAACGCCAACGATCCAGAAACAACTACGGAACTCCTGGTGGCCGCCCTTGAGCGAGATGGATGCGTCATTGTCGAAAACCTCATCACGGAGGAACTGACAAGTCGGATCCGGTCGGAACTGAAGCCGGTGTTCGATAAGGACCAGGGACGCAGCGACGGGGGTTTTTTCCCCAGCACTACGCAGCGCGCTCCAGGGGTCGTAGCGTCGTCTGATGCGTGCGTCGAGTTGGCCCTCAACAAGACGTATATCGGCGTGGCCGACAGAGTCCTCACGTCGACATATGCGTACTGGGCAGGCCAGGAACGACACACGATCAGTGCCAAACCGATCATTTCGTCCACATTCGGGTTCCGTGTCAACCCTGGCGGGAAGCAGCAGGTCCTCCATCGGGATGATAGGTGTGAGATATCGACAAGCCGCTGTGAAGTACGGGGCTCTCCGCTGACTTAACGCCTCTCGTCCTTCATCTAGTGATTACCACGCTCGAGACGTCGACAGGCCTGTCATGTTGGGCTGTGTTACCGCTCTGTCCAAGACCACCAAAGCAAACGGCGCGACTATGTGTATCCCCGGATCACACCTATGGGGGCCGGAACGATGCCCGTACGATCATGAAGCAATCCCGGCAGAGTTAGAGCCCGGCTCCGCTTTGATCTTCGACGGAGGTCTCTACCACGCCGGAGGTGGAAATGTTACGACGTGAGTTAGGCCCCCCAAGTCGTAGACGTGAAAGGAATCCTCCGAGTCGCAAAAAAAAAAAACACTTAACGAGAGTATCCAGAGACCAGGCTCGTGAGACCGTAGGAATCTTCCTGCAGAAACCGACTTATCGACAGGCCGAGAACCAGTTCCTGGTAGTCCCGCCAGAGAAGGCGAAGCGATTCTCGCCACAGGCACAGAGGCTGCTGGGTTACGGCATCTGTCCACCGTCTCTCGGAGGGTTCGAGTATAAAGACCCGATGTTGCATTTGTTCAGCGTCGAGGACGAGGAAACTGTGTATTTGTAAATGACAATAAATCCCAAGTCATATCCACTAGGAGCTACCAAATGCTCCAGATGGACAATGCGACAAGAAGTCTTCCGCTTCGCTTGACCTAAATCACCAAAAATCGAAATCCTCGTTGTGACTGAAGACGAGCAAACCGCATCCAATTCGGGACCGACGAGGGTTCGGTCTGCCAGAACTTTCGCAAAAACTCTAGCGCCGCATAGCCGTTGCCAAATCCAGTCGCGCCCATGACCTCCAGGAGCCTCGCTTCGACAAAAGATTGGAGGTGGAGCTGCTCCCGACTCTCCGTTCCGAGGATAAACAGTGGCCAAAGGAGATCATGCTGGAAGGCTCTGCGGTTGACGATTCTTCGGATCATTTCAGCTGCGGATTCGGTGAGTGCGAGACGGGTCGAGGTCGTATGGCATCCGTCAGGAAATGCCTGAAAAGCGTAGACGAGGCCCACGGAGTGGTAGACGTCGATGAGTGCTGTCAGGTCGTCCATCATGTCCCGGGCCATCGGGGGGAGTCTTTTGCTGTGTGTCAGTGACTGTTCCCGTGCGTGTCTGAAGCGATCCCGGATAAGACCGACATCGTGCAGACAGCTGCCTTGCCCACCGTCGCGAGAGTGGCTGTAATGGCGGCGTTCCGCCTGCGTGATTTGGAGAATGAGGTGCAGCCAGCTCAGGAAGAAGCCATAGTCGGAATCATGTAGGGCGTAGTCTGGATGTTCGGCGTCATCTTCAAAATTTGTTGAAGACGCAAATACGTCGTAGACGAAGACCTCCTTCATCAGAAATCTGGAGGTGCGATCCTTTGGCGCGGTCGTGCAACCTGGAGAGGTCCACCTTTTCACTATCGTCTGAGCGGCTTTCCAGTGAATTCGCCATAGCTCGGAGCCCGACTGGACCTGTTCAAGTTTGCACAGGATCAATATGGTCGCCAGGATGGCTGCCGCGGAGGCTCGACACACCGCCACACCGTGCTCTGCGAATTCATTTTTGATATTCTGAGAGAGTAACCGCAGACTGCGGTCTCGGTAACGTTCTGAAGTCATTCCTTCTTCATTGGACCACGCCACTCCCGTCTGCACGGAATAGTGCTGGGCCGCCAGAGCGAGGATTGCCAGCAATACCGACGGCGACTTCAGGGCGAGAGACAGCATCACATTGCGCCACTCGTTGTCTGGACCATCGACCCATGGCATGCTGGATGCAATATCCTTGTCATAGTGGTCCAAGAGATGTCGAACAGAAGCAATTCGAGTATAAGTGGCAATGTCGCTGGCAGAAATGTCGGTGATACCAGTCTCGCCATGATTAGGATGCTCGTTCGCCTCGATCCTGAAGTCTGTGGGTGGGTTGCAAGCCAGCGTCGTGTCGTAGGTTGCATTCACGGGATGGTCGTGAGCCTCAACCAATGGCAGCCTCGAGAAATCATCCTGCGGGCTCCCCTTTTCTTGGGCCTCACTCCTGCTTGTAGATGGGCCCCGGCGAGCCGGCTGCTTGCCCGTCAGAATCTGACCTCCGCTCGAGAGGGTTTGACGCCATCGGATTCTGAGGCCATAGCCTGGACAGACGACGTCTTTGAGGGCGCATTTTTTGCAACGGGGCAGGCTTCTATCACACTTTATCCTGCGTCGATTGCAAGTTCGGCAGTCTGCTCGGGCTTGTTGAGTTATGTGCCTAGCCAAACAAAACACCACTCGTACCTTTGGGGGCTCTGGGCTCGTTGGGGTCTAGAGAAGAAAGCCGCAATGTCATTCTTGATGATGCCAATGAGGACCATCATCGATCTTCTTCCACAACACTGTAATCTCAACGTGGACGAGGCGAGCAGGTCGCAATCAGGTCTGCAAGAAGCAACGTCTTTCCGGTGGAATACTGGAGTCTCGTTGTGTTGTCGACCTCGGTCCGTACGTGTGCAGAAGCCTGTGGACAAGAACCGTCAATCCATTTCGACGGTTCGATGACTGACCGGTTCGAAGTTGGAACGAGGTGGAAAAGCAGAGCACGAGATAAGGCGGAGGCCTCGATTGACGGATGTGATAACAAAGTGCGGGGCGTGCTAACCGTTTCGGGAAAGTAATGGGAGAAGTCTCCAAGCGGCATGCTCCAAGTAAACGCGACTATAAAGACAACGACACTCAATATCTCGTCCATTCCCGGCACGAGAGCAGCGTCGAGGACAACATCGCTACAAGATATTCAGATGGCCCTGCTTTCATCACCTGCATATGACTTGCACGAGGACCACTCGAGGCGCCTTGCGGCCAAGTCAATATCGAACGAGCTTCGTTCGTCTCTTCCCGCAGAGTTCTATCGCTCTCCTGCAATCTATCAGCTAGAGCGAAGAGCCATCTTTTCGAAAAGATGGTTCTTGGTCTCGCACAAAGCCCGCAATCGCAACGTCGGCGACTACGTCCAGTACGAGATGGCCGAATATAACTTTTTCCTCGTAAAGAACAAGTCTGGCGATATTGTTGGGTTCCACAACGTGTGCAGGTACGTGGTTCCTTGTCTTGTGGTAGACTAAATCTCCTTCCCTTTACCTATTGCACATTCTCAACCTTGTTACCGTCTAGACATCGAGCTTTCCCTCTCTTGCAAGAGCAAACGGGGACCGCCAGAATTTTCTCCTGCAGGTACCATGGATGGTCATACAGCCTGGACGGAGCTTTGACTAAGGCACCTCGTTTCACGCCAGAGGCAGTACCGGACTTCGACCCATCTGCAATCCACCTGTTTCCTGTCCACGTCCATGTGGACAGAAATGGCTTTATTTACGTGAACCTCGATGCTCGCCCAGTGCCAGAGCTGGCCTGGGAAGAGCAATACGGAGATCTCGATACTCAGGCCGCCCTTCAAAACTCAGGGGTCGACTGGGACAAAGTCGAGTTTGACTTTTCGTGGTCGAAAGAGGGACATTTCAACTGGAAAGTTATGCAGGACAATTTCAACGAGGTATGTCGTGCGAAATCGAAGTGGTAATACATCCCTAAGTAGCCGCCACAGTGCTATCATTGTGCGACCGCACATCCAGATGTCCTCGCTTCAACTGCCCTCGATACATACTATGTCGAACCCAGCAGCAACTACATTCCACACTTTTACGAGCCCCGGCGAGACAAGAAGCCCGGCACAAGCAGCTACGACTACAAAGGCGCCTCGGCGACCCATGTGTTCCCGGGTGGGCACTTCTCACTGAGTCCCGGGACCGGCTTTATGCACATGATGCGCAGCGTGCCGATTTCGCCCACGACGACTCGGATGGAATACGACATCTACAAGCTGCACACCCCGACCGCGACATCGGAGGCAGCAGCGGGCGTCCTCAAGTTCTACCAAAAGGTCATCGACGAGGACTTCGAACTCTGTACGCGGGTCCAAAGGAGCCTCGATCGAGGCATCTACGAGACCGGCCCTCTCCACCCCTTTCACGAGGAAGGCGTGTTCGCGTTCCAGAGAATGGTGCTGACGGCGCTCAAGGACCATCTAAGGCTCGAGGACGAGCTGGGCAAGGAGGTTTGGGCGGCAAGGCCCAGCGGACAGACAGGCGGGGCGGATGGCGTGCAGGCGTGTGAGGAAATGCTGGGGTGTGCCAAAGGCACTCTGAAAGCGATAGAATGGTGAATGGATCCTCCGGGAGACAAACTGGTAGGAATGAGGCGCGCAACTTAGGAGCAAGCCTGGTAGCTGTCAGATCAGGTAGATTACTGAAGGGCCACGCGACTCTGGCGTGGCACGGTGGGCCTCGCAGCTGCCGTACTGGGTAGAAGCGTGTGACAATGTGTACATCTGAATGTCCCCAACGCGCCGAGAGATGTCAAAGATAACTATTCGCCCAACCCTGCACAGATGGGGACAAGTCTCCAAGCTAGAGTAGAATTCTCCGGGGGCGTATCGAAAAGCTCTCCAAAAACTTGCCTAAACAAGTAAGGATAGTGGCGGACAGACTGACGCTTGGTCGCAACGAGACATGTCAAAGGATTGACCCATCGAAGGGAGTTCTCATACAAGTACTCGGTACCTACTTCCTGCTCGCTAGCTAGTCGCCATACTTCGCTCCAGTCGGAGCCCAGTGGACATTGATATCAGTAGCCCGTTGCCGCCACATCACACATAGCCTGGCCCTGGCGCTGAGATGGAGGATCTTCCGATCGCCGCCTGGCAGCTGGGAAAATTCTCCATAAACATGCCGCAAGAAGCAAAGGCCGTGATGATGGATTCGCTCCCTGTAGATACTCCACATTACCAACCGAACCAGGCCGCTAGATTGCATCAATCTCGACCGGGCATCGTTATCGATGGTCTCCGGCAGGGGCATGTGGCTTGTGGTTGCTAGCTAGCAGCAAGGTGATCTTGGTACTTGCCGTTTATCAAAATGGTTCTTGCTCCACTTTCAACGGGTGTTGATACTGGCCCTTTTGGTGCGCGCAGAACGGCCACATGCACCGTTTAGATGTGATACGTTTATGCCTTTCTCCTTGGTGCGCAGCGTGTGCCGGGGAGAACTGCGGGGGTGTGTTGGTTGGAGTCCCTTGAGCCTTGCCTGGACTCGAGTGGGTTTGATCCCTAAGTTCAAAATTGGACTGGTGTTGCGGTGTGGCATGCTGATGGGTTTCGTGTTCAACTGTTACGAGAATTGCGTTTTCCACCTATCAAGAGGCACCGACTTCTTACCCACACGCAATCTTGAACAGGTTATCTGGTGAGGGACCAAAGCTATGTCCAAGAAGACGATGAAAGGGCGTCAAAAAAGACCCGAGCAGACGAACATGTATGTAGAGCCGATAACCCTGCTCGATGGCGCCTCGGGATTCTCCATGCGTACAAAGTAAGGTTCGTGCTAGCGGAGGAGGTCTGTATACAAGCAAACCGAGCTGACTGGCTCGAGGACCAGGGCGCTTTTCCAAGTTCCAACACTCTACTCCAAGCGCGGCGGCGATAAGACCACGTTCGCCTGCGCCGGTTCTTCGAGAGATCAAATGCCCAGGCAGGCTTGAAGGTAGGCCCGGGGCAGTTCCCACCCGTGATGAGGGGCTGTGTAATCTAGTCTCGAGTGATAAACCGCCCCATTTGGAGGGCTGTCGTTGGTCGAAGTCGACCGTCTGGAGGGGCAGATAGCTATCCGTCTCCTTTGCCTCCCTTCTGCGTGGATATATGAGGAGCACCATTCAATTCGACTATTCTTGCCCACGCAGCAAGCCAGGATATATAATGGCAAGTATTCCACTCTATACATTCGGCACAGACACATGAATATCCTGTATCTCTGTACTATCTCGATTGCAATTGCACCTGATTTTGAAAGCGTTTCGGTGTGGAATTTAAAGCACCATTGTCGATGGAGGGACACGAGGACGACTCGGCGGCGTGGCCTCCGGGGACGATTCTCCTTGAGCGGAGTAAGAGCGACATGCCTGCTGTTCAATGGCGCCTCTTCTATACCACAGGTTGGCTAACAAATCTCTTTACGGACGCACAGAACGCAGCTCCAAGACCGAGATTATCCTTCATCCCGTGCCGAGCGATGATCCTGACGACCCGCTGGTATGGCACTGCTCTGAACATGCCCGTCATTGGCATCCCCCAACTAACTGACCCGGTGGTAGAATTGGTCCAGTTCCCGCAAGACGGTCAACTTCACCCTGGTCGGCTTCTACGTCTTAATGACCTTCGTCCTTCTCGACATCGGAGGCGTCGCTTGGGGCGCATACATGGATGAGCTCGGGATCTCGACGTCGACGTTGACGAGCGGCGCCGCCGTCAACTACGCCGGCCTCGCCATGGGATGCGTCCTGTTCATTCCATTTGTCTATAAATATGGTCGACGGCCGATTTACATTGTGAGCTTGCTCGTGCAATTTGCAACGTCGATCTGGAACGCGAAACTCAACACTGGGGCCGAGTTGGTAGCCAACAACTTGGTCATGGGTCTCGGTGGCGCCATCAGTGAGACAATCGTGCTGCTCACCATCGTCGATCTATATTTCGTCCATCACCACGCCACCATGAACGCAATCTTCGTCCTGTTGCAGTTCGGCGGCACGTACCTGGGACCCGTCGCCGCAGGGTACATCGTGGACTCGCAGGGATGGAGGTGGATCTGGTGGTGGACGGCTATACTGATAGGCGCGTGCCTGGTGGTCGTTCTCTTTTGCTTCGAAGAGTCGCAGTACGTGCCTACCTTGCAAGGACATGCGGTACGACACCTGCCCACGACGACGGCCGAGGAGATCGCGGGCAACGACAAGGACCTCAAACAAGCCACCGAGGCTTCTAATGCCGCCGAACCTTTCAATGCTCCTGGTAATATCGACATTTTGAGAGTCCCAAGCAATGACAGATGTTTGCCCGTCGCACAAAACAGGCCGCGCAAGAGCTACCGTCAGCGCATGGCACTATACACAAAATCTCCAAGTTCGTATAGCATGAGAGTGCACTTTTTCCAACCGGTCTGGATCGTGTGTCACATTCCAGCGGTGGCATTTGCAGCAACCATGTACGGCGCCGTCTTGGCCTGGTTCTCGGTGCTGTGGACAATTGAAGCGACTTACATGTATCTGCCGCCCTACAACTTCGACGCCTCGAGTGTTGGCTTGCTGAACCTGGCCCCGTTCATTGGCTGCCTCCTTGCAGCCTGCCTGTCTGGCCCGCTGAGCGACTGGTCGATCTTGTTTTTGTCCAAGCGCAATCAAGGAGTCTTTGAGCCCGAAATGCGTCTATGGCTCCTTCTTCCGGCAATCGTCCTGTCTCCAGCCGGCCTGTTAATGTTCGGCATCGGCTTGGCTCATGTGAGCTTAGACATTTCCCCCCCATCCATCTGCGTGTTGCTTCGTATCGATTCTAACCTCTCAACTACAGGGCGCACACTGGGTCGTGCTCGCAGTCGGCTGGGCAATGTTCTCGTTTGCCATCACCATGACCATGGATGTGGTGATGACATATGTGACCGACTCGTATCCGGACGTGAGTAAAACCCAACCCCCCTTTGCTGCAATGTCTTGCGTTGAGAGCGTGGTTCGGCTGACCAAGAAACCCCAGATCATCGGAAACGCTCTCGTGGGAATCGTCTTTTTCAGAAACAGCATCTCCATCGCCGTCATGTTCGCCATCACGGACTGGGTGGAAGCCATAGGTTTGCAGAACTTCTTTATCAACGTTGCGTGTCTCGCTTTTGGCTTCAATCTTCTGCCAATCCCAATGCTCATCTATGGGAAGAAAATCAGGAGGTGGACGGCAGACAGGTACAGAGCCTATGCATCGGCTCAACCTACACACCGAGCGATATGAGCCTCGCAGTGGGTTCTTTAGTTGGTACCACCCAAACAGAATCCAAGTGCGGCTGTTGGACATGGTGGCAGGGTCAAAGTTGGGGGCTGGGCCATCAAGTAGATTGATATCAGATATGATGGCAAGGACACGGCCTATTGCGTTGTTCATATTAAGAGGCGTGCTTGAAAGTCTGGCGAGTGACACCAATGGAAGCCTCTCGAAAAGGCCTGTAACCAGTAGTCGGACGACAACAAACAACCCGACCTCGACTCAAGCCGGTTCTTCCATTTTAGAATCGGACCAAACGTTATGAGACCCCTGTAGTAGAGCTCGGTGCCGACGGTAGAATGAATAGAATTTGTGATCAAGATGCGAGCTATCTCGGTGATGAGGACCCTCGTGCACCGAGACCTTAGGACCGTTGGATATCTCTGCAATTACCTTGATCGCATGGTCATCCTTGTCCACGCAGCTGGCGTAGTAGCAGTGATGCTCGACCATGACTGCTAGAGTCTGGAAAAAGACGGACGACAAAGTTGAGCACGATGACCAACGTTTGCCTCAGATCCTCATTTCTCGGCTCAATCTTCTGGTGGATATTGGCAAGCACGGCGGCTCTATCAACCACGAAGTCAACAGTTCTAGGGTTGATGGAATAGCTGAATCCAGCCACGTCACTGCTCGGGAGCAGAGCTAAAGCGAGGTTGAACAGCAAAAGGAGTGCGGTCAGGGCGGACGTGGGAATGGTCTCTTGGTCCCATCGCCGGGCGCGCTCGAACCAATGGCCCAGCAGCTTTTCAATTTCTCGAATATTGCAACCACTCCCAGAATCTGCGAGTTCCTCGATATAATGGCAAATGGCACTTCTCCCTTCCGCGAAGGACGAAAACGCTTGCCCTCCCCAAGGATAGCATATATGACCCCGGTATTCCGGCTCGATCTCTCCTGGTATTGGACCGGTGTGGATCATCAGCTGTGTCAAGCCCTTGGCAAGACTGGAAGTTGGCAGAATCGACTTTCGTAGAACATCTGCTGCCGATCCTGGAGGTTTCGATCGCTTGTATTCTCGGAGGAGTTTGAGTGTTCCGCGCAGGTGTACCACGGCCCCTGGAAGGTTGTTCTGAAAGAGCTCGATGACCCATGCAACAAGGGAAGCGATGACAACGTGGAGCTTTGGCGGATTATTGTTTCTAATCTCTGCTATGGCTGAAATGTAGTGGGAAACAGCCTGCGAATTCATTTTGGGGGTGGCGGTTGCAACACCAGTATGAAACTTCTCGTGCGTCATGGAAAGAGCAACGAGCATGTGCTTAACTGCAGGTGACTGTAGAGCGATTTGTGGAACAAGGACAGTATAGAAATCTCCCTGGGGCCCGTAATGTGCCAGCACGGGTGCTGTTAGGAGGAGCCAGTGCTGTAGAGATCGTGCTTCCTCGTTCGTGCCGAAGGGCAACCCGAGAGTCTTGGAGAGCAGCAACTCATCATTGCAAGAAGCTCCCTGTGACGATTGAATCGACGATGGCCGTTCCGTCGACGACGTCTTGCGACTTTCCAGCGTGAAGACTTTGGCTATAGGAATCGCGTATCCAAGACATTGGCGGTTCCCTCTCGTGCAGTTCAGGCAGTTTGGCTTCGACTCGTCGCACTTCACCCTACGGAGCTTGCAAGTGATGCACCCTGTACGGACTTTGTGGGAGAATGCCTTCTGCCTCGTGGTGCCGAGCCTGGAGGGAGGCATCAATGCGAGTGACAAAGCGAAGAAACGAATTTGCGTCCCAAGATTAAAAGGCCGGATTGGTCGTGTCAAAGGACACGACGCCACAGGCATATATATATATATATATATATATGTATATTGTGTCTTCTTAAAAATCAGAGGCCAAGGATCTCTTGGTATAAGATTGAACGAAGTCGGAAGCCGAATGATAGCCCCGACTGTAACCTCAACGTCCCTCTAATTGGCGGATGAAGGACGGTTTGGCTGGTGGAAAATGGGCGTGCGATTAAGGCGTCCTACTTGTACAGCTCTCAGGCGAGGCTCAAGCCCAGCGGTCGAGATGCGGTTCGCCAGCAGAAGTCCCTCCTCCATGCCCTACCAAAATCGGTAAAGACGTACCGACTAAAGCTGGGTTTTCGGACAAAACAAGCTGGGATGATCGCCCGGGTCCATCCATAATAGTGGCTGGTGAGCCCTAGGAGGTGGTTAAGGCTGACGGACAATTCGCACTAAACCTACAACATGAGGGCAGCTCTTCAAAGTCATCGCCAGGACGGAGAGGGGATCCAAACCCAGAAGTTGTCGGACAGCAGAGAGTGTCTCAAAGCATTTGCCGATGGACAAGTGTTCATTGCTCGTGTTTTGCCCCGGATGTCGGACTGCCACTTTACACAACACTTGCTTAAAACCCCATGTGCGACAGGGCATCGGTTAGCCACTTCGGGGGGGGATCTCCTTGCCTTCGTATGGGGGTTTGCCCCATTCCACGGCCCTGGTGGGCTGGCGGTTCCTGAAACAGCGTGGCCAGCAACACGGCCAGATAATCCCTTAGCCTTATACTCACCCGGTGCGCGAAGGATTCAACGGCAGACCTAGCGCGTTGACCCTTAGAAAGCGTGGAAGAAAAGACTTCCATGCATGAGTCTGGATTTCCTGTTTTCCGCTACTGCTCGAGAAGATCATTCTTGCAGCCCAAGTCCAGGGGCGCCACTGCTCATGGCCAGAGGTGGCACCAGCGGTAGATTACTGCTTGCTTAGTATTCCGGAAACACACCCACGCGCCCAGGGCTCAGACTCATGGTCCACTTCGTGCTCGAGATGCCAAACGAAGCAACCACAGCCGCGCGCCCCGGGGCTGGCCAATCTCCCCATCGGACGACCGGCAAAGCGACTAAAGAACAGATAGGTGCTAGGACCTCGTGCTGGATGTGCAGACCTCTTTGATCGAGATGCAAAGGCATGTTGGCTCAATCACAAGCAAAGGGGATTCATGTTAGCGTTGTTGTTGCAGCTTCCAAGCACCAATGCGCAAACCCTTTGTTTGTCCATCGACATCGGCTCGAGGACAAGAGTTGCACCCAACCCGTGCTGCACCACCCCGTCAACCCGCAAACCAATAGCCCAGCTCAATCATGCATAAGTCTGTCTGCGTGGGTGTGCGCCTCGTCGCTAAGTCTTTACTGAATGGCACCTAGCGGAACACCCTGAGACGGGAGAACATGACGAATTTGTGCTTCTAGCGCCCCTCGGCTGGGGCCAGAGGAAAGGACGACGACCAGCTCCTATCACGGCAGACCTCTGGTTATCTGCACCTGCTCCAACATGGAGTAGGTGAAGAAGCGAAGACGTCCATCTTTCAGCCTCACGCTCCACTACCTTGGAGGCAGTCCCCACGATGCCGTCGATTCCATCTTTGCGAGCATCGCTGCGTCCTCAACCTTTGGATATCAACTTCGGACGCGCGTTGAAGGCGCTTCGGCCCTGAGAAACAACATCGCTGACGATGGACGGGGACGAGCATGGCGTTTTCCATGCCCGACGGTCTTTTCGACGCCAGAACTCGTCGCTTCTGCCGGGAAACAGCTATGAACAAGCGCCTCAAGAAGATCATGAATTCCAGAATCTCGCGCCTTCAACAGAATCCAGAGAAGAGCCTGTCGTCGGGTTGAACATTTCAGGCTTGTCGAAGCCAGTCAAGCGTGTCCCCGTCGGATCGAAAGGGCAAGCTTTCACAAGCACAGATGCTTCCACAAGTACCGTTGCGGCGCCAGATTCGCTGATCTTGGGCCCTAGCCGCAGCACTCCTTACCAAAACACTGCATCCCCGGGCGAAGATGCGAAATCATTCAGGTCACATCGATCATCTTACAGCCAACTCAACCAACAATCCTCCCAAGACTTTTCTCCAGAAGTCGGACTGCTACATACTCACACCAGGGTCGACGAGAACTGTCCAACCCACGGTGACATCTTGACAAGCCCGTGGTCATGGTGGACTATATCGATATTGGCACTGGCAGTTTACTCGACGGTATTCTCGGGGGTATTCCTCGGCATCGCATTTGCAAAACCACGATGGGGCCAAAGAATTGGAACCAACGGACACCTCTCCTTTGGAAACGCCACTCTTCTCTCAGCTCTATTGTCAAAGACGGTCGAGTTATCCTTTGTAACCATCTTTGTTGCGCTGCTCGGACAGATTTTGAGCCGTCGCGCATTTGCGAAGACGGAAAAGAACAGCGGCATCAGTATCGCAGAAATGACCATGAGGTCTTGGGTCATGCAACCCGGGACACTCATCACGAACTGGATAGTAGTCCGATACGCGGCCTCGACTGTCCTCGGCATCATGGTCCTGGTCGCTGTCTTGGCCGCCACATTCTACACCACCGCTGCCGAAGCATTGGTGGCGCCTAAACCAAAGTTTGGGCCACTTGAAGATCGAACGCTTTGGGGTCAAGTGGCAGCTTCTTACGCCAACTCGATCTACCTGGCTCAGAGTTGCGAAACGCCTGTCCAAGAAGATCCTGACCCAGAGGGCGTGGGTCCGCATCCCGAGGGCGACACCTGTCTCCAGATCGACTATGCAGGACAAAGCTTTCATAACTTCAAATCATTCATGTCGGATTGGCGCGAGAGACTAGACGTCGGCAACATAAGTTCAGACCTAAGCTCTATTAGTAGTCGGCCTTCACCAGTCGCCACATTATTCGACAATACGACGGTTCAGGGCCAATGGATCACTCCTAGCCATGAAAACATTACGACCGATTCAAACCGCTGGGGAAGACTCGTGCAAAATGTCACACTGGCAATGCCTCATGCGAATTTGTTCAATGCAGCTCGAGATCCCAAGAACCAGATTTTGCAGCCGGAGGATCTCCAGGGCAATGGAGAGTACTTCATTCAGGCCGCAATCCCGGCGCCTCTAATCAATGTTTTGTGTGTAGGTATGTCTACTGCCGAGCTGGCGCCCATGATTGTCAATGTATCGAACATTGATGACCCAAGCACATATTTCCCACATCCCACCGCTGTCGACGATATTTTCGACTTCGGGACCACTGGCCCGACTGGCGGTTTTCAGCAAGCACCCATCTTCCCGAAACTGCCCATAGAATACAACACGCTGGGATTCATCTCGAACACATGGGGATACTATGCCATTTATGTTCTTGCAGCCCCTCCCCCAGTCGACAAAAGAGACTACGCGACTGATGATTACGTCCTGTGCTCCATCAAGTCGGCTCAATATCGCAATTGCACCACGTACTATCGCGTCGCTCAGTCAGGTGGCCAGCTGTCGGTCGAATGCGACCAAAGCCCCGGAAACACTCTGCCCTATGTCCACGCGGTCAAGAACGCAGCGATAGGGAACTGGGACGCGGATTGGAAAGATGTCGGCGCTGAATGGCTTCGATCCCTCTCTCTTACTGCTGGAGTCAACGACGCCAATGCTTCGAGTGCGCGACTACTCAGCCAGATGATTCCTGCATATTCAGACGGCACCCCCACAGTCCTGACTTCAGACATGCCCACCATTGGTGAGGCCTTGGCGGTTCTGGCCGGCGAAACAGCGCTTTTGTCCTCGTCGAATTCGCCCTTTGTGCATTTCTGGAACTACTCGCTAGCAATCCTCGAGGAACCCCAGTACCAGGACTTCAAAGCACGGGTGAGCTACAAGGACTATGCTTCGGGAGGGACCCAGCAATGGCAGAATCTCTTCTACGTCATTCTCGTGGCCGTGTTCCTGCTCAGTAGCTTCAGCCTCGTCTACCTGCTGTGGACGTTCTGCCTGCTTGGTCGGGTGACGGACTACACCGAGCCACAAAACATGTTTGCGCTGGCCATCAATTCTCCGCCCTCGAACACCATGTCCGGCACCTGTGGAGCCGGACCCAGCGGCGGTCTGCTGGCAAAGAAATGGCAGGTCGACATGCAAAAGGTGGGAGCGACCCCCACGGATCGAAGCCAGCATCCTCATTTTTATGTGCGATGTCGAGAGGACGGCGTACCGGTGAATTCGAGCGTGCGAAGGAAGAGGCGCAGCAGGCCCCCAACAATCAGTTCTTTCACCGTCTCCGAGTCCCCAGCCGTCGAGCAGTACATGCGACTGGCTGGGAACCCTTGAGCCTGGAACAATGATGAGTCAATTGCCCAGGGAGAGGCGTGTGGTGTGAGCATCCGGTCCCTCTGCCATGGCGTGGTCAGTTAACGCGGTAGCAATAATGTAATTATATTTTCCTCTTCGTGTCCGTGGGTTACAGTCTCCATGCCACCACTTCGCCATCCCCATGGTCCCTCCCTCCCGAACTGATGATGCCCCGGGGTGAAATGGCATGCAACTCGGACTTCTTTTTCCCGCTTGGAGAGCCTCGATCGGGCCAAATTCTCGGCCTCGTCGCCATTCTTGGCATGGCGCCCCGCATCCCGCACTCCGCATTTTCTCTCCGACTTCAACTGCCCAGACACACATATTGCGGAGGAGGACGAGGAATCCCAAATCCCATGATTGTCCTCTCGGCGGGATTCATGCCGAACCCAGACTGCTTCACCTCCTCAACGACTTTGACGACCTTCCTCTTCAATCCTAGGCCTTGGAGTTGCCATACCATGTCCTGCTGCACCGGTGGACGGCAAATGCAAAGAAGAGATGGATCGACATGTGGAACAAATGGCTTTCCCCAGACAATGGGGATCATATGCATCATCCCACATCCAGCATGGGGTGCGCAAGGGCGCATATATCAAAGCGTCTTCTGCTTGACTACTCCGTGCAAAAGGGCGCTTGGCAAGTCATTTGAGAACCTCGAATCTCGACCAGCATGTTACCGAGAACCATCCTCGTGGGCTCTATTCTGCAGCTGGTGACATGGGCTGCGTCACTGGAGATGCGTCAGAGCAGCGGCGGACAGAATACTTGCACCATCGCCTCCAAGTATAAATCCTCAGGTGGCAAAGCCGATGACTCGCCCGCGGTCGCGGCGGCGTTTGCGAGATGCGCCGAGAACTCGACGATAGTTTTCGGCGAGGGCGTCGACTACAACATTCTTCAGCCCATCGTGGCCACCAATCTCTCCAATGTCGTCATCCAGATGCAGGGCAACATCCATCTCCCAAGGAACATTACCGCCATCCAGGAGATGGTGAACAAGACCACAGCCGCTACCAACGGCTCTGCCCTCTACTGGTACTCCACCCCTCAGAGACGATGTTTCATAGCTCCACTGACACGTCGTAGGTTCAATTTTGCAGGCCCTTCCATCAACTATGTCGGCACACAGAATGTCACAAACGGCTGGATCGACAGCTACGGCCAGGCTTGGTGGGACGCCAACCCCAAGAACGGCAGCGGAGCGCCGGCGCGACCACATCTGATGAGTTTCAGCACGACCAACGGCTCCATGAAGCATTTCAAATCGCGCAAGCCCATTGCGTGGGGGGTCCAGGTGAGCGGCAAGAACATCACGATTTCTGACACCGTCATCGACGCGGTCTCGGCCACCGAGGGGTTCCCTTTCAACACGGACGGATTCGACGTCGGGGGCAGCGACATCCGGATCCTGGACAGCGTCATCTTCAACGGCGACGACGCGATCGCGGTGCAGGCCGGGGCCAGCGACATCCTGTTCCGGGGGGGGACCATCGGCTACCAGAGCCACGGCATGAGCATTGGATCTCTGGGCCAGAACCAGGCCAGGTGGGCCAACGTCTCGAACGTCAGGTTCGACGACGTCACGGTGATCGACGCGGTGTACGCGGCCCGGTTCAAGTCCTGGATCGGCGGCAAGGGCCTGGCCAGGAACGTCACCTGGTCCAACATCAGGGTGTACAACGTGACGTTCCCCATCTTCGTGACCCAGACGTACGTGAACCAGGGATCCGCGCAGACCCAGATCGAGAACGGCACCACCGTGGGGCGGCCGAACAACTCGACCGTCGACATGGAGGACTTTACGTGGGCGAACTTCACGGGCACGATCAACACGTTCAACCCGGGCGACGGGTCCTGCGTTAGCGATGTGAGTGCCGCGCCGGCTTGAGAGATCTACCTTCCCCCCAAACCCATCCCATCCCACATCCCACACTCCTTGCGAGAACCGTGGGCTTTCTCGATTGGAAAAGGAGACACTAGCTGACCTTGAACAGCCATGCTGGTACAACGTCGGGCTGCCGGACCTGCAGCACACCGAGGCCATCATCATCGAGTGCAACACGGATTCTTCCTGCAAGAACTTCGCCCTCGACAACATCCAGGTGTTCCCCGAGACCTTCGCGCCGCCGACGGTGATCTGCCTGAACGCCACCGCGGCGCTGAATCCGGGGCTCGGCTTCACCTGCGCGAACGGGACGTATACGCCTATCTGATCGACGAAGGGGGCAGCACATCTTCTGGTGAAGGGGTTGGCCAGGGAAATACGGCGACGTGTCGCGATTAGCCCCAGAAGCATGAGAAACCCGAGGAAAATGGCATTGTTCCAGGAGGCCGGAAAGCGATCTGGGTATGAAAGACGTGAAACTAGGTCGAGGAACATGGCATTCAAACTGTGAGAAACAGCCTCTCGCGCTCCTTTATTGTGGACTTTCTCCTGGACCCAAACCTTTCACATCACAGGCGAAGACCGCATACATATGTATGTGTGTGCTCCGTAGTGTTCTCCCCCTCCCTCCGACCGTCCTCGAACACCACGTACGTCCGTTCTTTCACGCCACAGACACATGGACCTTGCTAGTATCTAGAAGAGTCAGAAATAGTCAGCAATCATCCCCAATATCCCTTTCATTCCCGCCCCCTAGCCCACGCAGTCGAAATCTATCCTTTTCTCCCACGTGACATACGTCGGTGAGGAGCCCAAAGAACAAAGGTGATGGTGATGACTTACAAAACGCGACGTGGTCCCTGATGTGCGTGGCCTTGTCCTTGGGCGCGGGATAATACCACGCCGCGTCCTTGAGCGTCCTGCCGTCCACCGTGACGTCGTAGTAGCTCGCCTTGCCCTTCCACGGGCACGTCGAGTGCGTGGTGGACGACGCCAGCATCGACGGGTCCGCCAGCGCCGACGGCGGGAAGTACACGTTGCCCTCGACGGTTTGGTAGCTGGACGAGGAGGCGATGACCTTGTCGCCGACTCTGGCGGTTGCGGTCGGCATTTTCGTCACGGGTGTGTATTGGGTTCGCGGCTTCGTAGAGTCGAGATCTGGGTCCTTGGGGCCCTGTGAAGTGAAGAGGGTATATTTCGTGCGATGGAGAAGAACGACGAAGATGATGTTGGGTTGGATGATATCGAGAGAACAGCGGTAGAAACCCTCGGGCTATATATACACGGGTGTCTGCCCAGAGCAGCACAAGTATATTCTATAGTCAATATGTTGATGGATGGGGGATATTACCTGATCAACGCCGGCCCCCACCATCGCACGCCATCACAGACGTAAGGCGCCTCGACCGTGGCTGTGGTGCCCCAGGGGGAGTGTCAGCAACCACTTACAAATGCAACGAGCCCGACCAATTGCACGGCAAGGACATGGTACGGAGCGAAAGTCTAGGACTTCTTGAGGATAGATCCCGGCGTTGGCGCAATGTTGTGATTCCGTCAACACCGCATATTCCCCTCCGGCTCGGCAGGGGACGTGCAAATGTGCTTGGTTTTAATGGGCAAAGTCATGATTTGGAGGATGGAGATCCAACGAGCGATTATGTCAACAGTGACGGACTGCTGTGGAGCGCAGAGAGATATCGAGGACTTTTGATGAGGTTGACGGCTATTTCAGCAGTGTCTGTGGGATGAGATGCTTCGATATTAGACGACTTTGTATGGGAGCAATCTAGGAGCATAGCAAGCAAGACATGTCGTTGAACTGTCCATTGAATTGGGAACAATCCTCCTGCTGAACCACAGAGTCCATCGTCAGTAACACTGCTTTGCTCAACGCTTCTTCCGCGCACTGAAGGATTTCAACGGGTCAATCTTCCCCTTGGACCTCCCGCCAAATCGCGCCTTGCGACCTCCTCGCTTCTTGACGTCCCTCCGCTTATTGTCACCTCTCAATCCAACAAACCCGACTTCGTCGGCACTCAGCGCCTTTTTCCCCGCTGCCGGCATCAAGTATTCAGGAACATGCTTCAGGTGCCCTTGATGCCGGACGATCGCCCCGTGTTCGCCGTCGTGTCTCAGGTGTCGCAAGTCTTCGGGATTCTCTTCAAAATGTTTTCGCAACTTCTCCGACTTGATCAATTCTTGCTTGATTTCTCTAGCACGCGCCTCGTGCACAGCAGCCCCGGTCACAGCACGCAGTGCATCATTCATGCGATAGCGGAAGGCGTCCACTTGTGCCATGTCGAAATGATAGGGCTTCACTTCGTTGCCTTTCTTGGTCTGCCGGGCAATGATCTTCTCCAGAACACGTTCATCGCCCTTCGCGGAGAGAATGCTGGTCGCCCTATGTTTGCCGAACTTGTCCTTGGGAACCGCGAACGACAGTGCCATTCCTGCTTTCCCTGCTCGTGCTGTCCGGCCAATGCGGTGTGTGTAGGACTTGGAGGTTAGGGGAAGGTCGAAGTTGATCACGCAAGCCACATTCTGAAAGTCGATGCCCCTCGACACCCCATAGTCCTTTTCGTGTTTCTTTGACCGTTTGGCCTTTTTGGCAGGTCGTTGCACTTCCTCCTCGTCCTCCTCGCTCATCTCATTGGCTGGGTCTTCTGCTACCTCTGCTTGCGTCTTTTGCCTCTTCACAACACCTCCAAGAACCTCTTGATCGTCGGCTGCGATAAGGATATCGTAGAGCCCCTTGTTGAACTCCTGTACCACATGCAACCGAGAGTTGACCGGCAATTCCGCGTTCAGCACGCACGATTTAATCCCGAATTGCTCCAGGTAGAGCTTTAGCCGATAACTTCTGTCAACTTCCGCCACAAATACCAGACACTTTCCCTTGACGAGGCGCAGCTTGAACAGAACATATATGAGCAAGAACTTCTCATCTTCACCGCAGCGTACCACATATTGAGTCACGCCCTCGCCCTTTTCTTCCTTCTCGTCAATCTTGACCACTGCCGCGTCACGGCAAAAGATGGTCTTCAACTCTTCGACCTCCGGCGTCAGGGTGGCGCTGACCAAGTATGTCTGCACACCCCGTGGAAGGGCTGCAGCGATCGCATTGATATCGTCTTCATAGCCATAGGAAAGTACAATGTCAGCTTCGTCGATGACGAGTTGCTGGATGTTGTCAAGAGAGAGCCTGCCCGAGCCGAGATACTGGGTCGCTCTGCCGGGGGTTGTAACAATGACATCTGGGAAATCCTGCAACACCGCATTCATGACTGTGTCCGAGACTCTTTGTGTCAAATTCAGTGTCTGTACATCTTTCGAGCAGAACGCCGAGAAGGTATTGAAGGCTTTGTATACTTGATCTGCCAATTCTCTCGTGGGCACGAGGACGAGAGCAGAGGTGGCCTTGCCGTCGAGGGAGGAGGATTTTCGGCGCAGGATCGCTTGGAGGGTGGGGAGAACGTAGGCGGCGGTCTTTCCAGATCCGGTCTTGGATTTTGCAAGGACATCTTTCCCTTCAAGTGCCAGAGGAATGGCCTTCGCCTGCACGGGTGTAGGGTGGGAGAAATCTGATTTTGCAATTGCCTGCATCAGACGAGGGTCGAGGCCAAACGAATCGAACGATGACCCATGTTCCTCAGGATCTCGAGGGACTTCGACCGTTGGTGCATCATTGACGTCCAGCTTTCGCTTCATGACAACAGATTTCCCACTCTGGGTGCAATGGAAATCTTCCTGGACTGCAATGCTGCTTTAGTAGTAATCTTTGTGGTGGTGGTGCACACTCCGCAATTTTGCCAGAAACTTTTTCTTGCATGGCCGGCTAAACTTCGGCAGGTGAGCTGCGTTATCCGCACGAGGCTGAACGGGAGCCTCGTCTCCAATTTGTGATCCCTAGTTTTTCCCACCTTCCGTGTATGTGAATGCATCTAGGTGCACAGCGGATCTGAGATTACATATTTCTGTCAGAAGTACTTGGAAGCTCCCTGTAACTGAGAGCTGAGCCGGGTTTAGAGGCCCAGTCGGCTTGCTGTCCTTGTGGTAGAGTATTTGCTCACTGGCTCTTCCATCCCGTCGTCACACCGTAAGATACTAACGGCCTCAAGAGTCGGGAGGAATCCCTCCCTGTCTTCTCCCCATGGGCCACAGTCAGCTATCGTGCGAGAGGTATGTTGGACGGATCTTGATGGCATCTGCTGATGATGCCGATGAATCCCTCGGCTAGTCGCAAGACTCAAGGAGACGTTGCACAGACGAAGTGGCGCCTCACTAAGTGATTTCTGCTGTGACCACGGTTGAAACCTTCCCGAGAGTACTCAAGCTCACCGCCGACCCTCGCATCTTGGCTCACCAAACAAGGGGGCCCCATCGACCGGTATTCATGGGTACCAGGATTCCCGCCCGCGCGCAGACTCCTGATTAATGATCAGCCCGATGGATGTGGATTCCTTTCACGACGGGCGATCGCTTGGAAAGATAGCGAGACATTGCGCTCGTAGTGTGGATTGAAGCCCAAGATCATACGAGACCGTACCTAGGGGACTTGGGTAGTTCTGACCGGAAACTTCTCCGCAGGCTTTATATGGGCTTGATGGGGTACTATGTTGTCCTAAAGTAGAAAGAGGAACGAGAATACTTCCGGTTCGGGCCTAGTCTTGCCCTGTTGCTTCTTGTCAGAGTCGACGAGGCGTGACCCTCGTATTTCGTACCTGGGTATCTAATCCCATGGGCACCGCCAATGGTCAACTGCAGCAAAACACACTGCCAGACATACGCGGCTCGGACCTTTGCAGCTATATGCTAGAAGATCTGCGACCGCCTCATTGGTGCTCTAGTGCTTACGTACCCTTTCTTTGAACGAGGGCCGTGACCTTGTTCCTGCCTAAAAGAAGCCGGCCGCTCAGGGGTCAACATGGCTTTAAGTAGCTAACTTCTCCTGTGGAAGAACTGGTGCCGGTATCGTCGGACCAGTCAGCTGTCCGTCGGGAAACAAGCGGGTAATTTTCCCTTCACAAATCGGTCCCGGTGCGGCTCAAGCGCCCGCCTTGGAGAGGGAAAGTTATAGATCGCTGTCGAGGTGGGGGCGAAAAATTACCTATAAGCAATGTACGACACTTAGTGCTCCGCAAGAGTATGGGGAGATACGGATTCTTCAAAATCTTCCCACAGATGTGAAGATACTTGTGGAGATGCGAGCTGATGTGAGCAGGAACAATTTTTATCCAGATGCAGGTCCCCCAGTTGTTGTGGGAGTAAGCCCTGTGTTGCTGTACATGCATGCAACGTCCACCGTGGTTCCAGGCTAGAGAACTGCAAGGCTATATATTCGAGCCCTCTATCACCTTCGATGGATTCAACCGGACAAGGATTTCCTTCCCGCAGTGGCGAATCCAGCATCCCGAATAAAAGAAGCTTAGCAGATTAGCCAGGGGCTGGGACACATGTGCCGCGACCGTCAGAGTACTATAGTTGCAGGTCTCGTCCTTTGAGTACTCGATCTTTTTCACATATTTATCGCCTACAACACAAAAGCTTCCTACAAGCAGCAGCTTTTCTGGACTTGCATGCACAGAAGGCCGAAGTGAACAGAATGGCGACCCAGGGCATAAGGGACGAGTATGACATAGTCGTTGCGGGAGGTTTGTATTATTCCCTGAAAGTGACATGTGAGCAGCTCAGGCTTACACCATTTTGATAGGCGGCACTGCAGCATGTGTCCTTGCTGGCAGGCTACAAATGGCAGACCCTTCTTTGTCAATCCTCATCATCGAGGAAGGTAGAGACAACTATGAAGATCCCACGGTCCGAACGCCAGCTCTATTCCTGGCTCACATGGCTCCGGACTCAACTTCTGCCGTTTTCCTGCCTTCCAAGCCTACCGAACAAGTCGGAAGTCGGTCCATCATCATCCCCCGCGCTGCCATCCTCGGTGGCGCCAGTTCCATCAACTTTATGATGTACTGTCGGGCTCAAGCAGTCGACTTCGATGAGTGGAAGACGGGAGGCTGGTCTCAAAAAGACATGATCCCCCTTCTGAAGCGGCTGGAGACCTATCATCCTGGCACCAACAAGGCAGACGAAAGTGTTCACGGTGAGTTATGCGAGGACATGTGGATCGTTGCTGAAACAGCCAAATGCTGATTAGATCTGTGGTTCACAGGCACATCTGGACCTGTCAGTGTCTCTCTGGGTTCCTGGCCCAAGACTGCATACACTTGTCAGTTCCTGCGCGCTGCTGCTGGCTGTGGTATGCCTCACAGGAATGACCTGCAAGACCTGGAAACTGTGGTTGGCTTTGAGCGAATGTACAAATTCATCTCTCCGGAGGGCGTGCGACAGGACGCAGCTCATACTTACCTTCATCCCTTGCTCCATGACGGCGCTCATCCAAACCTAAAGGTGCTCCTGCACACCAAAGTCAGTCGCGTGCTGTTTGATGACCAGAACCGAGCGACGGGTGTTGAGTACATCTCTACAGGGCCGCCGAGTCCTGGAAGTCCTGCCAACCCGACCCAAGGAGTTGTCCGAGCCAGCAATCTCGTGGTTGTATGCGCGGGCGCTCTCGCCTCTCCAGCTATCCTGGAGCGATCAGGCATCGGCGGACGAGCTCATCTCGAGAAGCTTGGTATCCCGGTCGTGAGTGAGCTTCCAGGCGTCGGTGAAAAGTACCAGGACCATCCATTTATCCATTACGCGTACAAGTCTTCACTTCCCGAACACGAGACACTGGACTGGTTTTTCCGCAACCCGGCCAGGATTCCAGAGCTGATGGCACAAAAAAATCTTGTCCTCGGAACCAATGGCCTGGAAATCTTTGGCCGTTGGCGGCCATCGATTTCGGAGGTTGAGAAGATTGGCAAACCAGCCTTGACGAAGATCTGGAAGGAGGAATTCGTGCCGCATCCCTCCAAACCTTTGATGCTCACAGGCTCCTTTGCCGGCTACCTTGGTCCTCCCACCGATGTTCCACCCGGGCAGTACTTTACGATTGGCAATTACATCCCCTACCCGCGCTCTCGAGGCTCTGTGCACATTACTGGAAAGGGCGTTGACGCGCCGCTAGAGATCAGCACTGGCTTCTTCGAAGGCCCCGGGGATATCGACCTGGACGTACACGTATGGGCGTACAAGCGAACTAGGGAGATTGCTCGCCGACTGGATTGTTATCGCGGGGAGACTTCCATCGGACACCCAAACTTCCCAGCCTCTTCAAAGGCTGCTCTGGCAACCCTCGACAACAGTGCGACAGAAGAGGCAGCTAAGCACGGCAAGCAGCTGGAAGATCTGGAATATTCGGCCGAGGATGACGAAGCGATCAAGGTTTGCATCAGGGAACGCATTGCGACTGCGTGGCATTATCTGGGCTCTGCGCAGATGCGGCCCCGTGAGCAAGGTGGAGTTGTGGACAAAGACCTTAATGTGTATGGTGTCAGTAAGCTGAAGGTTGCAGGTAAGGCATTTTCTCCTTGTCTTTCTTCGGTCTCTCCATTGCCTCTTCTAGACGATTGTCGAAGATACCTGAGCTGCTTCGTGTCGCTCTTCAACCATATCCAAGGATGGAAAGGCTAACTTTGTTGCCCTGCTGGGCGTCATAGATCTATCGATTGTCCCATCGAATGTGGCCGCGAACACATACAACACTGCTTTGGCGGTCGGGGAGAAAGCCGCGGACATTATCGCCCGTGAATTGGGTCTCACCATCGGATAGTTCGTGCCTGGCTTGAGCGTGAATGCTATGTCATATGTCTCTTCGGGCTGACAGAGCGGCTTCTGAAGAATAGGGTTCCAATGATCTCGAGAAATCACTGATGGGGGTTGATTTCGCTGTTGTTCCATTATGCCACTATATCCGGTCTACGAATCTGGCTGGTGCTTTACTACATGAAGCTAGATTCCATCTACTTTCGGCCCCTGGCCTAGTGTCCCGCAATACGAGCCCGAAATGACGTGGGGCAGACTGCGGCAAAGAGATAACGTCTTTTTGCAGCCTCCCAAGATCATTTTCCTTTCCGATATCTCGTTGCTTCATCTTGCCCCATCCATAACCAAACCTCGGGCCCTATTGAAACGGGGCCGCAACTCTGATTGTCTCTGTCTCTCAAGGTGTTTCGCTATCTGCTCGCCATCATAGGTCGACGACGTCGAGCGCGCCATTCCCATCCACGTGCGGGGCGCTGGAATATTTTCGACATGGGCAACGAATCCTCCACCCCGGTTGACGAGGCCACACCTCCCACCACGCTCTATGGCCGGAGCATAGAGGCAGTGGCTCAATACATCAAGGAGAAGGACATCAAGAACATTGTAGTCATGGTAGGATCCCTGTCCCCACGCTTACTCGGTAGTCCGAATCTGACCGTTTCGCAGACTGGCGCAGGAATCAGCACCTCGGCTGGAATTCCTGATTTCCGTTCTCCTGACACTGGGCTGTATGCCAACCTTGCTCGGTTGAACCTCCCATATGCTGAAGCAGTCTTCGACATCTCGTATTTTCGAAACAACCCTTACCCCTTCTATACCCTTGCGCATGAACTGTATCCGGGAAAATATCGGCCAACGGTGACACACTCGTTCATCAGTCTGCTTCACAAGAAGGGACGACTGCTCAAGCTGTTCACCCAAAATATCGATTGCCTAGAGCGGGAAGCTGGGGTTCCCGGTGACAAGATCGTAGAAGCACACGGTTCTTTTGCCACCCAACGATGTATCGAATGCAAGACAGAGTATCCTGGGGATCGGATGAAAGAGATGGTTCACAAAATGGAGGTGCCGCGCTGCATCAGGCAGACATGCTCTGGACTGGTAAAGCCGGATATCGTGTTCTTTGGCGAGGCTCTTCCAGAGTCATTCCACCGCAATCGGAGCCTGCCTGCGAAAGCGGAACTGGCGATCGTCATGGGGACCAGTCTGACAGTTCAGCCCTTCGCTAGCCTGCCGTCGTTCGTCAGAGAAGAGACTCCGCGCGTGCTCATCAACTTGGAGAGAGTGGGATCCATTGGCTCCAGGCCGGACGACGTGCTGTTACTGGGAGACTGTGATGAAGGCGTTCGCAGATTTGCAGATGCCCTAGGCTGGCGTGATGAGCTGGAAGAGCTATGGGCCAGCACCAACCCGGACAAGAAAGAGAGGGATGCACAAGAGGCACCTCCCAAAACAAGGCATGAAAGATTGGATGACGAGATTGAGAAATTGACCAAGGATATTGATGCCTCGCTCAAAATCACCGCCGAGGCAAATGAGAGGATCAGGGCAGAGCTGGAGAAGAGCGCTTTCCAAAAACCACCGCTGTCTTCTGGTCCATCGTCCGACACGCCAACGGCGCCTACAACGTCTTCCAACTCTGGATTGAGTCACGTTTATCCTCACCTGAAAGCAAACAAACCTGAGAAGCCTTCTCTTTAGTGGATGATGGGTGAACTCGAGCTTGGCGTGCTGAACCACCAGTCCACGTTGATCTGAAATCAATGTCAGGTTCAAGTGAATCTTCATCCTAGAGACCACACAGCCCTTCCTCAACAGATTCTTCAGTGTACGGGATTCTTTCTACTTAAGTGAGCAACCCTCTCCTCCTCCTCATTCCACCTTCCCACTAACCATCCACAAGACAGACACGCTTGACTTTAATAAAGACAACCACCTTGACATCTCTCCATCTACCGCTCGCCATGACACCGACAACACCTCGCTCTAAGTCGGAAGGGAAATATGCCAACCCTACCATCCAAATCGTCGTTGGGAAGAAGCAACAACTGTTCCACGTCCACCGCGAACGCCTCGAAAAGACAGATTTCTTCAAAGTCCATGGCCTCCCTCCACTTCCCACAGGCACGACACCGACACCGACACCGACCCGTGCGCGGAGTCCTTTGAACTCACCGGCGCCGAGTGAGGATACAGTGACGTCAGAGCGAGGTGAAATCAAAGCGGAACAAGATATTGAGGACCATATGCCTGTCCCTGAAAACAATGGTGGATACAGTGCTGCTTCGCCAGCAGGTGCCAGCGATGCCATCAAGGCGCCGGCTTACAACCTTCAGGGTCTGATCTATGAGCCGGCAGCGTTCGAGGTCGTCGTCAATTATCTCTACAATGAACCGCCCGTCACGCCTGAACTTCGAACCGAGTTCAAACCACTGATGAAGGCATACATCCTGGCGCTCCACTACCGCATGTCCGGCCTTCAAGATGATCTGGTCGACTGTTTCCGGAACTTTCACTCAGCCTACAGCATCAGGTTCGCCGAACTTTTCTGGGTCTCGGGGCGTATTGGGGATGGCGAGGCTGTTTGTAAGGTCCCATTGATTCGGTATCTCGTCGATCAAATCGCATTCGAAATCTACCAGGAAGGGTACGATGCTTTCGTCAGGGCCAATGATGACTTTGAATTGTTTCTCACGTTTGGCGATCGTCCTCTGCGCAAGGAACTCTTCAAGGCCATCGCGAAAGTCGCGCAAGAAAAGAACCCTGTGGATCCTGCACATGGACTCAACCGCTGGAGAGTTGTCGACTACCCCACCTTTGACGGCGACGACAGCACCCCTTCAAGCACTCCCGACATCATTAATCTCGACTGAATCAAGTCTTTGGTGGTCTCGCATTGTGTTATCTGGGGCCATTTGGAAAGAAGTCGTCTGCTCGGGTGCTGGAGGCCAAGAATGGAACTGCTGGAGGCCAAGAATGGAACTGCTGGAGGCCCTTTTCTGATACCTCGACAACGATTATTTCCCAGAAACAGAATCGTGAGTCAGCGGTGCAAGGTTAGTCATGGCTTGTGACGGCGTTGGAAAGAGTCAGTCACGAGCTACGAAGAAAGATGACAAAAGGAGATTTGCAGGTATGCTTTGGGAGAGACCTGGGCAGGGACTACGAGGTGCTCGATGGAGAGCCTCACGAACACCGAAGGTCTGGGCTGCTGAAAGTGGTGTGAGATTGGCGGTCCTGATACCCGAACGAGATAGCATCAACGGAGCTCCTGGCCCTGGGCCTTTGCAAAAAGCAATTCTTCCAAAAGCAAATGCCCCTCCCTGAAACTGACATAAGCGGCAGCATTCTGTCATACTTTGGTAGCTGCTGGACTGCCCCTGGTTCGACCCACTGTTCTCGAGACAGAAACTACCCCGCCAAACTTTTGCTGTATCAACATTTTGGCCTCCGTTTCTCGCCGCACGCCCGCCCAGTAACAGCTCCTCTGAGACGCCTCACCTGAGAGCATATCTGGCCATAGTCCTCGTCCTGGTCACCTCGAGCTTCCCACCTCTCTGCTTTCTTCTCTCTGCGTCGACAGTCGAGCACAGGCAAAATGGTCGGGCTGGGTCCAAAGCGCAAGCCGTCCCGCAAGGGTAAGTTACGATTTCTCCAAGTGAAACGGACCCAGTTGCTGAGTCTCCGTCTCTTACAGGGTCGATGGCCGACGTGCCAAAGAGCCTGCTGGATGAAATTGCAAACCTCGAAAACCTGTTCACCGTGGACGCCGCACGGCTCAAAAAGATCACCGATCATTTCGTGTCGGAGCTCCAAGCTGGCCTGGAGAAAGAGGGAGGTAACATCCCCATGAACCCGACCTGGGTCATGGGGTTCCCGGACGGCAACGAACAGGGCACGTTCCTCGCGTTGGACATGGGCGGCACCAACCTGAGAGTCTGCGAGATCACCCTCACGGAAGAGAAGGGCGAGTTCGAAATCATCCAGAGCAAATACCGCATGCCAGAAGAGCTGAAGACCGGAACTGCTGAGGAGTTGTGGGATTACATCGCCGACTGCATGCAGCAGTTCATCGAGTACCATCACGAGGACGAGGACCTGGCACACCTGCCCCTGGGGTTTACGTTCTCCTACCCGGCGACACAAGACTATATTGACCATGGCGTGCTCCAAAGATGGACCAAAGGATTTGACATCTCAGGCGTCGAAGGGCAAGATGTGGTTCCTCAATTCCAAAAGGCTCTTGAAGCACGGGTATGACAACCCCAAGAAATCGCCTTGCAACGAAACTGACCGTATACCAGAATCTTCCCATCAAACTCGTCGCTATCATCAACGACACGACCGGAACACTGATTGCGTCGGCCTATACCGACCAGACCATTAGAATCGGCTGCATCTTCGGCACTGGCTGCAATGCCGCCTACATGGAGAACTGTGGCTCAATACCCAAGATCAAACACCTCAACCTCCCGGATGACATGCCCATGGCCATAAACTGCGAGTATGGCGCCTTCGACAACGAGCACAAGGTCCTCCCCATCACGAAATACGACACCATCATCGACGAGACCTCGCCAAGACCGGGCCAGCAGGCTTTCGAGAAGATGATCGCGGGGCTGTACTTGGGCGAGATCTTCCGGCTCGTGCTCGTCGACCTGCACGAGAACAAGAACCTGCTGTTCGAAGGCCAGGACATTTCCGCGCTGAAGAAGCCGTACACCCTCGACGCGTCGTTCCTTTCCTTCATCGAAGAGGACCCCTTTGAGAACCTGCAGGAGACGCACGACATGTTCGAGGACAAGCTCAAGCTCCACGCCACCAAGCCCGAGCTCGAACTCTGCCGCCGCCTGTCCGAACTGATCGGGACTCGCGCGGCGCGGCTCTCGGCGTGCGGAGTGGCGGCCATCTGCAAGAAGAAGAACATCGAGAGCTGCCACGTCGGCGCGGACGGGTCGGTGTTCAACAAGTACCCGCACTTCAAGGCGCGGGGCGCGGTGGCCTTGCGCGAGATCCTGGACTGGCCGAAGGGCAAGAAGGACCCGGTGGTCATGCTGAGCGCCGAGGACGGCAGCGGCGTGGGTGCCGCCCTGATCGCGGCATTGACGCTCAAGAGGATCAAGGAGGGCAATACCGCCGGCGTGCGCGACGTCAAGAATTTCCCGGGTCTGACGTAGTACGCTCACCCGACGCGGAGGAAATGCATATGGGGTGTTGGCGAGCAGCGTGGTTCCTGAAGGAAGATTTTATGATAAAGAGAGTGTGCCACGCATGCATGCATGCATACATGATACTTACACGGTCGCGGTCGTACGCAAACTTGAGCTATTACTGACCCCCGCGGGGGTAGAAATCATCCTGCTACCTACTCGCGTATCTCCCACAGTCTGATCTTTCCCTGCTCGTTCCCCACTGCGAGGTAGCTCCCGTCCGGCGACAATGCGGCGGCACTGATCCTCCCCAACGGCGTCTTGTCGGTCGGCCAGTTCCGGTACAACGTGCAGCTGGGCAGGTGCACCAGTTTCAGGGCATTCTTCTTCCAGCGCGACGTCATGACCAGCATCTGGCCGTCCTCCGAGAACTCGAGGTGCGAGATCGGGGTCGTGAGCTGGTCGAACATCCTCGCCGGCTTGGGCCTGTCGTCCTTGTCGGCGGCATGTCCCGTGGTAGCTGTCGTCGTCGTCAGGCCCATCCACCCGCGCCGGTCGTACAAGTTGACGACTCCGCTCGACGAGCCCACGGCGACCCAACGGCTTCCGCCCCGGTACTGCTGTCCGACATCGCCGCCGAGTGCAATGACGGTGGTGCCGACGGCGCCCTCGTCCATCCACCTCAAGACCACTCGCCGCGCCTCGATGTCGTACTCGCTGACCTCTCCGTTCTTCCCCACCACGGCAAATCCGTCCCCGTTGCGCCACCACGCAAAGTCCGCCACCCCGCCGCGTGAATCAATCCGGCAGCTGCACACCCACTGCATGGTCTCCGTCGACAGCACGTTGATGCTCCCGCCTCCTTTCTTTGACGACCCGACGAGTCCCATGTAGCGACCGCACGGCGAGAGCTTGAAAGCTTCCATCGTCCGCTGCTCTTTGCGGGCCTGGCCATAGAGCGCGCGAGTGACTTTGGTCACTGTGCCGGCGGAAAGCGACCAGGTATGAAAATACCGGCGCCGGGAGGAGAGGAAGACTTTTGTCTGGTCATGGGCTTCGCTTCCGTCTTCGCCTGCAGCAGGTTGTGCTCGCGGCCGGCAGAATGCTGCCGTGTACAGAGGGGTGCCTTTCAAATGCAGGGAGGTCAGGATCGGGTTGGGATTCGGCGGTTGAGGCGAGATGTGGTACAGCGTAACTGTGGAACTCGGTCCTGCGGAAAGAAGGAGTGGGTAGTATGGGTGGAATTGCAACGTGTCGACTGACGAAGGGCCGGAGCCCGCTACGTCTTTGCAGCGCTGGATATCGATGACTTCTGGCCGCAACTTGCGCGTCCCCCTCGTGCCTTGTTTCTTGGTGTCGGTCCGGTTCAGAGATCCTGCGGTTCGTAGCAGTTCCGCTAGAGGTTGGGCCGAAGGGAGCGAGTCATTCTCGTCCATGGACACGTCTGAGTCGGACACTGCTTCATGATCATCCGAGCGAGAAGACAACTTTCTCCTCTTTCTGGCATACGTGGCCCACTCTGGTGTTGGATGAAGCCTCTCGTATTGCCGTCGTAGTCTCTGGATGTATTCTCTCCCACTAACCACATCGTCATCTTCCGTGTCGCGAAGCTTGCGCAAGCGAGTGTTCGAGGCGAGTGAGACGGTGATCCGGTCGTCGTCGCTATCGTGCCAAACGGCCTCTGGACGTAAGTGACCGTGCTCTTGTTCCGCACGTTCGAGTTCCTTCGAAACAGAGGCGGGGAGCTGTTCGGCGCCGGTGTCGAGAAAAAACAACTGTGACCATTGTTAGGAAGTGTAGCAACTGGAAAAATTGAACACCCACGTCGTCGTCCGCCACGTCGCTCAGTCCTCCATCAGCGTCGTCTTCTTCAGACTCGTCATCCTTTCCGTGCTTGCGCCGCACCAACGACCGGTCATCCTGGATTTGGTCCCTCTTCAACGACTCAAGAAAACCTACGTCGTCCCCGAAGAGAGCCTTCTCCAGCCGCAATTCGGTCTCATCTTTCTCGAGCACGTCCGTGTGCAACTTCGCTTTGACTCCATTCTTGAGCCGCTGAGGTTCTTGCATTGTTTCAGAGTGGCCGTGTCTGCTAGCTCACGTTGTCTCAATGTTCGACTGCGGTCAACTTTTTTTTGTGAATGCGGGCGGCAATACTTCGGCTGCGGAGAAATTTGTGCCTTTGGAGGCTGCGGGCTGAAGCCGCTGTTTTTGTTCTCTGGCCTCGTTGTCTCTGCGTTGATACAGCTTGAAACCCAGCTTCACAGCCAAATGATGCAGCTCCAGTCGATGATGTTAGGTCGAAGATGAAGCCTGCTACCATCTACTCTGAAGGGAACCAATCACTGGTGACGTTGTCGCCATTGGTTGTCAGTGCTGCCCAATGAGCTGACCTCTATCCCGATCCTGGTTTCGCGAACGGGTAAAAAGACTGTTACTCTCTCCCCCATCACATCCACACCATATCTCACTCCCGTTGCTAGCAATATGACGACAAATGGCCACGTCTCTGACACAGAGCATGAACATGAATCAACCAGCGTCTACAATGCGAAATCGGTTTCCGAGATCCGTGCCGCTTTGGCTGAGCTCCACAGAAAAGAGGCCACGGTAACCTCGCAGCTGGATGCTCTGGTCAGTGCACAGAAAGACCTGCAGCGAGAACTTGGTCGTCTGGATTTGTTCCGCGCAAATGCCACTGCGCAAGCCTCCAAGGCAAGAGCGGTGAGCAATGGCATGCTCTCTGACGCTGCAGCCAACGCCAAACGGATCTCAAATTCCGTCAAGAAACTCGATCTTGAGCAGGAGAGGGTCAAGGCCACGCTCACCGTCGTTGAACAGGTCGGGGAGCTGAAAGCCTGTGTGCTAGGTGTCTCTGGGTCTATGGGAGCGGCCCAGGACTGGGAAACCGCTGCCAGCTATCTTAGCAGAGCCTCCAAAATTCCCAGTGCCGTCATTAACGGCCAATTTGCTGCACGAATCGTACCGACTGCAGAAGTTCCAGATGCTCCGGCTGTCACCCTGGAGAATGCGTCGGAATCGTTGTGTAGCCTGTTTCTCAGAGAGTTCGATAAGGCAGTCAAGGACAATGACGGCGCAAGAATAACGCGGTTCTTCAAACTTTTCCCTCTCATCAACCGCTCGGATGTTGGCCTGGACGTTTATGGTCGCTATGTTTGCCAGGGGGTCGCTACTCGAGCGAGAGCCAACCTCAATGCAGGAACTGGTGGGAATCAAAGTAAAGACGGGTTCTTCTACGCAAACGCCCTGACCAAATTGTTCGAGCATATTGCGCAAATCATCGAAGGACACGGCGGACTGGTCGAACGCCATTATGGGGCTGGCAAGATGGCTCGAGTCATTGAGCGCCTGCAAGTCGAGGCGGATCTCCAGGGAGGAATTATACTTGATACTTGGAGCGACGAGAGGAAGATCGAACGTCAGCTGACCGATATCAAGGCATACGCTTTCACGTTCTTGGTCCAGAGCTTTATGAATGCGCAGCGAGGATCAAGTGGAACGCCGCGCGCAGGCTCTCCCGCACCGGGTAGGTCGAGTGAGGACGAATCTGTCGATATGAAACAGGTGGATGCCTTATTAAATGAGATGACTCTCATGTTGGGCAAATGGTCACTATACACCAGTTTTATTGCCGAAAAATGTCACGATGCGGGCAGCCTCGATGAATCGCTCCCGATGCCACCATTCCTCCTCGACTCGAACCTCAACAAAAAGGTTCAAGAGAAACTCCTCATGCCATTCAACACCATGACTACATTCTTCTTCCGCCGCTCAGTTGAGAAGGCATTCCAGCTCGACGAGCAGCCGCCAGATTTGTCCCTCAACCCCCACAAACCGCTCAATTCCAATCCTCCTCACGTCACCTCTGCAATCGAAGACATCATGTACATCGTCAACAAAGTTCTGCAGCAGTCTTTGGCAACGTCGCAGAAGCAGGTCGTCTCTAGCGTCGTTCCGACTCTGGGCAGAATACTAGGCTCCGACTTCATCGGTATGGAACAGCGCAAGATGCGTGACGAGAGCTACCCCAAGGCCGCGATTCCAGGTCAACTTCCACCCGAAGCGACAATTGTCTCATTTCTCGTCCTTATCAACAACCTCGACGTAGCTAAGGACTACGTCGTCCAGATCGCCCGTGCTCGAGTGGAACCCACGGCAGGCTCACCTCATCGACCCTTGGCAGAACTCTTCCCTGGGCCTGGCGAGGCAGAAGAGGTTGCAGCAGCCCTGACTTCGTTCGCGACGGTCTTTTCGGAGAAGACCAATGAACTCATCTCCGACGGTGTCAACGTGGTCTTCCATAACGTCATGAAACCTCGCCTCCGACCCATCCTGATGGACGCCTTCCGCGACACGGACTACCAGCTCACGCGCGAGCAATTGCAGGACCTCGCCGGCGACCTCGACGGCGGCGGAGACGAGACCGACGCCTTCTCGGACGAAGTCCGCATGCGGTTCCAGCTCGGGTGGGACGCGCTGACGAAGCCGATCGGACGGATCATGACCGAGCGCACGTTCGACCAGCTCCTGACGATCGCAGTAAGCTACCTGAGCAAGATGCTCGAGAAGCGCCTGTGGACGTACCACGGGCGAGTCAACGAGGTCGGCGCGGCGAGACTGGAGCACGACGTCAACGAGATCATCAAGGTGGTGGTCAAGGGCCAGAAGTACGCGCTGCGCGAGGCCTTCTTGCGCTGCAGCCAGATCTGCATGATCATGAACATGGACGAGGAGGAGTGGGAAGAGTTGCTGAACTCCGGCGGCGAGGTCGCTGATAAATTGAAGCTCGAGGAACGCGTCAGGGCCAGGAACATGGTCAAGGACACTACTGCCTGAAAACGGGAGAGAAGAGAAAAGCAGGAAAAGAAGAATAAGGAGAGGTCCAGAAATGATACCCAAAAGGATGTTCAGGAGGCATCTCAAGCATTCGTGAATTGGATCCTTTTTAACTGGTCTTGATCATTTTGATTTTCTTGTCGCGTATTCTCATGGACCATCCTCTAGAGACACAAAAGCACGCCTCGAGAAAAATGCGCCGTATCTCAACCATTTTCCACGATGAGTATGGGCTTACATTTTGGTTCCTGTTCCGGGACGAGGGGTTGATGATAGATCCGTAGCAGAACGAAGCCTGTTTAACTGCTCTTCCCTTTCATTCTTTCTTGCTATTTCTCTGGGCAGCAGTCCAACGTTAACCGTCCGTCTCCGTCACACTTTTCTCCCTTCTTTCTCGTCGTGTCTGCTTCTCAGTCAAAGGCTTCGTGGTTCGGTTCAACTTTCCACCATTATGAGGGCCGGCCACACACACACACACACACACCCACCCCTCCCGGCTTATGCTCGAGACATGACGCCCCACGCGCGGATCTTGTTGTCCGTGTAGCCGGAGAACAGGGTCTGGCCGTCGGCGCTCCAGGCCAGGCTCACGCAGTATGGCTCCTGGGACTTCTTGCCCTTCTCGACGAAGTCGGGCTTGAGCTCGTCGACCTTGCTCTTCTTCTCGAGATCGAAGATGGTGATGGAAGAGCTGGTGGCGGCGCAGAGCCAGTATCGGTTGGGCGAGAAGACCAGGGCGTGGATCTCGTCGCCGGCCTGCAGCGAGTACAGGTGCTTGGACTCGTTCAGGTCCCAGAGCATGGTGGTGCCGTCTTTGCCGCCCGAGGCGCAGAGCGAGCCGTCGGGGGAGATGGTCACGGTGTTGATGTAGCCGGTGTGGCCAATGTGGTCGGTTTGGAGGCGGCAGGAGGCGAGTTCCCAGACCTGTAGAAGTGGTGAGTCAGCGAATCATCACTACTCCAAATCGCATTGGGTAAAAGAAATCTTATATGCAAATTTGCCTCAGTCCGCCGGTGAATGTTTGTCTCATAACCCCAAAAGGGGGCTCCGAAGTAGCAAATACTTTTATAAAATGCGTAGCATCTTGGGCAAATGTGGGTGATATCTGGATGGTTTGTTCTTACCTTGACCAACTTGTCCCACCCGCAGCTCACAATCACCGGGTTCTGAGGGTTCGGGGAGAAGCGCACACAAGAGATCCAGTCGGTGTGGCACTTGTCAGTGATGGTATACTTGCAGTCTCCCAAGGTGTTCCAGAGCTTGATGGTTCGGTCTCGGGACCCTGAGACAATCTGTCGGTTATCTGCGGAGAAAGAAACGGAGAGGACGTCGTTGGTGTGGCCGACGAATGTTCGAGTCGTGTTGCCCGTGGACAGCTCCCACAATCGCAGGGTCTTGTCCCAGGAAGAGGAGAGAGCGTATGCGCCATCGGAGGAAATGACACAGTCGGAGACAATGTGGGAGTGGCCGTGGAGTGACCGCTTCGGGTAGCCGTAGGCAGTCTCGTCGCGAGTCAGATTCCAGATAATGAGGGTCTTGTCTCTCGAGGCCGAGAGAAGCATGTTGGGGCTAGATTTTCAATGTCAGTCGAGGGTCGCAGCTTGGGGGGTGGTTTTCGGGCAGAACTGACTTCTCCAAGCTGGTCGCGAGGGCGGTGACCCAGCCGCTGTGGCCTTCAAGAGTACCACGTTGAATAAGTTGTTCAGCCATGGCGACTTGAAGATCCAGACAAAGAGAGAACAGGCTGGTGTCAGAGGGAGATGGTTATCGAGATTCGCCTGTCGAGACTTGCGATCTCCGCCAAAGATTCTCTGCAGTGTGCGCTCTCCAAATCCACGCCAAGATTCGCGGGCGCTAGTCCCAATACGGCCTTGCTGCATTTTGCGGCTAAACATCGGGCGCAGACGTTGGATGGGTTGACTCTGCAAGTCCATCTGCCAGTTCGATGATAGACCATCAAATTTGTGGCAGCGGACAAGACCTTGTGCTCGAGCAGCAAATGGAATTGTCCGATGTCACCCAGCCTTCCGCGTACTCCTGGATCACAACCTGCCTCTGTCTATCTGGCCCGCTGCGCCATGGCGTGGCGCCGGAGTCATACCCGTTCTCAATCGCGGAGTACCGGCTAAATACAACGATGCTGCCGCGTATATAACCTGAAGCCAATCCACATATGCCTGAATTGATTCTGGCTATATCTCTGTCTTCATCTACATCTTGTGGTCTTCTACTTACACGCCCTTTGCTCTATTCGTGTGACATATTGTGGCCCATCGGTCAAGCCATGGCTTCCTCCGGCGATCAGGTACCCAAAATGCAATACCGTTTCCTTGGCCGGTCTGGCCTTCAGGTCTCCGCGATATCGCTTGGAGGATGGTGGGTCATTACTAGCACATACGAGCACGCCTCAGCACTAACTGGAGTAGGGTCACTTACGGCGATGCGGTGGGCGACGGTAAGACACGACAGTTTCAAGTGGGACAAATCTAACTTTGCGAAGAGATTGCTTTCGAATGCATGAAAGCTGCCTATGATGCCGGAATCAATTTCTTCGACTGCGCTGAAGGCTATGCCGAAGGCAAATCTGAGCTTGTCATGGGCAAGGCCATCAAGAAATATGGCTGGAAGCGCAATGATCTGGTCATCTCGACCAAGATCTACTGGGGGGCGGCCCATGGAGACAATCCGGTCAACAATGGCGGCCTTTCCCGGAAACATATCATCGAAGGGGTCGAGGGATCCCTGAAGAGACTGCAGTTAGACTATGTCGACCTGATCTACTGTCACCGCCCAGACAGACACACTCCGATCGAGGAAACTGTTCGAGCGATGAACTATATCATCAACACCGGAAAGGCATTTTACTGGGGAACAAGCGAGTGGAACAGTGAGGAAATCGCCATGGCTTGGGCTTGTGCAGAAAGACTCAACTTGATCGGACCTGTCATGGAGCAGCCGGAATACAGCATGTTGGCTCGTGACCGGGTGGAACGAGAATATGCTTTGCTGTACGAGAACTACGGTCTTGGTCTGACCATCTTCAGTCCACTCAAGCAGGGTATCTTGACTGGGAAATACAACGACGGCATTCCCGAAGACAGCAGAATTGCCAAAGCCGCAGACGGGTTCACGACCACCCAGAGAGAGAGCTATGGAAATGAGCAATGGAAGAAGACTCTGGCCCAAGTCAAACAGCTGAAGCCGGTGGCAGACAAGCTGGGCACTGATCAGGCAACGCTGGCGTTGGCTTGGGTCTTGAAGAATCCACGTGTGAGCTCAGCAATCACTGGGGCATCAAAGGTTGAACAGATCACGAAATCTATGAAGGCTTTGGATCTGGTTGCCAAGTTAGACGACAAGGTCATGGCCGAGATCGATGAGATACTTGGGAACAAGCCAACACTCCCGTATAGACGGTTGTAGTTGGGTTGCTGTCCGCTGTCGAGGGCCATACTCAGCCTAGGTCCTGCACGATCGGAAAATATGCAACCAATTGATCAACCCCTTTGACTTTGACCATGTTGAGAACAACATATGATCCCTCGCCTCGTCTCCGTAGATAGCAGTACCATGAGTATCCATAGAATGGGCGATTATTGGTTTTGGAGTTGGAATGGGAGTGTCTGGGATTGGTTGATGGAGAAAAAGTGATGATGTATGATGTCAACGGCGAAACCTCCTCACATTTGCTCCCTGCGTCAAGTTTGGGTCACGGCACCACCTTCAACTGTATCTTCACTTCGACATCAAAAGTTGAGAGCCATTGATGTCCTGAAGCTTCTACACGTACAAAATCTCCCCGAATCGCCAGCATGAATCCGTCGCGTTTATTGACCGGGCGTCTTGCCGGTCGCCAACTGGCTGCAGGCGTGTCACGACGCTGCATCTCCTCTACCTCATCGCGTTTCAATGAAAACCCTCGAGTCCATCCCAACGCTGAAGAGCACCGCAAATACCAAAAGGAGAGAGCAGACAACCCACATATGACAAACACGAACTCTACCATCCACAACAAAATGCCTTCAGTCGGAAAAGATGCCCCTCCGCCAGAATTGCTGAGTTCTGCCGACCCCAACTACGTCCCGAAAGACAGGGTTCCGGAGAACACAGACAAGATGACGGGAGGAACACAATCGGGAGACCCCAACAAAGTAAGCCAGCCAGAATATGCTGTTGGTGAAATGGAGGGCATCTCGTTTCGAGTTGAGCCTCTACGGCGTACGGGAGAGGACCTTCCCACCATGAGAGCCAGATTACTATGTCGGTGCACACCCTGGGATGCAACACTGTGCATCCCGGGAGATTTCGTTGTTGCAAGGAGCTTGCTGACGCATTTCCATAGACCAAAGCAGGAAGCGAGGAACATTAGAGTCTGACCTGTTACTCTCCACTTTTGCAGCAGAGAATCTCTCCTCCATGGACCGGACCCAACTCGAGCAATACGACTTCCTCCTCGACGAAAACGACTGGGACATCTACTACTGGGCAACCCAGTCCCCAGCCAATGCCCCTACATCGCTCGAGACTGCGGAAGGTGCTACGAGTGAAAAGAAGACCACCCAGACGACCGAATACACCTCTCCCGCCAACCCCGGGCAAACTCAAGAGACCGACGCATGGAGGCAAGGAGCTCCGCGCAGTGGAGAGTGGGCTCAGACCGTGGGGACTTTCAGACCAGCGTATAGACCTGTTCCGCAACGATGGAAGGACAGTGAAATTCTGCACATGCTGCGCAGGCATGTCAGGGAAAGGAGTGCTGGCGGCGTTCTGGAGGATGTCAAGGCAACTCCCAACAGCAAAGGCAGCGGTGGTGGTCTTGGGAGAATGCCTAATGTCCAGACCTTTGATTGAGCTTGTCTTGAGCTTGTACATACAACCACAAAATACGGGGCCTGTCCAATAATGAAGACCCGAGCGATGGGTTAATGTTGCTTGCTCCATCTTTTCCTCACCGCGATTCCTCGACATTGTCTTTTCGCCGATGCTCGGCGCCAACGGCTTTACCGGTCGAAGAGCCGTTCTGCCATTCTCGCGTCGCTCCATGTCGTTGTGGGGAGGTTTTATAAGCAACCCAGTGATGCTCGGATTTAACTGGTGGAAGCTTCAATCCCGCGGATCTCGTACCATCGAGTGGCCACCCGGTACGAAGACAATGAGCGTCCCACGAGGCATGCCGAACATCGTCTTCCTTGTTGAGATCGATAACCACATCCGACCCGCCAATTAGGGAATTGATTACCGCGGAATCACTGCCATCAACGCTGCGTTGAGGTACTCCACCGATCATTCTTCGACGGCTCGCTGTACGATCACCGCACCCAGCGCCATCGTTTTCGAGCCCTTTGAAATCATAGCCGGCTATAACGATCGACGTCGCCCATATTTTTCTCCTTCAAGATGGCGTTCGCTGCTCAGTGTCGAGATTTCTTGCCTTCCTCAGCTTCACTCGCCCCCTTAGCTGGTGACTTTCTGCCTTGTCTATACCTTGAAACTGGCTAGTATTGGCATCTTGTGCTTCTGTATGACTCACGCAAGTTTCCTTCCCTCGGACCTCCAGAAGCCCGCTCTGGAGTCATAGACACCACCTCTGGCCCACAATGGCAGACCTTGAAGCCCAGCAGGCGGAGAAGAAGGAGCTCTTCTTGGACGTCCCGCATCAATACCCAGCCTCGTTGACTCCCGTTTCGACGAATCGAAGTCAGCCTCGTCCCAGTCTCCACTCGGGTCGATCTTACGTGGACGGACACAGCACGTACTTCAGTGACCAAGAGCCTGACGATGGGCCGGATCAGCCGCAAGAGGTGGACGTGGAGAATCCCTCCAAGACATTCGAGGTGGGTTGGGACGGGCCAGATGACCCCATGAACCCCAAAAACATGCATCATGCAAAGAAATGGCTGGTTGTCATAACGCTGGCCTTTGGCTCGTTGTGTGTAACGTGCACTTCTTCACTCTACACAATCACCTATGGTTAGTACAAGACCAACAGTTCCTGCATTGCAAACCACCCTCGGATGCTGATGGTGCGACAGAGCAAATGGACGCAGAGTTTGGCAACTCACGGATTGTTGCAACGCTTGGCCTGGCTCTCTTCGTCTTCGGCTTAGGACTGTCCCCCATGCTTCTGGGCCCTTTGTCCGAATTCTATGGTCGCCGCCCTATATATATACTTGGATATATCTTCTTCACCATCTGGCTGTTCCCATGTGCCTTTGCGCAGAACATTCAGACCATGCTGATAGCTCGGTTCCTGGATGGCTTTTCTGGAAGTGCCTTCTTGTCTGTTGCCGGCGGCACCGTTGGGGACATGTTCAATCGCGATCAGCTGCAAGCCCCCATGATGATATATACGGCTTCCCCGTTCATTGGCCCAGGTCTTGGCCCTGTCATAGGAGGTTTTATCAACTACAACACCACCTGGCGGTGGTCGTATTACATGCTCCTGATATGGTCCGGAGTGATGGTCATCGCGATCACTTTGATCGTGCCCGAAACGTACATGCCGGTGGTGCTGAGGAAGAAGGCGCAGAACAAGCGGAAGGAGACAGGAGACGAGAGGTACAAGGCTCCGATCGAAGTTTACGAAAGGTCCATGTTCTGGACGGTGGTGAGGTCTCTCTACCGCCCTTTTATGCTTCTATTCTTGGAACCCATGTGTTTCAATCTGTGCCTGTTCTCCTCCATCCTCCTGGGAATCCTCTACCTCTTCTTCGGAGCTTTCAATCTTGTCTTCACCGAGGTCTACCACTTCAAGGTCTGGCAGGTCGGCCTATCCTTCCTCGGCCTGATGATCGGAATGATCTTGGCGATCTTGTCAGACCCCATCTGGCACAGGAATTACCTTCGCCTGCTCCGGAAACGAGAGGAAAGCACCGGAGAGCGCAAGTCGGAGCCGGAATACCGCCTCCCACCCTCGATCTTCGGCGGGTGGTTTTGCGTCGTTGGGCTGTTCTGGTTCGCATGGACGATCTATGCCAGTGTCCATCCTATCGTTCCTATCGTCGGCAGCGGCTTTTTCGGATTCGGCACCATTCTTGTTTTCACGGGAGTCTTCACCTTTCTGGTCGAGGCATACCCCCTTTATGCAGCTAGCGCTCTGTCCGCCAACTCCTTCGCGCGGAGCTCGTTTGCAGGGGCATTCCCCCTGTTCGGGGTCCAGATGTACAACAAGCTCGGCTTTCATTGGGCCACGACACTTTTGGCATTTCTTTGTCTGATCATGGCGCCGTTCCCGTACCTGTTCTTCATTTACGGAAAGAGGCTGCGGCAGAAGAGCAGATTCACGACCCTTCCTGGATGAAACATGGGCGTTATTGGTAAATTAGCCCGGTGCGGGGACTAGAATCTCTTGCATTTTATCAATTACCATACCAAAATCCAGTGGATCCCACTATGTCGGACTTGCCCCTGTGAAGATCAATCCTCTGCATTACGAATCTGGCCGTCCATGTACGGAGCAAGACTGCAATAGACAAGATTCAGCTGCAATCCCGAATCTAGTCGACTGTCAATTACCCCTTTTCTTCGTTATCTATGCCCATATATGGCCAGTTTATATTTGCCGGAGCCATTTTCCTTGCTCCTTCAAAGGCACGACGAAAGAAGGCCCCGATATCAGGGGGCGGCTCGACGGGTCCCTGCGACTGGCGGGTGCAGGTCGCTCGTTGGAGTTGTGATGAGACAATGGAAATGCAGTCTGATAGGACGATTCTGCCTTACACTGCATGAAGCATCGTCAATCAATGCAGACAAACACGGCTGCCTTCACCATTGATCCAAGGAGCTGCATCCTCGTGCTGTGCCCCGCATGGTTTGGGATCAGTTGATGTACACCCAAGGTTTTTGGCAGGGGCTCGATGGCGATGGACACCGTAGAAGAAGGGAAATGAATGGCACATGCCCCGTTGCAGGACAATATTGGGTTGCACCAGACGCGATGCGGTGAGTGCTTCAAGATGGTTGCACAAATCCCGACGGCGAGCACGTGTCGCGCCACTTGGTCGGTGTGCCTGTCTCCTTGAACATTGGCAGAGATCAGTACGACATTGGGAGGGGACTGTTTTCAATGGCTTTTGGTTACTTGAGCAGCGACACCCCGTCAACCGTATGAGGCTGTGCCCTCTTGCAAGAATGCGGAATTGCCGATCAGGGTAATGACGAGCCTCAGCCGACGGGTTCCGGGAAGGTCGGGTGAACTCGGGCAGCCTCGCTGGGGGGGTCAGACCGACCTCGGCAGGCCGCTAAGGCATTGCGAAATCCAATTCATAAGCCCGACTGAACAAATGATTGGTAATTCTGAAGTCTGATTCTCTTGTTGGAGAAATATTGCTGCCCAAAGCCCGTGGCGGTGACAAGCTCCATAGACAGCGGGGAAGATTGAGGGTGTTTGTGTAGAATGAAAGCAAGTGTAAACCTTGAAGGCCACCGAAGTAGGGGATGATTCGAGCTAATTACCTTGTCAGTTTAACTTTGGTAAGCTAAGGAACTCACCGAGCGCACAGAGCACGGGGGCACGGGGGGGCTCCCCGAGAGGTAGTTGAGCTGGTTGGCTAAGGGGGGAGGGTGGCTGGAGATGCCGAGGGAATTACTTAAGTCAGTGGCTCGGTGTCCACAGGCCAACGTGGTGCCTAGCACCAGTGATGGGTGAACTGGTGGGCTCCAGGTGCGGCAGGTGCGGCAGGTGCGGCAGATGCAGGCCGTTGCAGGCCAGGTGGGTGGTGGGTAACCAGCATCATCAGGCTGACGATTCAGCTCTGGCCGCCCAGCTCCCAGCTCCCAGCTCCCAGGTGCTCCCAGGTGCTCCCAGGTGCTGCCAGGTGCCGCCAGGTGCCAGGAGCACAGCTGCTGGGCCCTGGTGAGCCCCTCACCCGCGCCCGCGTCCTTGCCTTCAGGCGTCGCAAGATTTTGTGGGGTCGCTTATAGTTAAAAGAGGCCTAGCAAATCATCACTCACACTAATCTCATTATTGCGCGAGTGCACCTCCAGTCCGACACTCACACACTCTTGGAAACCAGTCGCCAGAAACTCTCTCACCTCGTCACCTCCCTCCCCTCTGCTCCTCATTCCCCTTCCAACTCCTGCACGGCGCAGGGGAACTCTGGCCTCTGCGGCGACGGCAACTGCAGACCTGTTGCATTGACAGCGCCACATTAGGCTGCTCTGATATCAGCTACCTGTCTGCCAAACCTGACTCCGCATCCCGAGGCGCGGCCGAAGCCCTGACGCCGCCCGCCCTCTTTTGGGCGATCCTCTGCTGCCCGCATTTTCGAGTTTCTCCCCCAGCGCTCGACTCACTCGACCACCCGCCAACCTCAATCCAACCCGAAAATGCTTCAACCCTGCTGACAATCTGCCCGATCAGAAGTCGGCGCTGAAAGAGACGTCTTGCATTCCTCCTGAAGATAGCTAATCCTCTGCTATCCGGTGCCACCTGCGCCCCTCCGCCCGCCTCTTCAAGCCGCCGCACAACCTTTGTCCTTCCTGGACGCTCGGCACGAGAGCACCAGAAAAAATTGCTCCTTTTGTCATACCTGGCAGAGTCGCACGACCTTTGTTCCTGGCCTCCTTACACAACCTGGCTGGACAAGCGAAAACCCAGCTGCCATCAACCTCCAATCTTGCGCCGCCGTCATACACAGTTGTCGCTTCTCCCACCACTCTGCTTGAGAGGGAGCTGCTTCCTACGATCCAACCGCTTGGTCCTCATAGGGGGCTCGCGTCCTTGGTTTATGCGAGTTGAGCGCACGGTGGACCTATAGATTAGCGGAGCCCTGCTTTTGAGAAACTGTCATTTGGTCATTGCTCCTAACTGGGCAAAACCATTTGCGGCATCCCGTGTTACTCTGGCTGTTTTTGTGCAAGCCATCTTTTTGCATCCTGCATTCTCTGGCATCTCATTTATGGTGTCGTTATAACAAGATGACGGCCTCAGATGTCGAGGATGGCCACTCCCATTCGGCCTCTCCTGAGGACAGTGGGACCGAACACGTCCAAGTGAACATGGCCGGAGGTCAGAGCAAGAACGACGTTAAAAGGCCGCAAAATGGAGTCCAACCCACCAATCCCAAGGACCCTTCTCGTCCCCGGAGAAAGAAGGCACGTAGAGCATGTTACGCATGCCAACGTGCCCATTTGACCTGTGGTAGGTTTGAATGCTAAAACAACAAAATACGGCCCGTCATTCTCCAATGCTAACAATGTTTCCAGGCGATGAGAGACCATGCCAAAGGTGCATCAAGCGAGGACTGCAGGATGCGTGTCAGGATGGCGTCAGGAAGAAGGCAAAGTATCTGCATGATGCCCCTAATGAGGCCCTCATGCCTGGGGTTGGAGGGAGCATCTACAACCAACCCGGTGCAAAATCAAACTCGAGCGTGGGTAACGACACCCCTCATCAACAGCCGTATTTCCAACAAACGCCGACGTACAACAACTTTCCCACACCGTCACATATGCCTCCTCCGATGCTCCACGAGAGAAGTATGAGCACGGCCAGCTTCCCTCAGCAGTCACCGCTAGCCACCAATTTCCCAAATGTCGGACCGCAGGTTCCGCTGCAAAGCCCTGTCATGGGTGCTGATCAATCCAATGCCACCAACATGACGGCCGCAGGTTGGCCAGGGCACATGTACAGCGACGATGCCATGTTCAACTTTGACATTGCCAGCATGAACTTTGGCAATCACTACGGTGCGTTGGAGTTTGGAATGCTCGGTCATATGGCTACAAATGCGGGAGACACTCCTCCCAGCGACACGGCGACAAGGAGTGGGTCTATCACGCAGCAGCAATATCGCATGCCTTTTGGGAGCTTCAGCGAGAGCCCAACGGCCCGGCAACAGATATACAGCGAGACGATGCTGCCGGATTGGTCCAACGGGACCGACCCGTACGGGGCCCATGGGCACAATCGCCATATGGCTCCTAACGCGTTCGCGATAGAATCCAACGCGGTCAATTGGACATCTCCTGACACGAATGGCACGCCCAATAATGCTGTCAAATTCGAAGAGTCACCATTGATGACCAGCTCAGGCCTCCAGGTCCCCCCTTCAGCCTTGGATGGCGGTCCGGTCATTCATTCAACCGGACCCCTGGACGGGAGGAACCACCGGCCCCCTCCTCCTATATCGACTCCGCAATTGAAGGCCAAATCCCAGCTGCCGGTCAAGGCTTTGAAGCGGCCAAAGGATCCGTCGTCGATCTACACCTCCGTCACCCAACCTTATCCTTATACGGCAGGGTTCCACAGCTTCATCGCATACCTCCAGAAACGATTTGCCGCACATCCTTCCAAGACGCTTGCCATAGCCAAGTCTTTGGCGTCGATCCGGCCGTCGTTCATTGCGACCACCAAGACGTTGAACAGGGAGGACCTGATCTTCATGGAGAAGTGTTTCCAGCGGACATTATGGGAATATGAAGGGTTTATTGAGGGGGTAGGTACTCCAACAATTGTGGCGAGGAGGACCGGAGAAGTTGCAGCTGTGGGCAAGGAATTCCAAATCCTCACCGGGTGGACGAAGAATGTACTGCTCGGCCGGGCGCCGAATCTGAATGTGAACCGCGGCCATTCTGGACAAACGCCTGGCACTGGATCTGGGACCAATACTGCGCGACAGACGGGGACTAACACTCCTACGCAACGACTGTTTCTTGAGACCGAGAATGGCGAGAAACGACCACAACCTGTTTTTCTCGCCGAACTGCTTGACGACGAATCGGTGGTGCAGTTTTACGAGGATTTTGCGAGGCTGGCATTTGGAGACAGCCGGGGCAGCGTTTGTGGCAGGGCCAAACTCCTCAAATACCGGACCAAGGACGATGAACTCACCCAAAATCTCAGCGTCGAGGCTGAGGCGCGAACCGAAGAGGGGCGCCAAGGTCAACCCGAGCTGCGACGGCAAGACAGCTCTCGTCGTCAACAAGATATGAAGCGGGAGCGCGATGGGATTTCTGGCGAAAAAGGGATGCAAAAACTGGGATCGGCCGACGGGAAGGTGGACTGCACATATTGTTGGACGGTGAAACGTGACGTTTTTGATATACCCATGCTTATTGTTATGAATGTGAGTCCCCCCTTCTGCTTTCTTGGTGCTAGGAGGCTGACCTCAGACACAGTTTTTGCCTTGTATATAGGCGGTTCAAAAGTTTCTGCGATTCACGACTGCGTTATGTATCAACTGGAGGTGCGGGTACCTTGGGCACGCCATCTGGGAGATTGGCATGGGGGGGCTGTCGGCTTCGGACCAGGCAATGGACCAGGCGAAGGACATTGTGGATAAGCTGCAGTCGAACTGCACGAGCACAGCAACTATAGCACAGTATTATATACCGATGGCCCTCATCTGAGAGACAGCAAAATCTGCAGGGTCTACAAGGACCAGGTTCCCTGTCTTGAGAGCCTGGCATTGTCTATGAATTGAAAGATTGCGAAGCAGAAGCAGTTTCTATTCGCGTAGGAAACAAGCTGAGCCTGAGTTGGCCACTTTCCAGTCTCTGGCTCGGGAAATCTCTAGACTTGCGCTTCCCCCATTGACGGCACTATCATCCATGAATCCCAGCCTCGCGCATCCCTTTCACATTTTCCTTGTCGCAGGCATTCGTCCACTCATTCGATCGTCCGTAAGTGCACATGCACGTATTGGTCCCAGGGCCGGGTCCCAGCTCCCAGCTCCACCCCCGTAGGTGAGGAAATTTAATTTACTGATTCAACACCCCCCTCTCGACCTCGGCGGCATCGACGCCCTCCATCCACGAAAAGTCCGTCAGCCAGGCCTCCCACGCGCCGGTGCGGAAGCGCGCGTAGGCGGGGCGCTCGAGGCTGCGCGCCGCGACGGCGCAGTCGACGCGGATGTCCTCGACCAGGGCGTCGACGCTGACGTAGTCGTACTCGGGCCGGATGTAGCCCAGGATCAGCAGGTTGAGGGCCGCGCCGTAGAAGTCGCGCGGGAACTCGTGCAGGATGTGGATCTCGACGGAGCGCACCGTGTTCTTGTAGAAGGGGTTGAAGCCGATGGAGAGGACGGCCGGGTGGATCGAGATCAGTGGGGGGGCCGGTGGTGCTGAGGATGACGAGGTGGTGTTGGTGGAGGACAAGGATGTCGTCGTGGTGGAGGGCGAGGACGAGGCCGGGGTGCTGGCGGCGGCGGCGGACGGGCAGCTTTTCAAGGACAGGCCCACGAAGCCGTAGTAGATCCCGCTCGGGAGCGTGGGGTGCTCGGTCGACAGGCCTTCGGTGGGGATGTTGGCTGTGGGAATGCCGAGCTGGTTTCATCCCAAGCGAGGGGGAGATGTTAGTGTCTCTGGATTCGTCCGCGGGGAGGGGGGGGTTGTGTTGGAAAGGGTATTGGGTAGACATGGAGGGTTGGGACAGAAGGGGAGGCCAAGGGGGAGGGGAAGAGGGCATCCTGGAGAAAAGAGGAAGAAGTGTATGGCACGGCCTGGGACACGAAACCGGCACTGGACTGGCTTCTTGTGGGAGTCCGGAGGGTTTCATGGAGGAGACTGGCTTTGCTCTGAGGTCCAGGGGAGGAGGATAGCGAGGGCAGGCTTCTTCTCACGCTGATGGTGCGGGAAGGCCAAAGATGTCGGCAGTCAACCCGATAAAGTCGACTGTATGTCAAGTCTCCAGACCTGTCCATATTCTGAGCGTATCCAACCTGGGTGCTCGCTCACTCGCCCACTCCGACGATCCATCTCGTCTTCCTCCCCGTTGTAAAGCCCTCAGCAGCACCGACCCGATGTCTTCTTTTCCGTTGCTCTCTTCTCCCTTTTCACAGCCGAGGAAAGAAAACACGGACAAACAAGACACGACCCAACCCGAACCGAAATAAACCAGAAAGGAAAAAAAAAGATAAAAGCCAACCACTCACCTCTTTACTCCCCCTTCCAAACCCCTTGATCACCGGCCCGCACAGCTTGATGGGAAACGGCGCTTCGGGGCCTGCTTCGGGCCCGGCATACGGCTCGCGTGGCCCGTTCGGTGGCATGGCTGGAGATGTCGTGTCTGTCTGATCTGATCTGCGGCGCAAAGGGCCAGAGTCCTGGGGTAGGGAAGTGGAGGGGTAGAAGGCCGTGATGTATCGGGTCGGCGGTGACTAGTTGGATGCCTGGGGGATGGTGGATTGGTGGATGGATGATGATAGCGGGTGCCAATGGCGTGGAGGGGTCAAAGTCGCGAGGTGGGTTGAGATACGCGCAGATGGGAGTAGAGGGAAGATAGAGACGAGTCTTGTGGGTGTGAATCCCAGATCTCCAATGATCCTCTTGCCGTCGTTGTCGTGGGACGAGTCGGGGCCGTCTTCGATATCGGATCTCGCGCTGACTATTACAAGGTTTTCCCCCTCCGTCTCCAAGGCGTGCTTCTGCCACCTTCTAGCGGCCTTCTTATCCAAACCTTGGCTGGTCGCAGAGCTAATAATCAGCAATCTGAAGAGATCTGTGGTACCCGTGGACGACTGGTACCGAAAGGTCCGAGCCGTTTCAACCAGATATGTCGCCTCCCGACAGAGATGATGAATGCAATAGTCATCAACTGCGAAGCGGAAGACGAGGTCTTTGATCCATCTGGCCAATCGGATCGTGCGCAGATGACACAGCCTTGTCAGCATTGTCAGCCTTGTCCGTCCAGACGCATACAACGAACAACCACCTTTTCTCACATGAAAGCCGTGATAATTAATATTCGTCGTTAAGCCACGCTTCTTCTAATCTATACACCGCCCCGACTATACTCAGGCTCCACGAATAGGGTCGTCCACCGCCACCACATCCCATCCAGCAGTCATCTATACATTGGCCGAATACCCAACACTCGGCATGCGTCCAGTACTTCGCTTCCGTTCAGCCCATTTCCTCAATTCATCGACCCAAAACACAGTGCTGCTGATGCAAACCAGCGAGATCAGGTCCCACAGACCCAGCCCCTCGGTCTGAAACACGCGTTGCAAAAATGGCAAGTATATGACACAAAGTTGGCCCGCGAGACTGCCCGCGACCGCATAGTTGAACATTTTGTTTCCAAACAGCTTGATTTCGCCAAACAGCACCGACTTGGACTCCGAGCGGCAAGTCAGCGCATTGAACATGTCAAAAAGCACAAACGTCGTGAAGGTCATGGTGGTGTCGCGCTTGGTCACCACTCGCGTGCGGAGAGGCGTCGACTCGACCACCGACGGGTCGACGGACGTGTCATCGATATCCACCATCTCTCGAAGGTAAATGAATAGAGTACCCATCATGATAAGAGAGGCCGACGTCAGGACGCGGCGGATCAGTCGTTTGGTCAGCACGTTCGCATTGCGAGGTCGCGGCGGCTGCATCATCACCCGGGGATCGACCGGTTCAACCCCGAGTGACTGCGCAGGAGGGCCATCCATGAGTATGTCTAAGATACGTCAGTCTCTAAGCCGCGAAGAAGAATCGTCGACGTGACTTACTAATCCAAAGAATCTGCATGGCGTTAAGCGGATTCTTGAAACCAAACATGGTACTGAGAAGGACCAAGCTCAACGCCGCAACGCTCGTGCTCAACTGGAACGTGATAAAGTTCTGAATGTTGAAGAAGATGCCCTTTCCCTGTTCAATGGCGCGGAGAATCGTCGAAAAGTCGTCGTCCGTCAGGATCATATCGGCCGCCTCCTTGGCCACGTCGGTTCCTAGCTTTCCCATGGCAACTCCAATGTCAGCCTTTTTGAGCGCCGGCGCATCGTTGACTCCATCCCCGGTCATGGCAACCACGTCCCCCCGAGCTTGGAGAGCGCGAATAATCTTCATTTTGTGGTCGGGACTAGTCCGAGCAAAGATGTTCGTCCTGACAATGGCTTCCGACAGTTCTTGCTCCGACATCCGGTCAAGCTCATCGCCTCGGAGGACGGACCGCGAACCTGAACTTGGCTCGTTGACTGGCATCCCAAGATTCTTCGCGATCGCCACCGCTGTCGTCTCTGCATCGCCAGTGATCATGATGACTTTCACTCCTCCATTCATCAACCGACGAATAGATCTGTTCACATGTTTCCGCGGAGGATCGTTCATCCCGACCAACCCTGCAAAACACAAGCCAGTAAAAACATCCGTTTCTGGCTCCGCGGGCTTCTTAATCCCCGATGTTGGCGTGGAGCTTCTGCTGTTCTGCCGGGCCTTGTTCCTCAGGACGCCACTCGCAAACCCAATCACCCTGAGTCCCTCCTCTGCCATTGCTTGCGCCGCCGCACTTGCTTCTTTCCGACGGCTCTCGTCCAGCACCACTTCTTGACCATCTTTGGTCAAATATGTGTCCGACCGGCTCAACACCTGTTCCAGCGAGCCTTTGATGTATGCCGTTTCCGACCCCAGCCCATAGGCATTGGTCATCTCGCCGAGGGCACTACCAATGACGACGCCCATCCACTTTCTCTCGGAACTAAATGGTGTCTCGCTCGTTCGTGGCCCAATCTTTTCACGGACATCGTCTTCACCGTGCGCGTCCAACAAATCGAGCATGGCGATATCGGTAGGTTGACCCAGCCATCGGCTTTTGGTGACGGTAGAAGATCTATCTCTAGTAGAGGACAGCACCGCAGCAGAGGCAGCAGTCGCAGGCGTCCCAGAGGCGTTCTGAGACAGTCGACCGTTATTCGCGATATTGCCAATTCGGAGAATGGATTTGGTCGCGGATGTGAGTGCTGCTGTGGCGTCGACAGAGAATGGCTTGCCTACGTCGAAATGCCATAATTTGGTCACAGTCATGTGGTTGAGCGTCAATGTTCCTGTCTTGTCGCTGCAAACCACATTTACCGAGCCTAGCGTCTCGACGCTAGGGAGCTTGCGGACGATCGCTCCTCGTTTAGCCATTCGCAGAACCCCCAGTGCAAGAGTGACTGTGACAATGATGGGCAATCCTTCAGGAATTGCGGCAACAGCCAGAGACACCCCGATGGTAAAAAGATCCAACAGTTTCTTGCCCTGGACAAGGCCGATGATGATGATAACTCCGATGACGACGAAAGACATGTAGCTGAGTTGCTTTCCCAACAAGTCCATCGACTGCTGGAGAGGCGTCCGCGGGGCTTCTATCTCTTGGAGAGATAGCGAAATCGTCCCAAACTCGGTCTTTCCCCCGGTTGCGATGACAATTCCTTCCCCGTGGCCTGATCGCACCAGCGTTCCCATGAAAGCGATGTTGTGCTGCTCATTGAGGCGCACATCCGCACCCACTGTACCAGCTGCATTGTACGGTTCGGGGGTCCCATGATGCTCCAACCTACGGATAGTTGGGTCCAGAGCAGCAGGGAACTTTTCCACCGGTTCATTCTCACCGGTCAAATTGGATTCGTCAATCGTCAGCTCGGCAGCATGAGTGATTCTGATGTCGGCGGGAATGCGGTCGCCGGTAGCAAAGATGACCAGGTCTCCCACGACAAGTTGGGACGCAGGGATTGTGGTAGATGACTTTTCCTCAGGCGGAACCGCAGCGCCGTTGGCCAATGGCTCCATTTCAATCGCTTCATTTTCAGCGTGTTGATTTCTCGTCATGTATGTGGTCGACCTTGGCGCTGATCGTCTGACGTGGGCATAATGGGGGACCAGTCGGTGCAGGGCTTCCAAGGATTTCTCCGACCGGTACTCCTGCACAAAAGCAACCGTGACCACAATGGTGACGGCAAGAGCAATGCTGACGGCATCGTCCTTGTTGCCGATGAACAGTGAAATGGCGGCAGATGCGAGGAGCAGGAGGATCAGGGTTTCCTTGAACTGCTTAAGAAATCTTAACCATAACGGTTCCTCCTCTTCATGGGGCAGCTCATTGGGCCCGTCCTTTGCTAATCGCGCATGTGCCTCAGTCCGTAGCAGGCCCTGGGTGACGGAAGTCTTCAATTGCTCGGCCGTCTGTTGGGGGGTGAGGAGAGAGTAAGAGGATGTTATCGAGGAGGAGGTGGAAGCATAGCGGGCTGGACTCCGCGGCCTGTTTGTCTGGGATTCTGCATTGAAGACCGGCAGTAATGTTGACATGATTGCATGGTAGCTATATTGATTGCCGCCCCATCCTCCGCAAATAGCCCGTGAGAAAGAATACGAGTAGACCGGTCAGTGGAGGGTCAGTTGCAACGCATGCACGGATGATGAAGGCTAGAGTGATGCTGAAACAGATATTGACAGTGAGGATAAGAGGCTATGTTGTTGTCACACGAGGATGCCTCAAGGCGCGCGCAATGGGCCGGTGGAAAGAAGATGGGGACGCAGTAAGATAGGGATCCTCTTCTCCTCTCTCTGTCCTCGAAATCTTGCAAATTGCAGTGACGGTACGGCGAGGCATTGGCCAGGACTCCAATTTACCACCGAGAAGGAAGGTCAGGCGAGACGCGAGCTGGCGAAAGGCTGTGGCACTGCTACTGGGCGCTGCAGGCGAGGCTGTCAGGCGTTGGCTGCAAACAAGATCAACTCGCGCATCTCCATCGCACGCCCAGCCACTCCGCCTCTTCTTCTCCCCGACCATTCCCATCGCCCAAGTCGCACCAACCACCAACCTCCCATTACTGACTCGCATTCTTCGTCGTCGCCAGCGCGACACTTCCTCCTCAGCGTTAACTCTTTGCAACATCTCTTTCGCCTTTTTACCCTCGACTTGACTGCGCATCCACCTGCGCGGCCTGAAATCAACATCATCCCTCCCTCGACGCGTCGATCGTCCATCGCCCACTTCCACAACCTACCTTACCGCCCCCTCACCCGTCCGCATGTCCCCGTGAGCTGTCACGCACACCTCAATCTCTCACTGAGCTTCAAATGTTTTATTCAGAACAACTTCTGGCCAAGACCGGGCCTCTGGCTCGTGTCTGGCTCGCCTCCAATGTCGAGCGCAAGCTCTCAAAATCGCAAATCCTACAATCAGATATCGAGAGTAGTGTTGGAGCCATTGTTGACCAAGGACATGCTCCTATGGCCTTGCGCCTAAGTGGCCAGCTCATGCTGGGCGTGGTGCGAATCTATGGAAGAAAAGCCCGATATCTGCTCGACGACTGTAATGAGGCCTTGATCAAGATCAGAATGGTGCGCCGCAATGATTCCTGCGATGATACATCACTAATTATCGAGTAGACATTTAAATCGACCAACAATCATGATCTGCCCGCTCATGCGACAACCGCTATTGATCTCAATCTGCCTGAATTACTCACGATCGATGATTTATTCTCCAGCATGGACTTTACATTTCCCATGACCCAACAGCCGACCACCACAAGGGGCCAGAGTCAATTGCTTGATGAGGACTGGACCAGCTCTCTCAATCCCCAGCAGAGCAGTACCCAATCGATGCTTACCCCTAACGACGAAGCATTGTACGATGACGACGGCCTCAATCTCGACTTTGGAGAGGGCGATGAAATGGACGTGAATGATACCACCATCAGCATGAATCTTGGCCGAAATGCGCCAACTCCAAAACCCACGGACGCAGAGGGTCTCCTTTTTGACGACGATGACGGCCTCAACCTGGATTTTGGTGAGGACACACCCATGCCGGATCAGCCTCATTCGCCAATGGCAGATGATACACTGCCTCCTGTCGGCCATGACGAACCGCTTGAGTTCGGAGATGATGAAACCCTCCGGCTACAACAAATGGCGGGAGGTAGGGGCCATGGACGAGCTATAGAGTCTCCCCTATCAGACGCCAACTCCGACGTCCTTCGTGAACTCGACCAGACATTCCAGAACGTACAAGAAGAGGAAATCGAAGAGGTGGTAGTCCAGCAACAACAGCGGAGTAGGAAACAGAAACCGCTCGCGCCTGACGCTGAGACTGTTCTCAACAACAAGCAAATCAAAGCACAAGCAGAAGACCGATCCAAAATCTTGCGCGCTCCGTCATTCCTTCCTCGAGACCCTCTCCTACTGACCTTGATGAACATGCAAAAGAACGGCGACTTTGTCTTGAATGCCATGAATGACGGCCGGTCCAAAGATTGGGCGCCTGAGCTCCAAGGTCTGCTGTCGTTTGAAACAGTGACGAGATCCGGCCAACTCAAGCGGAAACGAGATAGCGGTATCGCTGGACTGAGTGAAGACGAACATAGTGAAAAGTCCCCTCGATTAGAACGCCCAGACAATGCGATGGAGGACGAAGGCATTCATCTCGATGATGTTCATCGCGACATCACCCTGGATGGCATGGACCTTCAACCCATGAGCGAGGGTGCACCCGCTTTGGCTAATGTCAGCGAGGACGAAGATGATGGTATTTTTGGTGGCGATGACACTTTCGACGATACAACGGTGCCGCTTGTCCATCCTGCTGACAGCGGTCCTATCTCACTGGGCACGCAGCATGCAGTCCATCTCCTACGTGACCGACTTGGCGATGTCGGGGGTTCTCATCCATCTTCGCCAGCCAAAAAATCCGTACTCCTACAAGATCTCGTCCCAGAAGGTCGGACAAGCAAGGAAGACGCCACCAAGATGTTCTTCGAGGTTCTAGTACTGGCCACCAAGGATGCAATCAAGGTTGATCAGGGCGACAAGGCAATAGGATTGCCCCTGCGGATCAGAGCGAAACGAGGCCTGTGGGGATCGTGGGCTGAGACAAGCCCAGGCGAGGATCCTGCTGCCACAACAGCCTCTCAGCAAGTGGCTGCCTCGGCCTAGAGGGATTGGATTTGGAAAGATTTAGTCGTGGAGGAAATTACTATGATTCTGGATAGTTCTTTTTGGAGAACTCTGGTACCACCTGGGACGGATTGGGTTGGCAATGCCTGTATTTTTAGCGGGGCTGGAAGGACCAGGTTGGACAACCCAGGAAATGGAGGGTCTTTTTTTTTTATCTTTATCTTTGGGAAAAGGCTACGACGATGAAAGCATAGGCGCGGTGTGTGCAGGACTGGGCTGGTGTTGCGGCAGCCATGGATACCCCAGTACAACTGCAGATAGTGGTTAGGTCTGAATGAGGAGATGTCTTTATCCATCCACTGCTCCGTGTTGCGTCCATCCTTCTGGACAAAGTTGGCAAGTTCGTGTTGCGGAGCTCGAATGGAGCCTCGTGGATCGAATCCTTCGAATCTTAAGACTCGGGCGTTTGGCGCGTCCCGGAGCTTAATTCTACGCACTTCACATCGCTGGCAGCGGCACCTACACATGCCAGTTCAGTACAGTACACGTTTAACAGTTCAATCGACCAGCCGAATGCATTGAAGACCGACCGTGATAGGGTACAGGGTCTGCCTCAGGCCTCCCAGCTGCCTTGCAAACGGATTTTGCGTGCACCCGAACGATGTGCCTCGGGCAGGCTGATGGTTGGAGAGTCTGCCCAAGTCGCAGCTTCGGCAGAGAGGTGGGAGCCGGGATGCGCTGGAAATGAACACCTCAAAGTCTTTCCAGTCAAGCGACAGCCTGACGGCCGAAGTCCCGGGTGCGCCTCGTTTGTCTGTAAGTGAGGTTGCTGAACCTGCTAACGTTAGTAACCACCAGGCCTTACCGCTTCACCACCATTTAGACCTTGGTGTTGTGCCGTGCCTGCGGCCGAAACCACCTTATCAGCCAGCTTTCGCTAAGTTCCTGACCCATCAACGGCTACTCAGAAATGCTAGTTTCACTGGGAAAAGGGCACCTGCATGCAAAAGAGCGGGGGTTGATGGAAGGTTGGGGGCGGTGCGGCTCGAAAACCGGAACGGCAGGGCGATTCATATACCAGCCCATACCACAGGTACGGCTGGAGTTTGATATCAGCGCGCCCACCGAACTCGATGTAGCCTTCCGGATGTTGATGTCCTCCTTGGCCCCTCCCTGAAAATGTCACCCTTTGAGACCGCTACACCAAGGGATGATGTGAGCAGCATCGTGTCCTTCGAGCTCGTCCATACAGCGCCGAGTGCGAAAGACGTTTCGACAGCATCGACTATCGCTGTCAGCGAACCAGAAGCGGATCGGCTGTCTTCACATCGTTTGTCAATCAGCACTCGGCCTACGACGCAGTCAAAGTTTCACAAATGGAAAAATACCTCCCGACTATGGCTCTCGTACGGAAGAGCAGTCTTGACTGACACCTGGTGGCCCGAACTTCTGGCTCTTACGTTTAGTTTTTCATGCTTGGTCGAAATAACCATCACACTCAAGTACTTCAGTGGATATCCGCTCTCTCAGCTGCCCTGGGGTCTGACATTGAACACGATACTTGCCGGCCTTGCTGCAGCTTCGAAATCGTCCCTGATCTTTGTTGTTGCGGGTACAATGAGCCAGTGCAAATGGTGCTGGCTCAAATGTGGCCCAGCGCGCCAGAGACGGCTTGGACACCTGCAGGACGTCGACGAAGCAAGTCGCGGTCCTCTTGGATCCGTCATCTTGCTACTTGGCAACACCATGGCATCTCTCTGTTATATAGGTGCGATCATTATCGTCCTTGGACTGGTCTATGAGCCCTTCATTCAGCAGATTGTGAGCTTTCCAGTGCAGTCGACGAACGAAACCTCTCCAGATGCAACTGTGGAGCAAGTGGTCGGCCTGGACTACTCCAGCTTCTCTCAATCTCTGAGAGGCTTCACAGTTGCAGGTCTCTATGGCAACTCTTTTCCTGACCGTACGCCGTCATGCCCTACAGGAAATTGTACCTGGGAACCATTCTGGTCAGTTGGCTGGTGTGCAAAATGCGAGAAGAGGCAGCTTCATTCTCAGTCTTGCGACTTCACACCCCAGCAAATCGTGGAGCAAGGTGAAAGCATGAGCAAACCTTGTGATTTCTCCTTTTCTGAAGGCAACGCACTGCAGACGACCTTCGAGTCCACCACCAGTATTGGCTCGGGATGTTCTGAGACATACGTGGACGACCAACTTTTTCTGTCTCTAAACTACACTCCTATCTGGCCATTATCGGTAGGGGCAGACAACTATACCGACACAAGCCTTATCACTCGATATTTTGAGGGTTCCAGAGAGTTCCTTGGAGAAAAGAACACGCTGCTCTCTATAGGTTATGCGCCGCCACTGGCATCAATCCCAGATAACGAGACATCGCTACCGGAGACCTTGTCACAGGTTGCTGCAATGTGCATTCTGACTCCGTGCGCCAGAAAGTATAATCTGTCCGTTGTCAACGGGCGCACAATCAACCAAATACTCGAGGTGAACTATGGTTCAATACATTCAGACCAACAGGAGCTAGGCACCCTCTGCTGGCTGCCAAAGACAACCAATTCCACGAAAGCCGCGGGCAGTGTTTCTGGAAATGCTACTACTGCCGTCGATCTACAAGATCTCTCTTTTTGTCTTATACAACTCGGTTGGATCCAGGAGATACTTTCTTTGCTCCATGGTTCCTTCAACGCTACCTGGGAACCGCACACGTACGAATGCTTTGCGACCTCTCAAACCGGCAACTTCATCCTTGATGATGTTCTGCTCCAGTTACACAGTGATCCAAGCGTTTTCATGCCCAACGTCGCTGCGGCTCTGACGTACCTCAGTCAGCAGGCATCCTACCTCAATCCCCTCTCGGGTACCGTCTTCACCGAGAGAACTTTTGTCGCCGTCCGCTGGATCTGGCTATCACTGCCCCTGGGCCTGAATGCTTTGGGGCTCATTTTTCTCCTCGTCACTGCAATCTACACCAAGCGGAATAAAGTGCCGTTGTGGAAATCTTCTGCCTTTGCATTGCTATATCACGGCCTTGAAGCCCGCTTAGTGGATGACAAGCAAATGTACCAGAGAACTAGCGACATGGAGAAAGCTGCGAGCGTGACGGAAGTCACGCTGAGCTCACCTGGTCCCGGGCGAAAACGATTGATCCTGCGCTCTGACGATTGATAGAACTTGATTCCGCTGAAGCAGGGAGCATGGCGGGACCAGCATCAACATATCACGGATTCACCTTGTGGATCTCGATACTCCCCACTGACAAAGTGGGTTGGGTCCCAAAATGACCGTATCTGGGAAAGATACCTCAAGTTCTGCATCGATCCAACTCGGGCGGATCAGAATGCAGAAGTCCAGGGGCCGGAATTCACGAGAAAACCGCGCCTTCTGGTACTGGATATCCAACCCAACGTTCTCCGCCTATGCCTAGTTATGCCCCAATCTGGTTGTCTGCATCTCCGCACCGAATCACGTCCTTGAGCAGCTCTTGAAGGGCTCCCTTCTCTTGATGCGGAAGTGTCGTTCGACCACCTCAGCATATCCTGGATCGGCGAGCACACCATCCCGTTCCACAAATGCTCCGCCGCCCATGACGTCCTAGACATTGCCAACCCCTTCTGCGGAAACGTGGAGCCCTACCAATCTGTACCTAGCATGCCGGAGGACATTATTTTACGGCTGCCAAATCGCCTCCAGTGAAGCTAAGCCGCGATTTTGGAGGGAAAGACAGGGGAGGTTGCGATGATGATGATGGCAGCGACGGCGGATCCCTCGAAGCTGGAACAAACATTGATTCGAAGCAAGGGGGTTGTAGGTTGTGGAAAAGACGCCTGTCCGAGCAGGCTGAATGCAATCTACCTAGGCAGGAAAAAAGGCAACTTTCCGGGGTTGAAGCTATTGATAGAGTGGTGAAGAGGAGGAGAAGAACCAAGGGCTTGCTTCTCTGATATATCCAATTCTAATACCCAGGTTGCAGTCTGCATCCATGCAGCAGTCTGCGGTCTATTGATAGACAGGAAGCCTCTGTCACAGAAGACTGTAAGGGCGTGGATGCAATGAAAGGGGCTATTGTCGATAGATGGACCAACAATTCGATGCACGCCATAGCCCACCATCTGGTGGGAATATCAAGGATGCCCCTTTCTAAAACTTGTGCAGTCCTTCCGCCCACTGTTTCTCCCTCTAGATATCCCTGACCCAAGTTCCGTCGTCCATCAAGCCTTCGCGCTTCGGCCCTTCTCTCACCCAGGTCTCCACCACTCCATTCTTCGGATCTTCGTCCGGCCAGCCCCTGGACCTTCTGACTTCAAGGACCGCTTCGCGAACACGTTTGGTACACTCTATCCTCAGCTCGACGGCCTCGGGGTGATTCGCGAGGTTCTCTGGGACAAGGCCCAAGATCATCTCGTCCCATCCAGGCAGTCCGGCTTCGCGTGCATGTCGGTCCGCCAGATCCCTCCAGCGCTTGCGCAGGTCGCCAAACACGGCCTCGACGTCCAGTTCCCGTCCGATCGTGAGAGAGATTCTCTTCCCGATCCGGGGTATGAAGCGGGGAAACGACCGACTCTCGTGCATGACCTGGTCGGTCCCTTCGATAAACATGGGCACCACGTCGGGACACTCTGGCGGCTCGAGAATGAGTCGGGCCACACCCCACTTGAAATAGCGCATTGTCTTGTCCGTGGCCTGGTGGATCATGCCCTCGGGGAAAATATGTACCCAGCTGTAAGAATTGCTTGCGTAGCGGGACGGGGCGAGATACCATCTCACGTCGGAGGGCTGAGACGGGTAGGAGGGTGGAGGAGAGATCTCGGAGAACGGATCCACGCAGTCCCAGGGCCACTGGGGAGGCTTCCAGTCCTTGTGGAAGCGTGGGTTGCTCAGCGGACAGAGCGATTGCTTTTGCGCGGAGATCTTGGACAGGAGGCGCACAGCTTCGGTCATGGTTGCTTGGTAGGGCCCGCCGAAAGGGGAGTGTGCGCCGCGGTGGATGGGGAGGACCTGTCCCAACGTGAAGAAGTGGGATGTAAAGGCATTTTTGAAACAGATGTCATGACTGCCCAAGCTCCAGCGGTGGTTCATGTAGCCGTGGAAGGCCGCGAAGGAGAAGGGGAGGACGCCCCATATCAAGGGCTCGTCGAGGACGGAGATGTGGTTCGAGACGGTCAACAGCCCGCGGCGACGCGTTCTGAAGTCGGCACGCGACTTTAAAAGGTCGAGGAAACGGGGGAGGCCATGGACCTCGGTTTTGTTGAGAGTGTAGAGGAAGAGACGCGACAAGGTGGCGACGGTGAGAATCGTTTGGTACGAGGCACCGCGCCAGAAGAAGCTCGGGGACTCCAGGTTTTGGTAGAGATTGAGGTCATCGCGGTGGAAGGGCATTGGTGTTGTAGAGCGGGGGAAGAGCGACGATGAAGGAGTCCATCGAGTCGTGTTGGGAGGGGGAGGAGGAAATCAGGGAGCTCCGTAGATTTCTATTCTCATCAATCCATGTCTGCTGGAGGCCTGCGTCGTGCCGGAGGTGTTGGCTGTCAGTCAGTCGGCGGGTTTTTTTCTGAAGCTGCGGAGCGCGAATTGCGGGAACATTTCCGACCGCCCTGACCTTCCCATTATTATTCTCCTACTAGAACAACAGCACACCTTTCGACCTGCAATACCCGGATCAGTCCAGTCCACTTTCCTCTGAGTTGTGGTAGTTATGTTCAGGCCGACTTCTCCTCTGGCCGGAGGCCTTCTATGGTGCGTCTGTCTCGGGATTGGAGCTCCTCACTGCACGTCAATACTGATGGAATCTTGCCTACAGGAAAATCCCCTGGCGTCTCTCGTCAATGCAGAAGGCGCGTCAACGAAAGCGGTTAAAAATGGTCGACAAAGTCGTCGACACGGTCAGCACAGCGCTACAAAACAATGGCGGAATGACGGCGAAGGCAGTAGAGCGATGGTACCAGGAGATGCCCCGAGAGGAAGAGATGCTGCCAAAGGATAAATACACGATTTTTGATCGCAAGGAAAAGAAATACAGAAAGGGCATTCACAGTATTTCTAAGAAGCTCATATCAATCCGTCCCGTTGCTGATGAATGTTTTAGAGCTACCGAAATGGACGAGAGTCAGTCAGAGACTCAATCCGCCCGGCTTCTAGAGGACGCAACTCGACAGATATCATTGATGCCATGCGCTACATCTGCTTGACCTGCGCTTGGGAAAATGCCTTTCGCCTCTCCGGTCCTTATCGATTCCAACACAATATGGCAATTGCCTTGGCACTGGCGTGTGGATGTTGACGCTCACCAAGCCCAGATACGTCCTATCATCAATTGATGGCTGGAGAGATTCAACGTCTTGAGCGCCGAATAGCTTGGCTGCTCAATCACGGAGCGAAGAGGACGCTATGCATCACACTGCTCTCCAAGCCCTGCCATATGAAGAGAAGTCAACTAGGTTCGATCTCCCAACGTTGGCAGAAGACAGCTCACAGTCGAGTCGTCTTGTGGTACAGGAGCACGTCTATATGGGACAGGATAAGAAAGCTTTTGAATAGCGTGCAGAAAACTTGCAGGTGTATGCTGTGTTTCCTGGGACGGAGAGACGACGAACTCCTAGCAGCGTGAGGATCTCCCCCGTCACCCCTGCGGTACATCACAGCGAAGATAGGCTGTACGAGGTATTGATCTGTACAATAGCGTTAACTATTGCGACTTCATTATTGCCCCCATCCACCCTCCCTCGACTCATCCCAACTATGTTCTTCGTGAACCAAAACCCTAGTCAGCCGCCAAGTGGACGCGCTAGGCAAGGAACTCTTCCAAATGTCCTATGTATCTCGAAGCCTTGGGAATTCACTTCTTGTGTGACATTCTCCACATCTTCTCACCTCCCCGTCCTCACTGGTCGGAACTCGGTCTGGCGTCCAGCCTCTTCAGACAACCATAGCATTCTGCAGCGAACCTGTAGCACAGCCTAACCGACTCAATTTAGTTGACCAACACTGATTGCTATGGGCGCTGTCAAAAGGTGGGGGTTACTTTTGTCCTCGAACTAATGCCTCGTATATGCATCTAGGTACGGAGTACCTATCTATTAATATTTACCACCCACGCTCAGCCTGCTCTCATAAATTCACACATTCGCCAACCTCCTGATTGTTTCCACGTCGCCTTCTTTTCTTGATTTTCCACAATGGTTGGTCTACTCCTCACCGAAGCGAATTTCGCGACATTACCTCCCACAAGGTCACGGCTAGCCTCGTCGACGTAACTCTAGCTGGTCACGCTTGACCGCTGCCATGGAGGACTTCCACTCACACGGTCAAGCCAATAGGTCCTATCTAAATCCGGGGAGAAGTTGCTATCCGGGGGGCATAGATTTCAGGGAACTCGGCTATCAGGTTTCGCTCAAGAGGCAAATCAACATTTGCCTACGGAAAATCGCCTACGATGGACGTCTATACCTGCCCAAAGACTGCCTAGATAAGATCGCCACGCCGAAGATCATCAAGTACGAGCTGGAGAACGCGGGTGTTGGGGACGAGGAGGCCGCTGATGCATTGGTGGTCTACATTGTCAAGGACGCCAGACTCACTTTCCTGATCTTGGTCAAGTTGGGTTGGTCCTCGCGGATCGTCAACATGCAGAAGCACGGTTTTGGCGATAAGTACCTGCCTATTGGCGTTTTGCGGCTGAGCAAACAGGCACGGAGAGTCTTGTTTGCGAACCAAAAACGGGTAACGGAGACGAGTGCCGAGTCGAGACCTCACTCAACGATAGTTTCGTTGAATTGATATCTTACACATCAGCACGACCTTTACGCCATTTCAGGCGACTTGGAAACTCCCGAGTCGACTCGAGCGGCTGAACATGTTGTTGAATGGTCTGATGAGGAGCAAGAGACCGCCCAACAGCAAGAGCCAGAGATCGCCCAAGAGTGAGAACTTGCTCGAGAGCCCGCTCAAATGGCTGCCATGACCTTCAGCGAAGGAGAGTGGACCAAGGATGAATCAGACCTTGATGACTTCGCTTACATGCAATGGAGTTTCTTTCCCCGATTTTAGGGAGAGACACAGAATCGTTGGAATGGGGCTCTATCCTGCCAATTGCTGAAACACAGGAAGAAAGGCTCGGGGGTTTTAGCAAGGTGACGAAAGTGCGGTTTCACGAGATGCATATTACACCAGTAAGTCAAGAATGATGGCCTTTTCTAAAGTTAACAGGCTAACCATGTAAAGCACCTCAAAGTAAACCAAAAAGTGGCACTAAAAGTGTCTACCTTTGACGTCGACGACGAAGTCGATAAAGAAGGCATCTTGGAGATGTTCCAAAAGGAAATTGAGGTACTGAAGATCATGAGGGAGCTTGATGATGACCATCTCATCAAGTTTGTTACGAGTTTTAGCCTGCCGGGAGACATATTCATTGTATTTCCGTGGGCTGAAGCTGGCAACCTTCGGGATCTCTGGTTTCGAGAAGATGGAGGTCAAAGAATGTCCCCAAGCAGGATCTTGGAGCAACTCAGAGGTGTGTTCAATGGGATCTCCAAGATTCATGCCAAAGATTGCGTGCACGGAGATTTGAAGCCAGAGAACCTTCTACTGTTTCCCGAGCCTGGGACCAGCCCATTGGGGACGAGGCTTCAGATCGTCGTGGCAGATTTTGGTTTGGCGACCGTCTACGAAAATCCAACCGCCGTACGCAGAGTCAACCAGCAGTTTACGAAAACCGTATGGAGAACTCCAGATTACGAGGCTCCCGAGTTTGAAGATTCACACCCCCAAGACATAGTGCGCAGTCGAAGCTTCGATATCTGGCAGATGGGCTGCATCAGTCTAGAATTCCTGATCTGGTGGCATGGGGGCTGCACGGGCTTATCAGACTTCCACAACAAAATTCCAAACGAAAAATTCTGGAAGGAGACTTCTGACGATGCGTCACTTTCGAGGGTGGACAGAAGGGGCGTTCATCCTGTGGTCTTGGAGGCCATGCAGAAGATGCGAGCCTCAGTTTACTTCTGGAACAGTAAGCAGGGTGCCTTTCTTTCCTACATCCAGGAGCAGCTCATCGTAGCTGAAAACAACGGAAAGAAACGCCCCGAATCGTCGAAGGTGGTTGAGAGGATAGACCAGATCTTGGAAGGATTTGAGGGTTTAGAGGTGGAAATGCTTCAAGTTGTCAGGGGACGGTCACGAAAGGGCTGGAATGTTGGAAAGAGGCTGTTTAAAGGCGTCACATCTTTCAGCCTCAAGATTTTGCTCTTTCTCTATCGTGTTATTTCTGGAGGGAAGTATGGGCTCTTTGATAGTAACCTTGGATTTCCCTGTGCGTGCTAGAGCTTGTCTTGGGACCTCTGGCTACCTAGGTAAGTGTTGATGGTCCAAGGCGGCCGAGTTCAATTAGACAAGCGACATTCTGGTTGGCCTTTTCGGGTTGGTGAGCTCGCTCTGCCTTGACGTACTGGGATTCCAGCCTCACCAGCCTTCTGTTACGAGTTCACCTCCCAGGGACAGCGAGTATCATAAGGGAAGTCGGGCGAAGGACAAGGCTGGGTGAGCTGCGAGTAGTTCTTTACCTATCTTGGCGGCACGTGATAGACCGGTCTGGAATGCGTGGCGGGCAAATGACCATAACCATGACTGTCCATGACTCTATGCATGACTCTACTCATGACTCTTCCATGACTCCTTGCGAACAGCAAGGCAGGTATTCATTCTTGCCTTCGTCCCGTGGATTTCACTTGCTCGTCCACGACACCCTGTCAAATTTGGATACATGCCCAAGAAACACCAAAAACGAGTCCTATTCATAAAGCCGCAGTCCAGCAGCCCTCACACGCTCTCGCTCTCGAAGTCCCCGGCGTCGAGAACACAAAATGGAGACACCCCGCGCACCGTCAACGACCTGATCCGCGAGTCTCGTCGCCAGCAATTGAAAAATGATACGAGAGCCACGACCGCCACCAATGTGCCGTCTATCCATCCCTCCTTGAGAGCCGTCCTTGACCTGCCCGACCCACCGACGCCCGCTCCGCGACCGGGATTTGGTCCTCGCGCAGCCGGTGGCACTCCAGGTCCAAGTCGACTGCGGCGCATCCCTGGGCCCCCTCCACCACAGAGCTGGCTCGCAGACAGCAGTCATGCGCCCGCCTCTGTTCGCGCCGCGGCTCTCGCCAGTGATGCAGACACCGGAAATGGACGCATCCAAGTCCGGTCGAGTAATCTGCCGGATGGAGCCTTTCCCTCGGCCACCTCCCTCCAGCATCTTTTGTTGAAGAACATGGCTTGCAACTGGGAATGGCATGCAGAAAATGACCGCGACTATTTTGAGTATCTGCCTGTTTCACTCAGGGAAAAGCTGTTGAGCTACATTGCGGTATACAGCGAGGAGATCACCAGCAATCCGTTGAGGATTCTGTTTCTAAATGAAACCTCCAGCGAAGACAGGGCGGAGGTGAGGAGGCTGGACTTAAGCAATGCTTTAGGGGCTTGGACAACTTTGAAACAGCTAGAGAGAGATCTATTGGTCAAGAACGCAGTTCCTGCGCGGATCGAGACGGTGACAGACACTCGAGCTGGAACATTGGATCCAACGCCCGATAGCTGGGACGCTGATGCGGACAGCAACGCCGTGGCTGCGGTCACCCCAACAATCAGTTCCCTTCCCAAAACCGTCCACAACTTCGGGAATCTGAAGCATCTCTCCCTCGCCATCTCTCCATCGAGCGTCAAAGCCGCCTCTTGGGCTTCGCTACTTTCTCTTGCTAGTGAGTTGAACACTTTGACCTCTCTTTCGCTCGCATACTGGCCTCAGCCTACATTTACGCCGAACGCCGCATCCACAAGAGCCTTAATCGACATACCGGGCTCTAGATCGGTCGTGTATGGTGGATCGGATTTTTATACGTCGTTCGACAATGACTGGCGAGAAGCAGCAGGCATACTCCGGACGCTGAGCCGATCCCTATACTGCCTGAAATGGCTGGATCTCACAGGCTGTGGGGATTGGTTTGCTGCGCTGGAATGGACTCCCCCTCGCACAGGTCTTTTCTTTTCGCATTCGTCATCTCCTCCCAACAGGGAAAAGGTTGGTCCTGAATGGAACAGTGGCTGGCGCGGGCTCGAGACTCTGGTGCTGGAAGTTGGATGGAGACCCATTCCTCCTGCCGCGATAGGTCACGGCTCCTATGCACAGGACGAGGATATCGAGGCGGAGCGCCGACTTTACCGGTACAAGAAAGAGCGAGAGCGCTTCGACAAGATTCGAAACACCGCACAGTCTGTCGCGCGGTATTTGCGGAATGTCCGCAAGGAGGCTGGTGGGAAGTGGATTGAGGTCGAATACGGCGAGGATCTCGTAACGTCCCTGGCGCGTGACCGGCGGTTGGCAGACGCATGATCGGCCCTTATCGAGGTTCAATATGATTATCACTTTGTGAAAAAATTCGTGATTCGTTGTGTTCCAGGCTCAATTTTCTTTGTGGGACTAGTCTTCAGAGTCATGTCTTTGTTACTGGTCGCGCTTTTGGGCTTCTTGCCCAGAGTCGTCTTGGATGGAGGAGACTTCAGAGTCTGAGTAGGAGAGGACAGCTTTGCTTGCTTTTTGGTAGGACTTTCCTGGGATCCATCATCGTGCTGCCTTTTCTGTCCCTGCTTCTCCTCAACCGGGGGGGTACTTGTCGGGGGTAGTGTTGCGTCTTTTTCATTGCCAGTACTCTCAAGTGCAAGTTGGGTTGGTTCTGGTTTCACCTCGACTTTTCCCTTGGGCTTCTTCGCACTCGCATTGCTGAAGAAATTCGCGATATTCTTCTTGTTCTCCTTGCTGTCGATCGGGACAATGAAGCTAGGTGAGTTGTTTCCCACTTTCCCTACGGCCGAGTCCACCTGGTAGCATTCGAGCTCACCCTGATAGGGTTTCAAAATCGCCTGAAGCTCCTTGCTCCACTTGTTCCTTGTCGGGTCCAGCCACATCTTGACTTCCTCTGTCCCCGGATCCAGAATGACAGGCATTCGATCATGCAGAAACTGCAGCTGCTTGTTCGCGTCCGTCGTGATGATGGTGTAGGTATACAACTTCTCCTCCGTGTCTTCGTACTTGACACAGTCCCATAGTCCAGCGAACCACATCAAATTACCGTCTTTTCTCTTGACGAAGTAAGGGATCCTCTCTTTTCCGCCTGGGCCCTTCTTCAACCACTCGTAAAAGCCCTGCGCCACCACCAGGCACCGCTTCTTCTGTTTCATCGTGTTCCACATACCCCGGTTCTCGATCAGAGAGTCGTCGCGGCAGTTGATGGTGCGAAGCATAGAACCGTAATCGGGTGCGCGCTTGGTCCAGAAGGGGATCAGACCCCATTTCATGACTTTGAGCTGGTAGTTGAAGTGCTTCGATTGACTGGACGCAGGTGCAGTCGACTCCTGGGGTTCTTGTTCTTGTTGCTGTGCTGGATCGTCGTGCTCTGCAGCGTCGCTGGTTTCTGCTTCTTCGGTGCCCCTGACCCCTTGGTCGGGAACGTCCGCACGGTAGACGAGGCCAAAGGATCCGGGAGGGAAGTTATAGGTTTCGCGGGCCTCATCGTCGTCGGGGGCTTCATCAACCGGCATTCCCTGTTGCTGAAGCTGGTAGCGGACAAATGCGGCACGGAGGCCCAGTGCGTATCGCCCACACATTTTGGCGCTGTCAGTAAGTTATGTAGAGCATGTAAAGAGCAGAGGGTGCAGATGCGGTTGGCAAATACGACGGGAATACGAATGGTGGCGGCACTTCGCTTTGAGCGCGACGCTGGTGACGTCGGCGCGATCGCGAAAGTCTGGGGTACAGAGAATCTCAAAATTTCGCGTCCAAATGTACTCGGTACACCATCAGCTTGTCTTGCCGCACCTCCTGCTTGTCCCCTGCACTTTTGTCCTGAAAACTCCCGTTGCTGCCATCTCCCATCAATATGAAGTCCAGTATGTTCACGAGTCAGCTGCTTCGCAGCTTCAGACCCGCGCAACCCGCACCGTCTCGAGCTTTTGTCAATAGCTTCCACAGCCTGTCAAAAGCACGGCCTCTAGTTCGCAGCCCCCCCTCCCTCAATGCACGGACGCAGACGAGAAATGCTAGGAAATATGCCAGACCGCCGAACCGATTCGAGCAGGCTGTCATCGACGCTCGAGTCAAACACCCCATCCTCTTTCCATTCCTGCTCTTTGGTTCAACGGCATCTGTGATCTTGCTCATCATCATGGCATACGACCAGTGGCGGAGGGAGAAGAGAGGCACCTCAGTATATCCTCCGGCTGTCGAAGACCAACTGCGGCTGGCCCTACACTACACCCACATCTCGCCCGATCCCGACACCGCGTCAAAGTATTTCATGCAAGCCATCAAGAAGGCGGAAGAGGTGGGGATGGACCCCTACAGTAAAGACACCGTCGGTATCCGGGTCCGCTTCTCCCAAATGCTGGAGGAGTTCGGACACGTCAAAGCCGCGATTGAAATCCTGGACGGCATCTCCGCCGACCTGGAACAAAAACTGGCCGAACTTGATCGAGCACAGTCCGTCAAGACGGATGCTCCGTCCAGTCTGGATTCCGAGACTGCAGATTTCCGCGCGAATCTGATCAAGGGGATTGTCAAGCTGAAGATCAAGATATCGTCCATGTACGAAAGCGATTATCTTCAGAACCCCAGCATGGCCAAACAGGTGCTGTCGGATGCGGTGGGCCTCGTTGTGAAGGAGACCAAGAACCCGCAGGTCAATACCTTCACGGAGGACAACGGCGCGGGCTTGACTACCGGTGAAATTGCCGCCATGCTGTCTCAAATGGGCGACCTGTACGCGACCTCGGGAGAGGAGGAAAACGCCATCCAGCTCTACATGCTCACTCTGCAGCCGCTGAGGGCGTCGTGCAACGGCACCAGATCCTGCAAGGAGGTTCAGGTCCTCAGCAACATCGCTTCGGCCATGGACATGGCGTTGAAGAAACCAACCGCCAAGATCAACGGGAAGCCGGCCACCAAGGACACGCTGGCGGCCGGGAGACGAGCTGCCCTGAGATGGGCGGACCAAGCTATCGCAACCGCCGACGTCGTCAAGTCTGAAGAGCGCGATGAAATCTGCACTGCCGCTTTGATCTCTGCCCAGATGACCCGCGCCGATCTGTTGCTGGACAACGGCGACAAGGTGAAGGCACGCGAAGCATTCCTGAATCTGCTGCCTATGCTGAGGGAGAAAAACCTCCTTCCTCTAGTCGAAACTGCAGAGCAAGGACTAAAGAGGGCCTCGGCTTGATTCGATGGGTGATTTCACTTTACTGCAAAGGAATTCCAGATTATTTACTCCGCTGGCAGTTTGACTTCACTGCGTTCTGCCTCTACCAGTCTCTGCAGCGGCAACTGTTCTCATAATCATTTTACGCAGCCATTTCTGCGAGCGGATTTAGCTCTGTAAGACGAGCGTTTAAGGTTCATGATATTGAATCAGGTACATCACAACGGCATCCGGCCTCTTAGAGTGGCATCCTGCTGCTCGTCGACCAGATCAAGCGTGCCAGCACATAAACCTACTAACCAGCACGATAATAAACACCCTACAGCACAAAGTAGCCGCAGATTATCGAGGACGTTGTGGCGTGCAGTTCGGTCCCGTGCCTCATCGGACCCGTCTCTAGGTCTCTAAGTATGTGAAAGCAACAGACTACTCTGATTGATCTTCTAGAAAGTAGAATGTCGCTGGAGGATAACTTGACGGGACAACCGTTCTAACTAGATCCGCCGCTCGCATTTGACTGCACGATGTTGTGAACGGAGATATTGCCGGGGCCGATCCATTGCGACACGAGGGGTTTTTGCGGTGAAAAATCTTGCCTTCTGAAGCGTTCATTGAACGACGGGAATAACTGCATTTAGACGGGCGTGACAAGGAGGATAGCGACACAGCCTCACGGCCTCACGGCTGACGAGGCTGACCAATCAGAGACCTGAGACTCCGGGAGAGATTTAGATCTACGACATCCCTAGTCGTTTCAACAACCGCCGTTGGACTTTCTTTAGCAGACGACCTGGGGCGTTTGTGTCGCTGTGCGCGCGTTACCGCCTCAAAGTGTTTGGTGCTTGACCCTTGGTGGACCAGCAATGGTGCAATCGATTGACTGCGTTGGATCGAAGACTGACTGAGATTGCGTTGACCACCTTCAAAGATGGCAAAAGCCGAAAACGAAAACATTCTGGCCAGATGCAGAAACCCATCGAGCTGAGAAGCTGAAGCTACACATGGCTGATGGTCTCATATCTAGGAGCAGCGGCAAAGAGACACAACTAAGCGCCGGCCAGATCATTGGCCATGGCCACGGCCACAATGGTGCTTCAACACGAGAGATTGCCTTGTACCACCTCGCCAAATTATATTTGGCGACGTCCCAATGATCTATCCACTGTGTACAACCACAGACAAAAGATTCTCTAACCCCTCCCTCGAGAAATCTTCATTCTTAAGCATCGGACATATGACATGCGCCAACAGCTCAGTGACTGGATCCGGCGACACCTACCACGTCCATTACTATCGAGATCTAACTCTCGTTCCCGACTCCCAAAGGATACCTTCTATGGCCAGCGAAGGAGAAGCATCTGTTCCCTGCCGGCTGGGGAGGGCAATGCTACTGCCCCTCCAAAGTCGAAACGGACGACATGGAACCCGATCTGGTTACACACGAGTTTCCTCTTAGCGACAGCATTGACCTTCTTGGCTTTCATTTCTGCCCTGTTGATCTTGCTATATGTCGCCAACAGACATGACGGCCTGATTCTTCGGACTTCGAATCATTTCACTTGGACGTATGGGCCGACTGCTGTGCTTACGGTCGTTGTGGCTGCCTGGCGGCAGATCGATTATTACTGCAAGACTCTTGTGCCCTGGGGTGAGCTGAATCGAGGAAACGCTCACCCATCGCAAAGTGTGCTGCTTGACTACAAGTCGCCCCTACAAATTATAAGCTTCTACAATGCGGCAAAAAACAAACATGTTACCATCATCACCACTATACTGGGATTCGTTATTCTCAAGTTGATTACCCTTGCCTCCACCGGCCTTCTCTTTCCGGACTCGATTATCTTACCTAGCAGTCAAGTTGAGGTCTCTAGAATCACGAGGCTGGACGGTTCACTCTACAATGAGTCGGCCAATCAAGGACTTTTCGACCCGTCAATTGCATACACTGCTTACGCTGCTATGAGCAAGGGATTACCATACGCAGATGGAACGACTGCTGAAATGGTGTACGAACAAATTGGGGAATTCGATCTACCGCAGCAGAGTCGGAATGCCAACGGAACAGTTAGCGCAGAAGTTCGTGCCCTCGTCCCAACATACCACTGTGAAAGTGCCCCTGTCGCGGTAATTCTTCAACCAGCAAATGTGACAGATCTGCATCCTGAGGACGGCCTCCAGTTACTGTTCTCTGAGTGTACTTTACGAGCCAATGGGAAAGGCACCCCCGTCTACACTCTCAACCCCCAAACCTTTGTTTGTCCAGAACGTCAGTTGAGTCCTTTATTTCAGCAAATTGATTGCAATACGCATTCTTCTCCAGGGAGCCAAGATAATTGGCAACTCCTGACGCTGACAGACTTTCGCTACAACCAAACGATTGCCGATGCGAACGATCTGACATTGGGAGATGCAGTTTCGGCGACAACCTGGTCCACCGGCGTGGCACAAGTGATTGGTATTGCTTGCAGATCGGGGTTCTCACTGAAGAAGATTCAGCTATCCTATGACGTTCAGGATGTTTCTCGAGGAATTCGGGCAATAACTGTAGAGGACGATAACAGCACCACCCTGGGAAACTTTACGGGCTTTGATCTCGGTGTCCTCACTACTTCGGCTCTCAGTGCAAGCGCAGATATGTTTGGCAACCTAGTGGATAACCAATATGTCCTGGAGCGTCCAAATGTACTCTTCAAAATGATGGCGGCAATAAGTGGTGGCACTTACGAAAACCTGCTGAACGAAACCACTATGATTGTAGCGGCAGAAAAGGTTCTCCAACAAGTTGCGCTTCAGTCGGCTGCTAAGTACATCACCAGTGGCGATGACACAACTCTCCCAGGCACGTTCGTCCGGGAAGAAGAGAGACTTCAGATCAGCACCTTTTCGCTCTGGGTAATGTTTTCGGGCTGCGTCGTAATGACTTTCCTGGCAATACTCCTCCTTTGGAAGAGACCGAAGGATTTATGTCTCCAAAATCCTGAAACCTCAAGCATGACTGCAGAACTCTTAACCCAAAGCGCCGATTTCAGGGAGGCATTGAGACGGGTCGGGCTCGGTGGAGATGATGGGCTTGCCGCCAAACTACAAGCCTTCAGATTCAGTGTCGAGCATCGAGCATATGACGACGATGATCGTGTCGTCTCCATATCGCTATCACCCTCCACGCGTTCTCTGGATGGCAAAGATGACAATGACATGTCTCGAAATGATGGAACAATGTGGTGGAGGCCACTGACGCTAAAACTCCCGATACTCATCATCAGCCTCGTCACGCCACTAATAGCCGTTGGGGCTCTCGAAGTGATACAGCAAGTTTCAGACAAACACCATGGGTTCGTTTCTGTCCAGGAATCTACCAGCTTCTCCATTACCATATACACACGGTTCCTCCCTGCTTTGCTGATATTGCTGGTTGCGACATTGATCAACGCTCTCGATTTCAACATTGCTGTTTTAGCACCATACTACACGCTCCATTCCGAAATTGGCTCTTCAGGATTAAGAGGCATCACGACTTCAAACCTCGGTTGTCCACCTCCAGTCGCCATCTGGAACTCGGTGAGAAACCGTCAGTGGGGGCCTTCCCTGTCTGGGCTTGCCAGCCTCATCGCAAGCGTTCTTACTGTCGTGGTTTCCGGCCTGTACACGGTCGACAAGCTGTCTCTGTCTCAAACAGTCACCTTGGATCGTTCAGACGTATTCAATACGACTTGGATCAACAGTGTCAAGAGCGACGACTCAGCAGCAGTTGTAGCAAGCTTAACAGAAAGTTTGGGGCTGGACTATCCGCAGTTCACATATGAAGAACTAGCCCTACCTTCTCTGAAGTCTGTCATGTCTGCAGGGAGCAATGTTGACACCAACGCGACTCTACAGATGCAGGTTCCAGCCCTGCGCAGCGATTTGCAGTGCGTTGAATTGACTAGAGGTATGGTAAATGTATCAACAAGCTATAATTCCAGGATCGAGACAGCTGAGGCATCGGTGTCTGCTTCTGCCCCCTTACCACCAGCGTGTCCCTACGGTGGTCCAAACGGTACGGCAAATTACATTCAGTTCAGCAACACCTTTACATTACGAGGGAACTCGAGTTTTGTCGGCAAGCTCTTGGATTTGCATGTCGGTCCTTTCGATCCAATACAGGACTCTAGCTTTGGCGAGCTCTCGCCAAACACGCAGGGCGATAATCCACCTGGATGCCCGTCTTTGGCGTTCTTCTATGGATATGCAGATGTCAATTTCCCCTCAAGGACAGCGATAACGACCTTGATGTGCTACCAGTACATCGACCAACTTCCAACGATGGTGACGTTCACTTGGCCGGACCTTGCAATCTCTCCAACTCAACCTCCCGTGGCAAATGAGTCTTCCACAGAACGACTTCCAAGTGGCGTGGACGGAGAGACTGCGTTCCAATTCCGCTTGCAGCTCCACATGGACGATGAATTCTCCTCTTTCAACCAGACAGCGAACACTGCCACACTCGCAGAAAGCTCACCCCCTTTGGACAACTTTTTTCAAGGCGTCATCTTTGGCAAGGAGCCGCTGGAAATCTCGATGCTGGCGAGTACCCATCAGGCAGATATCTCACAGGTATACGGTGGCATCCGTGGGTTCTACCGTCGATACATGGCACAGGCCATATCAAGCAATATGCGAGTCCCCATCGGATCTCGCACGGAGGACTCTGCAAAAGACTCCCCAAATCGCACGACCGTGACAGGCACACTTCTGGATGCGACAGTTCAAGCCCGAATCGTGCAAGACCGTACTGCGAAACTCATTCTCCAGGTCCAGCTGGGGCTCATATTCGTGCTTGCCTCGCTCGCCGTGGCCTGTTCTAAACTGCACGAGATTGTGCCTTTCAATCCGTGCACCATCGCCGGTGTCGCCGCGCTGTTCGCGTGGAGCAGAATGTGCGACCAGGATGATCCTGTTGGGAAAGGTGTCATGGGAAACGGTGGACAGGGGATGTGCCAGGGACGCTATCGATATAGACTAGGGTGGTGGGACATCGGGCATGGACTAGGAGGAGAAACACACCGGTGGTACGGAATTGACGCGATGGAGCAAGAAGACGAGAGGCCGTAGTGCGATTTCGGCAGCATTTTGCATATGCCACAGAACATCAAGAAGAAGGATCTCAGATTAAGTCCTGCCTGCCTCTGACGGGTCCTAGGCACGGTATTTAAGGAGGTAGTTTCACGACATAGAATAACGAGTGGTGAGATGGATCGGAGGCGTCAAATGACAGAACAGAATCGCACGAGATTGACCTGTCAAACATATGCTTTAATAACTGGTTTCATGCACTTGATATGATTCTGATTTGATTCGCTCTTCGTTAAAGCCGTTAAAAGAGTCCGTCGTCATGAGGTGTGACAAATGTAGTCAGATCTTTCGATTTCTATCGGGGAAAAACAAGACGATAAAACGGCTTTCTTTGCTTTTGCTGTTTCCCAGACAAAATATCCAACCCATGATGATGATGGTGATGATGTGTGATCCTAGTCAAAATGTTTCTGTGATCCCATTTCCAGACCTGCAAGAAGGATATTCTCGGGGTTTTTGTCCACCGAAAAATCCTGAACCCAAAAGAAAAATGCTAGTTTCCGTTCGCTAAGTTGAAATTGGTCTCAAAAGGTTTCCTTTCTCTTGCTGTCAAAATATAGTACATAGAAGTTATAATGTAAAGTCTCCCAACCGGCGTGTGAAATGCTTGTAAAGTCAGGCACGCCGAGTGGTTCAGAAAGGATAGCGGGTTTCACGTCTCCTAGCCCGCGTAGGCGGAGCCGACAGGCGATGAGATCGAACTGCCATCGACGAGGATGCCGTCGGAGCACATGAAGTACGCGTACCTATCAACTTCTTCGGTCGAGTCGAGGAATGCCATGGCTTGGGTGAGGAAGTTGGCAACGTCACTGTCGTCGCCGCTGGCACCGAACTCAGTGAGCCAGACTTTGCTGACGCCATTGGCCTTGGCAGCAGTGATGACATCCTGGACGTGACTCTGGAAATATCCCATGTTGCTAGCTGAATCGTACCAGTGAAACGCGACAAAGTCGACCTTGCATTGGCCATTGCATGCCTCGAAGAAGGCGTTGAGCCAATCGATGCCCATGAGGGGGCTGGTTCCTGCGCCGTTGGTGATGGCGGGCGACCCAAGCTGAACTTGACCGGAGAGTGGGTTCATGTTATCGATGTACAGCTGGGCAGCCGTTGCAGGATCAATGTTTGATTGGGAGCTAAGATCAGGTTCGTTGAAAGCCAAGGCATGCTTGGATCCGCTGGCAATGGCAGACTGAACAGCGCTGGACCAACCCGAGATGGAATCTTGGCCCCAAAGAAGGGGGACATATTCAGCACCCGAGACGATCGTGCCATCTGGCGAAGCAGCCCAGTTGTAGGCCCAGCTCACGCCCTTGCCCGCGAAGGCGTCGGTCAAAGAGGCATCGTTGTACGAAAGACCCTTCTTGCCCGACGATCCTGTGCTAGGAGAAGAGCTTGGGCTTGATGAGGGCGATGATGCGGAAGAGGCACTAGCTGCCGAGCTTGAAGCGGGTGAGCTTCCTGTCACAGTGGCGAAGGTCGTTGGGACGACCATTGGCGAGGATGAAGGAGCAAATGATGGAGCAGATAGCGAAGGGCCACCACCAATGGACGGGGTGTTTGTACCCTTTCCTGGATTGGGGAAAAATTCGCCGGCGGTGGGAGTACCAGCGACGAGGCTGATTGAGCTCGAGGGAGACAGACCACTTAGTCCAGATGTAGTCGATGAAGTCAGGGTTGAGCTTGAGGGAGCACCATAGAACCCGCCAGGACCTTCAGATTGTACCGACGCAGAGGTGGAGCTCGACGAAGCACCGAAGAATTGACCGGCACCTCCCGAGGGAATAGATACTGCGGAGCTCGAAGGAGTGCCAAAGTTCTCGCCTGAGTCTTCAGATCCGCCAACGCCAGCAGTTGCTGTGACCGTGACGTACTGAACAGAAGTGGCGGTGATGGTCGAAGTCAAGACATAGCACGATGACATGGCAACATCGGTTGCAACATCGGTTGCAGCAACAGTTGCAGCAACAGTTGCAGCAACATCTGTGTTCGCGAAGCCGGTATTGGAAGCGACTGCCGCAACCTCTGGCGCGCTGGAGAAGCCAGTAGCCGTATCGGGAGAAGTCGACTCAAGCGGGATGGGCTGGACAGTGACAGTCCTGACAGCTGTGGCTGTAGCCACAATAGAAGATGGGGACTCCACCGAGGAGGCACCGGAGTCTGAGCCCTTGGTGTGCGCTGTGCCATTCATGGGGAATATACCACCAGTTGGCATAGCCCAGCCACCCCCGGTGCCACTGCCTGTACCGAAGTGGAATCGTTCGTGTCGTTTAGGATGAGCCAAAACGGCTGAGGCGAACAATGCCACAGAGAAGAGCGTGGCAACCATGTTGGATCAGATGAGTAAGCTTGCGATGGAGATAGCGCTTAACGGGTAGTCTTGCAGAAAGGGATTTGAGGTATCGTATACGGATTGTATGAGCGGCCCGCCTGGGGGATCTGGTAGTCGATTCAATCAATGAAGGACCTGGTTGGGTGAAAGAGTGACCGCGAGCGTAGCTCTGCCGCTGGCGAATGATAGAACGAAGGACTAGCCTTGCTGAAAGAAAGACGAAGTGCAATGTGTCGCACAAACGTGTCAGGGAGCCTGCAATGACGGGACGAAAGCTGGGTAGAAGGAAGAAGGAAGGAGACGCAAATGAAACGACAAGAACCTCAGAGTTATACCTCTGCCAGCAGAGGGGTGGATGGAGAACGTGGAGGAAGGGGTTGAGGGACGATTGTGAATAGGACAGCAAAATGGGTTGGCACGTTTCATGGTGGTCTTTCGTGTGACGGTGACCCTGGTAGATGGTAGACCGCAGGTTCCCCGCCGTTGTAAGAGACGGGTCTTTTCAAGACGCCTTTGCTGGCAAGGGGAAGGAGATGGGGCATAAATGACATGTATCAGAAAAGCCGTAACCGTGGGCCGGACTGTTGTAACGGCCCTTGGTGCTGGCATGGGAGTCCCAGGATGCCCGCCCGGGACCAGAAAAGGGGAAAGCTGCATAACAGGCGAGGTCGGTTGGCGACGAGGCTACTGTCGCAGGACCTGGTCGTTCCGAAGCCAGTCAGCGTCCAGATTGGTAAAGATCCGGCCTGAAACCGCCAATTGGGGCGGCAATGCAGGGGAAACATCCACCAAGGAGAGGCCCAGCAAACGGGCGAGCCGGTTAGGCTATCGAAAGAGCCGATAAGCGTTAGCTGGACCAGTGGCCACGCCATTTGGTGCCAGGAACCCGCCACCCACGTAAAGACCCTTGCTTGGAGCCGAGGGAGCCTTGCAGAAAACGGACGCTAGTCAAGAGGCCCCGTAGTGCGGCCTCCTGAACCGAGGGCAGTCGATGTGAGCTGGTGAGCTTCCGTGCAACAATGATAGCCAGAGAAGAATACTCGGTACAGGACTGTACCACATAGAACTGGAGAGTAGAAGTGACGAAGACGAGGGGGTTCAAAAGGTGCGAGCAGGACTGTTAATTGTGGGCTTGGCATCGACACGTCATCTGGTCCAGACTCGGCACTGCTCGCACTAACTGGGAGGTCCGTAGTACGGAGAACTTCCATATACGGAATAGTCATTCCGTAGCGGCCTAGTCTCTTACTAGTGACACACGTGCTACAAATATATACAGAGACCAGGGACTGTGGACTTATATCAATCCACCTTGTAGGCACCTAGTAATCCCCATCATCCTCGCCATTTCCACCGATTCACTTCCCAGCCACCATCTCTCCTCCGCCGTCTTGGAAAGCTGACCTCGCCGCCATCCCGGGAGTCCGCACAGTATCAACATGGGGAATGAAAAGAAAAATACAACTCCTCCGCCCCCGTTTGCGGATCCTATCTAATCAAATCCGCCTTTGCCTCTGTGCAATCTAGGGACTGCTCCTGGCAACGTCCAAATTGTGCGTACGAAGGACTCGTAATTGTCTTCTAGCGTTGATATTGCCAATTCGTTTCATCTGGGTACAGGCCACGCGTCCAAATGTCGTGCAGAAGCGAAACCTTACGGGGATCGGGAACGAGATACATACCATGTGCCAAATCGACCTTCGGACTTCAGGACTTCTTCTCACGCCCTTGAAGCACTGCCATCACGTCGCTCATGTTGTCTTTATCGCCCTTGCGTTTCTTCGGACCACGCTTCCGTCCACTTTTCTTCGCTGGCCCTTCACCCTCATCCCACCCAGCTTCGTCCTCGTCATCGTCGTCCGCAATTCGACTTTCGCCAAATCCTAGATCTAAATCTGCAGCATCTGCTCGATCTCTTTCTTTTAGCCGCGCCAGCAATTGCTGCTGTCTCGCGGCTTTGTCGGGATCTGACTCGACACCTGATTCCCCACTCGTCTCTTCATTTCTTCGTAGGCCTGCGGCCCGCTTCAGCGCCGAAAGGAGTGTGGGATCTTTCAAAATTGGATTGGTGCGATCCTCGGCTCCCTCTTCTTGATTGCTTGTCGCAAAGTAATTTCGTGGCTTGTTGTTCGTCGATGCAGCGGTCTTGTCAGTGGTGTCTACCCTTGCTGTTGGCTCTTTCTCGCCGCCCTCATCTTCTGACTCGCTGTTGATACTGGCGAGCGGATTGTAATCGGCCACTCCTTGGAAGATATCGTCATCTTCCTCTTCGGCGGCTTGCTGGTCCAAAAGAGCTTGTTGTTTCGCTCGAAGTTCTGCTGGCACTTCCATCCCAAGAGGTTGGTTTTGATCGCCTCTCGAGAGATCCTCTTCCTTCTCAAGCCATCGAGTCTTCCTCTTCGTCGTTCCGTCTTTATTGGTAATGAGTAGCACCTCCCGGCGCCGTCCATTGATGATTTCGACGAATTTCTTCTTGTTTGGCTTCTCTGAGGTTACTTTCTTGAAGCGTGCTCCAAGCGCTGGTTCTGGATGTGAGGGCTCTGATATTCCGCTTCGGCTTTCTTTTAACCGCCGCAAGATCGCATCTCGTGTCATGGATTCTTGAAGATCCCCAGGTGCTTCATCTTGTGCCTTCCTCGAGATTGGCCTGTCCACCTTCACGTCCTTTTGCAGCGCTTCCTCGAGCTCATCATCCAAATTCACTTGAGCAGACTCCTCCTTCTCAGCTTGCGGCGTGTTGCGGACATCTTCGCCTCGTCGGACTCTTTCCAGCAGCTTCCAGTCCAACCCTTTCACTAGATGTGTACTGCTAAGATCGCCGCCGATTCCAATCTCGCTTTTCAGCTTTTCAAAGGTAGCCTCGTCAATCTGTTGTAGTTTGTACATCTCTTCCAACGCCTTGACTCGTTTTTCCTTGTCATCTGGTGATGATACCCCCTCCCCATCCGCCTGTCGAGCCAGAGTGCGGTCCTGGTAGCCAGAAGCGAGTTTGCTGCCTTTCGGTGCGCTAGATTTGAATTTCTTCGTGGGAGGCTGTCCATCGTGTTCTTTTCGATATTCTGAAACTTGCTGCGTGAACATTTTAGAGGCGTTGAATCCCGCAACGGAGCGAGGCGTCATGGGAATCGATGAGCGGGCTCTGGAGCCAAGTACGGGCTTCTTAAAGGCTTGCGGGGAGGCCCCGCTGTTGGAGGTATCTGCATTCTGGCCAGTTTGAAGGAGACTGCGGAACTGAGAATTGTCCATCGGAGGCTGTGATAGCGCAGAGCGCCTCTCTAGTCATTAAACAGATATCAAGGAAAAGGTACCAGCTGAAGAAAGTTGCGGGCGGAGTTGTTCTCCAGAATAATTCAGTGTCGGAGATTTTGGCATTGCGCTCCGCTCCTTCTCCAAATCGACTCCGCCCATATATCATTTCTCGCCAACAATCTTTCCAAGTATCAAACAAACGTCTAGAGGTCAAGATGGGGAAAAAGCGCAAGAACCCCGAGCGTGTCGAGCATTATGACGAAGCGCCTCCAAAGAAGCGGCCCTTAACAAACCCCTTGCCCGAAGGTGTTCATCATTACCAGGACATCGAAGAAGTTCCGTGGGACATTCAAAAGTATGCACGGCAGGGCCTATTTTCTACAGAGGCTGACCTGTTTCACTTCCCCAGATATTGGCATCAAGGCTACTCTATCTTTTCAAAATATGACGACGGTATCTGGATGACTGATGATTCATGGTATGAAGTCACTCACGAGTCGGTCGCAAAGTAGGTTCCACGTCTTCTCCTTCACTGTACGAGGACTGTCTAACCCCGATAAGTACTATTGCACAGCACATGGCAGAGGCAGCGCCAGAGGGCAAGTCAATCATCTTCGACATTATGTGTGGCGTCGGGGGAAACACTATCGCATTTGCGCTTTCCGGCAAATGGAAACGAGTCTATGCGATTGAGAAGGATGCAGCTACTCTGGCCTGTGCCAAACATAATGCCGAGATCTACGGCGTCGCAGACCGGATTACCTGGTTTCAGGGGGATTGTTTTGAGATTCTAGGCCTGGACGAGTCCAAGAAGGGGAATACTGTGGAAGCGCTTAAAGCGATTGCTGGCAGTTATGGTGTCATTTTCGCCAGCCCCCCATGGGGAGGTACGTACTCAAATCCCATGCCAATAACTTGACGCTCAATCTTGACACAGGTCCCGGGTACCGCGAAGCCGAAGTCTTCGACCTCGAGGCCATGCAGCCATACCCTTTCAGCCATCTCTACGAATCTCTCCAGAAGCTGACGCCTAATGTGGTACTGTATTTGCCGAGGACCAGTGACCTCCGGCAAATTGCCAAAGTGGTAGGGGAGGACAAGAAGACCCAAATTGTACATTACTGCACAAAAGGCAGCAGCCGGGCCTTATGTGCATACCTAGGAGACTGGGGATCGCTGAGATTGGGAGATTTGTGATTCAAGTTGGCACGGACTGTTGCATAATGTCACTCTGCATGGAATATTGCTATGATACCCTGAATTAGTGAATTAATCATACTTGGCTCGGACTGCAGCCTCAGTTTGCGAGGGACGAAGAAGGACTTGCATTACCTGCGGCAAGGCTGCGCAAGGCTGACGCTAGCGCGTCAGGCTACCGCCAAGTCACGCCAAACACGAGTCACCCGGTCCGTTTGCTCCCCTTCGGTGTCTTTCCCCCAACTCCGAACTCTCGTGTAATTGTGCCTCTTCAGCTTCCCTACAACATCCCCTACTTCATCGTGACCGTCGGTTGTAACATCTATATCGACTCTCCGGTTCAGTATCTGAAGAGTCGCAATGACAGTTACCGTTACCTGAAGCGATGCGAGACTTTGGCGGCAAAGGAAACACTGCTGCGGGGTCGGCGCAGTTTCACTCAAACATCACTTCCTCTTGCAACCCGGCACGATGGCCACCGACGTCTACCAGCAGGCTGATGACCTCGACGGTCTTTTCGATGACGGCGATGATGAGATGGCCGATTCAACAGCCAATACCCCCTTTGACCAGAGTTTCAACGTGCCAGGGGATACAAATGATGAACTCAGTGCACTGTTGAATGAAGGTGGCGGCGAGGGATTCAACTTGGATGAGTTGAATGAAAGAGAGCTGGAACAGGGCGAAAAGGCAGACGATGCGGTTGATTATGAAGATATCGGTGACGATGACTCGTTACCTGAGGATGAGCCGATGCAGGTCGAGATAACAACGGACATGCTGCCTGGGATCGAGGAGAACGCTTTGGATGGCCTCGATGATGACGACCTCTTCGGCCCTTCTAGTCCTATCCTAGTCAGTGCCCCGCCGCCCGTGACTACTCCTTTGAAGTCCGACGAGAAGCCTCCGAAGGATGCCGATCAAGAGTCCGACCTTGCCTCGGAGCATGGCGACGAAGCCACGCAAGACCTATCTATGCTCGAGGCCGAGCTGGACGAGGTTGAAGATGCGGAATATCGCATACAACTTGCTCTTTTCGCACAATCTGGTAAAGGCTACATTCCAAAAACGGAGCAGGAGAACATTGAAGAGTGGTTGAAGGTCGAGTTCCCCAAGTTCAAGCGCGACGAAGCACCATACTTCAATGAGCTCTTCCCTCCCCGACCGCACAAATGGCAGGGGAAAACACCGTTGAAGCCTCCAAAACAAGTCCGCCCAACAAAAGTCAACTTGGAAATTGAGCAAGACCAAAGAGTGGCGTTCAATTCAGTGGTTGCGATCAACGCGCCGGAGGTTGGCGCAGATTTTGTGAAGATTAGAGAAACCGCAGCCCCTGTTGAGGCTGCAGAATCTTCGGAAGAGTCCGATTCTGACGAGCCTCTTCCTGGTGGTCTGACCATGCGTGATCTGGAGTTCATGTGCACTGAATTCGATACACTGTCGCACCTGGCATCTTCGGACGATGGATTCGTCGAGATCACCCCCCGAATTGTCGACAGCGACGAAGAGATGTTCGGTTTCGATGAACTTGATATGGAGAAACCCCGCAAGAAGCGCCGCCTTGGTTTGGATCCTCGGGATATTGTCAAATCGCGTGAGCTCGAGGTACCCTCCCTCGATGATCCCGAGAAGACGACTGCCAGACTGGCTAACAAGGTCGTACTGGACTTGAACGACACCAATCTCCTTGTTGAAGAGGTTGACCCGGAGGCTCTCAGAGCAAAGGCCCGTCCTGGCGAGAAGCGACCTGCCGTCAAAACGCTCAAGGATCGCCTCCAACATCGCTTCAAAACTTCCAACGATGCTGAATATGACCTTCTCAAGCAGAATCATAGACATAAAATCCGAGGCCAGCTCACCAATCTGACCATCGAGCATTCACTGCCTGCTGTTCGCTTGCAATACCCATACTACCAAGTACAGTTGTCCCTCCAGGAGTTGCGCAATTTCCATCGGAAACGAATGCACTTCAGACATCCCATCGTGTTTCGGCAACCAGCGAAGGTCAAGAGAAAGCACCAAAAGCATCGACCCGCTTTGGAGTTGTACCCTACCACGAAAGAGATTTCGATGGCCGATAATTCTTCGATTGTTCTCCTTGAATATTCCGAAGAACATCCGCTGATGCTGTCTCAGACTGGCATGGGAAACAAGATCATCAACTATTATCGCAAGAAAAGCAACGAAGACAACTTCAGGCCCAAATATGATATCGGTGAGACCTCTTTGTTGCTACCGGAGGACAAATCTCCGTTCTATATCTTCGGTCAAATTGATTCGGGCGAAACCATGACAGCCCTCTACAATTCTATGTACAGGGCTCCCATCTTCTCCCAAGATGCCAACTCTCAGGATTTCTTAGTCATCCGAGAGACTACGGGAGTGCACGGGCAAAGCCACTACTTGAGGAATCTTGAAAACGTTTTCGTGGTTGGACAGGAATTGCCTTCGGTTACCGTTCCCGGAACACATTCACGTATGGTCACAACTGCGTCCAAGAATCGTCTGAAAGCCATATCATACCGCATCGCCCGCAAGAAGAGAACCAACCGCATCCATGTCGAAGATGTTACGAGGCATTTTCCTGGCACCACGGACATGCAAAACCGACAAAAGATGAAAGAGTTCATGGTTTTCAACAAAGAATTCAAGGAATGGGAAATGAGGCCGGGTGATAAGGTCCCCAGCGAAGAGCAAATCCAGGGCCTGATTCGGCCGGAAGATATCTGTCTCTTGGAGGCAATGCAAGTCGGAGCACAGTATCTTCAGGATGCCGGATATGCGGACAATGATGAGGAAGATGACACCAAGGAGAATGAGGCCGATAGTATCGAGCAGCAACTCGCGCCATGGAGAACAACCAAGAACTTCCTGCAGGCCGCTCAAGGCAAGGCCATGCTGAAGCTGTTCGGTGAAGGAGATCCATCAGGTCGCGGTGAGGCATTTTCATTCGTCAAGACGAGTATGAAAGGTGGATTTCGACCGATTGGCGGATCTGCGATGGACGCGATTGCCTTGAAAAAAGAACTCGGTGGTCACAGCTATAATGTCGCTCGACAACAGAAATCCTACGAAGAGTCCATCCGTGGCATTTGGGACAAGCAGAAAGCCAGTCTCAGCTCGAAGATCGAACCTTCTGACCTCGACATGGAAGGCGATGTGGACGCCCAGGAAGACAAATATCCGGAGAGTCGGTCGAATATCCGAGCAACGCCCATGTCTGGAACCCAGACACCTTCGATGTCGAGGCGTCGGGATGACGAGACGGCCACCTCATTCAGTAGACGCAGCGTTGGCAGTCAGACTCAGAAAGCACTACGGATCGTGCGCCGAATTAAAACCAAAGACGGTGAAATCATCGAGCAAGAGCACATTGAAACTGACCCGGCAGTGATCAAGCGATATATGAAGATCAAGGAAGCGGAAGAGATGCAAACCACAAGGTTCGTGACCGGCCACACTTTGGTGTCTCGGTCTTTTGCTTACAAGTATAAAGCCTCAGTGAACTCGAACCTACCGGTGATCCAGAGCAGGACGCGCGGCGGAAGAAACGGTCAGCAAATCCCTTCTGTCACGCGTGTTGGGATACTAGGTTTGCTAACCACTCCGAACAGACTCGAGGAGGCTCTCGCCCAACTCGAGAAGAACAAGGCTCGCAGGCAAAAGCGCAACAAGAACAAAGAAGCCCTCCAAGCTGCTACCTCACCTGGCGGCACCGCCATGTCTCCGGACGGGGAGGGAGCTGGTGGTGGTGGTGGTGGTGGTGGCGGGGGCAGGAATTCGCAGCCAACGCAGCGGAAGTGTGCGAACTGTGGTCAGGTGGGCCACATCAAGACCAACAAAAAGTCAGTCACCAACGCTAAGTGTAAAAATTGCAATCTCCCCATTGATCGCAAGGTTGGGTTCCTGTGGATGAGTGCACCGAACTTCTCGGGTTGATCGCATTGAGAAGATTGCCCTCTTTCTTTCACTTTGGTCTGAGAATGATGGTCTTCGAAAAGCTTTCACCGACATCGACATATCTCGTTTGATGGTCGCCCCCCGAGGACATGTTTCGACATTTCAATGCTTGCGCATGTGAGGCTAAAGACCTCCATATCTCGCTCTCGGGAAGCAAGAAGTGCGCGATCCCAGCACCATCAACACCCGTCTAAGCGATCCGGGACTCTCCAGTGCTGTGCTTAATGCTTTGCTATCTCATTTCCTGGTCATTGTCCAATTGCTGACACGATTTTCTTGTCAAGATTATGTCCCCTGCTCAACGGTACCATCAAGCAAGAAGACGGCTTCAACAACGCTGCGTTCATGGGCGCACCACCTACGATGTCTTGAGGAGACCGTCGATCGTTCTTCCGGCGGCATGAGAGTTGAGACTGGAATATTCGCAACGAAATGGGGTTATCCTAAAGCATGCCACCATCGTCAAGATGTGTGGATCGAGTGGCTTTTGTCCATAATGTTGGTAGACGGTAAGGTCGACGGAGTTTGCAAGGCGCGGGACAAGGGACATCATTGCATCTCTATACTTTGTATAGATTGTTTTATTGCATAGCGTGGGTGCACCATATCGACTGATGTGGTCGTTTTACCAAAAGCATGGGGCGTGGTGAAGAGTATCGCCAGCACAATAGTCTTTTGCATGTACCAATATGACATGAGGCTTCTCGAGAAGCTCTATCAAGATTTGCCGCAAGCCTCGGCGGTATCCCCTTTTGTTTCGTGGTATGATATGATATCTCCCGCTTACCAGGGAAACTCCGCCTTGTCACGTGGCCGGCCTTGCGGCATGGCTGACCGATCTCGTGACGGACTTTTATCGGCACAACATGTCAATGCTATCAATACGCCTTCTGACCGCCAGGGCGCAATCCAAGCTTTTCTGTAAACGGGCATAATAACCTTTCGTCTTGCCTCTTTGGTGTCCCACAAATCTTTCTCATAAACTCGACCGCTCCTTGAGTGTGATCAGCCCTCGGTGCAGGAAGCAGGAGCTCAGACGAAGTATTCTTACGTGCAAGATGGCCTCGGGCAAGCAATCATACATCATCGTCGGAGCCGGAGTGTTCGGGGTATCCACTGCCTATCACCTGATCAAGAAGTACCCTGGGGCGTCGGTGACTCTAGTTGATCGGGATGCCTTTGATGCAGAGAGCCGCGTGGCCGCCTCGTGGGACTGGAATAAGGTGGTGCGCGCCGACTACGACGACATAGTCTACTGTCAACTGGCCCTGGAGGCACAAGACATCTTCGAGACGGATCCGCTGTGGAAGCCGTACTTCCACAAGACGGGCATTTTCTGGACATGCCGCAGCAACTATGCACAGGAAGTCATTGACAACTACAAGAAACTCGGCCGGACGGCGGATCTTCGAGCCGTCACAGTCGACGAAGCCCGCAAACTGTACGGCGGGCTGTTCGAGGACGCTGACTACGACGGAGTCCAGGAGGTGCTGGTCAACAAGACCAGTGGTTGGGCTGCGGCTGGAGATGCCTTGCGAGCCGTCACCCGCAAGGCCATAGAACTCGGCGTGAAGTACGTGACGGCCGAAGTTGCGACCTTACAGCTGGACCCTCGTGGGCGATGTTATGGCATCAAGACAACAAAGGGTGAGACTTTGACAGCCTCGCACGTTGTCCTTTGCACGGGTGCATACACCCCGAAGCTGTTGGAACTGAGCGCTGCCAGCACTGGTCTCAAGGATCTTCGAACGGAAGGCAGGATAGTAGCAGGTGGTATCACAACGGGGATGACGAAACTCGATGACGAGTCATACAAGAGGTTCGCCGCTATGCCCGTGGGTGTTCAGGGATACACTGCACAGATAGGTAATGGGCTGCCTCTGCTCAGCCACGTTTGTGCGATCGACTAACTGTAGAGACAGGCCCGTTTATTGGTAGTCTCCCTCCGACCCCAGACAGAGAAATCAAGTGGTGGGGACAAACGATATTCAAAAACACTCACGAAGTGCTACCGGGGCGTCATCTGTCAGCGCCGCCCGCAACACAAGACTACAGTCAATGGAACGTGTCCAGGAAACTCAAGGAAGACATCGACTACGCGAACAAGGTGTTTTACGGCAAGAACGGCGCCAACTGGACGATGGAGAAACATCGGATCTGCTGGTATGCCACCACTGCAGCCACCCCCCTTGCTTTTTCATCCCTGACACAGAATCTGAGAATGGACTTGAAACTGACTTCTGGGGAAATTCCCAGGGATGCCTTCACCACGAGCTCCGACTTCATCATCTCGCCACACCCGGCCGCGAACGGCCTGTACCTCGCTACCTGCGGCTCGTTCCACGGGTACAAGTTCTTCCCCGTGCTCGGCAAGTACGTGCTGCAGATGCTCGAGGGGTCCCTGGCGCCGGAACTGGTCGAGAAATGGGCCTGGGACCGCAAGCGGCCGGATCCGGCGCTCAACCCGGACTACCCTAGATGGGAGATGAAGGATTTCTTGGACCCGGTGAGAACGTCGAAGCTGTAGGTGGAAAACCATGTGGGGTCTCGCAAGTTGTAATAGACGGGAGGGTTTTGGATGCAGCAACAAAAAGAAAATGAACGTATTTATGCATGGGAAAGGCTTGTTGCCCTATATATCTCGTTATTCCCTGAGCGTTCCTGCCTGTCGTCGAGCGATATTTGGATCATGAACCGAACTCGTGAGGAGCATAGCGTGGTAAATGGCGGCCAGATCACTGGCCAGAGTCCTTGTCGTCGTCTAGACTTGTCAACAAATTGGAACCCTTGCCAGCAACGCTGCTCTTCACGCAGGCTTGCAGTCTACTCCGTCTCTCCCGCGTCTGCCGAACGAGATGCATAAACGATCCAGGAATCGACACCGACCTCCCTATGACGACGATCTCACGAGTCTCGTTAGAGGCTTCACTGTCAAACAGGTGGACTTAACATAGGAGTGATCTGGGTTCCCACCTATCACAATTTCAAACGGGGTCCTCCAAAGCCAATCCAGGTGTCTGAGCTTACGTGGGTTGTAGTAGGTACACGCAGGAGAATTTCGACGCCATGTATCGTATCTTACAGCAATCGGGTGATTTGATTCTCTTATCAGACCGGGAGATTTTTGACGAGGATCGAACAAACACGGTCCACAAATGTCCTACACCCTCTCAAACAGGGTCCTTGCTCCACTTCGGTGTTGATCTGCCGTCCCCCGGGGTGATGGCTTCGAGCAGCTTATGCTTCGAGACTACAGCATGCTTTCCGGGCTTCCCTTCACAGAAAGTTCTAGGCGTCAGGATGACTCTCGATCGGTGGAGTAAAATGGTGATGGTGGTTTGTTGGCGGTGATGACATCAACACCGAAATGCTCAGGGACTGTTGCAACCGTAATGCCAGGCGCCAGGCGTGGAGGGCATTCTGCAAAGCACAATCACTGCGTCGAGGCCACAGAGGAGAGCTGTGAATCGGTAGCGGGAGGATGGGCTGGGATTGTAAGATGAGGAGCGCCCGTACAACGAGCGTTAGGCATACCCCTTTTCTGCAGCCTCGTAATTCCTGCCATAGACATGTAGTGCACTGTATACGAGCCCATTAGCGGTCGAAGCCTTGCCAATTGGAATTGCCGTCCATAGTCTTCAGCTAATACAGAGTACGACGTAGATGCGAGCAAGGCTCAGGGGTTTATAGGTCAATCACATGACGGCACGTGAGAGCCAAAAGACGCCAAGTCTTTGAAATGACACGGACGCATTTCTTGACTGTATAAAGTCAGACATTGTCCCAACCACGGCTTCGATTCTATTCATGTCCTCCAATCGAGGCGCGGTTCCAATCGGAGCAAAGCGCCCTCGTAGTTTGATTTCACCACCACCATGCTCAACAAGAGACGGCGCTTATCCAGCGAGATCCTTCTCCTGAGAGTTCCGCGTGCTGTACACCGCGGACTCGGTGTTTGATGCCCAGCTCCCGCACCTCCGAGCTCAGTCATCGTGATTTCCTCCAAACCGATGGACCCCTGCAGCCCCATGAGCTAGAGACGAGCTTTGATCAAGATGGGTGCCTTGATGGTCAGGATTCCAAAACCCACCGTGGTTAGAAGATCAGCCGGTCCACGACAAAGCCAATGATCTCAAGGTGAGTCATGGAGGTCACCAGCCCGAGACCGATCACAATGTTGCACCTGCGACAACTTTCGGGATGTGCTGTCAGGAGCATCGATAAGGATGGGGTGCGTGCCTTGAGGTTCTGGCCCTTCCGTGGGCACATGTTCTTTATCTGCCAATGATTCTCCGCTGTTGCCGCCAGCGGTTGCCCTTCCTGTTTGATATCTCAGCCGGGCCCGATGCCCCGATCATATGACCGGCATTCTGCCTTGACCCCTTTGGGTTTCGAAATCCTGAGCAATGCTAACGTATCTGGCTGAGACAAACCGGCCGCCGTGTCCGATAAGGACATCAGCGTGGCGTCTTGAGGAGGGAGCATATCTGGATTTAAGCTTCCCCATTATCATGTTGGACCTGGTTTTTCACCCTCATCGCGACCTATCTGTTTGATCTTGGTGCCCTCACAATACCATGGCGCAATCGTTCTTGAAAAACTACTTGGGTCTGGGATGGTCGTCGCCGGCGGACGACAAAACCCCTGTTAGGGCTTTGCCGGCATCCTGGTACACCTCACAGGAAATGTATGAGCTGGAAAGACGAGCGATCTTCTCCAGAAAATGGCTTCTGACCACGCACAAACTGAGACTGCCCAACCCGGGGGACTGGCTACGATATGAAGTGGCTGGCTACCAGTTCATTCTTTGTCGGGACCGGGATGGAAACATCAATGGCTTCCACAATGTCTGCAGACACCGTGCCTTCCCCATTGTGACCGAGGAGAAAGGTCACAACACTATCTTGTCCTGCAAATACCATGGCTGGTCGTACGGCCTCAATGGCAAGCTCGCAAAAGCACCAGAGTATCAAGACCTGCCAGGGTTCGACAAGTCGAAGAACGGCCTCCTGCCTATCCATACCCACATCGACCATAATGGCTTCATTTGGGTTAACTTGGATGGCGGGGCGAAGCCAGAGATCGCCTGGAACGACGACTTCGAAGGTGTCGACGAGCAAGCCAGGTTCGAACACTACAACTTCGATGATTACCAGTTCGACCACAGCTGGGAGATGGAGGGCGACTATAACTGGAAGATCCTGGCCGACAATTACAATGAGTGCTACCACTGCAAGACCACCCATCCCGATATTCCCACCATCGCGGATCTCAGCTCCTACGGGGTCGAGACCAAGGGCGGCCATATTCAACACTTTGGCAACCCGACCCCGGAACAGATTGCGCGTGGTCTCAGGGTGGCTGCCACCTACTTCTTCCCCAATGCATCCTTGAACGTTTCGTAAGGACATGACTTCCCGAGTACCCTGACCCCATGCTGACCCTTTCCTAGGCCGCACTTTTTCTTCATCCAGAGATTCGTGCCCAGCGGTCCTGTCAAGTCAACCATGAAATATGAGGTGTACAGGAACAAGAACTCTAGTGATGAGGACTTTGAACTGGTCAACCAGATCTACAAGAGGATCATGTCAGAGGACAAGTACCTCTGCGTCAACACCCAGAAGAACCTCAACGCGGGAGTCTTTGTCAATGGCGAGCTGCACCCACGGATGGAGAAGGGTCCCCTGTTCTTCCAGAAGACAGTGCGCGACCTGGTGCAAGCCCACCACAAGCGAGAGACGGATGCGCATGATGAGATCTGGCCGGCTCGACAGACACTGCCGAAAGCCGATGTGACCAGCCAGAAAGACGTTGCCTTTTGCTCTGCTGTGGATTGCTGCAGGATCAACAAGGAGCCCATTGCTGTGTAGCGGTCATTTATGGTAGATGTTGATGCTTCCCCGGAGTCATCAAGGCATTCTTCTAGTCTAGCGTCGTTCCTGTAATAGAATCCGCCGTCGTGGTGTTGAAGTGTCCTGGCTACAATGTCCCTTGTGCAATCCATGTCATTCGACGTCCTGTGATGTATTCACCAACACTCAGTGATTGGCTGGGTATGATCCCTGAAGGATCTCCGTAGATGTGCTGCTCGAGGCTGGATCCGCGCCAATGATGGAGGGTGTTTAGTGATGATGGTCAAGGATCCCGCGGGGCTTGGGGCGAAGTGGCGAGTATTTATTAGTGGAAGCAAATTCCCCCCCCTTTGCCTCGTAACCTTAACGACCATATCCGCAACGTCAACAAAACGAGACAGATAAGGCTTATTCTCCCCTTTGCTTCGCTGTACAATGGCCATATCTCGCAGCTCCATGTATCCATCCTCGGTCGCCAGTCTCCCAGACCTTTAAGGTCAGTCTGGGTCCTCTAGTCGAGTCCCCAACATGAGCCCGATGGACGAGACGAACAAGTTTGATGCGAGACGACGATCACACCACGCTTGCCTTACTTGCAGGTCTGTTACGCGTACTGCGGTGTTGCTTGATGTGCCTTGTGCCAATGGTATTATAGGCGGAAGAAGACTCGCTGCCCGGGCGAGAAGCCTGCCTGCTCCAGCTGTGTCCGCCTGAAGCAGCCATGCTCCTACGCCCCTGTGGTCAGAGCGACGCGAAACGGCCGATCGGTATGATACATGACCCCTCCGCAACGGTCTACCTGACTTACACCTGTCTACAGGAGGAGAGATTGGCACACCTGGAAGAGAAATTAGATCTCTTGTTAAGCGGTGGCCTGTACGAATGAGCCCGCCGCCGTGCTACCCTCCAATCTTCTGACCAGATGATCCAGGCCGAGCCATGCCACCCGTCAAGAGCAAGCACTCGAAGAGCCTGCTGATTACTCGGAGAAGTCGTACTCGGTGACCCCCCCCGCGCGCGAGCCCAGCTATCCTACCAGCCACCCTTCCTCGACCCTCGAATTCGACGCCGAGAATGCGAATCAGCGGCCTCGCCCATCCGACATCGCCATTGGAATCGACCTGTACTTTAAATACTGCCACAAGCAACCGATCTGGTGCTTTGGACGTGAAGACGTCGGCGACCATGGCTCGCTACCTGAAGAACTGGCCTGCAGTATCCTCGCACTGACTTCGCGCTTTCCTCCAAAGTGTGATCAGATGCAGCGCTATGGCAAGAACGCCAGGAGTCTGATCATGCTTCGTATCGCAAATGGCACCGTGGACCTTGCAACCATTGAGAGCTTGTGTCTGCTGTCGTACTCCTTTTTCATAGGCATGGATATCTGGCTAAAATGACGAGCGAACTCTTGCTGACACCTTCACAGACGGAAATATGTCTCTCGGCCAATTCCACGTCGGTCTGGCTTTCCAACTTTGTCGGTCCGCTACGCTGGACCTCGAGTCGACATACACTGTCGACGACGCGACCACGGAGCGCAAGAAACGGCTTTTCTGGAGCCTCCAGTTACTCGAGCAGTCTTACGGACGACAACATGGTCTTTTGAGTGTCCCTACGGAAACATGGCGACCATCCTATTCGTCGACTGGTAGAGGCCACGGGCCTGACAGGGAGATTGACCAGAAGGCCCCGCCGCTACCCAGAGACGACCTGGGATGTTCAACACCCACCGAGCCTGGAATCTGGAACACGAGTGTCCAGCTCGGTTGGGTGTGGAGCCGGGTGAGAAAATACGTGTCGAACTGCGCTCACAATATATGGAAGGAGCCGTGGCGGCACGACTCGATGTATGCCATGGTGCTGTCTGATTTTATGGAGACCGAGAACAGGATCCCCATCTGCCACCGATACGACTCGGTCAAATTCTACGAGCGCAAAGTGGAAGAGCTGAAGATCAACCGAGAGTATTGGGCGCCGTGGCTGAGGGAGCAGTTCACGTACCATGCAATCCCGACCGTCTTGAATCACCCCTTCCTCTATATTATCGGCGCACAACACAATCCAAACCTGGCAATTCCAAATACATTCTGGAGGAGATCTTCCGAGCTCGCCCTCTTACATTCTACCTGGATTGTTCGCATGATTGATATGGTCTTGGACAAGCAAATGCCGCTCGTCGATCCATTTTTTGGACATGTTGCTGCGATCGCAGCTACAGTGCACCTCTACTATTGTTGTGCTGCGGATTCCAGACTGAAACATAAATCAAACACGGATTTTGCAAAATGCAGGAGGTTTCTGAAAAGCTTTGTGCCCTTTTCACCGGCCTGCAAAGCTTTGGTAAGTCTTCCCCCAAGAGAAGGAGGTTGAGCTGACAGCTTCTAGGATTCTAATCTAGACAAGATGACACGAATTGCTGCCGGCTCCGAGAGCATGGATGTTGAGGACTGGATGCCATCCAAAATCTATCTCAGCGTGCCCCTGATGTGGGACATCCTTCAGTTCAATTGTATGACAGACTCCCGAGAAACACCGACTACTGGCTTGCTGGACGCCTCATTATCCCCCGCGGTGCCTCAAAAGTACACAGACGAGAGCTCAACCCTGGAGATCATTGTCGCCACCTCACCTGAAATCAGCATAAACACCGCCGATGGAGGGCAAGACGCCCCGATATTATCATACAGAGCCCCTGTTTCTTCTGCACCAGAGTCTGCACAGAAGAATGTCTGCAACGATTTATCGGTCGAGCAAGCGGACAGCCTTACGCTGACCACCACCCCCTGGCTCTGGGCGGACCCTTCACAGTTCGTCGGCATGGGAGACATGGGCTATCACGACTCGCAGCCCGCAATGGGCGATGCAAGAGCTGCGGCATGGTGGGAGGTCGAAAACATCGGCAACGTCATGTTTAATCACTTTTAGCGCGGCGTCTCGACCTTCAAGACTGATTTGGAGCATAAAGGTATGTTATTATTGGTGTCCATCTGCCTGATTTCCCGGGGCTAACATCTAGCGTGGCAGCGAGGGCGACGCAATCACACTGCTGTCGCGGTCTCGATGTTGACTTTGCGCCATCTACGTTGCGAGCTAGGAGTTTCACGGCGTAAATGACCTGGGAGTTGCACGGTGGCTGAGTGCGTTTACAAATCCAAACATCTCTCATTCGACGGTTTGGATCCGATAGAGTCTTTCACCCTGTGCGAAGACTAGTACGACCTATATATTATCAATCGAAATAGACGGGGAAGCATCCATTGCAGCACCATGTCTGAGTTGGCAAATCCCTCAACGAAAGCGAGCCAACTCCCGGGCCAGACGAGCGCATGACACTGAACGGACGACCTCCGTCGAGACAGCGCATGGAACACGTGTGCCTCTCTTCACGGCACTGTGGTCGACGGGGTGAGTGGTGGCAGGAGCAAATGCAAACGATCAGCCGACATTTTGTACACTCGCTGAATCCAGGACTCGGGCCGTATCTGGTATTGTCTCACCCGGGGTAGCCGCTCCGGGGTATCTGGGGGCCACAGGGCCACACCCTTTCGACGTCGAGGCGAAACGGATCGGAGGACCCAAGTTGGTCTAGAAGCGGTTCGTCGGCTCCGTTTGCCGAACAGAACCGTTTGAGTTTCGACATCAGGAGACGGGCAACGAAGATGGGAAGATGGAATCATTCCCAATCGGGCGCCTGTATCTTATCTTGCTGCCCACCCTACCTTGCTCGAGCGACAAGACGTGCGCTATCAGTCGATCATTTGTGGCTTCTGTCAGACGTATATTTTGCTGTATTCCGAGTGAAACTGCCGGTGTATCTATACCTCTTTTCTATCATTGGCTGGAATCCTACGATGACCGTGTACAACATCCCATAACTCGCATTCGTGTTATATGTCCATCTGTGGTCGGATTTGGCGAACTGGCATCTTGAAGGGGGGCGAAGTAGGTGTGACGTCTATGGAAATGCCGTCGGAGGGGATGTTTTGGCTTCGTCGGGACTCCTTTCACGGCCTCGTAGCAGGGAGTTCCCATTGTCTTCTCTCCGAACATGGTGTTATTGATATGCTCATCTACGTCGAGAACAAATCACAGGCCTCTTCAGGGCAATCCAAGGCTCATTTACTCGTAAAATCAACCCAATATCCCTGCGCGTGAGTCAAGACTGGCCTGCCTTGACACGGAGCATACCCTCCGCCCGCGAGTCTTCTCGTTCCCACGCGCCCTTTGCGAGTAAGATGTGATTGCAGTCCCCCACCAGCGAGCGAAGTGTAAGTAAATTCCGACGAATCCCGAGCGGTTGTATAATTGTAAAGGAGCTGGATCCGTCTTCTGAAAAGTGCCCTATCCTGTCTGTGTCTGCTGTAATGAACAAGAACCCGGAATCGCCGTCGTGCCGGGCCCCGTCGATGCTTGTTGCGCTGATGGATATACCTAGAGAACCTCTATGTTTTATAGCCGGGATGTCCTTCCACACACCCACTCCCCCGCCGGTTCTATATCTGGGCTGGCCTCGCGCTGGATAGGTAGGTTCTCAGACGCACAATAGGTTTTCTGGAGCGTTCCCCAGGTGCATGTACAAAAGCGCGGTATCCCGATCTTTGTCCTGAGCGTTGGCCTAGCCCCCCCTCCCCCCCTAAACATGCGGTCACATTGATATTTATTGTAAACTGATTGTAAGCGAGAACATCGTGTCCTGATGGTTTCCATCTCAGGCCTCACCACGTCTTGAGACTTGGAGGCGCTGGAGCGACTACGCCAACAAGATCATTGACCATATATATTGACAGAGAGAGAGGCGGCTGTGGTCTCGCACCTACAAAGATTACCAGGTAATCGGAGGTCCATCCCTAGGAGTCTAGGACAGCGGTTCTGCCAGAGAAGTTCAACGTTGAATTGTCCGTGACGAGGAGGATAGGTTCGAGTCCGATAGACGCTGCCGAGAATGCCGGGATAGACCTGCACCCAGCAACCTTGCTATGTCTTGAGATTCATCACCGCTGGAACATGTAGAAACACACACTGCCCGCGTCCGGACCTCCTCGGCAATGCAACTCCCGCTGCATCGCCAAGGCTAGACCGCGTACGGAGTATATCTTGGGCTGTGCCGCCGCATCCAGACGGAACGCCCTTTGAGCACGTTTCAACATTTTAGTAGTGCTTGCTCGCTCCATTGCGATAACAGTCACCGAGTCTAGCCCCAATAGCGCTCTCCTGGAGGCGAGCAACACGTAAGATTCCACTGATAAGGCTCCTCGACGGTGGTTCAACCTCCTGTACAGACGCCGGGCGGCCGGGGCAGATGCTCCGATGCCGATCAGGTGACCGTCATAGTGGCCGGGGTGGTACGATTTCCCCGAATAGGAAAGCACTGTCGATATTGCAAGGGCTAGACGAGGTACGCCGTCCTGGGGCTGGCTCGGGCTCCTTGACTCTAATAAGGGCCTTCGAGGGACCGGCAGTGCCCTGATGGTTTCTTGAACGGGCGGCCAGAGTCAAGGAATCATCAGAGGATAAAACATACAGCCCAGGATCACAAACACTTGTTTGGTCCATATCAACTCCAGACGACATCTCTCCCTCTCCGCCATGGGGTCCATCACCATGGCGCCCGTGCCTCGCGTCGCCATCATCGGCGCGGGCATCGTCGGCACCAACCTCGCCGACGAGCTCGTCTCGCGCGGCTGGACCGACATCACCGTCATCGACCAGGGCCCGCTGGACATGCCCGGCGGGTCGACATCTCATGCCCCCGGCCTGGTGTTCCAGACCAACCCTTCCAAGACCATGACCCAGTTCGCCCGGTACACGGTGGACAAGCTGCTGGCCCTGCAGGAGGACGGCCAGAGCTGCTTCAACCAGGTAGGCGGCTTGGAGATCGCGACGACGCCCGCGCGGGTCGAGGAGCTCAAGCGCAAGCACGGCTGGGCCGAGTCCTGGGGCGTGGAAACCCGCCTCCTCAGCACCGACGAGTGTCTCGAGCGGTATCCTCTCCTGAACAAGGACCTCGTGCTCGGCGGCCTGTTCATCCCGACCGACGGGCTGGCGTTGGCGGCGCGCGCGGTCCAGCTGCTCATCACCCGCACCCGCAAGGCTGGCGTGCGGTACTTGGGGTCGACGCAGGTCACCGGCATCGAGCAGGCGAATGACCGCGTCACCGGCGTGATCACTCCCGAGGGCGTCATCCCCGCCGACATTGTCGTCTCCTGCGCGGGGTTCTGGGGCGTCGAGGTGGGAGCCATGGTCGGCCTCTCAATCCCCCTGCTCCCGCTGGCGCACCAGTACGCGAAGACCACACCCGTGCCAGCCCAAGCAGGGCGCAATCCCCAGCCAAACGGAGCAGGTCTCCCCATTTTGCGTTACCAGGACCAGGACCTCTACTACCGTGAACACGGCGAACAGTACGGCATTGGCTCGTATGCGCACCGGCCGATCCCCGTCGTTGCTTCGTCGTTGCCGCTAGCCTCGAAGACTGTCGACGAAAAGAACATGCCCTCCCGCCTGGAATTCACCCCGGAAGACTTCAAACCGGCGTGGGACCTCTCCCGGGAGCTCCTGCCTGCCTTGAAGGAGAGCGAGATCGCGGATGGCTTCAACGGCATCTTCTCGTTCACTCCGGACGGAGGGCCCCTTGTCGGACAGTCGCCCACTCTGGACGGCTTCTATGTGGCAGAGGCGGTGTGGGTGACGCATTCTGCAGGGGTGGCGCGCGCGGTGGCCGAGATCCTCACGACGGGGCGATCCGAGGTTGACCTGGCAGAGTGCGACCTGGGCCGCTTCGAAGAGGTCCAACTCACCCCGGCCTATGTCAAGGAGACTTCCCAGCAGAATTTCGTCGAGGTCTACGACATCATCCACCCCCTGCAGCCGCGGGAGTCTCCGCGCAACCTGCGAGTCACTCCCTTTTACGCCCGGCAGCGGGAGCTGGGCGCGTATTTCCTCGAGGCCGGAGCCTGGGAGCGCCCGTTCTGGTACGAGTCCAACGCAAAGCTGATCGACCAGCTGCCGCCGGAGTGGAAGCCTGTCGAGCGCGACCCCTGGTCCGCCCGCTACTACTCGCCCATCGCGGCAGTCGAGGCCTGGAAGACGCGCACCGCCGTGGCCATGTACGACATGACCCCGTTGCGTCGGCTCGAGGTGGCGGGCCCAGGAGCGGTCGACCTGCTCCAGCGACTGACCACGGGAGATGTCTCGAAGAAACCTGGCGCGGTCACCTATACGCTCCTTCTGGACAGCCGTGGCGGGATCCGAAGCGATATCACCGTGGCAAGACTGGCCGATGACCTCTTTCAAGTAGGTGTCAACGGCCGCGTGGACTTGATCTACTTCTCTCGAGAGGCGCGGCGGCAGTCGCAGCACGACCCCAGCAGATGGGCGTACGTGCGCGAAATCACCGGCGGCACATGCTGCGTCGGGCTCTGGGGTCCGCGGGCGCGCGACGTGATCAGCTCGGTCAGCGCCGACGACTTCAGCAACAAGGGGCTGCGCTACTTCCGCGTCAAGAGGGCCAGCATCGCAGGCATCCCAGTGGTCGCGATGCGGCTGTCGTACGTCGGGGAGCTCGGGTGGGAGATCTACGCCAGCGCCGACAACGGACAGCGGCTCTGGGACGCGCTCTGGGAAGCCGGCCAGGCGCACGGGGTCGTCGCGGCTGGGCGCACGGCGTTCAACGCGCTGCGGCTGGAAAAGGGGTACCGGTCGTGGGGCACCGACATGACCACCGAGCACGACCCGTTCGAGGCCGGCGTGGACTTTGCCGTCAAGGCCGGCAAGCAGGGCGGCTTCGTGGGCCAGGCGGCGCTCGAGGGCCGCTCCAAGGAGACAGCCTCGCGACACCTGCGCTGCCTCACCGTCGACGACGGCCGGTCCGTGGTCCTGGGCAAGGAACCCGTTTTCCACGACGGGAGGGCCGTCGGCTATGTCACCAGCGCCGCGTTCGGGTATACTGTCGGCAAACCCATCGCGTACGCCTGGCTGCCCAGCTCCGTCGGCGGCGAGGGCACCGCCGTCGAGATCGAGTACTTCGGCAAGAGAATCCAGGCCACCGTCACCCCCGAGCCGCTGTATGACCCGCAGATGACCCGTCTGCGCGGGTGAAGAGGATACTCAACTTTCTTAAGCATGGAACGCTCACTTTGGAACTTGCCCGGCTGGATGTGGGAAGGAGGAAGAAGGAGTAGGACGAGGTGGTGGTGGTCGAAACGACATGACCAGCCAGATTGAAACAGCTCTTGAAAACTCCTTTCCCGCGATGCTGAATGGCAGCGTTGGGCTGCGCTGGAGTCGAAGGCAATCGATCCCCTTCCATTCTCTTCCGCCGTCCTTCCCTCTCTTACTCCCTTCATCGTGGACACTGGCGCATCGACTTGTGTTTATTTTGATCTCTTGGATTGGCAAAAAGGAAAAGGAACCAGATTGCATCGCCCTCCCTCTTTTCTTCATCCCCATGACTCGTTAGGCGCACGACTTCATGAATTTTATGTTATGTCGCTTCAAGATCCCCTCGGGTGTTTTCTTTTTCAGTACCTCGGCCTAGACTGAGACTGAGGCGTTTGGGCTTTGCGAGGATGTATGGCAGGCGAGATGAGGTGGAGCGTGGTGAGGTGAGGTAAGACGAGACGAGACGAGACAGGATGGGATGGAATGAAGTGAGTAGAGTATAGGATTCTAAAATACATGCTACCCGCCCACTTTTCCGCCCTATGTCGTCTCTTTTCATTTCTTTTCTTCTTCTCGAAAGCGAGGATCGCATTGATAACTACGACTTGCATTGGTGGTATGAAACCCTTTTTCATTGATTGATCGATCGATCGATTTTGGGATCAGCCCTTCGCGGTCTGCTAGCAATGCATGCGTCCCCTTTCTATCATGTGTTATTATGTGGGTTGTTAAACGTACAAGCAAGGAGATGCTTCAAGCTGCGTGACCGCTAGCTCTTGATCTCCCTTTTGGAAGACCTGAATCTCCTCGATGTTCCCTTTCCATCCCCATCCCTTAGAACGCCTGCCACGATCCGAAAACACTCACGACTTTTGGAGGAAGTAAGCTCGCAACGTTCTGCTCACGGGGCACGACTGCTGGCTTATGGCGACCAGCTCGCTATCCATTCAACCCTTCGCATGCACAATCTTCTTTGTCGCTGCCCAACCCTCATTTCACAGCCAAGCACTTGATGTCGAACGTCAACTTGCTGTTTTTGGGTATCCCGGGCAGGGCCTTGTTTCCATATGCCAGGTGCGCGGGGATGATCAATCTTCGTTCGCCGCCGACCTGGATCCCCTGAAGGCCAATGTCCCATCCCTTAATCACTTCACCAGCGCCGAGCTTGAAGCTGAACGGCTTGCCAGACTTGTTGCTGTCAAAGATCTTGCCATTGTCGAGTTTGCCAATGTAGCGCATCTCCAGACGAGCGCCCTTCTTTGCCGCAGGGCCGCTGCCGATCTTGCGGTCGTCGATGGTAACACCTTGAACCTCCTTCACGCCCAAAGACGCGGAGCCCGTGCCTGACTTGTCCTTGCTGTCGGCCTTGGCCGACGAAGGAGGCGTGGCGGATGGAGTTGGCCCCTGTTCCAGGTTCTTGGCGAATTGAACTTTCTTCTCAGAGCTGCCATTGGCCTGCGCTGCTTCCTTCTTGACTTCGGTTGTGGGGGCTTCGACTGCGACAGCTTCGCCATCGTTCTTCTTGAGTTTCTTGAGACGCTTTTTCTCGGCTTTGCTGAGTTTCTCCGGTGCTGAGGTTGATCCTGCTGCCTTGGATTCGTCCTTCTTGAGCGACTTGGCAACAATGTCATCAAGGTTGTCCTCTTCCTCCTCGTCTTCGTCATCTTCGGCAGGACGTTTGTTCTTGCCTTTCCCAGCCAGCTTGATGGCCCTGATAGCGTCGAATTCGTCCTCCTCATCGATTTCCGTGATGCGAGGGTCTTCGAGGTCGTCAAGAGCGTCAGAATCTTCATCGGCGTCCTGGAGGGCGTCGAGCTCGTCCTCGTCGGGCGACAGGTCGTAACCTTCCTCCTCATCGTCTTCATCGTAGAGAGAGGCCGAGCCATCGTCTTGAGGAATGACATAGTTTCCAGTAAGATTGACCGTGTATGCCCCGGAGACCTTGAAGAAGATCTTCTCGCCTTCACCCACAACGAAGTCCAACGTTTGTTGGTAGTTCTAAAAGTGTGGTTAGATCAGAACTCACAATTCAATGGAGACGACTTGCCTTTTCGGGATCGAGAGTGCAGACTACAACCTCATCCATCTCAAGAGCCTCGTCGTCTTCATCTTCTTCATCGTCGGCATCGTCCTCTCCATCCAGGGCCTTAGCTTTCCCTTTCCCCTTGGCGCTTTTCATGAGCTTGGACAACCTTGCGATGGCCGCCGCATCCTCATCCTCATCCTCGTCATTATCCTCGTCTTCCATGTCTTCATCATCTTCATCCTCATCAGCTGCGCTGGCTTTGGACTTCTTCTCGCTCGGCCCGCCATTCACTTCCTCGTCGTCCTCATCTTCGTCGTCGTCTTCATCGTCCTCTTCGTCGTCGATCAGACCAGCAAGGTAGTCCTCATCATCTTCATCATCGTCATCCTCATCGAGCATGCCATCTGGAACTCGGATCAGTTTGAGGGTGGCTCGAGGAGGGCGCTTGTCGTCGGGATCTTCGAGTTCAGGCTCAGCGCTGGGATCAATGGCGGCCATGGTCAGACGAAACTGTACAGACTAGTCAGTACGCACAATCCGCTATGTAGACTAATGACATAACATACCATGGCAGCAAACTCAGGAACAGCGGGGACCATGATGTCGCCTGGAGGGACTTTCATGGCGTAGAGCGCCACAGGTTGAATGCCCGACATTGTAGCAGCGCACTTTTGCAGTATCTCGAAAAGAAAACGATGCTAGGTTAAGTCTAGAAGAGTAATGCTTGCGGAATTAAGGTGTTGTAAGCCGAGTAGAACCTTCAGAGACTCAAGCTTGAGCGCAAAAGATGAGAAGGAAAAAAAGTGAAAACGAGCTTCGCAGTAATTGGAGAGACTTGGAGTTTCGCTGCCTCAGAAACGAGCCTCAAGCCAAGCCATAAATTTTTGCTTATCGATAAGAGATGGGCAAGACGTGGGGGCTTGTGTGGCGCCTGGGCCACTTCGTCTGCCTGCGCCTGTCGCGTTGCTTTGCTCCTCACGCGCCGCAACCCCATTTGCCTCTTGCTCTAGAATGACAGAATGCTTGTATCATCCTCTCCATCAACACCCATGTCAAGACCATAGACCAACCGGATGGCCGTGATGCCCAGGAAGATTGTTTGGCGACGATGACATCTCCTAGCCCACCATGGGCTCCCGACTAGAAAAGAACTCCGCGCTGGTGCGGAAGCGCATTGAGGGCCACACCTTCAGCGACGAGCAAGGCGAGGAATATGAAGCCTCCAAGTTCGGCGGTTTTGCCGACTACATGCGGAGGAAAAAGATCAAACTACAGAACCTAGATGTCGAAATACGCGCAAATTCTGCGGACAAGCCTCCTATTTTCCGCGGTGTCGTCGTCCATGTCAATGGCTATACCCAACCTTCTTTGAGCGATCTCCATACCCTTGTTGTCTCTCATGGCGGCGGCTTCCTTCAGTACCTCGATGGCAAGACTGCTGTCACCCACGTTATCGCCAGCCACCTGACTCCTAAGAAGACGGTCGAGTTTGCACGATACCGCATTGCGAAGCCTGCCTGGGTGGTTGATAGTGTGAAGGCGGGAAAACTGCTACCCTGGGATGCCTACAGATTGGTGGACGAAGGCGTCACCCAGAAAGTGTTAAGTTTTGAGAGTGGTCAAATTATCAGTCAGGTCAATACTCAACAGAGCAGATACAAGGATCAGACCCAGAGAAGTTCGTATCCTTCTCATTTTCCCCGAGCGGAACAGAGTCCAAGTGAAATCAATGAAGAAAGGACACAAGTTCAACAGACAGATGAATCTCCCCTGGACGAAGAAGCGGGTGCTGTGAGGTTTGTGGGTGAAGATGGACCGGAGACGGCTGATGTTGTTCGACCACCTGAAACTACTGGAGCAACATTCGGTTTCGATGGTGGACATGAGGTGTCCGCAAATGACATCGCTGACTTACAGCAAAATTCACCCGAGCCAGGTCAACCAGCAGCCCTCTCTCTGAGTGACTTGCCAAAGGCCGAAAAGCGCCAATTGACGGCTGAAGAGCACAACGCCATTCTCCTCTCCAATCCTCACATGGCCAAGTCGAGCACGGCAAATCCTGACTTCATCAACCAATACTATCGCGAATCCAGGTTACATCACTTATCTACCTGGAAAGCGGATTTAAAAGCTCGGTTGCAGGCACGCACGCAGGAGAAACTGTCGTCTCAAAAGAACAGACTCCGAATGGCACCAGGTGCAAGGAGATACATCATGCACGTCGATTTTGACAGTTTCTTCGCTGCTGTGTCTCTGCGTCAACACCCCCACTTGGTTGACAAACCCGTGGTGATTGCGCACGGTAGCGGACCGGGATCCGAGATTGCGAGTTGTAACTATCCCGCTCGGAAATATGGCATTAAGAATGGCATGTGGATGAAGTCTGCGTTGGCTATGTGTCCAGATCTCAAGATCTTACCATACGACTACAAAGCATATGAAGAGGCTAGCCGCCATTTTTACGATTCTATTCTGGCGATTGACGGCGTGGCTCAGAGTATAAGCATAGATGAGGCGTTGCTGGACGTCAGCGAGCAGTGCATCAAGGTCGGCGGTTCAGACGGAAGAGGTCTGTCGGAGGGGTCCATATACCGAGAACAAGAAGTTGCCCAGCGTCTTGCTCAAGAGTTGCGTGTCTCGGTGAAAGAAAAGACAGGCTGTGACGTTTCGGTGGGTATTGGAGGCAATATTCTGCTCGCAAAGGTCGCTCTGCGAAAGGCCAAACCTGCCGGGCAACACCTGATTAAGCCAGAGGAAGTTCTGGACTTTATCGGCGAACTAACTGTCACAGATCTGCCCGGTGTTGCCTGGAGTATAGGGAACAAGCTGGAAGAAATCGGGATCAAATTCGTCAAGGATATTAGAGCCTGCACGAAAGATAGGCTGATCACCACCTTAGGCCCAAAAACCGGTGAGAAAATATGGGATTACTCTCGAGGCATCGACAGACAGGAAGTGGGCGACCAAGTGATCCGAAAGTCGGTGTCGGCCGAAATCAACTGGGGAATCCGGTTCGTCAATCAACAACAGGCCGAAGAATTTGTTCAAAGTCTTTGCGAGGAGTTGTCGCGGCGGCTTCTGGAGCAACTGCTCAAAGGACGACAATTGACCATGAAGATCATGCGCAAAGCTGCAGACGCTGGCCTAGACCCTCCGAAGAACCTGGGCCATGGCAAATGTGACACTTTCAACAAAAGTGTCGTGCTTGGGGTTGCCACAAATGACGCAGCTATCTTGGGAAAAGAAGCGATTTCCATCCTGCGTGGTTATGGCTTCCCTCCTGGAGAGCTACGAGGACTGGGCGTACAAATGCAGAAACTGGAGCCACTAAAGCCGTCCGCCGCGAGCTCAGGCGGGTATATGGACGGCAGCCAGCGAAGGCTACAATTCAAGAAGCCTGTCACACATACATCAACATCCCCTGGGCTGAAGAACCAGGACAGACAGAGCCCACTCCCCGAACGGACTCCGACGTCCAAAGAGGCGACTGATCCTATCGAAGAGGTGCCTACTCCCGAGAAGCCGAAACCGGGTGAGGCCATTGCTGGTGCCATTGAGATAGCTGTCGCAGCCGGCGAAGAGACACCCACCCAGAAGCCTCTAAATATCGGCGGTACACAGTTCATGCTCCCATCTCAGATTGATCCAACCGTACTCGCAGAGCTACCGGCGGATATCAGGAACAAAATTGTGCCCAGACAAAAGAGTATCTTGGACATTATGAGCACCTCTGCTCGTGCGGCATCGCCCTCCAACGAACCGCTATCGCGCTCCGTCTCGCCCTTTCCGAGTGACAATGAGGCTGCATTACCCAGCCAGAGTCAACTTGATCCCGAAACACTAGCAGCGCTCCCGCCAGACGTCAGGGACGAAGTGCTGGCCCAGTACAAGCATCGAGACAAAAGAGAAAAGACCCCAGCACTACAAAGAGTGCTGCCTCAATCGCCTCACAAACCCAGGGCGTTGGGTCCAGCGAAGAAGCTAGTTGTGACGCCAAGCAAGAAGCAGAAGACGACATCATTGTTCGGCAAGCCTGGTTCGAAGCGAGGTGGCGACTCTTCTTCGACCCTCACACAGTCCAATTTCGTGTCTATGCCCAAGCCGAATCTGAATCGACCAGATCCAGACTCCCACATCTTCGAAGAAATATCCGAGTCGTTTCTTAACGAATTGCCCGAAGACATTCGCTTGGAAATTCTCGCAGAACAGAAGAGAAACCGAATGAAATCCCGGTCTGGCCTGAACTACGACATTAACCGGAAAAAGACCAAAACGACTACTCCAGCAGAAGCTGCAGTGCGAGGGCAACAGAAGCTCCAATTAACAAATAAACCCGATAGACCAACATTCACTTCTCAGAAGCTGAGTTCCCTACCGGAACTGCGAGATGCCATCTCAGCTTGGGTACGGGAGCTCTCCGTCGACGGTGAAGAACCTGATATGGAGGATGTAACTGCACTCTCTGATTACCTGGCCAAGGTCGTCTCTGTTGAGCGGGACATGGCCAAGGCTGTCGCTGTGGTCAATTGGCTTGGGCTGGTGATAGAGTACGAGAACTTTGGCAGTGACGAGACCCGCGGGTCGTGGGAGAAAGCGCTGGCTGTTCTGAAACGAGAGGTGCAGAAGGCTGTCATGGCTAGAGGTCTGCCTGCGGTGGTATTTGAATACTAGAGTGAATTTCGAGCAAGATCAAAGAGACTCTGAGACGATATGTTCATGATCGCAGCAGAACCTGTGCTATGTTGTCGCTTCACTTCGCACGCGTTCTTGCCTCACACCAAGGAAGAATTCAGCGCAGGTGCGTCCCTTGCCGTCTTTATGAAAACCTCCTCCGCCCGACCACATCAACTTCTACTCTCTCTTTGATCATTCAACCATTAGCATCCCCATTGGCATTGGCTTTCGCTTTGACTTTACTTACTTCTCCATTGCTCTTATACCCATATCTTATACAGACACCAGCAGCAACTCTTGCGGTCAGTGTGCCCTTCACCCACGCCATGCCGCTCATGACGGCCTTGAGTCGAAAACGACGACCATCCTCTCCTCCTCCGCCCTCCCATTCGGCTCGCTGGGCCAACCCGCCGCTCTCCAAAATCCCAAAACTCAACCATCTCTTCGATGGGACAGGCTCGCGATCGATGGAGTCCACCAGCACCGGACGGTCAAAGCTCAGCGTCAAGAGCCAGCTCAAGAGAGGGGTCTCCAGCATCAAGACGGTGCTGGGCTTGGGAGACAGATGTAGTGACGGCAGCGTCCAGCATCATACTGAGGCCATGTTTCCACTGACCCAGGGAAATCAATCCGTATATTTACTCTCCAACGAATCGAATACAACAATGATCCACCAACCTCTGAGGATTCGACTCACTGCAATCGCCGACAGCCCAGAAGATGACCAGGAAACATTAGTGTCTCCGACTATCAGCAGCGCCCCGATTACCCCCGGGTTACACGAAATCCCTGAAAATGAAGATGATAATCCCTATGATGTTTATACCACCCACAATAGTGGCAGGGAGATATCCCGGAGTCAATCTGCTCCTGGACTCCAGCGCCGCATCAGCCAGAAGTTTCAACAAGCATTCGGCAATGGGAATTCGACTGTTGTCAAGAAGTCAGAGTTACGCTCGAGACCTAGCGTTCAGACGCTGCTGCGGGAATCAGCCATGGCTTCCTCTACACCGTTCTCATCTACGCCTTCCACATTGAACAGTGGTACCTTTTCCTCCATCGATCGTAATGCATCGACTCCGCAGACATCGGAGCCTATAACTCCACTGTCGACCGTCCGTCGCGGGAGCGTCAATTCATCCGACATCGACCACCAGACTTTCACAGGAGAAAGTCGCTTGCTTAGTCCCATTCCGGAGGGCGTCATTTCTCCTTCCCTTACCATCAGGACGGTCGAAGCCGCTGCCACGACCAAAATGTTTTTCGAGCTCCACTTCAACTCATTGTTCGGTGACACTTCGCCGAGAGCAACACGGCGGAAGGATTTGGAGAAGCGGATGCGAGAACTGCATCTGCCTCCAGGTATTCGGGATCGCGCTCGGAAAGCATGGGAGGTGGCTAAGAGCGAGAATCTCCGGCAGCATCGAGTGCTGAAAAATACGACCAACGAAGCCAAAGCAAGCAAAGGAGTCAGCGTCGGTGGCTTTGAAGTGGTCAGCGTCCTTGGAAAAGGGAGCTTTGGGGTCGTTCGACTGGTCAAGGCAAAAAACAGTCAGGATGGGTTGCACAGCCCTGAAGGGAGGGATACCGACAAAATGCTGACCAATGTATCTTCTCGCTCCAGCCTCAAGTCTTCCAGCAGAGCGCTGTCTGGCAGCCTCTTTAACAAGCGCACGAATTCCATCCAGGCCAGGAAGGAAGTCTACGCGATGAAGGTGATTCGCAAGTCAGATATGATCCGCAATGGACAAGAGGGACATCTACGAGCCGAGCGCGATTTCCTGGTGGCAGCAGAGGGCTCAAAATGGGTTATTCCACTGATTGCCGCTTTTCAGGACCGGAAACACTTGTACCTAGTCATGGAGTACTGCATTGGAGGCGATTTTCTGGGGCTGCTCATCCGCAAGAACACCCTCAGCGAAGAGTTCACGAAATTCTACATTGCGGAAATGATTCTCTGCGTCGAAGAAGCCCATCGCATGCAGTGGATTCACCGAGATGTGAAGCCAGACAATTTTCTCATTGCGTTCGACGGGCATTTGAAGATTTCAGACTTTGGTCTGGCTTTCGATGGAGACTGGTCTCACGACCAAAGGTTCTATCAAAAGAACCGTCACTCGCTGTTGGACGAATTGGGGATTGTCGTGGACGGTGACGAGCAGGACAAACAGGAGAAGGAAGCCCAGTCACACCACGCAAGCAGGAAGCATGGAAAAGACGATTCGACATACAAGGAGGAACCTACGCTTGGGGAGCCAATCTTGGATTGGCGCAACCGGTCGCAACGTCGACGTTTGGCCCGTTCAGTGGTTGGAACTTCGCAGTACATGGCCCCCGAAGTCATTCGCGGCGAGATGTACGACGGACGATGCGACTAGTGGAGCATTGCGATTATCATGTACGAGTGTCTGTTCGGTTTCACTCCCTTTGCTTGCGACGACCGCCATCAAACCAAGCTAAAGATCCTGCAGCACAAGAAAACTCTGGTGTTTCCGCAGCCAGATGGTGTTCCAGAACCGAGCATGGAAGCGCTGGACCTCATGATGCAAATCCTTGTCGAGAAGGAGAAACGCCTCTGTAGCCGTCAGTATGAGCACAATGACTTCACCAGGAAGATTGTTGGTGGCCGACTTGTTCGTTGCGTCGCGGACAAGGCTCATCAAAACTACCAGGGATATTTTGTCTACCCTGGCGATGCAGAAGATATCAAGCGCCATGCATGGTTTGCGGATATGGATTGGGACACTTTCTACCGGCGACGTCCGCCTTATCAGCCTCGCGTCCGAGATTGGGAAGATACCAAATACTTTGATGACGAAGATCCCATCTCCGACATTGATTCTGCGACAACACTGGACGAAGTGGGTCTTGCCGTCGGGGTGGAAACTGCTGCTCAAAATCCAAATCCAAAGCGCAAAACCACTCAAGTGAGCCATCATCATGCGGAAGGGCAGAACATTGTCCCATCCACCGCCATCAATCTTCCTCCTCCCCAGGAATGTCCCGGACTTGGCCTCAACCATGCTGAAGTCGAGCTTATCAATGGGTTAAGAAATCCTCTCATGCAACCGCGGGTGAACGGGTGCCCGACAACTGGAGCCACCCTTGTAGAGACGGGTCTCCATGTTGAAGGCCCTCTAGCGACGGTCAGCGCCGAGAACGTCAAACCTAAGGCCAGGAAGAGGGAAAAGAAGAGGCCTAGGGACATCATTCTGCGGGACCCTGCTGCGGGACCGCCAGCTTTAGAGACTCGGAAACTTGGCGCCTTCATGGGCTATGAGTATCGTCAGCCTGCAATGGCCCAGGACATTATAGAACAGGTGGTTGCGGAAGAGATGGAGGGAAACAAAATCAAGACGCATCGGCAAGGATGTGATCCGCATGATCCTGACCTAACGTACGAGAGGCGGGTATTCATGGACGCCGGCGGGCAGTTGTCACCCCGCTACCGGGCTGGGCTGATGTGAGCGTTCAGTCCTTGACTATGGTTGTTCCGATGGTGGTGGTGCTGAGAAAGCGGATGGGTCTATTCCGTTTGTGCATGCTGCGTATTTCTCTGCCTGGTGGACAGTGTGGCCATAAGAAGAAGCGGGATCAGTAAGATGGTCGACCCATGCGAAGACATAAGTTTAGCATTGGCGAATGCATATTCTTAATGCACCTCCCAATGGGAGTCATCTAACCTCTATGCTTTATCATCTATGTACAAGGGTGCCCCCTAGAGCTTGGTATCTGCTTGTTCAAACTCCTTGCTGAAGGGGTAATCGATGTAGCCCACTTCAGACTTGGGGGTGTAGAAGGTGTCTCGATTGTACGGGCTCAAGTCAATGTTGTTTGCAATTCTGAAGGCCAAATCGGGCGTGGAGATGTAATAGCGTCCGAAGACAATGGCAATGTCCCGATCCTTGTATTCCTCGTCGACGGCGCGGCGGGCGCTTGCCGGGCGGAAGCCGCCTGCGATCAGCACGGGGGAGGTGTTGTCCCAGACGTCGATGAGGGGGTCGATCTTCTCGGTGGCCTCGACGTCGGCGTTGCCCGAGATGCGCGACTCGACGAGGTGCATGTAGGCGAGGTTGAGCTCCTTGAGCCCGCGCATGAAGTGGGTGAACTGCGGCAGGGGGTCGCGCATCTTCATGCCCTGGAAGGTGCTGAAGGGGCTGAGGCGGATGCCGGTGCGGTGGGCGCCAACGGCGGCGACGACGGCGCGGGCGACCTCGAGGCCGAAGCGCGACCGCCGCTCCACGCTGCCGCCGTACTCGTCGGTGCGCACGTTGCACACGTCCTGCGTGAACTGGTCGATTAGGTAGCCGTTGGCGGCGTGGATCTCGACGCCGTCGAACCCGGCGCCCTCGACCGCGTTGCGCGCCGCCGTCGCGTAGTCGTCAACCCAGCCCTGGATCTCGTCGCGGCGGATCTCGCGCGGCACGGGGCTGTCGGGCCCCACCGGCGTGGGCGACGACGAGACCACCTCGATGCCCTGGCTGGCCGCGTACGCCGGGTTCGCCGTGCGGCCCAGCGCCCACAGCTGCAGGTACACGTAGCAGCCCTTGGCGTGCACGGCGTCGGTGACGCGCTTCCACGCCGCCACCTGCTCCGCCGTGTAGATCCCCGGCACGTTCGGGTAACCCCCCGCGCGCTGCGAGATGAAGGTCGCCTCGGTGATCAGCAGCGTGCCCGGCACGCAGGACCGCTGGCTGTAGTACGTCGTCGCCGCGGGGAGGATCACGTGCGACTCGTCGGCCCGGAAGCGCGTCAGCGGCGCCATCACCAGCCGGTGCTGCAGCGTCATGTTGCCGACCTTGAGCGGCTCGAAGAGCCGTGACGGCGCCGACACGGGGAGAGAGCCCATGATTCCCCTGTTATTGTTTTTTTTGGCTTTGATTGTTCTGTTTTAGATGTTGGTTAGTGGTCTGGACGCGGGGTCTTGACAAATGATGCCGTGTTTGATGCCGGTCGGTTAAAGCTGGTTTTTTGCGGGGTTTTTTCCCTCCAAGACCACCTCCGCGGGCGTGCTGCTGAGGACGACGAATAAGAGATGGGTGAGGTGTTGAGCAGTGAGGTAACGGCAGGAATAGTTGCCTTGGTTCTGACCCGCGTTGTTGAAAAGAATATATATATTCCTATCACGAAAAGATGTTACAAGTACGTGCCCATCGAAGGATCGGCAGGGGGTTTTTCGGGGATGGGGTTTTTGATAAGGCAGGGAGAAACAGCTCTCTTGGTTGGTTGTAAGTGTCGCTGTTCATGAATTGTATTGGTCAGCAACATCTCCAACGGCCTCTTTGATTGGCTGATATTGACGACATCGTCCCGTTCAGGGAGAGAATCCAGAGGAGCTTTGGCTGTGTAAGCGAGCCAATGGTGTCGCGTCGAGCAATGCCGTCGGAGAGACGGCTGAAAGCGTAGCCCTGGAGTGTTGGAGGCCGCAAGGCTGCCCAAGGCTGACTGGCGCCGGCGACAGACAAAAGTCTATTCAAACTTCCACGTTGGTTGGCATTCTGTGGCCCACGGCGATAGTCTTCATGTTGATAGATTCCAATGACGGCGCAGTTGCTCGTCTGCAAAGGGTGTAGATTGCCACCACGAGGGTTTTGTCATCCAGGTGAAGTCTATCCTCTTGGGAATGGAATATGCAACCTTGACTCACACAAGTCCTTACCTGAAGCGGGACTTTCAAAGACTCCAGGAGACCTCAAGTCGAGCTTCCAAGGCTCGGGGAAAAGGAGCGGGGGATTGTGGCCAACTGGCGAGGTGGGTGGTGAAGAAGGTTCTTGCCGTGCTGCGGGGAAACAGATCTTCTTTACCTCTAGGGAGCTCGAAATATCCATCTTGAGAGGTGTCAAAAGCATCTTCTGAGCACGGGATGGTATGGTGACCGGGCAAGACAGCGGGGAGAGAAGGAGAAAGGGGATCATGGAGATATGAAAGAGGAGTTGAATGCTCGTCACTATTAAAGTGGGAGGGCGAGCACGTGGCTAGTCACGTGCATGCCCTAGAAGGTCGTGCAGAACCCGCTCTTTGTCTTGGCGCCAAGACTCCTAGTCACATGCCTCCACCGACGGGCATTTGTGTCGCCGAGTCCCAAAGTCACTTTGAGCTCCCAGCCATGCCCACGCAGTGCGCCCTCTCCCTCTCGCTGTGCTCTCGGCCGTTGCAACATGGGAAAGTCGAGTGAGAAATCAGCGGGGAACTACAAGCCAGGTACCCAGGCAGCCAACTGGCTCTGACCTCAGACTAATTTCAAGGAACCAGTACTCTGTCGGCTTTCGAGGCACTACTACCGCACCACCGCTACTCGTACGAAAGCACATTGAGATAGGTTCCGTCACCTGATTCCCAATCTCCAAAATCATCAAGACCTTCCCTTTGGAGGGCAGCGCATGACAATGGCTACCACCGTGGCGCCGTTAAAGAAAGGTACAGTCAATACACATCTTCACCGCATCGTGGATTCGTTGCACCTGAAGTGAGATTGATCGCTCCCCTGTAGAGAACCGGGGTCTGCAACGAGACCGGTGTTATAAAAAGAGTGCCAGAGCCACCATGGTGTCTAGACCGGTCAGATCAACAGGTGATCCGCCTGTCTAGCTTTGCCGGCACCGACAAGCTGTCAGTCTCACCAGACGGCTCCCCACTGAAACTCTCAAAATATCTGAAGAGTTTCCCTGGATCTTCTCTTACCCGAGATCTCGTGGAAGGATTAATAATCGAATCCAGCAGTACGTCGCTCTCGGTCAAGACCGAGATACACCACCACACAATGGTTTTGCAGGGCAGGCCACACGGCCTAATGCCGAGGACTCGGCGCATCTCACAATATTCTTTCCATGCCTTGAAGTGCATGAGTCCGATTTGTCGGTGGCCCGCACAGTACTCGGACAGGGCCAGGAACAAGAATGCCACCACGTCTTCATCGCTCGAGTCTTTTTGATTGGCCAGCGCGGATATTCTCTGCCGTGTTTGTGCAAGGATGAAGTTCTGTCGGGCGGCAAGATAGTGGTTCTCGGCGGCGAACAGATCGCTCTCAGCCTGTGGCCCGTATTTTCGGTAATGGTTGGCGCTGAAGAGTAGTATCATGGTCTCGAAACACCATTGGCTTGAGACAGCAAATGGGATAAACAGCTTGAGCACAGGGTCGTGTTTCTGGACGATCTCCGGGTAAACGTCCAAGCCCAGCATGGATACTGCATTTAGCGCGAAGTACCGGATCAAATTACGATCGCTGGGCGTCAAGGCCAGACGCGACCCGTCGACTGACTGTTGGAGTTCTCGCAGAACAGTGCGCTGCGGCTCGTCTTCGGATCCAGGAAAGCGATCTTGCAGGGTCGCCTGCTGCTCAGGGGGGGTGGTTTCGATCTTCAGCCCTTCGAGTAAGGATAACCCGAACTCTGATCGACTCTCCATGCTCGCCCTGCGCGACTTGCAGCGCAGTCGCGGAGAATGACGCTCCGCATCATAGGCACTGGCACTGGAGCGGGGAGATTCGGCGTCGACAAAGGGAAAGGGAGAATTGCTTAATCTGGAATCTTCTGAGGGGTCGTCATCCCCCGGTGCCGGTGACGGTGCACGTCGCTTCCTCCTGTCGACCGCAGTTCGCTCAGACGACTTGCTGTCTTGGTCCTCCAGCTTGGTCCGTGGCTCGGGTTTAATTGCTGTCCTCGGACGTGGTGATTCTGAGCGCGGCTTCCTTAGAAATGGCGACACCGTGACACTATCCCTCTGGAAGTCGATGACTGCTGCATAATGGGAGATGCGGTTTTTGGTCGCCCGGCCTGATTCGCTAGACTGGGAGAGCGCCGCATCCGTGGCCTCTGGATTTGGCCCTGCATTTTCCTCTTTTGGCCGCATCCATCGCAACGGCGAGAACTGGTTTCGAGACACCCATTCTGATCTGGCCTCTCTCTTGGACCTCACCCGATCTTTCATCAAATGCGCCCGTGCTGTCTCGGTGACTCCGCGTCGGTTAATGTCATAGTCTACAAAGGTAAACACCCTCCCCTCCGATTTTGAGTTGGACATGCTGTCGGCTGGCTGTGGTGCTGGTTTATAGCGACGGGATGACTTGTCCCTTCCCTGTTGGATCATAATGTATCGTTGTCCTCGGGTATATAGAGCCTTGAGAGGGGATGTGCCTACGGCTGCTCTCCGATATTACTCATCCCTGAGCCCCATCGACCATGACCCTTTGCACAGGCGACCTTCTGACTAGCGGCGACCAAGTCAAATCTGAGGAGGCAGGATCTCCCACAGCATTGAAACGGCGATAACCGCCAGGGCCTAAAGGGCTCGACCCAATCGGCAAGGGTGTGCCGGCAGCTGTACCACACTATTCCCGTTTTTGAGAAGAAGAAAATGCGCCTGATTGGTTGCGGGATGTTGGTGGTAGAGGCGAGATGGGCGCTCCAGTTTCTCCATCTTGAAGCAGCAAAATATCCGCGACAAACTACGTACACCATGGCGCCCATAAACGATTCCTTCTCGTTGGTCTCATATCATCCGGCCCCTGGGCTTACTCGTCGGCCAATCACTGCCCATATTCCCCGATAGTTCTCATTGCGGCACGTCCACTTCCTCCCTAGCCTCGACGGCGGACCTGGAGGTATTCTGCACGCCATGCATACGAGGACGCCACTTGGCCAGCAACCAGCTTGCTGGCCTCCGGATCCAACTGGTCAGACTGTCCACAGACTTCACGCCGGATTCTTTGTCAGCCGCCATCTTCTTCAAATTTCTTAGTCATTGCATTGCTACCCGGCTTCTGGAGCCCGACCACCATGGCGAGGCAGAATGACATGGTGTTCGGACGTAGGCTTCCATGGCCTCGAAGCGATCTATCTCCCTTCGGGGCAGTTCTTCTCTCATGACACGGGGCGTGAGACCAAAGCCACTCGGCCTTGGTGCAGCTGAAGCGAGCCGCACTTCCGCCTATCGTTTCCGCTTTGCGAACTGGCCTCGAGCGTCCTCTTCGAAGAGGGGGTTTTCCAACATTCTAGGGCTTGCTCGTTAGGGACCATTTCCTGACAAGCATCCCTACTGCCAGGACCGCATGCTAGTTTGACGCTGACTGCATGGGCTTGTACCATCCGCCCAAGTTCGCTAAGCAATATCCATGTCAGTTTGGAAATTTACTATAATTTACTATAGCCACAGACCCAGTGTCTAGCGTACGCAGCGGATCATGGGAATGCTGACATTTCCACGGGGCGAAGAGGAGCCCAGGCACCCATGTGTTTCTGGTCCCCAGACGAAACGGATGGGAACGAAAGAGCATACGACCTATGCATTTATCCCCCACTCAGGGCCGGATCCCTCCCCACTTGAATAGGCCTATTTTCCATCGTGATAGCCTGTCTCCCCAGTTGTTTTCGACTCCCAGTGCTCGTCGGCCATCGGTCGTAACAGCCTTATACCCGCAGCAGACCCGGTTGAGACCCTTCTAGCGGCACTGAGACGAACTAGTGGTTCAACAAGGAGCCACCGAGAAGAGCAAGATCTGACATGAATCCACATCAGCGAAGCTTAGGGGAGCGGATCAGCATCGAAATTTGCCGACTAGTTATACTATATTATCCAATACAGAGCGGAACCTTGTTACTACGCGTATGGCGAAGTAAATGCGGGAGAGACCTGATCTAACCAGTTCTGTTCTATAGGACATACGAGGTACATCGATATCATCTCGGGAAGCTAACTGTTTGTGCTCGCTGACTACAGGCATCCTAGTGCCCACAACATTTGTGCAAGGCTTTGTGTGGAAAACTAGGTCAACTATACTCCGTTGATTGCTCACCACCAACTAAAGGCCACCGGGAGCGCCCCCAGGCCTCTCCAAAGGACTTTACACTAGAAAGAACCCTTGCAAGCGACCCGCGAGGATTGGAGCTATGCGTTCCTACCGCACGGATCTACAACTTCGCCGCGCCCCCAGATCTAACGTCTCGGTATAGAGTCGATCCCCCGACGGCCAGCAGGGTGATGGTAACTAGTACCCATGAAACAGGAGATTTATTTCAGTGGCCTGAGTCAGACTACCTCACCGGAGCTCTGCACCAAGGTATCTCTACCTCTATCTCTCTAAGCTACACAGTGATATCTTGGGCCTCGCTGCTCTTGACCAGACAGCAAATAGACTTCTGTCTTACCGGAACTGGAAAGCAGAATCTTTGCAAACAAGGCTCCAGCTCATCACCGTCGCAGCGAATGGCGAGGAGCATTCCGGCATTTTGACAACCTCGCGGGACCTCTCGACTAGCCTTGACCACATCCCCCTTCCACCCGCGTCGCATCAGCCTTGCTCCCCTCCTGCGTTGGCCAACCGGATCGAGGCTTCACCCTCGAGGCTCAGGTGAACACCGGTCCTCTCGGCCGGGATGGTGGTGCCGGTGTATTGTTCAAGCGTGCTCCAAAGCTTAGCAAAGCTTGAATACTGCTGACTACACAAGGTACATGGGATGGTGCCGTTGTCTAGAATCTTTCATGAGCAACCCGTTACGCGTAAGCTAAACGGACACAATCCGGGGTACCTTGCATAGAAGCTGCTCGTCGGGAGCCGCATTGGACTAGGTTGCGAAGAGCAGGTGCCGAGTGGATGCTCGGGACGTCTGACGAGAACGAGGAGATGGCTGGGCAACAACCTGGCTGTTACAGTAGTACGGAGTACGAAGTAGCCTGCCCGTTTTCCCCCACTGGCGTCGAGGAACTAATAAGCATGTCCTGGTCGGTTGCCACAAGGAGGTACTTACACTTTCGGCAATATATCCTCCCGTCACCTTCGGTTCCGTAGTCGCACGGGACGGGAAAACCACGTGATGCTCCGACGGCCCTCTGAGAAATCGCCCGTTTTTCTTTGGTTCGATTCTGCTTCCCTGGGTCGGCAGGGCGGTGGGACAAATAGACCGACCGAGACCTTTTCTTCCATTCCGCGGTGTCGATTTTTCGATTTGTCAAAATGCCCTTTTCGCCCTTGGATTTCTGGCATACTAGACCCGGACGATGTCGTGTGGGGCCACAAAATATTACAGATACAACCATGTACCAGGAAAAATACATTCCGTGAGATACAGTATATTCCAGGCTGTGGCGGAGTCAGAGTGTAGTGTCTGCGACGGCGGGCTGCCTGGTGTGCATTTTTCGAGCGTGTAGGCAGAAGAGATCTCTTGGTTGTCCACACTCGGAGCCGATTATGGCGGCCGGGAACTCGAACCAGCTGCCACGAGAGAGACCGGGCTGTGCAGAAACGTCGGTCGTCGGGCGAACAATGGCTCCCATCGTCTTGCCCCGATGATATTTTCCCTAGGGCAAGGACTTGGCAGTGGACTAGTTGCCATCCTGCAGCTGGGCTGTTTTTCTTGGGCCACACCATGAGGTTCTATTCTTGTCATCGCCGCCTGCCCATCTTTGAGTAGCTGCACCATCACCAAACCTCTAGCTTCGTGTCTCCACGCCGGACAACAATGTCTGGAGTTACAGGCGTCACTCTGCGGTTGGACACCAAAGCGCGACTTTGAACGCTACGAGATGAACCTTTCGATCTTGCGAACGTCTCCATTTCGCCATTTGGGCTGCTCGAATATTCGGCAAAGAACTGCCTCCTTTGCCCAAGCCAATGCAGCAGCCGAAGCACCTGTACGCACTGTCGAGCCACACGAGGTCGAGGAAAAGTTGCAGGCGATGGAGCAAGCCTTCATCGACATGGCTGCCCATATTCGATGCGGTGCAAGACCGGGTTGGGCCTGAAGTGGAAACTGAATTGTTAGAAGGCCAAGGTCCGGGTAATACTCCTGATACATACCTATCCAAGTTTGAGGGTCGATTTATGTGGCTCAGGAAAGACAATGAGCGGGCAGAGTCACTTGTCGAATATCTCATATGCCCAGAGACTTTCCTTCTCGATGAAGACACAAGACGAAGTGGCCACTGGAAAAATTCATTGGAGGCATACAGGGCACGTGCTCGACCAGGTCGGCAGGCTTCTAATTTGTGCCACGGTGACAGTGGTGGACAAGGAGCACCTGTCGTCGACTTTATTCACCTGGCGAGGCTGACAAGGCTGAACTCCCTTATGCCCCCCTGGGGTGCGTTGTGAGGTCATATGATGTCATTTTGCGGGTCGCTGGAAGGGGGGCCTAAGAATACACTTCTCAAGGTACACGTCGACCTTTCCTTGTACAAACACCGTGAGTATCCCATCCAGCCAATTACTCCTCAGGCAGAAGAGACAAGGCCTATTCCAAGCTGCTTTCGTTCAAATCCGACTCTCCGCCTTCGCATCCGCCATGACAGATTCGAAACGTGACCACTCGGCCCAGTTCGACCCAGCGTCACTCGACGCGAATCAGCACGGGATCACACAGTAAGTCCCCCCTTTTGATCTCTGAGCATGGCTGTCCTCTTAGTCCAACTCTATCAAGGGATTCTATATACTCCCAAGAGTCCAGAGGATGGCATCGTGTAATGAGGGTGGGACCAGAAGTGAAAAGTAGCATTCGGGCTCCCTTGACCGTCACCCACGCCGACCCCTCGGAAAACACTCGTCTGTCCACTCACTGACATGTCCTTCTTGAACCCACGTCAGAAATACCATTGACGAACAGAAGTCCAACTACGGCTCCAAGACTTCGGTGGACCGCGACGTTGGGGGGAAGATGCCCGCTTCCAAAGTCTCCACGGGGGCTTACAGTCTACCCGAGATCAGCAGCGGTGGACAGTCATTGAGCGACAGTGTGAACGAAGCGTTGCAAGGCAGGACGGGCATGGCGCAGGACAAGGCACAGCGGATCGGCGATGGTCTGAAAGTTGGGGCGGAGGAAGATCTGCACGACCTGGCGGCGGCGAAGCAGCCGTGAGCCCCCCCGCTGTTGTCGGGTTGTCCTGTGTGCACGTTCGAACAAACGATGCTCGGCTAGGAGCATTTATCGTTCAAAGCAGTTTGGTCATACACAGGGATCAGAATGGGTATATGGGGGACGCAGTTCTTGTAGCTGGGACATGCGTGACCCGCAATGGGACCGCATCTGCACGGGCTGATTACCATACCTTGTAGAATCTGTGAGAGTGCTTCCCAGCATTTGCTCGTTTCCTACTCTTCCGCCAACAGCTCTGTCGGCCACTACACACACCGGAAAGGTCCAAGAACACACACTCACACACACACACACTCTCTCTCTCTCTCTCTCTCTCTCTCTCATTCTCACAGAACCTTTTGCCGAGCAGCTATATCTCATCCGCAAGACAAATGCAGCACAGATCCCTTGCAACTCCCAAGGCTGCAATGTCTCCAGTCCAAGGCCAAACAAAGAAAGAGAAAAATGTTTTAGTAATGGTTTTGGTAAGCAACACACACGCCCCCTGCCGCATCTGAGGTTTGGTCCCTTCCCACGATACATCCGGGGAAGACACAAGGGGAAAAGGGGATCTAGATTACGTCTAGGTAGCTTAGGGTACATAACTAGTAATAGTTCGAGCACCAACACCAACCAGGTCAGATCGGGGACTCGGTGGATACTCCGCACGGCCAATCGACTGCTACTGATTCTTTGTTAAAAGGGGCTTAGTGGCCCTTTTTAAACAAGTGCCCTTGGCTGCGACGGAGTATTCGTTTCTGTCCTGCCATTATATGCAAAGGTCCCCATCCCAGTGACATTCCCACTTCGAGCACAGTTGGCTCTGGAGCCCATTCTTTGCTGGCCGCCCGTCGGGAAGTCTCTTTCCCTTCGGTGACGGGGAAACAACACTACTCAGGGTACGGCTTACGAAAAAAAACCCGCGCGAAGTCACTCTGACAGACGTGGATGCTATGCTCCTCGGGGCAAAAAAAAGGCTCGAGGCTACGTGGAGAACCCCGTTTGGGAGTGTCCAAGCAAGCTGCGAAGCCCTGTTTCGTATGGACGATTGCGACCCCACGGCCTCTTGTCTTCTTTCGTAAAAAGCATATGCAACACCGTGCCCACATCTCTAGACCGAAACGAGGCCTTTTACCATTTCACCCATCCGGAAGGCGTACTTTACCTGCATGCATGCATGTATGTATGTACGTATGTCCAATGGACCGCTTCCGACTCAGTCCGTCGGCCGGATTGCGTGTTTTCGATGGAGCTGGAGCCTCGAGACTTTTGGCGCGACGTCGACGCCATGGGGCAGGATAGTTGGGCGGGAAAGTCAAGCAAGTCGCCCGGCCGGAGGAGACTTGGGTCCCTCCCGGGGGTAAGCAAAAACCCACTGATTACGTTGCTTGCTAAGACATTTCTCAGCGAGCGCCGTTGCATGTAATGTAATGCCGTGCCAGAGGGTCCAGCAGTTGTCGTTGCATCTGGAAGCCGCCTTTTGCGGACTCCACTGTTTGTTGTTGTTGTGGCAGAGGCGGGCGAAGCGGCCGATGGGAAAAGTGGTCGGGAAGCGGGAAGGTGAGGATTTCCCAATCGGGCAATCCCCGCGCCGGAAGCGGGGGGACTCATTAAATATTAACATCCACTTCAAATGACACGCATATTCTAATGAATGCTTTGTCACCGGAGAATGCATGCTGCACCCGTCCAGGGCGATCATCAGGTATGGACTTCATCCCACGCAGCTGGCTTCCGGAGAAATGTGCTCAACAGGAAGGTACTCGTAGTCTCCGTCTTTGTCATCGCCTTCGTCCCAGGAGATCTGCACGCCAGGCTCCTAGCTTTGCTGATTGATGTTGGGCGTGCGTGCCTGGGACAGCCTTACCCTCCTGGACCATGGATCCCTCGCAACCTCCCTAGCGATGTCGGCTACCCCTCCCCCAGCAGCCCACGGCCTCGTCTTATACTTTGCCGTGCAGGTTGATGTCCGCCTTGAGACTCCCCTCGAACGAGTGGGTAGCTGTGCTGACGTTTCTCTCCCATCCCCCTGGGCCTCCACCCACCTACTTGTACGCAGGGGTCAAGACCCTGAAAGAACCTCGACGGTGCCGGCCAGGTCATTTCGGGCGGGGATTTATCACCTGGTATAGTCTAAGATCCTACAACAATCCTCATCGCAGGGGAAAGTGACGGTCGTTGCGTCGTTGTTCCTTTCGAATCCGTTGGATCATCCCGCCAACCCAGCTGAGAAGGTATCGGCTGCTAGATTTCGGCTAGAAAGAAAACCATCCTTCTCATCCTCTGAAACCCCCTTTATCAACCCAACATAGCCAAAACTATTTCCACCAGGCTTCCTTCAAACACTCACCAAGGGCCACGAGGATTTCTGCTCGGACTAGAGTCGATTCTGGCCAAGCCGGGACAATTCCACATGCTCGTCCGCAGTGGAGTCGCTCCTACATTACAGTGGTAGGTCCAGTGGCCAGAACAACTACGGTTTGCAGGACACCACCCAACTCGACAACTGGCCGACTGACACAGGATGGAGGCGCTCTTGCTTACTTGGGCCATCGAGGCGGGGCTGAGAATGGTGTGTTCCTTTTCTCCCTCCTTTGTGCCCCCGCCAGTCTCACAAGGCTTTAAGTCGGCGATATGCTTACGGCACCCACAGATGTTGCCAATTCCCCACGGTGACAAGCTCCGCAAGCTATTTCCGCTGAGGACTGTGAGATAGGGGCTTTGTCAAGGGGACAGGTGAGAGCTTCAGACACTCTCGGAAGGGAACCCGTTACTAAAAGGAGGCGACGATCCCCACCGTCCTGCGTTCCTGCTGCTGCCCTCCAAGAAATAACAGTCCAAAGGAGAAGATACCACGGCAGCCTCTTCGCCACCGCTGACTCCTGTTCGGATCGCACCATGCAGAGCCTCCCCCAGACGTCAGAAGGACCCTCTGTAGCCATTCGGGATGTGTCTGAGTTCCGTGTCCCTGCTCTCACCACCCTTTCTCTTCGCACTCGAGGTGTGGAAAGGAGTCCGAACTCAGAGCCCCGTTAAAGGTAACGAATGCCGTCCGTCGCCTTGAGGGAGGGGCCAAGGTAAGAAAGATGGTCATGGCACTCGGATTCTCCCTGTCTTAAGCCGTCGCTCAATAAATGGGTCGGGATCGTTGGCGGTGTCATGTTCAACATGACCCCATGCCTATTACCGCGGCGATCATAAAGCGACGCCAGCCCCAGCTAACGGGGCACAGATGCCTCCCCCTGAGCAGAGCCAGAGAGTTAGTCTATGCTGTCTCGCACAGGCCATGAAATGCAAAATGCAACATCATCTGCTCACAGCATCAGAAAGGCAAGTTCGCGACTGGGAATAGCAGACAACCAAGTTCACGGGTCTCTCCTCGTCTCGATGGCCCAGGGGGCCAGGGCCTCAGCCCATCTGGAAACTGACGTGTCCTCCGACCAAGAAAACAGTGGCTGGTGGCACGATAGTTCCGACCAGCTACTCAAGCTAGCTAGGTAGCTAGGCAGCTAGCACACTCGAGACGACCTGGGACGCGTTGCGTGTATATCGAATCCACTAGGGCGTCTGCGGCCCAGGACGTGAGAGCGATGTCGCTTGATGGTGGGTGCGTGTCTCTCATTGGAGTGCACAAGACACCGGTTGGAAAGAGATATATGAGTTGGGAAAATCAACTACCTTCATCACACCCGTGCATAGGCAGGACGAGAAGGGGGGAAGAACATCAGGATGAAGTCTGGAGGAAGGGAGGGAGGGAGGGACAGATAGACAGACAGACAGAAGGGGCGAGGTATAGAATGTCGACTGAAGTCGTCGGGTACATCCTGTGCACGAACAGGTGAGCAAGCTCGGTTTGGCTCGCTCCCTGATCTCCGATCTGAATATCGACTTCACCCATTCCATTTCCTTATCGTAGGATCGGGGCCTTCCCAACGACCGAGAAATACTCACCAAAGAGCCGAATTGGATCAACGAACAGGCTTCTCGTACGAGGTAAATCACATATCCGATTCCATGCACTCTATATACCAACCTCTCTCTCGGATGCCGATGTTAGCCAAGGCGGATTCGATGTTTGCCGCAGCGATACGCGACCGTCACAGCTTGGTCCTCAGTCCATTCACCCCAACTGGTCAACTTCCATTCAAATCTTGTACCTGAAATGCAAGTTCTGCTTATCCGTGAGATCTTCAAAGCCCTCCAGCAGCTCTTCTTGCTGCCTCTCGGCGTGGAGGCCCTTGGCATCGCGCGCCCTGTTGTCAAAGTAACACAAGGCCGTGTAGATGACTTGCAGGAAGCAGAGCGCGCAGTAGGTGCCCAGTAATCCTTTGATAGCGGTGAAATATCGAGGCGCTTCGGAGGGTGTGAACAGGTGTGGGCCTGCGATGTTTCCGGCACAATAGAATCTAACGTTGTGTCCGTGTTAGCTGGCCATTTCCCTAGGACTCATCCATGCAGGATCCTGCGTCGTGCCGAGAAAGCAAAGAGAGCCACCTACACGAAGAAGATTCCGACGACGGCAGTTCTCTTGGTATGCCCTGCCACATTGACACCTGGCAGAGTCCATCCCAGGATAATAGGCGCTCCAAGGACGTTTTGTAGCCAGCAACAAGCTACCAGCCCATATCGATGTTTGATGTTGACGGTCAAGAGACCAATCAAGCCGGCAATTCCGGGCAGGCATGAAACTGAGGAGTGCAGAGGGATTAGCTACGCCAGTTCGGGGAGCAGAAACTTCACTCACTGATGATGGTGATGCCCAAAAGATTCTTCTTGGTCGCCACCCAGCCAAAGCCCATACACCCAATGATTTCAAAGGCGCCACCGGGCGTCTGAAGCAGAGTCGTTCGGAGCGCATCGAACCCGAAGCCCTTGATCAAAGCAGAAAAGAAGTTTGCCACGGCGCCGTTCAAAATCCCCGTGCAAGTACCCATGAGTATGACGAGGTAGGTCTTTGGGTCGAGCAGTGCCTCCTTGATGTGGCCGCGAACAATTTTGTGGTGTTTGATGCCCATCTGATTCTTCGACACACGCCAGACAGCCACCATTCGTTCATATTCTGTCAACATCTTGGCGTTATGAGCTCCGTCGGGTAAGTAGAGAACGATGACGAAGCCCCAGAAGAATGTCATAGCTCCGACAATCTACTAGACGTCAGTACCACGCAGGTCAGCCGTTGAAAGGATAGCCTACCAAATAGATCAACTTCCAGTTGGGGACCGCAAGATGAGCTGCATGGCCGCTTCCGTACGCAAGCAAGGCACCAAGGATCGAGGAAACTCCGTTTGTCGACAGCCAAAAGGACGTTCGGAGTGCTTGTTCTTCTCTCGTCCATAGCATAGAGGTCAGCAGGACGAAAGCTGGTGATATACAACCCTCCACCATCCCCAAGAAGAAGCGAATAGCAAAGAAGCCAGAAAAGTTAAAGACAGCGGCTTGAAGCATGCAGACAGCACCCCAGATGAAAAGCATATATCCAATCGTTCGGCCGATGGGGTAGCGTTGGAGGATGACGTTCCATGGGTATGCACCAAGGAGCCACCCGAAATATAGTGCCGATGCGACCCACGAATAGTCATTTCCTTTCATATGAGTATCCTCTTGAAGTCCGTATGCGTTCGAATAGTTGAGCCTGCAGACGTCAGAGCAGGGACTAGTGCGCGTCCAATCCGTACTCACGTCTGCTTGTCTAGGAAGCTTAGCATATAGGTTGTCATCATCTAGCATTGTCCAAAGTCAGCTCGAGGTCTGTCGAGGATTGTTGCAATCTACCATACCATAGGGATGACAATCCAGTCAAGCTTCCGGCGAACTTTGACTGCATCTCGTTCAAGTTGAGCTTCATCAAACTCAAGAGCCTTCTGCAACAACTCCCTCCCAAGCGCATCGGGATCATTTGTACTGCCTTTAATGCGGTCGAGGAGGTTCGTGGAAGATTTTGGTTGAGGATCGAGGGTTGGTTCAATAACCTGGACCGGGATCTTCTCTACGTCGGCCATCTTCAAGGCACGGGTTCGAAACAGGAGCAACCTCCGCAGGAGCAAGACGGAAGGATTTCCTGGGATGACGGACGTGTCTTATAGAAGTATGGTTCTGGTTCCGTCGGGAACCCATCGTTATCGGCAGCAGACAACCTAGTGCTAGCTTTTCGACGCAAGTGGTTGACGAGATAAGGGCTGTAACGGTAAAGAGTATGTATCGACACCAAGGGCCTTAATGCAGAGGCAAAGGTGTTGTCCGTTCGCCGCCAGTTGATATCTGTGCTTCTATGGTCCATGTGAGTATCGAATGCGGAGTTTTGCGATCAAGCCGCAGGGGGCCTGCAATGATCTGCGTTAGCTGCGGTTGAGGCTGCTGGCCGCGCCGGCGCAAAGCAATGTGATTTGGGCAACGGTAGAAGTATGTTAGTGGTTCCACTCGTTCTGGATAAGGCCGGTGTACTTGGCCATCAGTTATTTCTTTAGTGGTCTTAACTTAGTATGCTTGTACAATCACCTCATATCGACAAACATCCTTATGCGGCCCACATCCATGTCTTCCTGTCGACCATAGTGGTGAGCGGTATCAAGTGGACACGATGCTCGATAGGAGGTTCACGCTCGTCCAAGTATCGGAGAACAAATGTCGCCATCGTAGGCCACGTGGGAGATAGGGGACGATAGGTACAAGGGGCCGAGGGCCAGCTGCCAGCTTAAAGCCCAATCGAGTTGCTGAGCACACAGAAGGCCAACTGCCGCACCATAGCGTGGCACTTGGCGCTCCATCTCTGGTTCGACGAGCCAGATAAGAGCATTCTGTGAGCCAACGCGGACTGATTTTCGAGGCGTATGACCAGCTTGCCCGTGGAAGCGAGTTCTCGGAGTTGAACAGTGTCAGATCCCGCTTAGGAGCCTCTTGGATGAGAATATTCCCATGCAAGGGAGGAGATGATTATGGAGCCCACGGTAGGAAAGAAGATCCGGGTCGTTCAAGGGAAGATGGTGGAGGTGGAGGTGGAGGAGGAGCAGGAGACAGCTTGCACGAAACTGAGGGTGACGTCACGTGCCATCTGGCTTTCCCGCGCTTTTGCCTGGAGCTTCTAGGGCTTTTTCTCGGGGCGCGTCACTGGCATTAATTACTTCATTCTTCCATCTATGAAACGTGTCTGGCTGCCAATGCTCACCATGTCATAACGCCCGGCGGAAAGTCCTCTCCCTCAATCATTCCTGAGTTCCTTTAGCAGATGAACACAACCAGGCCTCCGAGACATCAACCGAAATGGCGGGCTTCTTTACCTGGCTGTGGGATTGGCTGCTGTGGATGTTCTGGGCGACCGAGATGGACGTGGCGATCGTTGGATTACAAAATGCCGGCAAGACGAGTCTAGTGCGAGTCCTTGCTGTGAGTCAATCCCATTGTAGTTGTTTCATCAAGTTGAACGGTGTCTAACTCTGTCGTCTCAAGGGCAATGAATTCACCGTCGACACCGTGCCCACAGTGGCTTTCAACAAGAGGGAAGTCAAAAAGGGCCATGTTTCAATCAAGTGCTGGGATCTTGGAGGTCAACCACGTTATCGATCCATGTGGGAGCGATATTGTCGCGGAGTCAATGCCATTCTTTTCGTGGTCGATGCTGCCGACAAGGATGCCATCCCGGTCGCTCGCGAGGAGCTGCACAATCTCATGGACCGACCTACGCTCAACGCCATCCCTCTTCTCGTCCTCGGCAACAAGTCGGATTTGCCCAACAAGTTGTCGGTGGACGAATTGATTGACCAGCTGGACCTGAAGTCGATAGTTCGGCGGGAGATCAGCTGCTACGGAATCAGTGCAAAGGAAGAGACAAATCTCGAAGCGGTGCTCCAATGGCTGGTAGCCAGGTCCGGGAAGTGAAAACCTCTCTTTGTTTGAGCCACGGCGTTTGGAATTCTGGTGCTACACAGCCTTGATGGATTGACGGTACATTGTTGACTTTGGACCACTGTACAAATACGGAGTTGACAGCACGCGTATTGCAGCCAGCGAGGGGATGTCCGGGCGTACTCTACTCATGTTCTCCAGGAGAATGTTCCAGGCGCCTGCTCAGAGGGGAAATCGATCGTAGCAGCCCCTGCAGGGTCCTCCACAGGTCATCACGGCACTGGGAGGGAGTGGCATACCACAAACAGGCCATTGTGAACCGCTGCCCGAATGACGCGTAGCCAAGACTCGGGTTGCATAAGGTGCCCCCCCCAGAGGCCCAGCGGGTGCTGGTTGGAGGTGCCGGTTAATGCCTGGGCGCCCACTGGAACAGCTGCCGAGGCCAGCTTCTGGGGGGGGCACACGGGGGTAAAGGCCAATTGGAACGGTGATGCTGCGCCACGCCAGATGCACTATTTGTCCTCGAGGGAATTCTCCCCCTCCTACTCGTCAGGGCTCGGTAGAGCTGTGGCCGTCACGCAAATCCCCGACTGCGCCAGCTTTGCTGCGCCTTCTTGTCCGTGCCATCACTATCATACGTTAACGCTTTTGCCTGCCAACTCATTTTTCCACCTTGTTATACGTACCTATCTGATCCCATCATCATCACCATTACCTCAACTGCAAATCCCTGGAAATCAAATATCATTTCAGCCTCGTTGATTTGTGTAAGCGCCCTCGTTCTCTGCGCCTCAGACATCAGCGGGCACCTACCGCGGCAACCTACATCGCATACGAATCACCAGCCTCCACTCTGCTTGACATCACCACATTCCATATCCACACACACTCACACACGTATACGCAGGCACAGCAGCCATGAACCCCAGACTCGTCACCAGACAGTACTACGGAGACAACGTGTAAGCACTGCCATCCTCGAATGAAATCTCTTTATATGCCATTCATTCTTCCCGGTTGCCTTTCGTCACCACCACTTTCACACCAAGACTTCTTCCTGCTAACACTTTTCCTTCGTCATGGCCAGATGCATCGACAACAACGGCGTCGCATACAGATGTAATTCGGCTTGGTATGACTGGGGTAGATGGGTTGCCCTCGCCATCATCATCATCGGCGCATTCCTCATCTTCTTCCTCTTCAGGTACGTTTGGACCATCTTCCGCATCGCCACATGGTATTGATTGAATACAGCTTGTGGAGCGCTCGCCGAAGACGTCGCATGGGTAGACAACCTCTGTACGGCACAGGATGGACAGGCCGCACCCCTTGGGGCCACGGGCCTGCTCAGTACAACCCTGGCTTCCAGCAAACACAACAAGCGCCTTATCAAGCACAAGCACCACCTGCCTACAACCAAAACCAGAGTTACGGGGGGTACTACGGCCAAAATCAAGGCTACTTTGGCGGGAGACAGACCGACGTTGAAATGCAGCCACCACCAAATACCTACAGAGGAGGAGACGATGTCTACACTCCCCCAACGGGTCCTCCACCCGCAAAAAAGTGATTGAGGTTGATTCCACCTCACGGGAGTGATTTTGTGGTATTGCGAAATAACATGTTAAAGAGCTGCGATTAAGGAAGATGTTGTCGAGACAATATGAGATGGTCTGTACAAAAGGAGGAGCTGAAGAGAGTGTACGATAGATTTAGGGGGCGCTGGCTATCCTATGCAATCGGAACTCGAGAGGAATGGCAACTGGAGGGGCAAGATTCACGAAGAATGTAGCGTTACGACAATGGACTAATTCATCACTTTTTGCCGAAGCGTGCGAGACCTCTCCCCGTATAATGCCATTGTCTGCTCTTACCGTGCAGCCTCGCACCGGATCGGGTGTGCATCCCCTGTTCGGGCGGCCAGGCTCTGACGAGCGCCGGCGTTTCAGCTGGAATGCGCCCGCAAGATGCAAAGCTCGGCAGGGTCAGATCGCCCTGGAGGAGCCCGCAATGAGCTGTCCCCGGAGTGCGGCGATTGGCCTGTCGGCGACCCCTGCTTCGACCCAAACCCGCGACTTGTGGCCTTGTGGCCTTGTTGCTCCGCCTCCTGCGTTACTCAATCCTCTCTCACTTGAGGTTCTTTTCATAGCAACTCGGCGAGTTGCTTTTCTTTGTCTTATGTCCCTCGTCTTGCGTTTGCCTCTCTCCGTTTCTCCTTCATTATCGTCACATTCACTTCAGTTATCCGCGAACCCACACGACGTTCGTCAATCCACTCATTCTACACTGTCCGCAGGCCGGCCTCGGTAAACTCCCAGCAGACACCAGCCTCCTTTGCACATCCAGCCCACCACTCCCAGAAGAAGAGTCGGTCGCCTTTATTTGAACGACCGTGTATGAATTGACGACATACTACCCTGCTTCAGATCTCTATTTCAAGAGATCCTTAACGAAATGGCGTACTATCTCTACGCCCGCGATGTTGTCTCCGACGTGAAATCAGTCCCAGATACATTCTCCAGCTGGGATAAATGCATGCAGAAATCATATTGCAAGTACGTATCGATGGACTCATTGGCTTGTTTCAGTCTAACATTGAGCAAGGTGGCCCGTCATTGCCGCGATTGTCATCGGCTCCCTGATCCTGCTTTCGGTCCTCTTTTGTATCGCCCGGTGCCTTTGCTGTGGGGTGGAGATCTGCTCTTGTTGTATGAGCTGCTGTGGCGGTTGTTGTCGGGGAGGTCGAAGGCGTGACCGTCCTGCGCAATTCAAAGACGACTACACTCGAATGCCTCCCACTCCTTACCAGGGATACCAGCCGGCCCCCAACCCCATGGCGTACGGCAACCCCAGCGTACCTCAGTTCGCGACTTTCGAAGATCCCAGCACCAAGCGGATGATCAATGAGGATAGTCTCCCACCCATGCCCAGCTGGGACACTGCAACCAAGAGAAGGGTCGAAGACACCAGTGAGCCACCGCACCAGAATGCAAACGGCGATCTGGAAATGGGGAGACTCGACTCCCAACCGCAGAGGACGAGAGGAGGCTACAACAGCGTCCCTAATGGACCCATATCGCCAGTCTCAGCAAACCCGCAACCAGATTATCTCCACAACGGCGCTGGCATGAACCACTCGTACAACGCCGACTTGGGCGATCAGAGACTCTTGGGCAATAACGATCAGGACAACTTCCAGGCCGTCCCGCTAAGCCCGCCGCCAACCTACCGCTCCAATTCCCAAGCACCTTCATTTACAAGCAACTCGGACAAATTCATCGCTGGCGCTGCCAGCCCAAGCCCTTATGAGTACAACCGGGGCCCGCAGCCGCACCCTGTCTATCAACATTCCTATGCTCCAAACAGCACCGCGAGCACGAGATACGAGCCTTCGCAGAGCGATTACAATTCACACAGAATCAGTATGCCCAAGCCGTTCAATCCTGTGCCGTCCCCACAGGTGCAAGCTCCATATCCGGAATCTGGCGCGTCGCCATATGACGCGCGGCCGCCGAGTTTCTTACAGGTGGGAAGAAAACCCGTCAATGGAAGTATGAGGGAAGTTTGAGTGTGACGAGGCCGGAATTAATCTTTAATTGACCTCTTTCTCGTGAGGTCTAAATACGGCGGAGCCGTTGACCAGCATACACATGGAATCTTGAGACTTGATGAGATCCAGCGTCTCGGAGTTTTCTGTCGGCACTATATTTGTTTGGAAATTTCAAAGAGCATGGCGCTTTCTGGATACCGTGCTTCATCGCCGAGCTCCACTCGGATGAGACGCCATGGTGGAATTGGGCTGCTCAAACCCCTTTCAGAGAGGTCAGCACGCGATTGGATTTGAGCATGAAGCCGCAACAACCGCCAATGCCGCATACAGTCAAGGTGGACCACGGAATCTGGTTGAAGACGTTGACCGTGGACGGAAGATTTATGTGTTGAACCAGGCTTCGAGAATGAGCGGGCGCCGAACAGGCAATGACGACAGCTTTTGACGAGTTCAATCCCCGAAAAACGAGTCGAGCCAGGAAGAGGGTCGAGTTTGGCACGGCACCCCATATAATCTGTATTTCTATGGCACGGTGCTTCATCCCCCACGCATGCCCTGCCCGCAGGATCGCAGGCCTTGTACCTTGTACTTATACGCAGCTATGATTCATACAATATCAACAAGTCCAGTCCCCGCAACTTTCGAGACGTGTGCAAACATGTTTGCTTTTCTCTTTGGGCGCTCTCGCAGCGCAAGTGGAGGGAGTCCTGAATTTAGTCACGGACGGCCGACCTCACTACGTTGGGAGGATCATAGTGGCGAAGGGAGGAGATTCTGAAAAAAAGGAACGCGAATGCTAGGACACTGCTCTGAGAAGAAAGCACGAGATACAACTGCTTGCTTGCTCTCCTACTTGTTCGTATCCCTGCTCACTTGCTTCGGTACAGAGTGCCCGCCTCCGTGCCCATGATCCCTTGAAACTGAGAAAGGAAAAAGAAATGGCTGTTCCCTTCTTGCTCCATTCCCTTGTCATTCGTTATCCACCTTGGCAGGTCCCCGTGGTACCCCAACAGCGTCTTATCCCAACACACATCTCACTTTTCCCTCACAACTCGTCCTTCTCCCATCCCTCATCTGCCTCTTTGCCGTCATCTGTGCTCTTGATGTCTCTCACCAACACAGGCAACCCTTCAAGCGCGGCGTGTCCCGCGAACCCATCGACGAGCCTCAATGCCGACGCCTCGCGCAGGAAAACCACGCCCAGAAAGACCTCCGGCTCCCAGGGGACACCATCCCGTTGGGAGATAGGAGGCAGGTCGAAGACGTTGAATTCGACGTCCCCAAACTGTTTTAGGGCACCCTGTGGTCCGGCGAGCAGGTTCAGCGTGATCGTCGCGTTTGGCGTGACTTTAAAGGCCGGAGTGCCTAGGGCGGCAGTCCGTTGGTCTTGCTTTGCGATCGGGCTGAGGGCAGAAGAAGTGGGTGAGACGCCCAGAGCCGATAGCATGCCGGATGAGATGTAATTCTCAGTCAGCGCCAGGTCAATGTCTGCGAGGAGAGTGACGGGCTCTTTGGCGCTGTTTTCCACAATGATTGGAAGCGTATCTTGGTCTTGACCGGCCAGCTCCGCAGCGTGAAACTGCGGCGTTGGATCACTTTCGGCGGCTTGGGGATTTGGTGAAGGGGTGTCGGTTGGTTTGACGCCTCGAATCGCGCCGGAATCGGCGTCCTGGAAGATACTGATGATGGTCGAGTCGCTTTGCCCGGTGCCCGGGGGACAGTCCCTGCCCTTGCAGCGAAAGCTGGGACGGTGACCAGCTGGCCAATGTCTCCATCTTTGTCCAGTGGGCACAGCGCAGTCTCGGCCAACGCAGCCTATCGGCCACCAATGCCTCCAGCGCTCGAAGCCTCTGCAATAGCCATCAGGACAGCCTGCAGAACAGCAAGCCTCCGTGACAATGGCAGGCGGAGCTGTTGCTGTGCGAGCAGGATCCGGAGCAGATGTCGTGTCGAAGGGGTAGATGCCATTGCATAAGCCCAAGGCACAAGTTGGATCACAACAGCCAGAAGCCGACTTCGGATCAAATGTCAGGCTCTCGTCGCGGCTGAAGGAGCTGAAGATCGACTTCACACTGGCCGTGATGGTGGGGTTGGGTTCCTGCGTCTTGGTAAGACCAACAGTCTTCTGCTGTTGCTCGGTCGCATGAGCAGGCGATGACAGCAGGAGAGCAATGAGCGGAAGAAACATTGGCAAAAGCATCTTGCTGAACTATGAGGTGGCAGGGTGATTTCTTGGAGTCCACGGTCTTGGATCCAACCACATGTTCGAGGACTGGCGAGACATTTATATATAATCTCCATGTCGCGGTGTGAACGTAGTTTCGCCCTTAATAGTCATTTCGCGGATGAAAATAGATTTCCACCGCTTCAAAGGTTCCTGAAAGCATACCTTGACCCAAAGGTTCATCCCCTTATTGGTCGTGATGCAGCTTTTGGCCGCCTTACGCAACTGTTCATGGGTGGTCGAGACAAGCACAAAACGCTTAGTTTTGGGGTTTATTGAGCACACCGAGGTGCAATGTCGAGCGGCCGAAGCGACACAGCCATCAAAGGGCTTAGCCAGTGAAGCCGTTGCAACCAGAGATCCTGGTTCAGGCGTCATTGGTGGATTTGCGCATATTTTGGTGAACCTTAGTGAGAATTGCCATGTGGGAGGTCGATTCGTCCGATTGACGCAGGAGAGCTGAACGCTCATTCACATGCAAGTCAATACAAAGGGGCGGCTCCCCCGATGAGGCGGCTGACTTGCAGAGCCCCCGGTGAATGGCGAACAAATGAACAGGGATGAAACTGGTGCCTTGCGATACCAGCTGAACACTAAGCGACGACAATGACCTAAAGCTCACCCGTTGCTTGTGCAATCCGCTGGCCGATTGGCTGATCTGCTGAATAGTCCGGGGCGCCTGAACAGGCACACAGACCGCATCCTGGAACGTGCTGCTCAGAAGAACCGCAAATCTGATCGACCGCTATAAGAAAAGCGAATACCCCATTGGGCGTCGCAATCCACCAAAGTCAAGGTTGTTGTACCCAAGGTTGCCCACCTCTGGATCCTCTGTGCTCTGCCAGAGGTTTTGAATCTTTGTCAATTTTGAGACAGGAGCATGCATATCTAGAGACGGCTCGGTTGCGTGGTGTGACCAAAGAGATGGCGGAAATCGATTTGCACTATGGGATCGGTTGCCTTTTTTTCATGGATTCCTCCACAGCTTGACGGTGCCTTTGGACTATTGCTGGCTTGTGGTCGGATTGGTTCATAGCATGACCCCGAATTCAAAGCCCTGTTGGGCACTACCGTCGACAAGAATGCGCCTCGTCTCTTGCTTGAGAGCCTCGCTTACGTCCTCCCTCGAAGTGGTCTCGCCACTTGATGTTCCCGTTTGCTTGTCTCCAAAGGCCGCCTGAGAGAGACCCAGCAAACTCAGTTTCGCTGCGATATTGCGAACATTGCCGCGGGATGCCCAGTACGCTTGAAAGGCAAGTATCAGTCCAAGCAAGGGATAGCAGAAACTCAATGCCGCCAGTATAGCCAGGGGTGGAATAGGCACTTTGGAGAGGAGCATATGTTCGCGCTGCTGTTGAGCGATGGCAAGACGACCCGTAGTGTAACCGCCAATGCTCGCCAGGACTTTGGTAGAGTACAGACTCCCGAATTTCTGGAGAAAAGACTCGGTCGTATCTCCAGCTAGTGCAGACTGCGTGAGGAAATCCTGCAGAGCAGGATCACCGCCACTGATTGTTGCGTACAGCAAAGAGCCGTGAAAAATCTCGAGGATGCTGCCATTGCCGGTTGGCACGGCGCTGATACTCTGTAAGCCCCCGTCGACCCAGGTATATGAGATATCATATGAGGTCACGGCACAATCAAGAATGAAGTCCAGGACGCCATCGGAGACGAAAGTGGCGTCTGTGTTGTTTGCCATCATCATTTCACTCCCAGACACAAATTGTCCACCTGTGGTTGTTGCTAAGATTCGCGCCGCGATGCCGACATAGAACGGATTCACCAATTCAGAGTTGGGATAAGGGAAGATGCTCAGATCAAAGTCGCCCGAGTCGTTGTAGCCAACAGTATTGTAAATGTTTCTCATTCCTGAATCGTTGAAAAAGGAATACATCAGATTCGGAGCGCCTTTATACATCAAGAACGAGCGATATGGATCTGGGGGACGTGAATTGGGGTGGTTTAGGTCCGTGCTCACGATCGGCGGCATCCCGATGGTGCCGTGGAACATATCGGTGCAGCTGAAGTTGGTATAGTAATTATCCCAAAGTACCATGCCACAGCTAGCTGGATTGACAAAGCGACAAGTTGTCGATATACCGATGGTGGATGCTTCATAATCAGTGTTGGGTACGATCGTCTGTTGCTGCGGAATGAGGTATGCTAGATCAGCCCCTGGAACGTCATCTGTCGTCGTGATTCGCATCTCTGAAAGTTGCGAACTGTTGTGGAAGAGCCGATTCGATTCTGTAGCGTCGAAGTTTGCATTGGGGTTGACTACACCAGAGTCGGTCGTGAGCGAACAAGGCAGTCCCACAAAGGTTCGGTTAAACGTCAAGCAGAATTCGGAGAGACCACGTCCGACTTCCTGGTTGGGGTGCGGCGGGACCAAGATCTGATCAAACTCAAGGGTCGACGTCGTGTAATGCAGGACGGTATCCGCTACGAACACTCCGGCAGCCATCACCAAACTGAGGAGCATGATGGAAGCCGCACAATGCAGAACCGGTGGGATCGTGGGTCTTCGCCGGCGGACAAGATACCAAAGATACGACCGCAATTGCTGCGCAGACGCGACCAAAATGCCAATCAGCAAACTCATCTGAAACGGTGTCGGTAGGTTGAGATATTTTGCTTCTCTAGATGCATCCCGCAGCCTCCGCGAGACGGGAAGCGTAAAGATGGACAATATAAAAGAACCCAGCAGAGGTGCCAGTGTAGATAGAAAGCTGGCCACGAAAACCAATCGTGCTATTGAAAGTTAGTATCGATCAGCAGCTTTGCCAATGTCAGGAAACTAACTTGCAGAAAAGTTGACAAGAACAAATCCAGGCCCGTGTACTGATGCGTCTATCGGCGTGAACAGATTCTGGACAGGATCGACTCGGTATATATACACCAGTGCAAGCAGAGTAACAGCCAGAAGAGCGATAGGTATGCAAATGATTGCTGCTGGGAGTAAGATTGTCTGGACGAGGTTTTCATTTGGGAGGAATTCTGGATCCAAGCGCGACTCTTCTTCGGGCGTGTCGTACTGCCATCGTATGAAAGATTGTCTGATCTCGTTCTGCTCGAGAGGCAATTCGTTTTGAAAGCCCAGAGGTGAATTGATATTTTTATCCGTGGTAATCTCCTCTTGTGAAGGGAAATGCAAACTGTGCCTGTTCGTGAGAAAGGCGGTAACTCGCTCCGAGAAGGAAACGAGGTTCTTGGGACGTCGATTATCGCTTTCCATGGTGGACCATTTCAGTGTAAACCAAGAACATGGAGTGAGGTTTGTAACGCGGACTGAGCAAAGAAGGGTGAGCACGAATGTAGGTAACTTATCTTTCCAAAAGTGCAGTTTGAATTCGACATCCGTACCCTATATCGCCCCCGGTACGTGAGAAGCTACTAAATTCTGGGACTGAAAAGGCTTAACTTGATGGCGCAAGGCAAGGGGCAACCGACAACAGACGCAGAAGGTCAGCCTCATACAGGCTGAGGCTGTGGGTATCCCCATTGGCTGGACGTGGGACTGCCGGTGTATAACTGTGGACCATTGATATTGCGCCGCTGGCTTTCAGCTGCCACAAGTCAGGCCGAAAGAAGGCAGCTCATGCATATACGACCGGCTTGTTTCATTGACGGTCAGAACTTTTGAATGGTGTTACTGTAACCTTCCTAGTCTAGGGTCTTTTGGCGGCCCTATCTTTGTGCATGAGCCAGTTGGAAGGATGATATCTGCCCGACATATCGTCCACACAAGCGCGAACAGGGGTTGATGTGACGAGCGTCAGCCTCCCGGCCAAAGCGACAGTGCTGACTGGCTTGAGTGATTCGACATAGCCTCAGGCTCAACCTTGCCATGTGCTAAAGATGAAAATGCGAGTACGCGGACGCAATCTTAGGTTAGCAAAGTCGGAATGCATGACAGCATGATCATTTGAACCCGAGTCTGGCCAGTTCCTGCAGCTCTATGGTTTGGAAGTTGGGAGAATAGGATGGAGAGCGATGAGAAGATGAGAAACAAGCAGGCGAAAGCGAGCTGAGACGAAGGCAAGACAGCCTGTCACGTGCCTGTTCTGGATGACGAGCACGTGACGGGTACCAGGCGAGGCCGCAGGCGCCATTCACGACGCGCAGCTTCATCATCCAAACCGTCCCAGCAGCTTCATCTCAGTCCCTCGATCCATCATCGCTCTTCTGCCTTGCTGCAGCTCCCCATTCCTTTTCTTTCTTGCTTCTGTACCAACACCCTTCTTCGACTCTTGTATTTTGTGAGACTTCTTTCCGAACTATCCCCAGAGCAACCAAGCACCTTCCACCCTCTCTGCAACCATGGACACACTCGTTGCCCAATACACTCAGTCTCCCTTTGCCAATGAAGGCTTCACATCAGAAGACCAGAATGATTACTGCGAGACCCTCCCTCCGCTTTCCCTCAAGTTCGCCCTACCGCCCGTCCCGCGACCCTCTGCCTTTCTGCGAGCAGCGACAGACGACTACTCCAACCCGAATTGCCCGATCAAGATTGCTCATGGTACCACCACCCTAGCTTTCCGATTCAAAGGTGGAATTATCGTCGCAACCGATTCAAGAGCCACCGCTGGAAACTGGATTGCCTCGCAAACAGTCAAGAAGGTCATTGAGATTAACCCGATGTTGCTGGGGACCATGGCTGGTGGAGCTGCCGTAAGTTCGACACCTGCGATTGTCAGAGGATGTCTGTTGACAATATGCAGGACTGCCAATACTGGCTTGCTTACCTTGGCGTTCAATGTCGATTACATGAACTTCACCATAAGCGACGCATCTCAGTTGCTGCAGCCTCCAAGATCCTGGCGAACCTAGTGTATTCTTATAAGGGAATGGGATTGTCAATGGGAACCATGATTACGGGTGTGACACCCCAAGAGGGGCCCGCTCTCTACTACATTGACTCGGACGGTACACGGTTGGCAGGCAACCTCTTCTGCGTTGGATCAGGTCAAACTTTTGCTTATGGTGTTTTGGATGCTCTCTACAAATACGATCTGGAAGATGACGAGGCCCTGGAGCTGGGCAGACGGAGTATTCTGGCAGCCACCCACCGAGATGCCTACTCCGGTGGTTACATCAACCTCTACCATGTCAAGGAGGATGGTTGGGTCAAGCATGGTTTCTCCGACACGAACCCTATCTTCTGGGAAACTAAACTGCAGAAGGGCGAGTTTTCCAACGTCACAAGCGAGTTAATTTGAGGAGGTGCCGTGAAGTGAAAAGGGGCACTTGCATTTTCGCTGCCGGGCGTTGGACTGGGGCGGATGGAACTGTATCAACATACTGAATCAGTGTGTACTAGAAGGCTTTTCCAAGGCTTTTCACCCAGTGTATTACAAATGCTGGGAATGAGAATAAGGTGATTATGCAACTAGGGGCCAGTCTCGTGGACTTCCGGCGTGTGCTGGATGGTGCCGTATCGCAGTTCCGCTCTCGAACTTGGGCGCTCGAGCTCTGTTTCTATGGGATAGATCCGATCCCTGAGAGAGTCTTTGCTCCTAGTCTAGCTACTGTTTGCCCGTTCCCGTCAGTACACTTTCCAGGCGACGCTGTTCGTCCGTGTTCAACAACCACTGCAGTTCCTCTCTGTGTTCCTTACCCAGGGCCTCAGCCATGTGCTCCGCAGTCATAAAGTCGTGGTCCGCGTACTCGAAGCCCGGGACCACCGTCTCGCTGATCAACAGCCCTTGCTGGCTTGCGTCACCCCCCTCCTCGTCGGGGAGCAGAAAGCTCGCCTTGAACTTCCCACCCTCGACGATCCACTGCACCTTTTCTCCCTTCCCAATGTCCTTTCCCACGACAAAGGTCTCGATGGGAGCCTCGCCGCTCGCAGGATCCCTCTGGTCGAAATGCAGGATGACATAGCGCCCTCGGCCCCAGTGCAAGGTGTGCACTGTCCGGCCCCTGTTGCGGTGGAACCGTCCCACGGGACTCTTTGGGCTCAAGAAATAGTAGATGGTCGTCGACGCGTTCCTGGTGTCGGATGTGTCCTTGGAGGTTGCATTCGTCAAGTGTGGAAGGTTTTTGAAGGGGTTGGGCACAAGGAGGGGATCGCGGTCTGTTTCGTGGAAATAGCCGCCTTCAATGTGGGATTGGAGCTGGAGGGTGGTGATGGTGCGTGAGATAACTTGGGATTCAGCGGACGGTGGTGACGAAAGGAGGGAGCGGGTATAGCGTGTATCATCCCCTGGAATTATGGCCATGGTTTCTCGATCTTTCGGGGATTCTAGGCTAGGACACAAAATGATTGATGGGATGCCTTGGGGATTCTGGTACTCGCGAAACACTGTGCTGCTGTATGGCACGCTTTTGAATATGCCCCTATTCTTATCGAATCGACACGTGATCGAAATCCCACCGTGATATTTCGTGAAAGAACTCCTAGTCAGTCCATCGAGAAGTTGAGGGTTGAAGCAGAAAGTGTCGTTATAGACAGGCTGTAGACCGAGTCTTATGCTTATCTAAGCAGGATTGTCGGAAACGGTGGGATGCTTTTGATGCCGTGCATGCAGTGCCTGGTTGGCCTGAGTGATCCACCTTGACACAGTTGGTAGATTTTCGATCGAGTTTTGAAGGAGTGTGCCAGAAGACTGAATGTGCCAGCACCAGAACGGGAAATCGTGTTCGTGGAATTCCACCACTTGAATTCCACTTCTTATGTCAACCACCTGGAGTGGCTGAGCGTCTCCATATCACCACCGCCGCTGCAGCCGCACAAACCACCACCCCCAGTGCTAGTCCGTACCTCATCAGCTGCCCGTCATCGTCCTCCTGAAGTGGCCGCGGGTATGCGGTGACTGGCTCCAGGCCAGCTTCAGAAATGACCACGAACAGCTCCTGGATAGAAGGCCAAGTGACACTGGTAGATATTGGAGGTCCTTGTGGCATGCGTTGAATTTGAGCAACATATTCATCCGGCTGGTTTTCAGCTCTTTGGGTGGTTCGATCAAGGTCAGCTTTCAGACCGACGAACACGGACGGCAGATCTTCTAGATGGGGGTATGTCTTCCGAATGTTGGGAATGTATGCAAATGAGTCCGGGTCCGACGAATCGTAAGCATAGACAATCACGTCGCATTGATCCAGAAGTTTGCTCTTGTTCTCCAGAACAGCCGCCTCGGACTCTCCCAATTCCTTCAAGATGAGGTAACACTGTCTTCCGCCGGGTAGTTCCACGGTATTGACTGCCACGCGAGGCTGAATAGTGGGATGGTAGAGATTGTTGAATGGTTGAGCCAAGAATGCGTCCAGCAAGGCAGACTTCCCAGACTGAGGAGCACCCAGAACGTGAGCGAGAAGGACATTCCGACCTACCCGACCTGGCTTCCGCCTTCGCTTGCGGGGTTTGGTCAGTTTCAAAGCAGCCGTTGTGCTGCTGTTCGAGCGATCTGTTGATTCAAAGCCCAGATATGCAAGGTATTCCAGCGTGGTCTTTGGAGATGTAAAGGTGGTCATAGACCACTGTGCAAGCCAACCTTGCAGAGTGACATGGCCGGCATCGTTTCGCATGGTACAAGAAGGGAAATTGTTGTCAACCCATAGATGCGGAATTCCGGGTGTGGGGGCAAACAGAGACGCCAGCTCCTCGTCTCTTAGACCACCATCGTTGTCTCGATCGGAAGTAAGGAACAGATCGACCAAGAAGCGATAACCAGCCGGGGACAGTTCGGCAGAAGCGTATTCGGGCACTTCGAACTTGGGATGTAGAAATGACTCTTGTAGAGATAGGCTATCCGTGTATTGAAATGTCCGGAGTATGACCCAGATTGTCTCATGCCGACCCTTTTCCGCGTAGAGTTTGTTGAGGAGAAGGAACCCCTGAGAGTTGATGCCTTTTGCGGAGGCGGCTCCTGGGATATGGTTGTCGATTGTTTCTTTGATATGCTGCAGATCTTCAGAGCTCAAACCCTTGTCAAAGCATTTGACTTGAAAATCTTCCATCTCTTTGTCATTCAGGAGACCGTCCTTGTCCTTGTCGCAGAGGTAGAATATGCGGAGCAGTGCGGCTACGGCGGCAGGTTTGAGGACCGATTCTTTTGCATCAAATAGAGGAGCGATAGGATGAGTGACAGCTTTCTGGCAGAGAAAGAATGCTTCATTGACATTGAAGTGATCACGGGCGCTAGTTCGTATACATGAATCAATCTCTTTAAACTCCGACATGACTGGTAACATTTCCTCCTCGACTATCTGAGCGGAAGTAGACGTCGTGATCAGGTCGGATTTGTTTGCGCATAGGATAACAGGTAGATTGACGCCCAGAGACCGAAAGTAGGGCAGCCAGAACAGGGCGACCCTTTCATAGCTGTAGTGGTCTGAGTAGACGAGCAGGATGACATTGCACTTTCTCAGCTCTTTGGCTAGGGTGGCACGGTCTTGCGGGAGGGCAGAGGTGTCGACAATTACGGTGGTGACATTTTCTGGAGTCCCTAGGGTCGGTGGGATTGTGATTTGAGGCAGGACGGCTTGGATCCTCGTGCTCACAAAGGTATCTTTCACGAGAGAGGTGATAAGGCTGGACTTACCACAGCCCTCGTCACCGCAGACGCATATTCTAACGGTGGCCATCTCTGTATTTTTCAGAGGTGCAGAGATCGGTCGCAGAGGTGCATTGTTTTCCAACACTGCGACCGCAGCTCCGGGCTTGGGCTAGGAGTGGAGCACCGTTGAATGCGGAGACGCGTGCTTTTAAAATTCAGATCGGCGAAAACGTGGGCACAGCGATACGGACAAGAATCCCGAGTACGTAGGAGGCGTATAGGTACGAGGCTTGCGTGGTGTGGGCTGGCCAGTCAGGGAGTAGAAATCCCAGGCCTCCAGACCAAAGAAAATCGGCACAGTCTGACGCGGTCTCGAGATAACGACGAGGTAGCAGCTAGATCAAATATAACTGATATCGTCAAAAAGGATGAGGGTACCGCTGGGGGTAATGACAGAGTACAAGCACATGCCTAATAGTATCTCGGAGCGGATAAGTCAGAGCAGCCACCAGAGGAGCCTCTGCTCGTCAGACTGTGGCATCACCAGAAAGTCCAGCCTGCGCCTCAGCAGCGACGACATCGTCCCTGCGAAATGCCAAGCCGATGACGATGGCAGAACGAGCCGCAGGCAAATAATGCTGCCACCACCAGCCTGACAGCCGACGCTAAAACGTCCCGCCTTTCCCAGAGACAATCTTCCCTCGCTTCCTCGCTTCCACGCTTCCACCATCCATCACTGAGTTTTCCTCCCAGGAAATTCCGCAGCTGATCTCTCCTGCACCCAAGCTGCTGCCTGTGTATAATATTCTCACTTCTCACTACGAGCCTCCCATCAATACAACCCGCTTGCGTCCATTGAGTCGAACTCGAACACGAGCCTCTACATCACTCGGTCTCCAGCTCACGTCCTTCCCCACACCGAGGTCGTCTATCCATTTCAGCCCGCCTATTTCCGAATTGCGTGTTCTCACCTCTGACTCCGTTCCAACAATTCTGATTATACACGGCTCACGGTCACGATCTGGACCTGAGCACACGACCAATTAAAAGAGAAGGCAGAGTTCCGCCACAGCATCTTCCAACATGCCGTTTGGAATCAATAACCCGCTACCCTCGTCTATGAGGAGTAAGTGAAAGCCTCGTCCGTCCGTTCGGGGTCTCCATATTTACACATTCTCCAGGCGAGTGCAAAAAGGCTGGTAAAATCCTCGCATCCTTTGTCGACCCGAGACAGAGCTTTGGGCCCGATAAAGTTATTCCCCCGTCAATCCTCGCAAATGCAAAGGTAACGTTGGTTCAGGCTGCTCAAGATTTAGGCTGACACAACTCCAGGGTCTCGCAGTCTTGACCGTCTTCAAGGCCGGCTTTCTCGGTTCCGGCCGACTTGGATCCGGCGTTGTCGTCGCACGACTAGCTGATGGCTCTTGGTCTGCTCCTTCGGCCATTGCTACAGCTGGTGGGGGTTTCGGTGGTCAAATAGGCTTCGAATTGACCGATTTTGTCTTCATCCTCAATGACTACAACGCCGTACGAGCCTTCTCCCAAGCCGCCTCCGTGACCCTCGGCGGCAACGTCTCCATCGCTGCGGGGCCTGTTGGACGAAACGCCGAGGCTGCTGGGGCTGCCAGCTTGAAGGGTGTGGCAGGTGTGTTCTCATACAGCAAGACAAAAGGCTTGTTCGCAGGTGTCAGTCTTGAGGGCAGTGTCCTGATCGAGAGGAGAGATGCCAACGAGAAGCTCTACAATGGCCGCGTCACTGCCAGACAACTCTTGGAGGGGGCCGTCAGACCACCCCCTGCGGCAGATCCCTTGATGAGAGTCCTCAACACCCGGGTCTTCTCAGGCTCCGCCTTCAATGAGAACAGCATGTACAATGACATGCCCATTTATGACGATCAACATGATGATGTCGTCTGGGAGGGCAGAACCGGCGAAGCGTATGGAGCCAATGTGCGCAACAACCGTTCTTCCACCGTCACGTCCCAAGACGATAACTACGTCTACCGCGACAACCCCAATCCTCGGCGTGCTAATACTTGGGCCGATGATGTTTACGACCGAGTACCCGCTGGCCGGAATAATGGCACGGCCGAGAGTTTCTCCAACCGCAGTCGGTCGAGCACGTTGCAGAATGATTACAGCTACTCCGACAACAAGCCCACTCGACCCACGGCCCCGAAACCTGTCTTCCGGCAGCGAACGGGGTCGCTGCGCGCAGACCAAGCCATCGCGCTGTTTACCTTTGATGCGGACCAAGAGGGCGACTTGGGGTTTAAGAAGGGGGATATTATTACCATTACAAAGAGAACAGAAAACAAAACCGATTGGTGGACAGGACGGACCGAAGATGGTCGGACGGGGATTTTCCCTTCCAACTACGTCGAGACGGCCTCATGAGTCTATTCGGGTTACGACGTGTTTTTTCTGCGGGGTGGTTGGCGACAAAATGGCTTCTATACCCTCTTGCTTCTGCTGTTTTGCCTGGTCCATTTAGCGGCGGAGTTTGCACCAAACATTCCTTCAGCATCTCGGACTGGGGTTAGGCGTATCTGGCCTGGGGGTTGGCGCACTTTGATGTTATGGTAGACGAACAAAATGAGGACACGATACACTCCCACGCAATATATCTCCCACCTGCCCTTCTCGACCTTGGCTTGCTGTTTGTTGGCTGCATATTGCGTCGGTGGCTGTTGACCCGAACTGGCTGCTGGAAATGCTGATCATCTGCAGATCTTCCTCCATCTTCCTCCACATGGCTTCCACTTCTCCTCGTTTTCCTCCGCAATTTCAACCATATGCCTTCAACCATCAACCACACCCCTACCGTATTTGCTTGGCTCTCAACGTCATGAAGTCGATTCCAATCGTTTGCAGCAAGACTGGCTCCAGGGTTACAGAAATGCAACCTCGCGCCGGGGGCTCTTTGCGACTGTCTCGCTGGTCCCTTCGAACGTGCCCGAGCTCTAGTGACTGCAATATATATTCCTCTGGCAGTGATGTCAATCTGCTGATCATACCTTGACTGTGTTCACATTTCGGTATCAAGACTGAATCGTCAAATATCCTCCCAACCGCTTTCCTGCACTCTTTCCCCAGCAAGACGACGCAATGGCGAGAAGGAAATCGGGCTTCTTCAAACACACTACCCTCAAGGTGCGGGACGACTCCGTCACAAAGGCATCGGAGCTCTCAGTTCGACAATCCATCTTGCCTATCATACTGGTCACAACTCTTTATTTCCTCTGGGTATGGATTTCTATCTTCTCGCCCGTATCTGAAGCCTTTGAAGGCCACTGACCAGTCAATACCATAGGGTTTCGCATACGGCCTCCTCGACACCTTGAATAAACACTTCCAAGGCGTTCTCGGAATCTCTCGTGCTCGTTCCTCTGGTCTTCAAGCAGCCTATTTCGGCGCCTACCCATTGGCCTCCCTGGGCTATGCAAACTGGATCCTCCGCCACTTCAGCTATAAAGCCGTGTTCATGTTCGGTCTTACTCTGTATGGCATTGGAGGCCTCCTTATGTGGCCCGCTGGTCTGAAGAGGTCCTTTGGAGGATTCTGTGGCGCCACTTTCATCATTGGATCTGGGCTGGGCAGCCTCGAAACAGCAGCAAACCCATTCATCGCCGTGTGCGGACCGCCCAAATACTCGGAATTGCGCATCAACCTGGCGCAGTCGTTCAATGCTGTGGGAACAGTGGTCGGGCCGGTTCTGGGAAGCTACGCCTTCTTCAAGAATACTGGTGATGACCTGCAGAGTCTGAAGAACGTGCAATGGGTGTACCTGGCCATTGCCATTTTTGTCTTTATCCTCGCGTTCGTGTTTTACGTCTCCCCGATCCCGGAGGTTACAGACGCGGATATGGAACATCAGGTCACTGTCACCCACGACGGGCTGGAAGAGAGGAACAAGAAGCCGTTTTGGAAACAATATGTGAGATTCCTTTTCTCACCATCTCTGCGGACAGTCTCCTCCGCTGGACCCCTGTCACTGTCTTTGACACCTTGTCCTGGCTAACGAAGTCTGGCTCGTGCCGTACAGACCGTCTTCCACGCGACATTCTCTCAATTCTGCTACGTCGGGTCCCAAGTCGCTTTGGCAGGGTACGTCTCAACACGAACAGCAATCCAACAAATTACCCCCAAATCACTCACCAACATACAATCCCCTGCATGCATGACTAACCTCTTCTCCCACAGATATGCCATCAACTACTTCACCGAGATCGCGCCGATATCCAACGCGACGGGCGCAGCCCTCCTCGCCGGCGCGCAGGGGTGTTTCGCCGTGGGCCGGTTCTCGGGCTCGCTGCTCATGCGCTTTATCCGCCCGCGCTATATCTTCCTGCTGTACCTGACGTCGGTGATCGCGTTCTGCTCCGCGGCCATCACGCAGCGCAGGAACACCGGCATCGCCATGTTCATGCTGACCTTGTTCTTCGAGTCGGTGTGCTTCCCGACCATCGTGGCGCTGGGCATCAGAGGGCAGGGCCGCCATACCAAGCGAGCAGCGGGGTGGATTGTCGGTAAGAAACACCTTGACCCCCCTAATCCACTCCCACCCCTTGACCCATGCATCCATCTCCTTTTTCTTCACTTTCGTATCTACCTTCTTCCCCCGTCCCCGTCCAGACCAACCCCCTACGTTACATATTATCTCTTTGGCTAACCAAAAACCGACAGGCGGCGTCTCCGGCGGCGCGGCCGTGCCCCCTCTCCTGGGCGCCACCGCAGACTGGCACAACAGCACGCCCTTCGCGCTCGTCGTGCCCGTGTGCTTCTTCATCGCCAGCTGGACCTACGCCCTGTGCGTCAACTTCGTGCCCTACTACCGCATCCCCGCCGACGCGATCGGCGAGTCCGACGTCGGTCTGGACCAGAGCGGCGAGGCCCGCGCGAGTGGCGTGGATGTGCATACGGATGGAGACGGCGACGTGGAGAAGGCCGGCGCCGTGCAGATCGAGAGGGGCGGGAAAGAGGACGTGGACAAGGTGGTTGAGAAAGAGTGAAGAGAAGAGTGGCCACTGACTGCCCATGAGACGTGAGTGTGTTGTCTGAGACAGCAGGGCTTGGGCCATGAGGAATTTGATATACTCTGTTAGGTAGGTAGGTAGGTGTCTGGTGGGGGGATAGATCCAGAGATGTACAAAGTACAGATAAGATTGATCTATAGGGGATATCACTATGAAGCGGAGACAATGCAGCGCGACTCGGGTTCCAAGTTTGAGAGAGAGAGAGAGAGAGAGTCGGTAAAGGTCAGGATTTACATCACCGGATATAGGTCTCGAGCCTCAAGACGGTCTATCCAACGTCTCGTTCCAATCACCACGCGTCCTCTGCTCCTCTAGCTCTCTCCCGCTCTCTGCCTTTCGTTTTCAGCATTTGTCCAACCATGAAGTGATTGACATCCTCGTCCGCCCAATAGCTCAAGTGACTTGCGATACTAGCGAGCAAGGACACATCAAACATGCCTTCTTGGATATGGTAATCGACTCGGCCGTTACTGTTCAATGCTCGTACTTTGGCTTCTTCACGCTTGAGCTTCCGCGCCCTCTCCTGCGACTGGCGGAACTCCGTAGAAGTGCGTGCTTGAGCCTCGTCATCGGATGCGTCGGTGACAACCTGAAGCTTCTGGAAACCCGCATAAAGTGTTTCCATTTCCGAGTCGATGAGGGTGGGCGCCTTTTCCGTTGACGGGGACGATTTGGCTGCCTCGGCGACGTCTTGCTGCTTCTTCTCATCTGCCACAGGTATGTCGAGCTGAGGACCTGTTTGGCTGCCTTCTTTGACCGCGTTCACGGCCTTGGCTTTGTCCTGAGACAGGGCTTGCTCCTCACCAGTAATGCCCAGGCTTCTATTAATCAGACTGGACGCCACACCCGAGGTAAGATTGTACCAGCTCGACATGATTTGCTGGCCAACCCGTTCAGAAATGTTTGAAATACCGGGAGCGGCAAAGAGGTTTTTCTTGGTGTAGGGGATGGGTTGGGATTTTAGCTGCGCCATTGCTGGTGAAATGAGTGGTTCCATGCGATAAGCGATAGGGTCGGTGGGATGGAAGATGTTGAACAGTTCATTACATTTGGGTGAAGAGGTAGTAATGGGTATCAGACCGGTGGAGCTGTTGCCGGCGGTCAATTTCGAAGCAACACTGTCAAAGGGGTCATTTCTCATGGGGTCCGGGTCGAATGGCGATGTCGGCACGACAGTGGCTCCAAATGCACTGGCACCGGGAGAAGGTCGAGCTGCAATCGTCCTCCCCTTGAGCATCTGGAAGAGACCAACCGGCGAGCCAATCGCAAAGAAGTTCTCCACTTCAAAGTCGAGACGAAGGTCTTTTTGTTCAATACCATGGTCTCGTGATGTTTTGCTGGAAACCCGTCTCGGTCGTGTCTTGAGATCTTCTTCCTGTCTGCACAGGAGATCAAAGCAGATTGCACTTCCGAGAGAATGGCCGCAGAAACTAACCTTTCCTGAGAAGCCCGTTCGTTCTTTGAAGAGGTGATAAACTCGGTTTGCCTCCTTTTGTACGATGGACGCGATGTGTTCTCTGTAAGCACTCTGGTATAGGAGGACGTCCAGAGCCAAATCGGTAATCAGATTGCGCACCGCTGGTACGCCGTCCACTGTGATGTCTTGCAATGAAGGATAGTCATCATCGAACAAGGCATCAGCATCTCCAATGTCATACTCTTTGCGGTTTTGCTTTAGACTCTGCTTGGGGAAGTCGAGCTTGTGCCGCCAACAGATGGGAAGCACTTGGACTCTGCAATTCTTCGGATCCCCACTTAGAGCCTGTAAGTCAGGGGCGGATTCGTATACAGCTTTCATGGTCTTGCGCAAAGTGTTGACATCGTGGACAAAGTTGATGCTGTCGAGGCGAAGCCCGAGACGTTGGCCGATGCCGTGGGTCACGAGCACCAAGTGGTCAATCTGTCTGGCTTGGTCTTCTCCATCTCTTTCCCTGGCGTCTTCCATCTCGCGTTCTTCCTGTTCTCGGGCTTCCTCCTCTTCACCCAAGTCGTCGGAATCGTCAGCCCTAGGAAGGCCTGCTAGCGACGAGATCTGGCGTTCCAACGCAGTCCGCCGAGGCTTCTCAACGTTGTCTTTGTTCTTTGCCTGAACTTTATCTTCTCCAGCGCCAGGAGCCTCTGGAGGGATTTTGGCAGACCTTCGTTTCTCTTTGGAGCTGGTCGGCTCGGTCGATTTGGAATCGTCTCTTTGATCGACCTTTGGCGGATCGGCAAGCTTAGTATCAGACCAACCACGAACTACCTTCGTGCCACCATATCCAATAAACCTGCCGTAAACAGTACTGCTGACGCGTGAGAGGAAATCATCCGTTGTCAGATAGGCTACAGTATCGTCCAGGTATGTGACCGTTGTGTTCATATGAGTTCCGAACAAGCGGTATGTGTTTGGGCCTGCAGGATGACTGTCATCCTGGGAAGGAGGTGACTTGCCCAGGGGTTGAGCAGTTGAGCCGTCGAGAATTGCCGAGTTCGGCCGAGTTCTGGGTTGAGATGCTGAACGAGGAGATTGTAAGTTTAACCGTCTCCACGGAGTTACTTTGATGTAGCCTTCTTCGAGTTGATTCGCTAGATTCTCGTCGCAAGGTCTCAGTGGATTTTCTGCGAAGAACCAAGTACCTCTGCGGACTTCGTAGACGGGGCCTAGCCAGTACGCAGGGAGGAGTTCACGTTTCTCGATATCGACATCGTACAAAAAGTCTTCGTTCACAGGGACCGTGGTGAGGGAAGCGGGCTCGGTAGCTCCATCTCTATTCTGGTTCCGTTGAGCAAGGCTCTGATAAGCCTTCTCAATGCTCTGGGAGTCTGAGGCCGAGAATGGTACCAACTTCTTCGGGACTGGTGGCGGTTTGGCCTTTTCCTCAGGTGTTGGGTCTGGGGCGAAAGGTTTCCGCTTGGCTACGTCGACAGCGTAGTACCACCTCGGCTTGAGAGGAGGACAATCCTTGGGATACCTGCGGAGACTTGGAGATCGGTTTAGACTGACAGTATGGTCAAGACCCGACGACTGTTTGAGGGCTGGGGATGCATCGGTTGGTTTCGGTAGCGGTGACTTGGGCGGAGGGGTACTGCTCCTGGACCACGAGAAGATTGAGCTCGCCAGAGAGGACTTGTTGGCTGCTTCGGCCATGCCCCTGCGGACAGCCCTGATCAGGGCTGGGAATCGATCCAATATGACAGCATGCAAATTGGGCGCCTTATTAGGGAGAGGGGGTGAGGCTGAGGGTTAGCTAAGGGGAAGCCGCTCGAAAGGCACGAGGTCGCCAAATGAGTCTTGCAGTCGGTGGTGGAGTATAGCGATGATATACGATAGGGCGCTCTTCTGATAGAGATCTGAGGGATGCGATATACGGTTGAGGATGTGAAGACTGCAGGGAGAGACCAGCTCGCAGTTTACCATGGAGTGAGTTGATGCAACAGCGGCCACCAAAACAATGGCAGCCTTGCCAAGCCCCGCGCTAGGTTGCCAGCCTTGCAAGATTCCCTAATACTGGGCCCGTGCACGCCCGTAGCACGCCGGTGCTGGGCACTGCTGGCCTCAGCTAGGGGGCCACTGGGGGGCACAGAGGGGCGTCCCGGCGTGACTAAGAGAAAACTGCGCCACTGCTGCGTCATGGAGAGCCGGTTCCTCCCCCTACGAAAGAAAGATGCCCAATCGATCCCGGCTTACTGCACATCGCCCATGGCCATTGCTGAGTGAAACTCTCACAGCTTGCGACGCCTAACCAGGCACCACAATAAAGACACCTTCCATATCTTCCTCTTCAATCTCATTCTTCCTTGAACCACCTTCACTGCCTTCTCGTCTCCTCGCCCTCCCTTTGGCTGCATCCAAGCCCTTGTAAATTTGAACGTGTGGGCGACTGCCCCTCCCCCTCCTCCCACTATGGCGGCCATCCTCAAACTTCAGCGCAAATACCCCCAGTTCCCTCAGAACGAAATCTTCCAGCTACAAGATGCCTTTCGCAAACTCGACGTCGATGACAAGGGCTATTTGGACGAAGCCACCGTCATCAAGGCTACCCAGCAGTCCGAGAGGCAATCCTACGACGTGGTCAGACAGGCACTGAAAGAGGTGGACCTCGACAGCTCAAGGCGGGTGGAACTGGAGGACTATGTCGACCTGATCGCAAAGGTCCGCGAGTCCTCTCCCGCTCAAAGACGCATGTCAGTTGGCGCCCAGAGACCTGCGGCTGGCAATGGGCTTCCTTCCGCCCCAGCGCATGCCTCTAAGCCCAGCCTCGGCGGAGGTGGGAAGATTCACGTCCAGGGCTCTTCAGCCAACGTGACGCACACCATCAACGAGGAAGAGCGAACCGCTTTCACCACACACATCAATGCAGTCCTTGCCGGCGATCCCGACATCGGCCATCTCCTGCCCTTCCCGACCGATACTTTCGAGATGTTCGACCACTGCAAGGATGGCTTGGTCCTCTCAAAACTCATCAACGACAGTGTTCCGGACACCATCGACGAGCGTGTACTGAATAAGCCAGGGAGGAAGATCAAGTCTCTTAATGCATTTCACATGACTGAGAACAACAACATTGTCATCGAGTCCGCAAAAGGTATCGGCTGTTCCGTGGTCAATGTTGGGGCCGGGGATATCATCGAGGTTCGAGAGCATTTGATCCTGGGTTTGATCTGGCAGATCATTCGACGAGGCCTTCTGGGGAAGATTGACATCAAGTTGCATCCCGAGCTGTACCGTCTCCTGGAAGAGGACGAGACTCTGGACCAATTCCTTCGACTACCACCCGAACAGATCTTGCTTCGTTGGTTCAATTACCATCTCAAGAACGCCAATTGGCCGCGAAGAGTGGCCAACTTTTCCGGCGATGTCAAGGATGGCGAGAACTACACCGTCCTGCTCAACCAGCTGAAACCAGACATCTGCTCACGGGCTCCCCTGCAGACGCGAGATCTCCTCCAACGCGCCGAAGAAGTCCTCCAGAATGCTGAAAGGATTGATTGCCGCAAATTCCTGACGCCAACCGCCCTGGTAGCCGGAAATCCAAAGCTCAACTTGGCCTTCGTCGCCAACCTCTTCAACACCCATCCGGGTCTTGATCCTCTCGAGGAAGGCGAGAAACCCGAAATCGAAGACTTTGATGCAGAAGGAGAGCGTGAGGCTCGTGTCTTTACCCTCTGGCTAAACAGCCTTGACGTCCAACCACCGGTCAACTCCTTCTTTGATGATCTCCGCGATGGGACGGTTCTGCTCCAAGCTTACGACAAGGTCATCCCAGGCAGCGTCAATTTCCGTCATGTGAACAAGCCTCCTGCGCATGGCGGCGAAATGTCACGCTTCAAAATGGTGGAAAACACCAACTATGCCGTTGAACTGGGCAAGCAGAATCGCTTCTCCCTCGTGGGCATCCAAGGTGCGGATATCACTGACGGCCAGCGCACCTTGACTCTGGGATTAGTCTGGCAACTTATGCGTCGGGATATCGTGTCGACCCTTTCCGGGCTCGCGCAACGCATGGGCAAACGCGACCTGAGTGATTCGGACATGATGAAATGGGCCAATGAGATGTCCCGCAAGGGGGGCAAGACCTCTTCCGTCCGGTCGTTCAAGGACCCGGCTATTACGAGCGGTATCTTCCTGTTGGATGTTTTGAACGGCATGAAGGCGAACTATGTCGACTACGATCTTGTCACGCCCGGCAAGACGCCCGATGATGCGTATGCGAATGCCAAGTTGAGTATAAGCATTGCCAGAAAGATGGGTATGTGCTCTCTGCGTCCTCTTGCTTCCGAGGTCCCCGGTTGAGGTGCGGCATGGATAATTCCATACTAACGAGCGATTGTGCAAACAGGATCCACCATTTACCTCCTTCCCGATGATATCGTCCAAGGACGCGCGAGATTGGTTACCACTTTTGTTGGTGAGTTCAGCTAGCGATGCACCCATTTTACCCCTCGCATATCGTATAACAGGTGTCTAACTTGCCATCAACTAGGTGCCCTCATGCGGACGGCGGAGAAGATGGGCGCCTAAAGTGATGAATTGCCGCCTTCCATCTTGTTCAGGCTATGGATGTGGAGGCTTTGATATTGATCCTCAGGCGACAATGCGACTATATCTTCCTTCCTTCTTCAATGTATTCTTGTCTTCCGCTGATCAGGATACGGGACACACGGCCAAAGCTACGTTAGAGCCAGGACCAGAATCAAGTGTGCAGGATTGGGAAATCGTAACGAGGCAAGATGAGAGCAGAGCGAGTAACTCCTTGGACAAATTAATGGAAGGCCACCCTCGTTTGCAGCGTTTGAGGGAGCGCAGGAGACGGAGGCAGGGAGAGACACTTGCGTCTCCTACTAGGATACTGTGATACCTACATAGGTAGAGCAGACTACAAAAAGAAAATGACTTTTCTGTCCCGCAAAGTTCTAAGTAGTGATTGATAGGAGTATCAGCCCTGTCACGCAAGGAAGTTGGTCCTGAAGACTGCCCCTCGGTCATTCGAGATGTGGGGACCACGGATCTCATATCTATATACCTATAGACTGAAGCCCGTTTCCTGGAAGTTTAGATCTTGGATCTTAAGAGAGACGACCTTCTCAATACCGAGGAGGAGAGACCTCTGTCACGCGTCGCGACATTTCGCCTGCGTTATAAAGAACTCGGTCGACATATACTAGGGATCCTATCTTGTGTGGTCCTGTATATCTGGTCCATATAATGTGGATGTGGATGTGCAGTATGCGGTATGCGGTACACATAGGAATACCTATGTATATGGCTAAATAGGTACTTAAGTGCTGAGACTCGTATGTAGATACGTAGTCATTATCTACCTTACTACCAAGGTACCTTATGGGACGGGCTCGCGGACGACAACTCTTTCAATCCTCTTCCTGACGATCGATTATACACCCAGAGCATCATAGGTCTACCTAGACTGGATGCTGCCTTCGTCGTCAGAACTGCGATTGCAATACTCTGAGCAAGCGATGTGCTGCAACAACTTGAAAACCTCGGTGAGTGATGGGTGACGGATCATACTAACCGAGGCACTCACTTCATTTCGCTTTCCTCACGACTACAAGTACGTACCTGTAACTGTCCACTTCTCTTCCACATCTTCGCCACATCAGCATTCACAATGCCGAAAACATCAGATAAATCTACGGAAAAGGCGCAGGGCAGACTTGATGTCCTCAAATCTCATCTGTCTGGTGTGAAAGCTCCTGTAGGACGGTTGACCAAATTATCTCGGTCACTTCAGGGCAAAAAAGCAATCGTGACCGGAGCAGCTTCTGGGATGGGAAAGGAGACTGCCAAATTACTAGCCGATGAAGGGGTACAAGTTGCTGTCCTCGATTTGGACGGAGGAAAAGTGCAAGCCGTTGTTGATGAAATCAACGCAGTGCATCCTGGCCGTGCTCAAGGCTGGATTTGCGATGTAGCCAATCGCAGCAGGATCAAGCAAGTCTGCAAGGAGATCATCGAAGCATTCGGCGGTCTTGACGTGCGTGGCGAATCTCCCAAGCTGTCACGATCCAGTCTGACACAGGCACAACTCGCAGATCCTGATCAACAACGCTGGCATCTCCGTTGGTGGAGGCGCGTTCGACGAAGATGCATCATTCGAGCCTCGCTGGGACAAGACTGTCGACATCAACCTCACGGCTCATGTAATCTTTATTCGAGCGTGCGTGCCTGCTTTGTTGAAGAGTGACGCCGCGCGCATCGTCAATATCGCGAGCACAGAACATTTTGTCACCGGACCAGGAAACGTTGCGTACAGCGCGACCAAATCTGCCGTCACTGGCTTAACTCGATCTTTTGCCGTCGAGCTCGGCAAATACCAAAACATCACGGTAAGTTGTTCGAAAATTGCCTCATGAAACGAGGAGAAGGCATTCTAACGCGCTTGGCATGATGGAGGTGAATACAATCTGTCCAGGTCCGATCATTGTAAGCAGGAGACTTCTCGTTTCAGTGTGAGAAGCAGATTAACCATTTTTTTTCTTCGTGATGCAGACTGGCATGACTGCTCGAATTCCACCTGAACTCAAGGAGGCCTATGCCAAGCGCAGAGTGCCGTTGCGACGCTATGCTGATCCCGAAGAAGTGGCGCAAAGTGAGTGGGAAATGTCTGCTTCTTGTCGTGGTCGCTTTCTAATTCGATGTTATCGCATAGTGACCGTCAACATTTGCCTACCTGCCTCGTCATACCTACACGGTGCAACAATACCAGTGGATGGAGGCATGACCATTCGACATACGTAATATAGGAGGCCGAGTTGGCGAGAGATATCACTACTCCTAACCCCTAAATACCGTCCGAGATTCCACCTCCTGCCGCATAAGTAGAATGAAGGGCGACGATCTGCCTCCCTCTCCGTCTCCCAGAAGCCACGTATAACGAGGGAGTCAAGATCAGGTCCAGGTTCAGAATCAGAAATATTATCAGATTCACAATCTCGCCGCGTCTCTGCGTACAAGGCGGGCAAAAAAAAAAAACAGTGTCAGCATCAGCCTCAGCATTCGGGATCATCGAAGACCTTTCCCACCAACAACCCACGCAGGGTGCAAGTGCCAGTGCAAGTGCCAGTGCAAGTGCCAGTGCGAATGTAAAACGCAATGTAGCCATCACACTCACCCACCACGCACTGGTGTCTGCCACATTGCATTGCACAAATCATGCGCAGTCTACCTCACCCGCAGCAATGGCCCGCCGCGACCGACGGGCCGCAAGCTCTCTCCCCTCCATGCTCACCCAAGCAAAGGTGAAGGTGTCGACTTACTTTCCACCCTTCAAGTGCTCCTCGAACCACTGGATCGCGAAGACAAACGCGTTTTCCTTGGCGTACACATGCACCCTGTTGTTCAGGTCTCCTCTTACGGCAAACCCGTGCTCCACGCCGCTGTACAGGTTGATCTGGTACGGCAGGCCCGTCTCCTTGAGGATGACCTCGCTCTCGTGGCGTTTCTCGGGGGGGAAGATGTGGTCGGTCTCGGCGGCGGCGATGGCCAGAGGGCCCTTCATGTCGCGCAGCTCGTCGGCCTCGACGAAGGACGGGTGGGCGCAGTAGCCCGCGTCGAACTTCCCGGAGTCCGGGCGGAGGTGGCGGACAACGTACTTCGCGCCGAAGCAGTAGCCCACGGCGCCAATTTTCTGTGGTGGGAAGAGAAGGAGTAAACCGTCAGCTCTTGTTCTTTCAGATGAAAGGCTTCTCCTTTCTTCAACTCTTCTATGCATCCGTTTTTTTTTTCTTTCATAGGTAGAAGCGTCTTACCTTGCATCCATACTTTGTCCTCATCTCGACAATGCATGCGTCAATGATGGGGTCCACGGTGGGCGGCAAGTGAGCCGTCTTCTTGGGGTGATATTCGCCCTTCAACCACTTCATAATGTCGAAATCGCCGGGCCGGTTGAGGGGGATGGGGTCCTTGTCGAACAGGTCGGGCATCATGACGAAGTAGCCGTTGGCGGCCAGCTGGTCCGCGATCAACTGGGCGTTGTTGAAGCGGTGGCCGATCACATCGGTGATGCTACAGAGAAAAAGTGCGCTTGGGTCAGTGCCATGGCACAAGGTTGAATCGGATAGCTAGCAGGCAATGGGAACATACACAAGGATGCCAATCTCGGTACTCTTGCTCTCAGGGTACTTTGTGTAGATCTCAAAATCGCCCAGCTGAGAGAACTCGCCGGTAGGAGTGCCTTCGTGCTTGACGCCTTTGTAGCAGCACGAGCCCGGAGGGTTAGATGCCATCTTGAGGGGGATTGGCTGGGAAGACTGAGCTTCGACGTTTGAGGCTGGCGCTGGGGTTTGATATGACGGTAAGAGAGGGGAATTGGCGCTGGCAGGGAGCCTGACGGATGGGAGGGAGGGGCAGGATTCTTTATACAGGGACACGCAAGCTTGAAAGGGTGGGATGGAAGCTCCGCAAAGTCGGAGATGGATATTCAGAAGTAAGCCGCAGAAATGGCACCAATGTCACCATCGCGAATTGGAATCACCAAGAAGGATCGATGCGAAAGGAGGGGCAATCGATTCGAGGCCGGCTCCCGATCCGGCAGATCCAGGGCCGAAATCGCATCGGCGGGCTGCCACGCTGTTCGTCCTGGACGCCATCAATCAAGAGGCCGTGGCCGTTGATAAGTGGGATACAGGAGGAGAACTACATCGTCACATTCTACACAAGGGGAAGGAGGATAGCACATGCGCTGGTGGTATTACAACGAGCCTCGGAGAGAAATTGGTCCTCAGTGCGACGCGCCCCGCTGGAGTTAATCTCGGAGATAAGCTTTGGCTTAACGCCCAATGACGTCATGGGAACCAGGGTTCATGCAGGTTTGCGGCGGCGGCGCTAGTCCCTAAACAGGCCCATATCAATGCTATCAATGCTGACAGCTGCATGTGCACAGAGAGGTGCACCAGAGGATAGGTATAGGAGTCCGGCCTCGGCGATTTCGAGAAACCCCCTCTAGAGAATATACCTGAACGCACTGCCATAGTTCTCTTCTCCCACATTCGTGTCAGCCTTGCCACCCGTCGCCCTGCGCGTCTCCGCACCGCCTTGGGACCCATACTTCTTGTCCAATCTCTTGTTCTCCCACACCAAAAGCGTTCTCAGCGACAGGGCCAGCAGTGCGTTGAAGAACATAAATGCCGCACAGATACTCTGTCCCTCCACGTATCGCGGCTGCTGAGATTTGGGAAAGATCCTAGTTCCGAGAAGTGGGCCACACTGTCCGACGAGGTTGAGAAGGACTATTCCCATTCCCCGGCGACTGTCGCTTCCCTGGTTGTTGACGACCCACGGCAGAATATTGGCGATCGCGGGAAACACCCCGGACGCGCAGAGAAATGTTCCAAAGTACCTCGGGGCTACCGCCGTGCACGTTGCGAGAAGGATGTACCCGATGCCAGCCACACAGCTCAAGAAGGCAATCATGAGTCCTCGCTGTTGAGTTCGATCGGCGATCCAACATGTCATAACTGTGACGATGGTGGAGATAAAATATGGCGGTGCCGACAACCCTTGAGCGTTGATCGAGGAGAACCCCATTTGATTGAGGATGGTGGGCAAGAAGACTGGCAACGACGAGTAGGACACATTGCATGAGAAGTACATCAACTGGGCACTCAGTCAGCTGCTTACGCTCGATCATCGTGTCCGACAACGACTTACCGCTGTAAACCACGCTTTGGCGTCAATCAGTGTTTGGCCGATCTCCTTCAGACTGACGCGGTGCTTTCCTTCCTCTTGGTGACCATGCTGCCTGATGACTCTAGCCCTGGCAACCTCCTTTTCTTCCGCGGTCAAGAACCTAGCACTGGTCGGGCTATCGGGAAGGAAGAACCACGCTAAGGGAGCTGCCAGGATGGTCGGAATGCCTTCCACAAGGAATAGTAGCCTCCATTTGGCAATGCTCGGGTGGCCACTTGTGATTCCGTAGGCCAAAGCTCCAGCGAACGTGTTGGCGAGAGGAGCCGCTGCGAGGAAGATTCCGCTGCGGAATCCATGCTCGTGCCTGAGATAGAAGAAACTGAGCAGGTAAGGAATGCTCGGCCCGAAGCCCGCCTCGGCAGCACCGAGCAGGAATCGCAAGGCCATCTCTCCGCCCCATGACTGGGTGGCCGCTTGACAGGTTGCAACGATTCCCCTGCAGTCGTTGATAAAAGCTCCGGAGGTTGTATTGGGCGAGTACTTACCAGGCAAGAGTGATGAAGCAAGCCCAAGTATGCGGCTTTCTGGTGTCTGTCAGTAAAGCCCAGCCTCCAGATCACTTTCCAAGGCTTACACTATCTTCCACATAAAACCCTGCAGCAAACCGTCAGCATATTGAACAGCTCAAGCTGATGTGGCCAGGAGAGCGCACTTGGAATTGGAACACAATATACGATATGTAGAATATCGTCAACAACCAGTCATATCGATCGCCAGTCAGATCGAGGTCATCTTCCATGCCAGCAATACGCGCATTGCCGATGTTCGATCGGTCGAGGAACGAAAGTAAAACTGCAAGCTGTCAATGAATTGGTCTCATCAAGAATTAAGCACGGTCAGTCATGCTCCGGAACGAGAGCTTTGTCAAGAATACATATCGACCAGCATAGTGAAGACAGAAGTTCCGTCCCCAGGTCTTGCATAGCGCCTTGTGCAGCTTAGACAGTATAGTCTCTGTCCCACGACAGAGCAATCGATTGTTCGACTTACACAAGAAGGTAACGAGTGGAGTTACACGGAGGTCAATTTTGCGCACGACTCTTCTCTCCAGTGCAGGGTCTATTCGTACACTGGTTGTGGTCGACTCTTTGAGCTCAGTACCTCCATCTTTTTCAACATCATTCGAGGCGGGGATTCCTGATGACACGCTCCCATTGTTAGAGACAACCCCCGTGGGGGCCACATATTGGGCCTTGAAGATGCCCATAATGCTGGGTGAGTTCTTGATGTGGAAAGGATGGAAGGATGGAAGGATGGAAGGAAAGAAGAAAGGAGGACGAGTCGCAATGTTTAACCAACAGGTCGAAAAGTCAACATGTTGGGTCGCATGCTGTCCAAGAGCGAAGATTTTGAATTAAGCAATGAACTCATAGGCTAGAAGAGCGGAATTGGTTGGACTTGTGTCTCGTGGAGCAAAAGCAAAAGCATTCGTGCGAGGCTTGTTTGTGGCATGGAGACGGGATCTGCGCTGCAGGAGACCCGTAGTGTTGGCCCAAGAGAGCAATGATCACACTGCGGGGAGCGGGAGGCTGGCCGATCCTGTCCATTTTGCAGCTTTGATTGCGATGGTGGCAATACGAAAGCCGGAAGTAAAGCCGTAGCTGATGGCGATGGATCTGCGCAGGAGGAAATATTTGTCGATGGTTTACAGTTGGTGAAGATGGTGGCCACCAGCTGCCGAGCTGCGTCCCAGGCTTGGCTCTTGGCATTCACCCGCACCTTTTGCCGCTGCGTTCAGCCTTGTCCAATGTCCAAGCACGAGGCCTGCAAATGGCCCCCAAATCAAGACTGTCTCATCGTCCTCCATACTTCGGCCTTCCCCAAATGCGCCATGGCACTCGCTGGGGTCAGGCTCCAGCACAGCCCCGTCGAACCTCCCGACATCCACAAGTAGACGATGTCTTCGCATCTTCCTACGAAAGCGATCCCTGGTCTGCATGATGCAGTAAAGGTCCAGCTATGCAATGGCTGCAGTGGTGGTCAACGACCAAGGCTTTCGGGAAATTGTTCAGGGCGAACCATTCCAGTATGGCGACCTCGACTTGGAGAATGAGGAGCTTCGGTTTCTTGTCCTACAGCGACGTCCCGCAGGGCACGTCCAGGAGGGACTAGACAGTCTGGTTAGCTGCACCATTGAGACTCAACTGCTTGGTCACGCCGACCCATTCATCGCCGTGCGAAATGCTCGAGGATATCGCCTGCTCGAGGAATTGATCCTCGTCGATGGCAAATGCCTGATCATCTCGGCCGCATTGGAAAGGTTTCTTCGATACTTCGAACCCCCCACCGACAAACCTGTGAGGCTCTGGATTCGATACATTTGTGTCGACCAGCGGAAACCGGACGAGATGGCTCGCTACTGGACCCGCGAATTCCAGGATAAGATGTACGAGAAAGCGGAATTGGTGGTGGACATGCAACGTTTCCTGCGCGACCTGATGGACCGAAAGGTGTTTGAAAGAGTCATTGACTCCAGATACAGGGAGTGGACCAAGGACTGGCATGAATTGCCGGAACAATGGCCATTGCCACGGGTCTACCCAGTCAAGCTCGGAAGCAAACCATCCATCTAGCACCCAACTCAAGCTTATCAGTACGTACCTCTAGACACTGTGGCTGACGAAACCCGCATCATCGTGGTCGAGCCAAATGAGGACAAGGAGGGACCGTTGTTGCTCCATCTGGCGCATTGCCCGCTTGCCTCTGACGTGGTCTACCATGCTCTATCGTACACATGGGGAGACTCGAAAGACAGTGTCCAAGTCACTGTGAACGGAGAATTGATGCACATTCGAGAGAACCTGGACCGCGCCCTTCGCCGCGTGCGCCCGTCCTCGTCGCCGCGTGCTTGCGCTGTCTGGGCAGATGCCATATGCATCAATCAGTCCGACGTGAATGAAAAAAATCATCAGATCCCTCGCATAGCTGCTGTCTATGATCGTGCTGCGGTTGTCGTCTGTGACGTGGGCGAGGAGGACCAGTACAGCGAACTTGCCCAAGACTTTGTCAAGCACCTCCAAGAACCCGTCATCCACATGGACGCAGACTACGAGTACATCATCGGCAAACCAGAGCGAATCAGTCCAGACGAAATCCCCAAGCTTTGTGCGGCTTTATATCTGTTCTTGACTCGGCCTTATTTTCGAAGAGCATGGATCCTTCAGGAGGTGGCCTTGTCTTCGAACCCGATGATTTCCTGTGGGTTGCGAAGCGGGACCACCTTTGAAGCACTCGAGACGGCGGCAGCCCATCTGAGCGACATGCTATCACGAGATCCAGACCTTGCTCAGAAAATGAAGGATTCTACACCTGGTTTGCGAAGCATCGACCCGGCTCAGCTACTATTCGTTCGCAAGCTCTTTTACTTTCGCCATCTCCACATGGGCAGAGCCCGCAACGGATTCATAATGCACGACATTAGAAACACAGCGCCCGGATACCTCGAATCTGCAATCCTCGCCCGCGATTTCGAAGCTGCTATCCCACATGACAAGCTGTTTGCGTTGTGGAATGTTGCACGTGACAAGGCCGGTCTGGAATTTATCACCGACTACTCACGCCCCTACGAGGAGACTTACATGGACTTTACCAAGGCATGGTGTGCCCACAGCGGCAGTCTAGATATGATTGGCGCCTCCGAGTTCACGAATCCTGCCGATCATCGCGGGTTCTATTCGAAGGTGTCCTCGTGGTGTCCGGACTGGAGCACGCCGTCCCTCTCGAGCTCCCTTATCCGTCGTGAGACGTTTCGGCGGCTTCGGATCTCCATGCACGACGATATTGACGGCAGAGTCTACTGCGCCGACGGCGGCGTCCGTCAGGAGCCAGGCGAACCCAAATACTTTGAATTCGAAGACAACACGCTACACTGTGCTGGCGTCATTCTGGACAAAGTGGACGGTGTTATAGCCGGCAAAACCGGACAGCTTCCAGTAGAAGCGGCAGTTCCAGGACTGGTTGGTTTTTGCAAAGACTTTTTCGCCAAGAACAATATCACCCCCTACGACGATGTCACACAGGCCTTGATAGCAATGGTACACGGAGACTGCGTTGCTTCCTGGCCGAAAGAAGAAGAAAGTCCTAATATACCCCATGATGAAGACTCTTGGACGGCGCCATACACTTGCATCCCGTTCAAGCCAAGGCTGAACCCCGACCAGCATCCGAACCGGTCTCGACATGTCCCCTGGTACGGAAGCAGTTACTCATCCCAAGAAGCGTGGGACGTTGTACGCACCATCATGCGCGGCAGGCACCTCTTTGTCTCTGAAAAAGGCTATCTGGGCTTGTTGCCGGACTACCTTGGCAAAGTTGAGGGGGACAGTGACCGTCCTGGTCATTGCGGGCCCTTTCACCTGGCAATCCTAGCGACATGTTCCGTCCCGGTCATACTGGGTGAGCATCCGGAGATCGAAGGTGCGTACAGGTTTCTGGGGACGTGTTTTGTGCAGGGCTGGATGGAAGGGGAGATCCTGCGGGAAGAGATGGGCTGCAGTGAGCCGGCTGAGTTTTGGGAGGCCATGACAGGCACCGAGAAACGCCGGATTGTATGAGAATGGTAGAATTTCAGGGCTCTTCTCATTTGACATGCAACATAGCGGTGTTAGGTTGGGCTTGTCACCTCAAACGAGTCTTGATTTCATATGTGGTCCCCGTTCGTGATGAGAATAGACAGCAGGATTGAACTCCTCTGCAGTGATCGGCTGAGCCTGTTATACAGCTACATACGAACGGGATACTCCTATTCGGTCCGTATCTTTGGGAGATACACCCTGTAGGATAGAGAACAGTGCCTGCCTATCGACGTACGTACCCAGCCCCGCACGCGGTTCCAATTTCAGATCAAGGTCCTCTCGATCTCGACCTGGACGGGGACGCCGAAGCCGTGCTCGCCGCCGACGCGGTTCTTCTTCTTGCCGACCTTTTCCAGGTCATCGACGAGCGGGTTCAGCGCGAGGGGCACGGTCATGGGGTCCTCGCGGCGGCACTTGAGGTCGAGCACGACGCCCTGGCTGAGGCCCTTCTTGCCGAGCCCGTCGGCCCAGCGCGCGGCGAGCCTGATGCGGGGCCGCTTCGGGTCGACGTGGCCGGCAGGGTAGACGGTGCCGAGCAGGCCGGCCAGGGCGCCGAGGTAGCTGGCCCAGAAGCCCTCCTGGTGGGTGAGCACGGCGCGCAGGCGGGCGTGCAGGGCCTCGTGCGGCGGGGGCAGGTCGACGTTCCAGCGCGCGCAGAGGGCGAGGGCCAGGATGGCGCGGGCGGCGTGGGCGACGCCGTGCGCGGCCGTCAGCACGCCCGTGAGGGGCGCGTGCAGCGCCGCCAGCGACCGCGTCTCCTTGGGCAGCGGCAGGTGCAGGTACATCATGTCGGCGACGGCGCGGACCAGCGCCGGCGTGAACGACGCCGGTAGCGAGCGGTCCAGGTGGTTCACCCCGGGGAGCCCGTCCCAGAGGAGCGCCGCCAGGTCGGCCGCCGACGAGGGGCCGTACGGCGCGGTCGCAGCGGCCAAGGGGTCGAGGGCCTTGGTGGGCGCGTCGAGCGTGTCGAAGAGGAACCCCTCGCGCACCCCGCCCTGGCAGAAGCGCACCTGCTGGATCATCGGCAGCGCGTCGACGAGCACGTTGACCAGGAACGCCACCGCCGGCACCTGCTCGGCCCGCCGCTTCGAGATCCGGAACACCGACTCCTCCGCCGCCACGGCCGTGATCGCCCCCGTCTGCTGGAACTCGCGCTTCGTGACGCAGAAGCCGTTGATGATGGGGATCGGGTACGGCGACACCTTGTGCTGCGACATCAGGAGGTACCCCCAGCCCCGGAACCCGCCGCCGGAGAGGTACAGCGTCAACCCGCCGTGCCGGGCCTTGTGCCGCAGAGAGTCGGGGAGGTCCAGGTCGTCGTAAGCCTGGCGGAACTGCGCTTTCATGTCCTCCTCGAGTTCCTCCTGGGGCGACTGGACCGGAGATCGGGATTTGTGGTGTCCGTTGTGATCGGGGGGCGACAGGGAGAGTTCTCGCAGTTTCCGCGTCATGGCTGCCGCGCCGTAAGGGAACGAGATGCTGCCCTTTGGGCTGGTCTGGACGTGGCCGTCTTTGGCGATCATCCAGGTGATTTGAGTGCTTCCTCCTGGATAGCTAGCAGTCAGTCAAATGCCATTAGGATCTGATCTTCCTAGACAAGGAAAAGAGGCTTCAAGTACCACCCAGGTCCATGACCAGGCCCTCCACCGAGGCAAAGCTGCTGGCGACGCCCATGGCCCCTATCGTCCCTTCAGCCTCCTTGGGCAGCATATCGACTTCCCAACCGGTGGCCTCTTTGATCTGCCGCCGAAAGTCTGCCGAGTTTTCTGCACTCCTCGTGGCTTCTGTGGCCAGGACTCTGATGTTGGTCTCGGGCACGCCAAAGTCGGCACACGCGGTCTTGAACTTGGCCAGTGACGACAGGACTTCGTCGGTGGTCTCCTGGGGGATAGGCCCCTTGGCGCCAGATGAGTACTGGGCGTCGAATAGTGAGATGCCCTCGCGGTCTTGGTAGACGGTGGGAAGGGAACGGGCCGTTGAGGGCGAGAGGTCGGTGATGGAGAACCGGATGCCATTGCTGTCGCCACGCCAGTCCCAAGCATTGTCAGTATCTGTGCAGCCGAAGGAAATGGTATGGAAGGTCCCTAGATGATATACCTTCCCATGTCAACCAAGCCATAGAGGCTGCTTGGCGATGGCGTGCGTAACATTGTGGGAAGCCAAACAATGGATTGGATGTGGACTCCAGAGGTTCGGTAAATGCGGGAAAAAAGGCACCACACCAGGCACACGGCAGCTCGATGACGATGAAGTCTGCTTAATTGAGAGCTAGAATGGCCGTAAAAGCCTGATGAATGATGGACGGGTGTTTTATGGCAGCAGAAGAAATTTCATCCCAGGCGGAGTCGATCACCTCGTATACTTTTACATGTCGCTGCGCACGTGGGAATTCCTCACCCGCTGTGCGGCTCCCGCAATTGATCTTCCACCCTTTGGCCAACCCCGGTATAGGTACATATCCGAAGCCATCCTGGTCGTGCCCGCTTCCCTATCAAAATGGTGGTATACATGAAAGCTATAGGAGAGAAATCAAACCAGAAACTCACCCAGTGCCGGGCGGAAACAGAGGGACATACTCGCTCTACGACATCTCCTCGTCGTCCTCGGGATGGAAGGCGTCTCCAAAGGCAGAGCCCTCCATCCCATCCAAGTTCAGGTCGTCGTCGTCGTCGTTGTCATAACTTGCAAGCGCATCCCCCGCCGTGTCCACTTCCACATTATCAAAATCCCCGCCCATACCAAAATCAGGAGTGTTCAGCGCTCCATCCGGAGGTGGCTGCGCCTGAGCTTGCTGTCCCTCATTTGTCCCCTCAGCATTAGACTGGTCTCCAGTCCCGTCCGCCACGGCTTGACTTTCCTCTGGTTGACCGTCATCTGGCAGTTCTGGAATCTCCATGGCGTTTTGATCCCCGTCTTCCCCAATCATGACCCATTCGTCGCCGTCTTGATTGACGTTGTCGACTTGGTCATCCATACCATCCATGTTCACATCTGTGACAATGTCGTCCAATTGCGGTAGATCTTCGGCTTGCTCGTTGGTATCTGCTTCAGGCTGCTGCTCCGCGTCTGCAGACTGTGTCGTTGGGGCTTCAGGCGGGGTAGGTAACGGTTCTGCAGTCGCGTGGGTTTGTTGCTCGCCGCTAGCCACAGAGGCCTCCTGCGGCTCTTGCTTTGGCTCTTCGACGGGAGTCGCGGCGGGCTGAGGCTGTGACGGTTGTTGGGTACTGGCAATCTCTGCAATGGGAAGAGCGTGGATGGCTTTCTGCGGCGAAGCAACGGCTGGGGCTGGAGGCTGGGCTGGCACAGCAGCAACTTTGTTTCGCTCCTCCAAGCCTCCTCTTGAAACAAGTGTCACGGTGTTGGTCCTTGTCAGCTTTTGGCCTATATCCGACTCTACTGTTTCCATGATGTCGTCAATCGCGTCACGCGGGGCGGTGTCGGCATCACCATTGGTACTGTCTTTCGAGATACTTGGTCTCTCTGCCACATCCGATACTGTTCGCAGCTTCTTTTCAGCAGTTGCCAATGTCGTCGACCGACGCAATTTTTCCATCCTCCGGGCGTGTCTGTTCCTCATTTCTTCCAGTTCCTCTTGCATTTTGGCGAGTTTTTCAGAAGCGCGCTTGATGAAGTCATCAGCTCGCCCAGCAGCCATTTTACCAACTCGTGGCAGCGGTCCATTACTTGGCTCGCTCACAGCCGAGACAGGAGCATCGAAGAAATCTTTGGTCAATTCCTCCAACGGGCCCTTCCGTCCAAACCCCAAGTCACTAGGGATGATGGAGAGGGTGGGATATGGCGACTCAATTATCTCCTCCATCCAGTCATGGTGTTGCTCGTAGCGGACCCGACTGATATCTCTGGGGGCCATAAAATCAAGCAAGTCACCCCGAGAGACGTCTTCTTCTTCCTCCACTGTTGTGTCTTGGGTAATGCTCGCGCCTCTTCTGTGACCAACGCCTGGAGGAACTTGCCCTGGGGCGGGTCCCCTCGCCACTCCCGGAGGTAAGTGCATCGTGGGCCAATTTGATCGGTCGTGCAGCATGAACTCTTTTCGAGGCAGTTGACCTTGACTCTGGATCATGCGACGCTGTTGGAGTAGTGCATGAACATGAGGCATGATCGGGATATTGGAGGCGGGGACGTGGTCGCGCGGCGAGGCTTTTGAGTAGTGAGTCAGCCATAAGCTGGGATCGGGACTTGGGAGGCCATGGGCTGGGTTTCCAGGAAGCAGCCGATAGCGTCTTCTGCTGTGTGTGGCCATGATTTCGCCCGTGGCTCGAAAGCCAGCTCTCTGCAGAAACATTTCCAAAGTCTGTCCGGACAGCATTAGCAACCGGCCGTAGACGGTGGATTGTTACCTACATATCCCCGAACTTCGGATTTGTACACATGTTCCACATCTGCCCAAATGAAACCATCACTCGCGTAGCTTGTACCCAGGTATTCGAGCGGCTGCCACTCGAGGATCAATGTGCCGTCCGGCGGAGTGTCGATAAATTGCCATTGCATGGGCTGTAGATCGCGCACAATCTTGGGCGCTTCCAGGAGGTATCCAACAATTGTATCGACTGCGGGATTGCTCGTGATCGGGTAGCGATATTTGGACACCAAGTGCAGATGAGGTAGCTGATTGTGTACAAGTCAGTTGGAAGGAATCGACAAGAGGATTTTGCAACTCACCAGCTGCGGCGGGATACCGGCCGCAGGGTCTTTCATCATCGGATTCATCTTGAAACAAATGGGATCAGAGCAAGGCTGTCGATATCATGGAAGATTAAGGGCTGTTAAGTGGTTGTGCAAAATGGCTGCAGGAGGAGAGGGCGCGCTGCAACTTGCGACGCGATTAGCTTGGGGCTTGACTTTTTGAACGAGGCTGGGGACTTGGCGCCGACTTCAGCCTTGTCACGTGGTGGCTGCTCACAATCGCAGCCTTTCTTCCGATCTGTATCGTGGGCCCGACATTGGAAGGCATTTCTAGGGCCAGACGTCGTTTCTCATTACTTATGGTGGGTGCTAAGTCAAGCACCTCGAATGGGATGGTACAGGTCATTGGTCATAACAACTCCACCTCTCCCCTCTGGACGCCGTTCCTGACGTCCTTCCACCTGACAACCCAGACCTCCCCTCTCCTCATCCGCAGCACTACACTAGCACCTTCTTCCTGGCCCTGGTCCCTCGCCTGATCGACGTCCCTTTCGTTGTTCCACGTCCCCTCGTTCACACATCTCACGACCACAGCCTTTGAGCCGTCTGGTCCTTCGATCATGGGTACCCCTCCGCTTGAATCATCCAGCCTCCGTAGTCCCGAGGGAAGTGAGTTCAGGAAACTCGAATCGTAGAGTTCTCCTAGGAGGGCTTGGTGATGCCTCAGGAAGCTGATTTCTGATGTCGACATGATAGTGGACGTCTTCGTGTCCGAGTTGAGATGTTGAGAGAGGTAATAGGTGGCGTGCTTGGTCATCTTGGCGAGTCGTTGTCTCAGCAAACTCCTTACAAGAAACTGTGTCCGTGAAAGATCTGTCTGCAATATCGCCAGGACTAGGTTGGTATTCTGTGTGCTGCTGGTCGGCTTTCCGCCATTGGGCCCGTCCATCGAGTTTGGGTACAGAGGCGAAGATCCATCGCCCATTCCGCTCGCTAGATCCTCAATACGTGATATCTGTGATTGGACCCGCGACATTACGCGGGTCATAAGTTCTGTAGGATAGGGGAGTAGATCGGGTGCGCAGCGTTCCGATATCCATGCCCGGGTGAGGAGTTGGTGGTCTGTGAAGGTGTCTGTATCACTCGAAGAGTAGGGGTGAGAGGATGTCGTTGAGTAGGTTTGAGAGCGCGAGACATCAGCAAGGATGTCGGAGATATCAAGGTCCATTGCTCCCATGAACAACTGCGATCACCACAATGATAGATCTGAGAGCGACAGACCGTAAATGGCCCTGGATCGATGGTATAATGACGCGACAATGGCCGGCGCCGAAACAGTGTTAGAGAATTGACTTATGAGACCACGGAGAGGATCACACTTGACACCACGGCGGGCATTTCTGTCGTTGCTCTTGACGCAGGGACCTATATTCCGTAGGGAGATGTGGTTTGGATGCCAGAAGAGGTAACGTTGTATGCACCGATATTGGGTCGCGAAAATAGCGCGTCTGACCGTGACCTGGAAAAAGGGCGTCACCTTGGCAGCCACCAGTCTCATATAACGGACATATTCCACTCGGTACATCATTTTGCATCTATTTTTACCACTATCTAGGCTCAGGGATTTTGTTTCTGTCCATGGATGGCTGTCCACTTGCGGGTGATGGTGCTTGCGCAATCAGGCCCGATATTCATTCCTGCGGAATGTATTGTCCCAGAAAACTGTCACCCTTCTCATTCCTGCAATGTCTGTGTCAAACCACCCGACTTTTAAACGATGTCTAGTTTTCCCACCTGGCCTTCAAATTGAACGGTATGAAGCTTTCAATAAGTCGGAGAACATGCTCCCTGAAGAACCTTGTGTACCTTGAGCATGGTGTTGCGAAATGAACATCCCGGGACTTGTGCGCAACCGTCAGAGGTGAGAACCAGGCATTGCTATCGCACGTGTGACGGTGAGTACCGAATGGACTGCGAAGCTATTCCACACAGATATCTGAATTCAGGAAATCTGCATCCTGGCCCGGTTGCATTCCTCTAACTCGAGCTACCCGTGTGCCGATTTCTCCAAGGTTGCATTGTGGCTTTGAATGACAGTTGTTCCGGCGCTATCCCCCTGTTCCCTATTCAAGGAGTAAAGAAGGGCAATGTCAAACCCTGAATCCTCTTTTCGAGTTTTGAGAGTTCGCTTTCAAGGCCCTTCATAACACCGCAAAATCGCAGATCTAACTTCGGAATACAACGAGATGGTTTTAGTTGAGTTAGAGGATATATCTCACACAGCGAGGAGACTCCCAGTGCACGTAACCGAGAGAAAAGCTCCATAATGGAAATATCCAGAGCAGTGGCTTGAGGGATAGGGTAGAGGCCCTTGAGCTTCAACTTCTTGATAAGGTCTCCAAGGACAAGAGCGTCACATTCTGCGTGTCGTAAACATTGCTGGGTGTCACTCTGGTAACGTTCAACAGTATCGTTCAGATAGATGAGCATGTCGCCGATGATCGATAGTCGACTTGCTTCGATCTTGCCTTTAGCCAAGGACTGTTAGATGGCCTGAAACGTTGACTTAAAAGGCATACTTACTGGGGATTGCAGGTGGAAATGGAAGTCCGTTTTCTTCAAAGTGAGAAGTACACCAATAAATAGCATCCCTGGTCACTTCAGTGTACTCAACTGGTCTTCTGAGAACCCAACAAGTGTAAATCCGGTCCGCAAGATGGGGAGTCAAGGTGTTGCGGGCTGGCCAGAGATCAGAGAACCAGAGATCTGTGTACACTCCCGTAGCCTCTTGAAGCTCGTACTTGTCAATCAGAACCACGATCGCAAAAAACAGCGCGTACTCGATTTTGCGAGGGACGCTTCGGTTCAGTCCATGTATGATACCAAGCAAAACCATCATTGCATCGGCATTGTCTTCAGGTAGCGGTACTTTTGTCGCTTGGTCGGCTCCCAACGCGACTCCCTCCCGAAAATTGCCGTCGAACATGGCACGGAAAACCTTTGACGCCAGCGAGAGATGTTTTGACGACACCTTGGCTTCGATCTCTTGATTTTCGTGGGCCGTCGGTGCCTCTGCAGGTGACGCTCCATTGTTCTGTCCGGCAGGAGCCTCAAGCTGCGCCTCTCCGCCATCTTGAACCTTCTTGGTAGGACCCGTCCCGGTGTTAGGGCTGATAGCAGATGGAGTGATTCTTTTGCTCAGCACTAATTGAACATCGCCACGAGGGTCGTAAATTGGGGTTTTGTGACACTGAATATACCCAGACCAGCGAGAAGGATAGGGCGCGCTGGAATCCCCCATTTTGCGGGCTTAGTAAGTGAGCTGATTCGGAGAAGAGATGACAGGCGCAGCTGGGAAACTGGTGAAACTGAAGCAGCAGAGAAGTGCTCGACGCGGCCAAGCTTAAAAGTGTGAGACAAAGGCGGTGTAGGTGAAGAAGCTCCAAGGAGAACAAGTGAATGGAGTCCATGTCTTTGTAGACATTCACATCATGCTCTTGGCGATACTGACCTGGGTTACCATGCCACGTCAGTCACGCTAGAACAAACAAGATACACCACACAGAAATCCTTCAGAATTCACTAGTCCCCTGAAGAGTAAGATATAGGCGCTTGTCGACGTAATGGGTTGTGACATTTCCCCCTATGTTGCTGTATGGATCTCAAGTTGAAAGCTTTGTTCAGCTCTTCCCAAATCTGCCAGAATCTCAGTTCCATTGTCGCTCAAAGTCGAAGACAGGGACGTAAAGTGGTCGACCCTGCGCCATGCCGATGCTTATCCCATTCCGTCCAGGAGTGCTCCATGCATATGTCATTTGCCATCGTTCCATCATAAAAGTCATGCCATCCAACTCCTTCAAACGTGTTCCTGCCGGGCAAGCGCCACTGCGAAAATCCGACAAAGTCGAACGTGGACCTTTTGGAACCATTCCTCTCAAGCCAAGTAGTTGTAGGAAGGTTTTGCTGGATCGGGCCCCCTCTCTAAGTATTCCTTCTCTATCAACGATTCGATCTTCTTCTTGATCATGTTCACATCCGGTTGAAAACGAGACGAGATCTGAGCCAAAGTCTCCGTCATGAGCTGTGAATGCGACAGACTCTTGCGTGACTTCATGATTCGAACGATCGCGGCCTCGATGACGATCCCACGCTCCTCCTCCGTCCGTTTCTGAGTCGCGCGGCGTTCCTCCTGATTCTCGACCCGGTTGCCACCGCCTCCGGCAACAACACTCACTTTGATCTTGAGGAATTGGCTGCTGAATTCTTCATTGAAAAAGAATTTGTCTGATGGCTTGACGTCTTTTGACACCGGCTCTTTCCGCAGGACTCTCCATTTGTTAACCAACGACAGTGACTGCAGATTGCGAATGAGCTCAGACTTGGGAATATTTGTCTCAGCCGCAATCTGTTCAAAGGTTAGAGATTCCCCAGGTGGAAGCTCGTTGAAGAGCATGAGAATGACCATGGCATAGGTCGAGACGTTGAGTTCGTATCGTCGGGTCTTCCCACCATTCGTGAACGTAGCTCTCATGTCAGCGTCACCGAGACCAGGCATCCAAGTCAACTTTCTACCAGTATGCTTATCAAGGTAGAACTTCTGGAATCTCTGCCGGACCTGCTCAACTGGAGCTGGAAACTTGCATTCGGTTTTGGTAGTGTTGTCATCAGGTTTGCTGAGTGTTTCGAATGGCCAAATAGTGGTGGTCAAGACTCTGCAATCCAGCTCAACGCGTTTGGGGTCGGGGTCGCCGAGCTGGTTGACGTATTCCTTGTATTTCATGTTGAGGTCGTCCGACGTCTCGGTGTCTCTGATGAGACCTTCTAGCTTCTGGGTGAACTGGTTTCCGATCTTCATCTTCATCTTTGAAAGCATCTGGCGTTCCATCTCCCGGCTGACTGATTTCTTCATCAGGAGGCGCTTGGCCATGTGTCTCTTGTAGTATGTCTCGAACGTGTCTTTGTTCGCGAGGTACTGGAGCAGCAAGATGCCGTTGTCAAGTATTGTGTCGACTTCAGCATCACTCTTGTCCTTGCCGCCCCGTTTCAGATATTCATCGAGGAAGAGAGACAGATGCTCCGCGCTTCGCTCGTTGATGTTGATGAAATCTTGGAATGAATTCTCCAAAGCCTTCTCCAGAACTGTATCTTTCTGGAATGCTTCGGTCCAGAGCCTGTCGAACTTGGCCTTCAAGACTAGAATCTGTTCCACCCACACAATGGCAGCCTGAGTCTGTTGGCTCAGTGCCTTCTCCTGCTGAATGCCTCTGCTCTCCGTGCTGGCTTTCTGAGCGGCTTTCGGTGCGGGTGTGCTATCAACAATCACATTCGCGGCCTTGTTGATATCCATCCCGAGCCCTATGACGCGCTTCTTGACCACCTCCTTCAGCGCAGCTTTCCGCGGGTCCACTCGGCTGATGAGCTCAAAGACATTGGCAAGATCTTGAACTTTATCACTGTCCAGCATACTCTGAACCCCCGTGCCCTCCATGTTGATGACATCGCGAATATGAGCAGAAATGAGCTCTTTTTCCACCACGCTTTTAATTTTGTGTTCTGTAATCTGGGAGATGGTTTGCTGGCACCGCTCGTGTTCTTCGGCCAAACGTTTTCTTGCATGGGTGCAAAATGTACTTGCGTCAGCCTCAACCAACAATGTCTGGCCTTCGGTCGTATAGAATTCTCGACTCGCTTGGAGGAACTTGGGTTCGAATGATATGAGGTAGAGTTTACTGGTTTCCTCCTCGGTAATTGTTACGTAGAGGCCTTCCAGCATGTAACAACAAGCACGAACCAGCGGCCGGTCAATGATTTCACCTTTGCGTTCCGACCTGATCATATCGAGAAGAACAGTTTCTAAAAGGGAGAGCACAGAGGTTTTCGGGTCATCATCCAAGGGAGTGTAGAGGACCTGGGTTCGAAACAGCGCCATTGAAGCTGCAAAAATCGATGGTCTCTTTTGCTCCTGAGCAAACATGCGATCCTGGCCGGGCTATAAGTATCGTATCAGCGCATCAGAAAACAGTCGAGGACACTAACCATATACATGAGAACGTCGGTAATCATCCCGGTGCAGAGTTGATGGTCGGCAAAGGCGTCTTTGAGAGCTCTAATAAACCTCTCACCAGCAACTCTGCTCTCCTCGGATAGGACGGTGGCATTTTGATCCAAGCGATCAGCCAAGAGAGCAGGCGTTATGAGACCGTGAATCTTCATTCGAACGTTTTCCCGCAGCCATGTCTCTATCAGTTGTACGACCCTATCGTACAGCATGTCCTGCTTTTTCTTCAAGACCAACTTGTATGCATTGCGGAAGAGTTCTTCGAAGGAGAGTTTGGAAGCATTCTTGGCGAAGATCTCCTGGAAAGCGGTGGATAAAGTGTTCCATGTTGAATCGAAGTCGACATCGTCTTTCGTCAGACCCTGATGGCGGGGCATGTTAGCAGGAGCCAGAGACCAGGGCGTCAGTTGACAGAGGCGAAGGCGAACTGGCTTTGAGTATAAACAAGGCAAGAGAGAGAGAGAGAGAGAGTGGGCATGATATGGAAGGTGAGGTAGGTATGTCAACAGCCGTTGTCTTAGTGAACGGACAAAGGATGTATCAAACTTCAGCCCGACCGCAGTGTGCGAATCGATTTGAGAGGTGAGGCACGTACCCTTCTCGGGGCTCTAATCTTCGGGCCGCCTTTCTTAGCCAACATAATGGGCAGGACACATTGCCCACACCAATGCAGCCCTCAAGATCGCGTTGTTTCCAAGAGGCTGAGCAGATATTGAGTCGAGGTGCGGTTAGTGGAGAAGGCTTTTTGGAGAAGTGAGGCCGCGGGACGGTGACGGGAAACACTAGTCTCAAGAGAAGGCGGTCCGGGCTTGTCCTCGATATTCGCCAGCTCGAAGAATCGGCCGAGGGGGGAGGGGAGATGTCGAAAGAGGTGTTCGTGGTAGTCTTCGCTCGTTCACTCGCCTTGACGCCACTGTGCTGGAGAAAGGCCTTCCTTGCCTGCGAGGTGCCAATCCAATACGAGGTCGCGTCGGCATCACATCGGAGCGGAGGCGGATCGGAAAATCAAAAGACCTTTCTCGGAAGAAACCATCGTCATCGGAGAGGACTGCCTTCGACTTATTTTCTTTTCACCCAAGTCACATTTCTTGAGGATTTTGAAGCACCATGCGATCAATAACACACGCGGCGCGCAGGGCAGCTGGCAGCGCCTTCGCGTCACAAGCCCTCAAGAGTTACTCACGGCTTCCATCGCTCGCGTCCAGAAATCCGCTGGTTTGGCGGCAGCCCACTCCAACCCGTCGTGGATTCGCGCCGATCGTCCGGTACAACTCTTCACTATCTGTGCCCGGGGCCAAACCTCAGCCAGCCGAAGCGCGAGACGAGCCTTCCTACGAACTGAGCTTCACCTGCAAGCCCTGCCTCTACCGGTCCACCCACCGCATCACCAAACATGGCTACCACCAGGGAACGGTTCTGGTGACCTGTCCGTCCTGCAAAGCCCGCCACGTTATCGCCGACCACCTCAAAATCTTTCTAGACAAGAGCTCGACTCTGGAGGATATATTAAGGAAAAAGGCAGCGGCCGGCGAAGATTTCACCAAACTATTGAAAAAGGGAAGACTAGGCATCCGCCCGGGCGATTTGGTGGGCAATGAAGGCGAAGAGGATCTTGAGTTCTGGGAGGATGGCACCGAATCTGTGCACACCCCGATTGAGGAAAAGCGAGCAGGTCAACAAGGTTGATATCAATACCGGGGCCACGTACGGAGTGCAAATACAATCTCTGATGCCTCGTCGCGCCGTTACGTCGACAGAGAACACAGACGATGGTCGGTGTTCACGTCTTACTGTCGCAACATCTCTTCACACCTCGATGGACAGATTATGACCTCAAAGTCTGACTCGCCAGCGTATCAGACTTTCTGTTGCCACCACTTCCTTCTCATCAGAATACGAGAAAGGTCAACGTCCACATCGAGGTCAGGAAACATCTACCAAACCCATCTCCGCTCCACTGCACCGAACTCTAGTCAGCACTTGACTGCCCAAGTGCCTAAGTGAGCTGCTTGCCCCTTCCAGCCCTACGATTTTGTCGGCCTCCGGTCACGGCTGGGCTTGCTGGAAAGGACCTTTCGAGCCGATAGGAGACTGTACTATACGTGTACGGTTTACGAAGCGTGTATAGTTGTCGCTTCGTTCGCAGAAAACCGACAGACCCGTTCGCCGAGGGCGGTCGCGCGGGAGTATGTACAAAAATGTATGAACACGATAGATGGCGTTCAAAAATTGATACTATTAGTTTCGGATGTTTATGACTCTACGAGGTACCACTCCACGATGTTGTCCCAGCCAAAGCCCCAGCCCAAAGTCCAGCGAGTGAATCTTTTGTCATCTCAACGCCAGCTAATTTATCGCTCTTAATAGACCCTCTTTGTCCGATGCGTTCTAGGTGTAATCTTCTCTCTTCAATGCCCATTAACAACAGTCTCCCTGACCAAATACACCCTCGCCTCCCAGGGGCTCAGGTACTTGCCGACCTCCTCCCCCGGGCCGAGATTACTGACCAACAACTCCTTCTTCACACCCTCCAAGTCGTGCGGGTAATGCAAAGGCTGGGTGTCGTTGGAGAAGTTGAGAAAGACCAACAGCTTCCGGTCGCCGTCCGGGTGGGTCTTTGTGAAGGTGAAGACGTCCTGGTCGAAGAAGTCCCAGACCTGGAAGTCGCGGCCGAAGACGGTGAGCTCGACCTGCTCCTTGCGCAGCTGGATCATGGACTTCCAGAAGGATAGGACCGAGTGCGGGTTGTCGCGCTGCGCGGCGACGTTGACGGCCTCGTAGTCGTCGTGGACGCGGATCCAGGGCTTGCCTGTCGTGAAGCCGGCGTTGGCGGACGCGTCCCATTGCACGGGCAGGCGGGCGTTGTCTCTCCCCACCAGCTGCAGGCCCTTCATAGCCTTCTGCAGCCAAAGCGGGTCATCCTTGTGCCGCGTCTTGACGTCGTTATAGGCGTTGAGCGAGTCGATATCCCGGAGCTCCTCCACGCCCCAGTGTTCCGGATGGTTGTACATGCCGATCTCCTGGCCCTGGTAGATGAACAGCGTGCCCGTGAGGGTGCACATCAACACGGCGAGCATCTTAGCCGCCTTTTCGCGCCATTGCGGCTTGTCCGTGGCGAACCGCGACAAGCTGCGGCCTTGGTCGTGGTTCTCCAGGAACACCGTCGTCCAGGCATCCGTGCCGTCGGTCAGACGCTGCACCTTGCGGACAGCCTCTTTGAGCTGCGGCAAAGTGTGTCGGACGGTATGGTGCTTTTTCCCACCACCTCCGTTGGGAGTTCCCAGCATGACGACGTCGAAGTCGAAGACACAGCTCAGCTCTCTCGCCTCAGCGGAGACGTATTTCAGCACCTCTGCCGCTTCTGTACCGGGTAGTTCCCCGACGATCAAGATGTCACCGTATTTGTCGAGGACCTGTTGGCGTTGCTCTCTGAACCATTCGTGCATTCGTGGGCCGTTAATGTAATATTCTTCCGCAGGCTGGAATTCTTCTCCATGCAGCTTCGTCACCGCGTCAGGGAACGATACGTCCTTGGAGTACAAATTGCAGGCGTCCACGCGGAATCCGTCAATGCCCCGATCGAGCCAGAACTCAATAGCGGACTTGTAGATCGCCTTACGGGTTTCCTCGTTCTCCCAGTTCAAATCCGGCTGCTCCTTCACGAACAGATGGAGGTAATACTGGTCCCGCTCTTCACAGTACTCCCACGCACTGCCGCCGAAGATGGACCGCCAGTTGCTCGGTGGGTGTCTCTTGCCGTTCATGATTTTCGGATCCCGCCAGACGTACCAGTCGGCGTACTTGTTGGTCCTGCTTTTGCGCGATTCCTGGAACCAGGCATGCTGGTCGCTGGTATGGTTGATGACCAGGTCCAGAATCAGCTTCATCCCGCGGTCGTGGCACTCCTTGATCAACCGATCCATGTCGGCGAGTGTACCGTAGGCAGGATAGACGTCCTCGTAGTTGGAAATGTCGTAGCCCATGTCCTTTTGCGGCGAGTCGTACATGGGTGACAGCCATATCGTTTCCACCCCGAGATCTTTCAGGTAGGGTAATGTGCTGATGATGCCGGGAATGTCACCGATTCCATCGCCATTGCTGTCCTTGTAGGAAGCAGGCCAGATTTGATAGCAGGTGCTGGCTTTCCACCAGTTTGGTTTCGGCGCAGACATGTCCTAAATCAACGACTTCAAAGACTGAGGGTTTGATGAAACTTCTGCAGTTAGAGTGTACAGGGAGAGATAAGGCGAGAGAAAGGAAAAGAAAATATCGAAAGCACAATAGCGAGAGACGGCACAGTCTTCAGAACAAAGTGACTGAAAGTTGGAGATACGCGGCAAATACCTTTTAAGCAAATGGCAAGAGCCACGAAGAACGACGGACCGCCTTCTCGATGAGTCCTAGGTGAGCTCTGCCTTCAGGGCAAACCTTGAGATCATCACGTCGCCATCGAACTTTTATTCGGAGAAACTCGAAGGGGCAAGGAGGCGCTGGTGGTATATGCTGCGGTCACGCGTACAGCAATTCTAGGCTTCGCACATCAGCCGTTGAAGCGGTTAAGATTGTCAAGGTAGGATTTGGAGATGGCTGAACTTGTCTGAGAAGGGAAGAGATGCGAGGCACGCGACGACGCCGTCGATTCTCAAGGTCCATCTGGACTCTGGACGAAGATGCGGGGAGGTCGAGACAGAATTTGTCCGAGAGTTTGGCCGCCCAAAGGCAAACAACTCTCGTAAGACGCCGCTATCTCCATGATGGGAATCTGCTCCGCTCGGAGACGGTAGAGTGGGCGATGGCAATATCGAAGAATCCTTCAGCAGAAGAGTCGTAGGTTGTGGCTTCTGGATGAGGCTCTAGGTCTACCCATCTACCAAATATTGTATTTTCCTGCGACGGCTCGTTCTCATCAATTCCTTGTTGGTCTTCCAGCGCATAAAGACACAGCGGAAAGGGAATAGCAAAATATTCACTGCGCGCCATGCAAGCAGCACGCCAAGATTCAGACCAATCCGACTATGTGTATCAAATAGGATCGTGCGGCTGGCGTTGACAATACGATACAAGGGCCAGGCATAGCCGAACTGAAAGAAGCCCGGTGCCAAGGAGATCGCATAAAAGGCAGTTGAGACGTTGGAGATGACCCAGAAGATGAGCCACCTTAGGTAAGATGGTTAGCATTGATATGTGCACGGGATACGACGAGAGGGAACCGGAAACTCACAAAGCAGTCCACGGCTGACCAATAATCATTGTGACGTTCTCACTAGCCAAACCCAATGCATACATTCCCACCCAGTTCAGCATCCAATACCCCACAAATGTTGCGTGTCCGTAAGCATCTGGGTCTTTTGCCATCGTGGTATCGTTGTGCGGATACTTATTGGAAAAGGGGATGAGGAACGCCAGTGACACCAGCGAATAAGCCAGGGACATCAAGAGATAAGCAGCCGTCGTCATGAAGAGACGGAAGAGAACCAGTGCCCAAAAGTGTAGGGGAGGGTGGCACTTCGGGATGAGAAACTTGGTGTAAACCGGGAGGAAAAAGGAGAAGGAGACGAACGCAATGATGATGAGGTAGATGAGGCCGATTGTAACGGCCGGTGTGGCCTGTGCAGGTGCGAAGGGCCGGAGATCGAACGAGGAGAAGCCAATTGCCGGGTTCAATGCTTGCCGCGCATGAGAGTACGTGCCCGCGTCTAGCGATGTGTTGGACAGGACGTTCGTGATCCACTGTTCCACTGTTCTCCAAACATTGCCACCACGTTAACTCTGAATTCGAACAATTGAGGGTTGATGTAGTTGGCATAAGTGGTTTCATCTCGGGCTGAGTTGACGAATATCTGACCGCCGCCAAGCGGTGAGTAGCTGGAATTTCCACTGGCGACAGCGCGTTGAAGAAGTACCGTTGCGTTGGCATTGACAATGATGGCCGCCCAGACATGCTCATCGTAGACAGCTTGTCTCACTGCGATAGGGTCGCCACCATATTTCTCTGGAGGTTCGACCCTGTAGCTTAGTGCATAAGCAGGGAGCGAGGCTTGTTCTCGTGCAGGCTGCTTGACGGCGTCCCCAACCAAAGGTGTCGTACCTTCAAAGGGCGAAAAGCGACCATCGAAGCTGACCACGGCCACGGTCAGGGCTGACAAGTTCTGCGGCACATGGAATAAAACGGCCCAGTAGAGGGACAGAACGCAAAGGATGAAGCAGAAGAGTATCAGGACTGTAAGGGCCCACTTCTTCGCGACTTCTTTGCGTACACCCTTTAGTGATGGGTCGAAAAGGCCGACTGGCAACGGAGGAATTTCTGGTGAATTCCTTTCTTCATCGCCGCTAGTCCCACGCAGCGCTTGGTTCTCGTCCTTCTCATGCCCCGAATCTTTGCATTGCTTCTCTAATTGTTCGTCTTCTGCACGTTCTGACTGTAGGGTATGATCTGAGCCGTTTCCTTCCATGCTTCAGGGTCTGCAGAGGTCCTCTTGAAACATGGACCGTCGCTTCTTCAAGGCAAGAAATTCGCAGACATAAGACAGGGTGATGGACGGTCTTGCCACGGGTGCACTAGGCCAAGCAAGGGATCTTCTTCTGTTGAGTCAAACGCTTCATCTGGCCGCATCTCCAATGAGGAAGACTCGAGGCTTAAAGTCTGTGGGTTTGGGGGAAATGAGCACCCATTTGACAGCTCTCGAGCATACCTAAGAACTAGGGCGTCAGTTTTTGGCATCAAAGGCAAAAAGTCGTGACGTTGTGACTCTTGTTGACATGATGTCATCTTGCGAGTGTATCGCACATATCGTGTCACAGAGTCACAGTATTGCACGGCGATTATCTGGATGCCCTTGGACTGCAGACGCGATGTGGAAGCACGACTGACATCTCCAGGTGCGAAATCGTAGATTCTTAAACATCTCCTAAAGTCTTGTCAGCTTTTGACGTTGAAGATAAGATGGGTCTGCAAATATATGAGTCGTGAGGCCTAGTTCATCAGGCACTGCGTATCACGTTTCCAGGAGCCTTGGCTGACCGGAGATGACCCTGTGAGCACATTGCTCATGGAGCTAGTGATATTTATGATAGTTTCAGATACGAGACATGAAGAATTATAGTCGGACGTGCATCCTATTCATTGTTTAAGAGGAAACTGACAGTGTTGAGGAATGGGATTCGAATATTGGTCGGAACAAGGATATTCCGATACCGGGAGATGCCCTAGCTGAATGCCCAACTGTCGAGTTGACAATCTCACGACCTCAACGTCCTGGGAAATTCCAACCCTCTGTAGTTGTCCGTGGGATTTTCTCCGTCCTTGAATAACACCGTGGGCTGTGCCAACCCACTGCAGAGCCCTGATGCCGCATCCTGGCACCCCTGGGCATTCATAAAAGTCATGCTTAAGTCCTTGACCTCACCAACCTCTGGCTACATCGCACCGCATCCTCGCGGGTTCATAAAAGCCCCAGCCAACACCCTTCAATTAGAAGAGCTGCCGGCATGAACCGTAGGCAACCAACATCTGAGCGACAACCACAAACCCACCGATGGCCGGAGGCGCGTATATCCACCTCGCAGTCGGGTCCTGAACAACCGCCCCCACAAGAAAGCGCTCGTCTCCAAACACGATCCCAAATACCAGCCACGTCATGATCCAGACTCGTTGGGCATGAGTGCTCTCGCCTTCATGGAAATGCGTCATGATGCCCATGACCGCAATGGGAATGGCAGAGACCACGATGGCCCCACAGAATATTAGATTCCATTCCCGTACAACTCCACCCATTCCGATAGAGTTACTAACAGGCACTATAACTCCTCTCTCGTGTTCCAGATCTGCAGTTCCCAAGGAAGAGTTGAGAAGTCTGTCTTCGGGCGAGGCTTGTGGATTTGTTCGCACAGTCGGCGTTGGACGATGTGCCTGGGATCGGATCTTCAATGGAGCAACGCTGTCGTCGATTCGAGCGACTTTCTCGTCATAGTTCTCCTCGGACGAGCAGAGGTGCTCCTCGGCCTGAAGCTTGTGAATGATCATGAGATCGTTGTCGCTGCTTGTTCCATCAGATTGACCGTTGCGAAATACCACGTTCACTGATTTAGGATTTTGTATACCTCTCATCCGGCCAACCACTCGGTCGAATTTGATTCCTGTTCGTCGTTCGGCCTCGTCCATCACGTCATCTCTCATCAGATACACTGCATCAAAGTGCGGTGTCAAGATATTGCCGAGAAGATTGATGATGGACATTACGAGATAAGGCGTCACGGTGAGGCCAAAAGCCGCGTACCCAAACCTGGTGATTTGCTCGCCTCGGCTCTCGTACAAGGTGAACCCGGCATAAACAGTTTGAAACACTGCGAAGACGCTCTTCGCATAGCTGTATGACATGGCAACCGCATCAGCGTGATGGATATCTCCTTGCGAGCTCCCAAGGCTGGCACTCACACGCTGGCACGTTGAAGCGTCTCCGGGTAGTATTGCCAATGAATAACCAGGCGGCAAGTTACAATTGCCATGAACGATGCGGCTTGTAAGATCATACCAGTGCGTAACCGGCATGAACGAGTTCTCTTCATTAAGGTATTCCTCGTCGCCGACAACTCGGAAGTTGAGAATCTCGCTTCTCGTGTGACTCGCTTCAGCTATGGTGGATGTTGGCGTTGTGGCTCTCACAGCTTCAGCCGGATTGGACGCAGGGTTCATGGTCGAGTTGACCTGCAGGGCTCTGAATCCCACTTGTGTGGCATCTGGATTTGCCTCTACCGGCGCATTTTCAGGCTTCGGTGAGGATGTTGTAAAGAAGTGCTGGATGAGGTCTGTGTATTCACTCAACTCAACTTGCGATGTCTGCTCTGACCCGTCATGGTGCCCAAATGGTGGTTTTTCAGTCGCAAGTTGTAAATCTTTTACAATGTCTCCATCCTGTGGCCTCCATTTACTGTTACGCACGACGACACACAGCGCCCCGGCCTTGCACGCTTTTTCGAGCGGCGTTTTACAGCGTATGGGGCATTTGATGATCGCAGTGAGGCCTCTTATCATGCCAGAAGTCGGAAAGATCAGGGCCATCAGCAGTGCACCAGCGGTCTTAATCATTGACTCTCCAGGGATAGATCTGACCGTGGCGATATGGGTAAAATAATTGGCGGAAAAGAACAACAGTACCGACTTCCACGTGGACGGCGTACAAAGAAGATTTTCGTTAGGAATATATCTCGATCCTGGAGGTGCCTCGATCGTCATGTTGACATCCCCTTGAGTCTTGATGACTGCAGCATGGCAGATGGGAACCGCTGTAAGCTGCGCGAAGGCAAGAATCAGCAATAGCAGTTGATGCATTCTGATGATGTTCCCAGGACTGAGACGACGAAGAGGCGCTCAGTCTGGTGGAGGAGGACTCGACTTAAAAATATGAGAGAGTCTCGAACAAGAAGAGACCGACAGCCTCACCAGCCATATTTGAATGGAGACCACAGGCCTGCTAGCGGGTGCCCCTTGCTGCCAGCCTCAAAAGACTGGCCAACTTCATAACGAGTCAAAACTCATCAACTGGGCCACAAGGCAGACAGATGAACAGAAGAGCTGCCCCCTTACTGGTGGCGGTGGCTGAGCAGACGCCACCTTTTTTTTGGGCGCGAATCCCGACCAGGAAGCCAGCCCCGTCTTCAAGAGATGTGACGATGCACAGAGGGACAGCTCATGTGTTTTCTCACAAGAGTGAAAATGAGTTGTGCTCCTGTTAAGGAAAAAGAGAAGGAAGTTAGGTATGTGCTATTTAACACTGGTAAGCTCGGAGCTTGTCAGGGGGCCACTGGGGAACTGCACAGCCCAGTTGCGGCCGCTGAGAGGCTGAACCGGATGATATTAGATCCTGAGAGCAAGGGATACCTTAGAAGCCAATATATGTGGCGAGTTCTTGCGGATTTAAGTTGCATGACCAGGTTGCGGTTCAGCTGGCTCTAACAAATACATACCTCGGTGCGTGTGTCTGTGCCATTATACCTGGAAACCAACTCTATCACCAGAGAAGCCATCTACAACCTCTCAGTATGGGATCAAAAGCCGCCATCGCTTTCACACCACCGTGATCTCCAGCTCCCTCAGCGGCTCATCTTTGGGGCTGTACAGAATTACTGCTTCACTCACTATCCACATAGCATGCAAGAGGAGGATGTGGATGAGGATGGAACGGGCCGGCCCTCGTGGCCCTCAACGCAGCAAGTGATGTATCGACGCGACTCCGACAAGGCTGAAGTTGTCAAGGTGGGATAGCTGCGTCGGGGGCGAAAAGGCGAAGACAAGAAAAGGCAACTTTTGGGGGCCTATATCTGCGCCGAAATCGTTCTGGTTGCCTGATCGCTGCCTGTCTGCGCGACCTATTTAAACCGCGGAATTTCGACCTTGTCTTCCTCGCGTCTCTATATACCATGTCTTGCCAATCTCTCGCAAAAGATGCTCAACCAATTTCCCCTGGAGGTCTTGGTGCACGTCCTCTCCTTCTTGGAGTGTGAGGACTTGCAGGCCGTTCGCCTAGTGAACAGGGCCTTGTCGAGCAAAGCTGGTCCTGTCTTGTTCCGAACGGTCTGCGTTTCATGTCTCACTCTGGATCGGCTTCACAACATTAGTCGTCACCCTACGCTCTGCCTGGCTGTAGAGGAGCTTCAGTATCAGGAGTTCAACTTTGACCTCGTTGTCGACGATCAACGCTCCTGGACTGTCGAAGATCGGCCGACATGGAGGAAGAGAAGGATGCAATACTTGACCAGAACGATTGCCGAGTTCATTGCAATGTCGAGACAGGGGATGCAATCCTCAGAAGGAGACCCGGACGTGGTATATCTGCCGAGCGGTGTTACATTGGTCGACGTGGAGCAGGAGGCGAGTGAAGACGAGATCCAAGCTATGATCCAAGCAGTCAAGGAGTTGTACGCCGAAAACGCCCGCCTGCAAAGCCCTCAGCGCCTCTATGAAGCCTTCTGCGAAGCGTTTCCGCACCTCCCAAATCTGCATCGTGTTATCTGCGTCGAGGCTGACGCTGGTTGTACAGCGTTGGATTCTTCGCGGATAGAACGCACAGGAGCTCTCCAACGTCTGAGAAACGTCTTCCCTCTGCCAGACCGCGCCTTGAGATCGTGCCTTCAACCAGACACGCGGGACTGGCCATCGCACGGATTCATGGGCGTCTGGCGTGCCTTGAGTGACCAGGATTCAAACACTGGTGGTATACGACACCTCGAGATCCGACGGGGCAGCGATCTCTTCGTCAAGCGGGGCATATACCTCCACCCACCGGAATCCGAGGATAATGTCCTGGTGAATGGTTTCCAAAACCTGACAGTGTTAAGTCTCTGCCTCGAAGTGGATATGAGTTCTCCGGGGGTGGCAGTGCCCCAGGCAGCCATCCTGGCCGAAGCACTGGCCAGGGCATCGCAGCTGAGGCGGCTCGAGATATGCCTCACGTCACCCTGGGTGCTGCGCTCTCCGGTGAGCGACTGGACGATACAAAACAGCCACTGGGGCATTCCGTTCGGCGACCGAGACGTTTCTCGAGAAAACATACTGCCGTTTGTCGCGTTCCCGGAGCTCCACACGGTTGTCTTCGAGGAAGTCGACTTCACGAGCGAGCAGATATGTGCTTGGCTGTTCATGCAACCCAAGCTGAGACACCTTGTCCTGAGACGACCGTATCTCAGGGGACGGTGGCAAGACCTGGTGCAAACGTGGTGGGAAACCCCCGAGTTTTACCTCGACTCGTTCGAACTGATCAGCCCCTGGGATCACGACAACAGAGACTTTGAAGAGAGCACACCGCGTCGAGAGACAGCCCAAGTGCCGTCTCGCGTTTCGAGTGATGCCATCCTTGACTTTATCAACCATGGTGGACGGAACCCTTTCGACGGCCGGATTTGGAGACCATTCTACGCGTCGGAGGGAGCTAGGGGGGATGGTGCTGAAGACGATAATCTGTCAAACTACTCCGATCTCTCCGAATGGGTGCCGGAAGACCATCCTACACCGGTTGAGGACCCCGAAGGGCCCGAATTCGACGAAGACTATGACTTTGATGCCGAGGAGGACAGTGATATCGAGATGGAGGAGTCGTCGAGTGTCGGTTGAAGGATTTCAGAATCTACTGCCTGGACTTGTGTCGGCAGATATACATTTCCTTCCAGTTCACTTCGAAAGAGCTGGGACTGTTGGTGAGAAAGAGCGCAGAAATACGCTGTACGTGCCACAACTTCCGACTTGTTTCCTTTGGTTGGCAAAGAGAATGTCATGAATCGACGACAGCCTCAACCCCAAGGGTCGAACGCACCTTGAATAATACGTTTTGTTTTTCCGTTCTAGAGAATCTAGCGAGTATACGCCTTACTTAATACGTAGCTGGCTACCCGTGGCACGGTACTCGACTTGATGAAGCTTTCGCTCGAAGTCAACTTCGATACAGACACTTCGTGTTCCAGGAACACTCTTAATTCATACCTACGCAGCTCTCTTTCCTTAGAAAGTAGAAACAATGCCACCCATATACTGCAGACTCCCGGTCCTCAAGCATCCCTTTCAAATGTCCATGTCACAATTGAACCGAAATGCAATCTTCCTTGACCGCCATTATACCCAGAGAACGCTCGCAAAGTGTTCTCGCTTCTCTTCCCATCGACCGCCCCAAGCCCGATTTTATTCGTTGTCCTTGACGTCGATGACGGTCGCCTTGAACTTCCGGGCGGGAATCCTGCGATTGAACAAGATATCGCTCTCGCGGTACGAGCGGTGCTTGAGCTCGGGAAGGAAGAAGAAGGCCATGACCCAGCAGACGCACGCGGTGCCCCCCCAGACGTAGCCGCACTTGCCCGCGAGGTTCCACCCGGTCGGGTTGAGCATCTTGGAGGCGAGGTAGATCATGGGGATCTCGGCGACGTAGTACGCGGCGCGCCCGACGCCGGTGCTCAGCGCGCGCAGGCGCACCGAGGACGTCTCGGCGATGATGGTGTACGAGATCGGGCCCATGCAGCCGGCGAAGACGAAGGAGATGAGGATGCCCAGCACGGCCTGGGCGTAGTTGGTCGCGCTGTTCTGGCCCACGGAGGCGCAGATGCCCAGCACAAAGAGCAGGGTGATGTTGGTGGCCGTGCCCCAGAGGTAGATGGTCCGGCGGCCGAACCAGGCAGTGAGGAACCAAGAGCCCGCGTTCGCGCAGAATTGGAGACACGAGTTGATCAGATTGAGCTCGAAAGCCTTGTCGGTCGAGATCCCGGCCTCTAAATCAACAGAGCAGTCAGCCCGTGTATGTTTTGAAAGCTGTGAGAAGAGAGAGAGAGAGAGAGAGAGAGAGAGAGAGAGAGAGAGAGAGAGAGAGAGAGAGAGAGAGAGAGAGATGACTTACGTTCGAAGAAGAAAGTCGCCTGGTTGGCAATCAGGTTACCTGCAAAATTCTGCGAGGCGTACATTAAGCAGATGATGATCGTCCGTCGAAGATCGGTGCCCTTGAAAAGGTCGAGGAGCGTGGGAGCACCACCCTGGCGCAGCTCGATCTCGACGGTTCGTTCCATCATTGCGAGTGTCTGTTCAGCGTGCTCCGTGGACTCGGTGCCGAGACGCTTGATGGAGCGAAGGGCTTCCTTCTTGCGTCCACGACGAACCAGCCACCATGGAGATTCGGGCCCGAGGAAGATGAGAATCAAGAGGGGCGTCTGGGACGAGTCAGCTTTGCCAGATCGAAGCATCTGAACAGGAGGGCACTCACGGGGAAGATCCACTGCAACGCCAGAGGCACTCGCCAGGCCCACTGGTCGTTGCGCTTGTTGTAGCCATACGTGGCCGCGGCGACGATGATTTGCCCGACAGACCAGGCCATCTGCAGACTCGCCGTGCAGGCACCTCGAAGGACGAGGGGGACAATCTCACTGGCGTAGGCGGGGGAGTTTGCGATGAAGAAACCCCAAGGGACGCCCTCCAACGCTTGTCCGACCGTGAGGACTGTGAGTGACTCGGCCTAAGAAAGTGGTCACGGTCAGGCGATAGAGCTCAGTAAGGGGTTCGGCGTGGTACTCACAAAGAACGAAATGAAAATCGTGGCATTCATCAGCACCAGGGCCAAGATGGTAGTCCAGCGATAGCCGAGCCGGTTGGTGACCGGTCCAGCCAGGAAGACGCCGACGAAAGCACCACATTGACCAGATTGGAACAGGGCGCTCTGCCATCGGGTTGGAATGGCATAGTCATCTCCCTTCAACAAGACGCCGTACTTTCTTTGGAAGACGGGAAGCGCGACAAAGTTACCGTTCAGAAACATGTCGAACGCTTCCATGACCTGGTGGGGGGCATCAGCTATCAGTTTTATCTTTTTTTTGGGGGGGG